TGAGAGCCTAGCTCAAGAGCATTGCTTGGTGTTTTTGATTCCCATTGAGCCTCCACCACGGCGAGAGGCGACGGCGTACGAAGCACAACATCAAGCTTTGAGAGCACTGCCTCTGGATCAAGCGGCACAAGGCCGGCGCCTCGAAAGCTTGCGCAAATATTGCTCTTTATAAACGAGTTGTTAAATGCTGCTTTAAAAGCTGGTAGGAACTCAAGCTTCGTGATGTGGTTGATGTGGTTGCGCGCTAGATCCTTAATTTGGCGACCGTATGCTTTTTTCAACGGCGCAAAACAGCCTACATCAAGCGGCTGCAATAGATGCGAGGCGTGCGGCGGCATACATAGCGTGATGATATTGTTCTCCTTGCAAAGCTCTTTAAATTCGAGCGAGTTGTGGCTCTTATAACCGTCCAAAATAAGCAAGCGATGTGCGCCTACGGTGCGGTCCTTTGTATGCGTATTGAAATATTATAGCTATGCAACACCAAGCTTATTTATTGTCCAGCCATTGTCGCTTACTGCTATAGCCCAGTCTGGCGGTATATCGCTGCCCTCGTACCATGCAGAGAGGTGGTACTTGCCCGCAAGGATGATGAACGGCGGGATTGCCCATCCACATGCGTTGATGGCCTTGATTACAGTGGCCCACTCGCGATCACCTGGTTGTATAGCTTTTGGTCAATTTCGTCTCTCGGAGCCTGTAACAACTACTCCTGTTGAGATAACACCCATCTAGAAGCCGGTTTCATCGAAGTTGTAGGAGTCGTCATCCGTGATACCGTACTTCGCCTTTATATTGCGCACAAGCTCAAACCACGGCGCAATAATCCTTGGATCTTTGCATAGAGCTCTCTGGCAATTATACTTTCGATTAAACCGTGTTTAAAGCTTATCGGTCCGCTTGACAAAGTTGCATGGCCAGTTCTTGCCAACCTGGCCGGCACTGTGCTCTCTGAGTAACTTATTGGCCATATCTCTTACAGCGTTTAAGCTAGGCGCAAACCCTCGCGAATCCAGATCGAGTACATATTCAATAATAACTGATTCCTCTAGCTTTGCAAGCTTTTTTGAATTGGGCTCACAATCGCGTCGAGCGGTGGTTCCGGCGCGTCGGTCTTGGAGCGTGCTTCTAGGGATGTTGTACGTTACAACAGTGCGTCGTTCGCTTTGAAGTTGATTCTTATCAATTGCTAAGATAGCTAGGCAGATTCGGCCTTCTTTTTGGATTGATTGTACATTGCGTTGTTGAGACATAGTGGTTGAAAGCTAACGGAGCGCGTTTTGGTGATGAGGTGGCCGGCTCGCTTAGGTGGCCGGCTCGCTTGTGTTGCACGTTAGTTATAGTTAAACGATGGTGTCTTAGTCATCCAATCCTCACCTCCTGGCAAAATCCTTTTGTCGCAGACCAGGGCATTAGCTGTGGAGGCCTGAGGCAGGAACTGCATTAATAAGCTTGCCATCAAAGTTATAACTATAGATAATGGGAGGGGTAACCCGACCAATATGTACATACCATTGTCACGTGAATGTCGTATTTCCCTCCCATCCTTCAGCCTCACCATTCCTGTCTTCAACATCATCCACGCTAATAGCTCCACAGTATGCTGTATTTCAAGTCTTCCGTCGAAACCTCCTCCAAGTATGAGATCTCAGCAGCCTTACCATTACTCACGACTCGAAGGAGCAGACGCTATCAGGCTGGTCGTCATTCAGCCTTCCACGGACCTTGCCGCGCCAGTTCAATGTTCGCTCCTCCACGCTTCACTCGTAGAATGCGAGGATGACATCGTTGATCATTATGTTGCCCTCTCATATGTTTGGGGTGACCAGAACAATCGCCGCGCCATCGAGGTAGACAGGAGGACTCTCAACATCACAGCCTCGCTCGATGAAGCACTTCGGCATCTTCGAGATCATCGTAACACTCTGTGAGTATGGGCAGACGGAGTTTGTATCAACAAAAAAGATGTTGAGGAAAGAAATGAGCAAGACAGGCTGATGGGAAGAGTCTACGAGCATGCCGCTCATACGATCGTTTTTCTTAGACTAGCGAGCCAAGAAACAGACCTTCTGTTTAATATTTCCAAATCTTTACGGCCACCAGGACAACTGGGGCACAGCAGGGCTTTCCTGGAACAATTTAGGGGGCTATCGATCCGTGAATACAAAAATATCGTCAAAGATATTTTCACTAGAACATGGTTCAGCCGCGTTTGGGTTCTACAAGAACTTGTCCTCTCCTCAAATCCCTGGGTCCAGTGTGGAATATCTCGGACTAAATGGAAACGCTTATGCGAGCACTTACTAGATCCATTTCCTGCCGGTGTAGCTACTGGCGAACTTGGTAGATTACTTCGTCCTTTGACAGACATGGATGAGGCCCGGAATCGGTTCAATGTCAATCGCGCAACAACTGGTGTACACTCTTATGACCGGTTTTTTGACTTGATAATCTCGAGGAGAGGAATGGGAGCGTCTGATCCAAGAGATATGATTTATGCCCACCTTGGGATGGCAGACGTCCATACCCAGAATACGTTTGGGATTGACTACGAGCAGTCATGCTCCCAAGTGCTCGAGGACGTCGCCACCCAGTTCATACGATCCTCCAAAGACCTGTCCATTCTCAATCACATCGGAAACATTGAACTAGTCAAACGGCAACCTAAGCCTCCGACTTGGGTCCCAGACTAGTCAACACCTCTCATATCCAAAGGTCTCGAAAAAAAGGTCCAGGCTTTCGTGTCGAGGCATCTACAGAGTTTGCTTATGTATCATTCGTCATCCCACATGTCTTAGGCCTCTTCGGAGATAACTACTGAGTTATCGATTAATGACCACTTTCCACAGACTACTCCCGCCTATAGCAATCCTCTATCTCTGCAACTTCTTCGACAGATCCAATGTAGGCAACGCCAAAATCCTAGGTCTCGAGGATGATCTTCACCTCACCAACCACCACTATGCCGTCGCCTTGTCCATCTTCTACGTCTTCTACGTTGTCTCAGACCTCCCGTCAAACCTCTTCCTCAAAACTGCCACCCCTAGGCTCTGGCTCCCCATCCTAGCTATCTTATGGGGGATCGTCGTGATGTGCATCGGCTTCGTCCGGAACTTCGCTGAATTCGTCGTTGTACGCTCGCTGCTCGGCATCTTCGAGGGTGGGTTGTATCCCGGCTCGCTGCTGTATCTTTCAATGATGTACACGAAGGAAGAGTTAGCACTGCGAGTGGGCATATTCTACTCTTCCGCGTCGCTATCGGGGGCCTTCGGTGGTCTACTTGCCTCCGGGCTCTCGCACGTCCCGAAAACGTCAATAGTGGATGGGAAATGGCGATGGGTATGCCCTCTACCCTGAATCCTTCGTGCTACGCTGACATGTAGAAATAGATCATGATCATAGAGTACATCTTAACCATCCTCTGCGGCATCAGCGCAATCTTCCTGATCCCGAACTCCGTGGAAACTGCCAGCTTCCTCACTCCCACCGAGCGCTCGCACGCCAGTGCTCGCCTCCAAGCATCCAATTACATCTTCGGATCCCCTACCGAGCCAGAATAGTTTCAGTGGTCCGAAGTCATTCGCGGTATCCTCTCGCCCCAGCTCTGGCTCAACGCAACCGCATATTTCGCTATATGCTGCGCTCTCTACTCATTCAGTCTCTTCTTACCCTCGATCATCGTATCCCTAGGCCGCTCCGGCAGCAAAGCCCAACTCATGACCGTCCCGCCGTACGCCGTAGCCGCTGTGACAGGCACTTTAGTTGCCTTCTTATCTGACCGACTGCGGTTGCGCGGCGTCCTTGTGCTCTTCACCCTACCTCTAGGTGTGATCGGTTACGCAGTGATTGCGCGAGTGGAGAGCGCCTCCGTCAAGTACGGGATGACCTTCCTAATGGCCGTCGGTATCTACTCATCAGTACCACCAATATTGGTATGGCTGCTAAATAACAGCGCTGGGCACTACAAGCGTGCCACCTCAGGTGCTATGCAGCTGGTGATAGCGAATTGCGGGGGAATCGTGGCCGCGTTTCTCTATCCGAATGATCAGAAGCCGGTGTATTATGAGAGTCATAATGTTGTGATGGGGTGCCTCTGCTATGCTTGGTTGGCGTAAGTCTGATTTCTACGTCCCTTACCCGACATATCTCTCCTCCAATCTACTAACTAGATGGTAGTGTCCTGAACGTTTTGTACTGTCTGAAAGTTAACAAAGATAAGGCCGAAGGAAAATATGACAAGTACATCGGGTACGGAGACGACAGAGATCCATCCTTCAAGATGATTCTCTAAAAGCACAACCTGGAGCCTAAGTCTCCTGCAACCACAAAACTTTGCCCTTCCATAGCATACCTAGATAGAAGCCCCCATCCCAATCCAATCCAACCCACCCTCAACCCCCCTATACCACCGGCAACGCAATCGCCTCCCGCCCACTCCCCAAAACCTCCTCCAACATCTCCAGCCGATCCTGCCCCCAAAGCGGCTCCCCCCTATACACATAGACCGGCGCCCCAAAAAACCGCCCCTCCTCTGCCTCCCGCGTTAGCTTGCTTTCCTGCTCCCTCAACCCCCCCTCCCCCTCCGCCCTCTCCACCAACCGTCCCCCCTCAAGCCCACACTCCCCCGCCACCCGCGCCACCGTCCCCGCATCCGCCACATCCCCCTCCTCCGCCCACACCAGCCTCAACCCCCTCTGCGCAAATGCCCGCACGCGCCCGCTGTCATGCCCTTCCTCCTCAATCGCGGCGAGCAGCACGCGGTGCGCGAGCGAGGGGTCCGCGGGGTAGATGCGCGGGTGCGGTGTGACGGGCACGCCGCGGATACGGCGCCAGCGCTCCATTTCGAGCAGGCGGTAGGCCTGGCGCTGGGGGGAGCGCTGGGCCACGGGGAGCCCGCCGGAGATGGAGAAGATGTGGGGCAGGTTGATGGGTTTGTAGATGAGGCGGGCGTTGTGGCGGGCGGCGAGGGCGTGCAGGTGCGCGCTGCCGATGTGGGACCACAGGGAGATGAAGGAGAAGTAGTAGGTTATTGTTGGGCCGGTGGGCATGGTTAGGGTTGGGGTGGGAGACTACTGTGGGATATTGGGAGGGGGGGCAGCGTGACGTAGGATCTGGATTTTTGGGATGGTTGTGGTGGTTGGAAGGGAGGTTTAGATGTGTAGTTGAAGGTTGATGGGAAGCTGTACATGGCTCGCAGTTCGATTGGCTAAAGATTTAGTCTTTTCAAAGAGGGCAGTGGTGAGCACGTAATGGTGCATCATCCCAGTCGTTCGGTAGACATGATTTGTACCGTATTTTCGTTTTATTTCCGGTTGACATTGGATAGCACAGGAAGACAGACCTCTGATTAAAAATACCGTATTGAAAGCTTTCTAGACATGCTACACATGTTTCCTCTTGAATTCTTCGCCCTTGCTGACCTACGCATTACCTAGAGATTAACCAAACGGTACAGCTCTACTTCCTACACTTCACAATAGCTCGGGCTCTCTCCAGTTCTGCCGGAAGATTTACGTCCCAAATCCAGCCCATGCGGTTTCTTATATTTCTCTCAATAGCCTCCAAATCGTCGCCTTCAAGTTCGAAATCATACAGCATTGAGGCTTCCCGACTTGTCTCTACTAAGTTCTGCGTCCTGGGCCGTCGAACAAGGTCATATGCCTCGAATGCTGTCTCGAGGCCTGCTACTCCAGTGCCTGCTTTCACAGCGTCTCCCACCAAATTGGCCAGGATGTAAGCGTCTTCGATTGCCATACCGGCACCTGCGCCTTGGTGTGGTGTTGACGCATGAGCAGCATCACCGAGAATGCAGATGCGCTTCTTGTGGTAGGTGCTCGCGGGAGGGTGGTTGAAGAGCGCCCATATATCCGGTTTCTGCATCAGGGAGATGATGCTGTGGACAGTGGAGCCCCACTCGGCGAAGTCTTCGAGCATTTCGTCTTTTGTGGTGTGCACGACCCAGTCCTTCGAAGGCCAAGCGGAACGAGAGGCGAATGCGACAACTGCTAGCATCAGTCTATAGCTCTAGTGGAGCCGGAAGTGCGGGATGTATGTTCGAGTTGAGCTCACCATTCATTGTCTTCCCCTTTTCAATTGGAAATGTCAGCACATGACCATGATAGCCGAAATACAGTTGACTGTTCACAGCCTTCTCCTCGCCTAACAGCTCCATCGCCTTCTCCATTGGAACGAGCCCCCGGTACGCATACTTGCCGGAGAACACAGCTCTCGCGGCAGGATCATCCTTCCCGAGCAAGATTTCTCTCGTCCGCGACTTGATTCCATCGCACCCAATTACCGCCGTATGCTGCGCCTTGGTGCCATCCGCGAATTTCAGCACCACATCCCCACTTCCATCCCCCGCCTCCTCTACGTCCACTAGCTTCTTGCCAAACCGCGACAGCTCCTCCGGCACCAGCTTCACCATCTCATCCAGAAAGTGCGCGCGGTGTACCCCACCCCGGCTGTTCGGGTTTGTAAACTCGACATCGCAGACCAAGTCGCCAACCTGACTGCCCTCGGGGAACTTATACCGCGCATCCCCGACTCGGCAGCTGAACCACAGCTTCTCGTGACTGGGCCACTGGTTCGCCGTCTTGCGCCGCAGGAAGCCTTCCTTGATCTCCGGGTCGAGTAAAGTCATCGCACGCACCGAGTTGGGCCCAAAGCCCACCCCGGCGCCGATTTCGCCAAAGCGCGCGGCGGCTTCGTAGAGAGTTATTGGGACGTCGTGCTTGACTTAAGGTGGTAGTACACATGTTAGCGGGGTTTCATGAAGGATGGGGAGTGGATTGGGACAGATACTGAATCCTCTGGTGTTGGTTGTCCTTGAGTGCCACCCAAATCGTGTTTAGGACACGACTACCGAGTTCAAAGCGGCTGAATTGGGTACTCAAACACGACTTGAGTGGGTGTCAAGGGTGTCAAACACGACTTAGTCACGGCTCAACACAGTTCCAGGAACAATGACACCAGAGAATTGGGATATGTGTACTAAGACCTTACGTACGGAGGCCGATGGCAAGGGTTAGGCCGGCGATGCCGCCGCCTACGATGGCGACGTTGGGTTTATGGGCCATTTTTATAGCAATTGGCTGAGGTTTGGTAGGGGGAATTCCTAATGACCTGAGTAGTGTGAAGAGCAATACAAGTAGAACTAGAATATGACGTTTAGACTGATGCTAAAGTGCTTCTCAGTAGGTTAGCCAGCGACGAGTATATATATGGCGGGGTCGTACGAGGAGCCCCTCCACGGCCGATATGCAGGCGACATATCGGCCCCACACGCAATGTCGACGTGTTCGCCCTGCCGTGCCGCCGTGCCTGCCGTTGCCCTGTGCAGGGTGATGCATGTGGTGGTTGCATAGCAATACCTGAAGCATGCAGGATCGACGAGGTTTCGTGCATGGCGGGGATACGTTACCCCGCGCCGATCCGAGGCCCGGCCACTAGCGCCGATCATTCACTACTCCACTCGTTCACCTGCCCGCAATAGGTATTTTCCAGTCACGCTCACTTTCGTCTGAACTCTTGTGCTCAAAAGGTGGGTCGTGTTACTCTAATCCCGTAGTCCTCGATGCAGTGCCGGTGCACCCTTGCCTCTCTAGAGACCTAGTGATACCTACGTCATCATGTCCTTCCTCTTTGAGGCACATTCACTGACTTTCTCCAGCTGCAAAGCATTCCCGTACACTATTCTCACTCGATACTAGCTGATACCACTGCACATCATCTTTTATGTTTGGATACTTTGTTCTTGCATCATGCCTCGAACCTCAGGAGCTGCGGTGCCTCAGCCATCTCAGGAAAAGACTGAGGATCCAGTCACGGTCTTAGTAACGGGCTTTGGAGTATGTACCTCTCATGGACACAATTTCTGAATCTCTCTCCCTTCTCCCCTTTTGGAGACAATTCCATCTTTCCTTTACACCTCTCTTTTCCAATTGCATCTTTGTCCCAATTCTCCTCACAGAGATCAACGACATCATTATGATCAGAACTTTTCAATATTCTTTACCTTCCCAAGACCTCATTATTATCCCTCCTCTCAAGAGAAATACCAACAACGTCAGCCCTTTCTAGAAAAATATCCCGTCAATTCCTCCTGGTCAATAGCGAGCACCCTCCCAGCAATCCTCCCCGCAACGCCACTCCACCCAACGCCAATACGAATTATCGTTCACCACGAACCTATCCGTGTCGCATACCACAGCGTCACCAATATCATTCCCGCCATCATAGACTCTTGCGTCCCAAAACCGGATATCGTCTTCCATATCGGCCTCGCGGCCGGCCGCACCTTCTACACTCTTGAGCGCGGTGCCCACCGCACCGGCTACAATTCCATCCCCGACGTCGATGGTAAGCTCTTCTCCGAAGCTGAAGTGGCCGCGCGCTGGCCGCATCTCCCTCCCATCCTCAAAACCGCCTTCAAAACCGACGACGTGTGGCGGCGGTGGCGAGCGCAGCTGCCAGATTCCAACGTCGATATTAGGCCGAGCGAGGATGCGGGGAACTTCATGTGCGGGTTTATTTATTATAATACCCTGGCGCACTTTTACCAGCAAAAGGATGAGGAGCGCCCGGTTACGTTTCTGCATGTGCCGAATCTGCCGACGAAGAAGGACGTCGACCAGGGGCGGGATGTAGCGTGCGCGCTGATCAGGGCGATGGTAGACAGTAGACGCGAACATGGGGTTACAGATGGGATTGCGGAGAAGTTAGTCAATCGGGCAGCGGAGATTATGGTAGAAAAGGATGAGGGGCCGAAGACTGATGTGAATTTTGTGGCCTGAGCGAGTAGAGGTAGGAAGAGGAAAGAGAAGGAAAATATACGAGGTATCAAAGAGCAGGGTGGAAGGGGCAGATAGTCTTCGTTTCTTTTTTGTACATTTTTATGGTCGGTTGGATACTGGGATACTGGATACGTCATTGACTCATGAGTAAAAGTATTAGTTCGCGACTGGTTCCGTTGCTTCCTCTTGTTTCAACCCATTCTATCGAAGGAAGACTCGAAACGAAGTCTGTACATATCCTATTGCGTCTTACATACGTAGTCTCCATGAACCGAAAGGTTGACGAGTTCTTCTTTTTTTTTTCGGCCTCTCTTACAAGACTTTCTGGCCGATTTCACTTCTCCTTTCATCCATCCTTCAGTCAACACTCAGAACATTCCTAGTCCTCCTTCTATATTATAACCCCAGCGTCTTGAAGCCGAGATCGTTTCTTCCCACCCTCCTGCGATGGAGCATTCGTAAATATTGGGAGGTAGGAAAGCATACATTCTTTTGGGACGGAGGTGTGGGAACCTCTTATTCATATCACATAGTGATTTCCCGCGAACCTAGAATGCCACAACCAGCCTGATAGATGTCGCCGCCATACTATCTCTATACACGATGACAACCTCCCTTGCTGGCAAATGTGCGGATGACACCTACGAGGCGTATGCCCTAGCCTCGGGTTCGGGTTAGCGTCGTTGCGACACAGCACATGATATATCGTAGTAGGTGACGAGTGACGAATGAAATATTCATCACGCTCGAGAAGCGCACGTGCAAGCCACGGGCCGTCTGTCGGACCCTATAGCCCCGCCATCGATTTGACAGCAACCTCCATAAACCCATTGGCGACTGCTAATCCAGCTCCTCGCACAACATACTATCAGCAACCTCCTCCTAGCAGGTCCATATACACTGGACCTGATACCTCCATGGGTGATTCACTGTCTACAGGGCTCACCTTTCCCACGACTATCATCATGACTTCACATCTTCTGTCACTTCTCCTCACGGCTACCAGCCTAGGGATAATCCTTCTACTTTCTCGCCTTCTGTGGAGCTATCTCACCTCTCCAATCAGGGATATCCCTGGCCCTTTCTTGGCCAAGCTCACGGATCTCTGGCGACTATACAGCCACTGGGCTGGTACGCACATCGAGACCCAACGGAAGCTGCATGAGAAATATGGCAGCGCGGTGCGGATTGGACCCAATTGTGTCAGTATAAGTGATCCGAGCTTGATCACGACGATATATGATACCAGAGGTGATTTCGTCAAGGTTGGTAGAAGTCTATTCCTCTAGTGATACTCATCAATGTATTCCATCTACTGACTTGAGGGCGAAGAGCGACCTTTACCGCGTCACGGACGCCGTGCAGGACGGGCAAACGGTTGAGTCTGTCTTCAGCACACGGAGCAATGACTTTCACTCAAAGTACATCAAACCAATCCACAAGTTCTATGTCATGAATAGCATCCTCAAAATAGAGCATTTTGTAGACCGCACGCTCGAGTCACTTTGCGAACACATCGAAGAACGCTTCATTGAACGTCTAAATACTGGGAAATTATTTGATATTGCGGATTGGATACACCTCTGTGAGTAATCAGATCGATTCTCAGCACTTTCAACTAATCAGGTCTATTACAGATACGTGGGACGTTATGAGCGAGCTTACCTTTAGCAAAAAAATGGGATTCCTCGAGACTGGTGGCGACGTTGAAGACGCGATTGCTACCAACAAGTTCTTAATGAGATACTTCGCACTGGTAACCGCCCGCCCTACTCTCTTCGAATCCGCATGCTGAAACTTCTTATTATAGGTCGGCCAAGTACCTACTCTAGACAAATGGCTAGCCAAAAACCCAATCCTCCCCTTCAAGCTCCCCACCTTCTCCGGCGCAGCCAGCCTCTGCGCCCAGCGAATGTTCGAGCGCGTTCAGAATCCCGCCCTGGCAACGCATGACGACTTCCTCAACCGCTTCCTCCAAGCCAAAGTCGACTACCCTGACTTCGTCGGGGACAACGACGTAGTGGCCTATCTAATGCTTCACGTAAACCATCATCACTTCCTCCAACCTCCCTGTTCCCCAATCGCTCACATACCTCCTTCGAATAGCTCCTCGGTGGCGCTGATACAACAGCTATCATCCTAAACGCCCTCATCTACCACCTCCTCCGCAACCCCGCCGCCCACTCCCGCCTCGTCTCAGAACTCACTACCGCGCGCCTCCCCTACCCCGCCCCCTACGCGGCCGCCTCCCGGCTCCCCTACCTCACCGCCGTCATCAGCGAAGCAATCCGCATACATCCATCCATCGGGAACATCCTCGAGCGTGTCGTCCCGCCCGCCGGGCTAGAGCTCCGTGACGGGCGCAAGATCGCGCCGGGTACGCTTGTGGGAGTCAACGCATGGACGGTTGCCAGATCGAAGGAGGTATATGGGAAGGACGTCGATACCTTCCGGCCCGAGCGATGGCTGCAGGCCGAAGAAGAGGGTGTGGAGTCTTATGACTCGAGGGTGAAAGGGATGCGGCAGGCGGAGCTTGCGTTTGGCGCGGGTCGGCGGGCATGCATGGGGAAGCCCTTTGCGATGGTGGAGCTGTATAAGGTTGTGGCCACGCTGTTTGGACGGTTTGAGGTAAGTCTTGGGATGTTGAGTGAGCCTTTGGACGTGGATGAGAAGAGTGCTGACGGCTGTGTAGATTGAGCTTGAGGGCCCCAAGACGGAGTGGAGGGTTTTGAAGCTGTTTTTTGTGTTTCCGAGTGGGATTATGGTGAGGATGCGGAGGGCTGCGAACGGGACGTGATGGTACTATTGCCAACAGGTTTCTGTGCTATTGATTTGTCTGTATTCCGAGTTCTCTTGCCAACGAGCTCTCTTGGAGACCTAGGAGCATAGATGACACCAAAAGTTCCACACGACCCTTTGGTATTCCCCTCAATTTGTCAGAAGCGTAGGGTAGCACACCTCTGCCCCTTTTCTTTCCATTGATGAAATTGCGTCAGCGGGAGCAAAAAGCAGATAAGCCTCTGTGTCCATCCCGATTTTAAGTCCTTGCCTCAGAATTCTCTTTCATAGTCCTGGATGATCCCAATCACTCTTTGCGAGAAACATCCCTCATCAATTACACTCGCGATCTCTTCGTCCCCCATAAGGCCATAGACAAAGCTCTCTCCAACTGCCCGAAAGAGCTTCCGTGTGGCCTGAGGATGACTGGAAAGCTGCAGCCTATCATGATTGCAAGAAAGTCGCCTGGCTTGGTGCATGCAGGCGCTACGCCCAGATACCCATTTTTGGTCATGATGAGTCGTCTGCCAGTTATAGATTCCCCCGCCCGCTCCAATGGGTCAGGGGATTCCTGAGGAGGAGGATGGGACTCGTCTAAACATGGGAAGTAGTCCATAAACGGCCGACCGTGTATGTTGAGATCCTCATGTGCAATCCGCCAGTCCAAGAATTGCCTGATTGAGGGTTCTCGAAACTTATCTGTCCATTGTGATTCATACTCTCTGTCCTCTTGCAGCGGGGTGCGAACCCAAGGTATAAGTAACGCGCTCCCTTTTGGCTCTGTCCTGGCCCGCATGCTTAAAGTGACTCCGAGAACCTTGAAAATTCCGGGATCACCTGCCGCGGCACCGGAGTGTTTCTTCTGTAGTATTCCACTCAGCAGGCTGGGCCTACTAAGCGGATCTACGCTATTGCAGCCTGATACGATGCTTCCTTTTCCATTCACAACATCAATGAAGTATCCGCGACAAAATAGCAGTCGGTCAAACAAGATGCGAGGTGATCTGAAGCCCATTCTTTGGACTTTTATCGGGCGAAGCCACCTATCCCAAAACGTCACCAATACATACCATTAAAACGATCGCAAGGCACGGACCACCGAGGTACCCAGGACGGCCATGCTTCAGGTAGGTCGTTTCCTGTCCAGAGGAAAAGATCGTCCAGTCGCTCTTTTCCTTCTATCAAAGCTCTCGTAAAATTGGTATAGACTTGTTTTTCAGACAAGCAATAATCGGGATAGACGCGGCTCGAGATGGCCTCGTCCAAGAGTCCGAGCAAGCCGTAAACCTTGTCCCTGGGGTCAGACGTTTGTCCGTTACGACACATATTCAGCATCTTATTAGTATTGTCGCCATGCGCCCTTAAGTGGGGGCGGTTCGTCATCAAGTCGAAAAGATGATCTTGCTTGTAGCTAGCCATTGTTTCGAGTGAGAAATTCCATGTACTCGCGTTGGGGCCCTGAATAATCTTGTTGAGAGCTCCGATGTTAAAAAGAGACCTCCTCGCGGAACATCTCTCGAGTGAATGAGATGCCTCCCGCAGAGGAAAAGTGTCGACCTATGATTCGCAGATAGTTCCTGAATGATCCACAATCTTGCCCAATAAGGTCGAGTAATAAGAGCGAAGAAAGCTATCAATTCTTCTTTGCTCAACCGCGATGGATCTAAGTGCGGGCGGAAACTGTGGCTCGCTCGATCTAGGCGTATAGAGGTGGCTTTCATGACGCCCACTGCCATTCCATCTTGGTAAAGGCCAGACGTACCAAGCCAGACTATGACGCAACGGGCACTTCTGTAAATTTCTAACATTCTTTTGACTTGGTGGTTCCTTTCGGTATCGTCGTTTCAAAGAGCGTCGATCCAGTATTTCATTCCCTCTCCTCAAGGGCGCAAAGAGCATGCAAGGCTTCTTCGAGGTTGGCAGGTACTTCAATAATGCTCCCGTTGAGGCAGCATTTTCTCCTAGAGGCTTGAATTCCCCACGTGTATGATAGGGCTTCGAAGTCTCCCCAATCGTAACGGAAGTCCCTGTTTATCGAGCGCTCTAGATGCGGAAACCCTTCAATCAGTGCCTCACGATCATCAACAGCTTTCGCGAAAGGATCCGCCCATGGTGGACTACCCGTCCACCTTGTGAGTGGGCTCTCTTGCCACATCTGGTATTCCTGTGTCTCCGTGTATCTTTGGTAAGCCAAAGATAGAGCGTCGGAGAGAGACATGCTCGATGGCACACTCCACTATATCATCGAGAGATAAGAAGTCAGGATCCTCGCCTCTTGCAGAGCCAATTCCATTCTTCCCGTATTCTTGTCTTTTGTGGCACGCTGAGCTTGGCGGAAAGGTCAGAACCCGAATTTCGTTCGTTGATTCATCCAGAGGTGTGTACATCCTGCACTTGCTATGTTGATTCTTCTGGAGTGTAAAAGCGAAGCCTGTTGATGTTGAGATGGGAATGGGAGAAGGTCCTTCAAGCGTGAAGTATGGTTGCCTTGCAGCCTTGCTTGTCCGCTGTCCGCAGTTCCACGTACAAGTGGCTGTGCAAGCCAAGCCTCCTGCGGCTGATGAGTTTTGCCCAGCGAATGACAGCACAGACTTTCCACCAGTAAGGTACAGGTACTACTTGATGCTTTTTATATAGCCTTGATTGGAACTGATAAAGCTTCAAGCCTTATTTTCCGTTAGCTTGACTTCTACAGAAGTAAAGAACCCCGCCTAATCGATCACATCATCCCTCAACGCCCACACTCCCTTCAACACATCATCCACCTTCGCCCGCACCGCGTTGTGGTACAGCGCATTCGTCACAAAGGTCTCACATCCCTTGATCCTGCTTGCTGTATCAACGCTCAGATCATAATCAACGTACATGTCGTTCAAGTACACCGCCGCGTATACCGGAACCTCGTTCTTCGCGAGCTGGTCCAAGTCGTAGAGTGCAGGCCAGTCCGGATCAGCGGCGAGCTTATGTGCGACGTGAGAGAGTTTGGCCAGCTCAGCGTACGTGTCGAACATGAACGGATAGATCATTTCGCCAGTGAAGTGAATGGGGCCGGGGGTCGTGAGCGCGAATTGAGGGAATGCGGGCAAGAGACGTTCGGCGGACCAGTTGGACGGTTGTCTAGGACTGGTTAGAATCTGACGTATGGAGCAACCGAGGTGCGATGAAAGGAACAAAAATGTTCGAGACGGAAGCAGTAGCGAGAGGTGAGATTGAAACAAGAATGAGGGCCGAGATAAACGTAAATGCGAGAGTAACGATAGAAGCAAAAAGGACCTCATGTTGAGATTGAAGCAATGAACGGAGAAGAGCTATAATGAGTAGTCATAACCTCATGTGCTAGCTTACCCCTGACAGTATACTGGCTCATGTAGCATAGAGTAGATGATGTTGTCGTCGAAGGAATCAGTCTGCTCAATTGCGGAGACGGTCCCACGCGTTAGGTGTCCGACCTGGTCGAGATCGGTGGACGCGCGGAGTACGATTTCTAGGGCTGTTAAATCAGGCTCTTCGGGCCTCAATCAAACGAACATACCATGGACTCCGTCAATTCCACCTAGTATCGTTAGCTCTCGCCCATGTGTTCGATATCACATCGAAGCAAGTCTTACCATGACGTCCAAACAGTAGCCCCATTTTCTGAAACCTCCTCGCGCTCAAGCTTCCACCACTCGGAGTTCTGACCGTACTGTCACCAAACCTTTGCAGCAACTTGACAATCGCCTTCACGCGCTTCACATCCTCCGGATACTTCCGATAATACGCCTCATTCCGCTCCGTGACTCTCTTGTACAGCCTCTTATACACCTCATCTGGCTTATCCACCATAGGCGGCAGTCCACCAAACAGGAACACCTCTCGCAGTCCCTCAGGGAAGAAACTCAAGTACGTGACAGCACAGAACCCGCCAAAGCTCTGGCCCATGACAGTCCACTTCTTCTTCTCTTCACCCCCCTCGAAGTCTTTCGTCAACGCCTTGCGTATGGCTTCGCAATCTTTGACGATACTGTCCGCGCGAAACGACTTCATGTACTTAGCCTGGACGTTCTCATCGCCTCTAAGGCCAAGGGAGGACGCGCAAAGCGGACTGCTTAGGCCTGTCCCACGTTGGTCAAGACATAGGACTTGATAGCCTTTGTCGAGGACAGCATTCGTCCAGGCGCTGTTTTGCGGAGAGCCGCACTCGAAACCGGGACCGCCTTGGAGGTACACTAGCCACGGGAGCTGAGCGCTCTTCTTGTCGGCTTCGGGGTCCGGGCCAGAGGCTGGTTTCTCATGTTTCTGACAGCTGCGAGCGAACAGCTGGAGGGGACCTGATGAGGGATTGCTGTAATCGCGTGGGACTTCAAAGAAGTGCTCGGTGATCTTAAGCTTCCCTGGTGATGATCACGATGAGTCGTGAGCAAACATTCATTCCTGGGAGGTACGAGGGATTCATAGTTTCAGTAAAGGCTTGAGCTGCTTTACCTGGGACTTGATAGGTCTTCTGAGAAAGGATCTTGGCGGCGTTTACCATAGCCATGGTTGATGCAGGTGGTTGTCCTGGGAAGTGGTGAGATGGCATTGGATGGAAGTTGTTGATGGATCGGTGGGGCCCCACTATTCGGTAGTATGCGCTAGACTAATATAGGTAGCGCCCATGATACTTACGTTAAACGGCCCCCCCACACAAATTGTACAGCTCATCCTCAACACCACACGTCGTCCAACCTTGCAAGAGCCTACTAGGTGACTTGAAAAGCTCGAACTGTTAAAAAGCAGTTATATTGCATCACACACTTTAGCTGTAAGACACATTCTGTGAGACATTACGCAGAAATTTTCTCAAGCACGCCACTCATGAAAGCATTGTAACTCAGGTGGTATTCAATTTCAGTCTAGAAGTCGTGTCTCTCCAATATCTACGAAAACTCTTCCACTAGCTCTTCAATCCCTAGTCACAATGGCCAAAGACAAAAAGGCCAAAGCCGCCGAGAAAAAGGTCCGCGTAGCCCAAAAGCAAGAAAAGAAAGCCACCAAAAAGGAGAAGAAAGTGAAGACCAAAGGCAAACCCGATGACAGCGATGCCGAAGACGTAGATCTCGATGCTGTGCTCGCCGAATTTGCCCGCAAGCAAGAACAGTTTCTCAAAGTCACAGAAGTCCCGTGCGAGCCTCCCTCGCCACGAACCTCTTCAACCTTCATCGCCAACCCCGCAAGTGACAATGAGCTCTTCCTCTTCGGCGGCGAGTATTATAACGGTGCCACCGCATCCTTCTACAACGACCTCTTCATCTACAACATTTCTAAAGACTCGTGGCGCCTCGTGACCTCTCCTAACTCGCCGCTCCCACGATCCGGCCACGCCTGGTGCCGCGGCGGCAACACGAAAGACATTTACCTCTTCGGAGGGGAGTTTTCGTCCCCGAAACAAGGGACGTTCTACCATTACAACGACTTCTGGCGTTTCGAGCCCAGTGCCCGCGAATGGACACGTGTAGAGTCAAAAGGCAAAAACGCCGCTCCACCTGCACGTAGCGGCCACCGCATGACCTACTGGAAGAACTACATTCTCCTCTGGGGTGGCTTTCAGGATACCTCTGCAACGACGAAGTACCTTGCTGATCTGTGGGTTTACGACTGCACGAACTTCACCTGGCACAGTCCTGTGCTGCCGCCCGCGAGCGCAAAGCCAGACGCACGGAGCAGTTTCTCTTTTCTCCCGCACGAAAAAGGGGCGGTGTTGTACGGAGGCTACTCTCGCGTGAAGGCGACTGCAGGCGGGAAGCAGTCATCTAAAGGCGGAGGCGGCGGGGGTGGAACCCGCGTGGTGTTGAAACCGGTGGTCCATCAAGATACCTGGTTCCTCCGCATTGTACCGCCCCCTACAGACGCCCCATCAACGACGCTTCCCAAGTTCCACTGGGAGCGTAGGAAGAAACCCGCGAATCTGCCAAACCCGGCACGGGCGGGTGCTACGATGGCGTTCCATAAAGGGCGTGGAATCTTGTTTGGGGGCGTACATGATGTAGAGGAGAGCGAGGAGGGGATTGAGTCCGAGTTTTTTAACAACCTGTTCGCGTGGAACGTGGAGCGAAATCGCTTTTTCCCGCTGACGTTGAGGCGGCCGAGGGTTTCGAAGAAGGTAGCTGTAAATGAGCGGGGGGGGAGGAGGGGCCGGGGTAAAGCAGACGAAGAAGAACTGCTACGAAACCTAGCGGCGCTAGAGGCAACGGGAAAGCTTGATGGGGGTGAGGGTGTTGTAGAGGTAGCGAAGCTTGAGGAAGATGAGGAAGAGAAAAGGGAAGAAAAGCCAAAGATATTCGAGATGCCGCATCCGAGGTTTAATGCGCAGCTTACAGTGCAAGATGATGTACTGTATATCTTTGGTGGAACGTTTGACAAGGGAGATCGCGAGTACACGTTTGATGAGGTGTGGGCAATTGATCTGGGCAAGTTGGATGGTGTCAAGGAGATCTACAAGCGTGAGATTGAGGATTGGCAGGGTAGTGAAGATGAGGATAGTGAGGACGACGAAGACGATGAGAGTTCCGATGAGGAGGATGACCATTCAGAGACAGCAAGTACTGCAGCTACATCTGTGTCACAGGGGCCTTCTGCAGCAGAGAAAGACGTTCTGGAGCCGGAAGAAGAAGCTGGGTCGGCAGAAGAGACGTCTGCTCTCACAGATACGCTACCGCATCCGCGACCCTTCGAGTCTCTCCGTGATTTCTACGCTCGAACATCCAATCAATGGCAAGATATCGTCATTGACGAACTCAGCAGGATTACTGGAGGCCAAGGCAGATCGGTCAAAGAGCTTAAGACAACAGCGTTCGTTCATGCAGAAGAGAAATGGTGGGACTGCCGCGAAGAGATCCGCGCGCTTGAAGACGAGCAAGAGCAAGCGGGTATCGGAGAGGTCGTTAGCATTGCGGATAAGGCTGCTAATGGAGGCGGCCCTGGGGCTGTAGGACGGAGGAGATGATAGCATTAGAATATGCGTTGGAGGGCGCAAAAGCAATTTTTTTTTTTATTAATGACATATCATCAGCCTTTACTACATTCAGACAAGTCCCTCATAGGCTTGCTATAACGTCGCTCACCCAATCCAGCTGTACTGCACTAACCCCACGCGCAAAGCTTTTAGTAGTGAACACGAAGTCGCTGAATACAATCGCTTCCACTTTCTTCCCAAACAGCACACTACTGGGGTGGATCGCGACGGTCTGATTCCCAATCATGGTCCTGTAACTGCCATCTGGCATTAGTCGAGCAGTATTTGAAGCAAAGCCTCGGAGGAGAGAATGCAGAATCGCATTTGTGCGTGCCTCGGATGGTGCCGGAGGAGCATCGAGGTCGGTGGATGCGGAAAGAAGCTTCATTTGGAGACATTGCTGACGGAGCTGTTTACGAATGTCCTAGAACTCATTAGTATAGCTACGCCAACAACTGAATTGACTGCAACATACCATAACGTTCTGCATAGTCCGGTGAGACACGAAATGCTTTTGCGACCATGCCTTCCTGTCAGCATGCTCGGCTGCAAACGCCTGGACTGTTGCCAGGTATGTCATGTGGTCACCTTCTCGGCGACGTAGGTAATGTCGAGCGCTCTCTGCCTCCTCTCGTTTTTCCTCGGTAAGGAAGTTAAGGTCGATGAAGATATTCTCCACACTTAAGCAAGCGATGATATCAATGACATCCAGTAAGCAATCTCTTTCCGGTGCAGCTGCTTCTAGCACAGCGCGTCCAAGGACCGGCGTAAGGGGAAGTCTCGCTATTTTCAATCCGAGCTCGCTAATTTGGCCGGTCTCAGTCAGAGCTCCAAGATGAAGGAGTTGAAGTAGTGCTTTTTCAAGAGATTCCCTAGGAGGAGGATCCAAGAAGGGAAACCCAAGTACATCGTCAACGCCTCTAGCTTTCATGGTCAAAAGAGAATGGCTCAGATCGCTTCGCAGTATTTCCGGTAGCGTCCGGGGCTCTAGGCTTAGGTAGTCTTTCTCCGTGTATAACCTATAGCAATGGCCGGCAGCTTCACGTCCGGCACGACCTTTCCGCTGAATGGCAGCTGACTGTGAAATGGGCTTCACTAGAAGCGATTCTAGCCCTAGTCGATGCCGGAACTGCTTGATCTTAACCTTGCCACCATCAACAACATAGCGGACACCAGGTACGGTAACAGAGGTCTCGGCGATATTAGTGGCAATTATAACTTTGCGGGTCCTGTCAGGAGTACGCTCAAAGATACGTTGCTGAGCAGCCTGCGGCAACGCAGCGAAAAGTGGAAGCACTAAGATCTTGGTGCGGTCAGCTTGTGTAGATTTCGAGTGTCAAGTTCAAGTAATGAATACCAGTTACTAGGCATAGAACGACACCGGAGGCATCACGGACTAAAGACTCGACTTGAAAAAAAGAAAAGTCTCCTGAAACTTGAATTCTGGAATATAACCACTCACTTTCGGAACATTTTCGTCCATTCCCGGTGCGAAGTCATTTACTAACTTCTCCAAGCTCTCAACGGCCTCTTGCCCCGTAAGAAAAACGAGAATATCTCCCGGTAGAGGTTCTTTTGTATGGATTTGAAAAATGGCTTTTAGAGCAGCTTCTACAAAGTCTTGCGTTGGCTCCGGTAGATAAGATATCTTTACAGGATATTGCCTTCCTTTGACGTAGCATATAGACATATTATCAGAAAATACTTCGATTGGCTCTGGAGTTGATTCCTTCTTCGTAACGCCATTGGTGTGAGGTTTACTGTTCGTCTTCAGGACGCCATTCGGCTTTCCTGGGTTTCGCTTTGCAACTGACTTTTCATCTCCAGATGAGGAGATGCCCGACCAAGAGGAGTCCAAATCTTCATGTTTCTTTGATTTGCCATTCATTTCCTTGGACAATTCTCCGTTCTGTGTGCCTTTCTTCGTAAAACCGGCGTCAAAGAACCTCCATAAAGCTTCTGTGTCCTGCGTCGCGCTCATAACCACTACCTTCAGCGGTCTGCCACCCCTGCCCTTCTTGTCTCCAACCACTAAATTCCTCAGAAAGCCCAGCAGCAGATCCACGTTCACACTCCGCTCGTGTACCTCATCCACTATAACAGCGCTATATTTCTTCAGCGACGGATCACTTAGCATCTCTTGCAACAGCATTCCCTCAGTCAAAAACTTTATCCTCATGCCCGGTGACGAAGACGTATCGAATCTCACGGAGTATCCGACCTTGCTCGTCGGCGACCTGGAGCCGAGCGGAGAGCCCATTTCCTCCGCAACACGACGCGCCAAGGATATGGCTGCCATACGACGCGGTTGTGTTATGGCGATACAGCCAGTGCACCAAGACTCGTCTATGAGGAATTGTGGGACCTGTGTGCTCTTTCCGCTACCAGTCTCACCCGTCAGAAGCAAGACATCATTTGAGTCGCGAAGGCTCTGGCGGATCTCGTCGGCGTGGGACCATATCGGGAGGGATTTGCGGGAGGCAAGGAGTGTTTCGCGGGTCTTTCTGAGGTTTCCATGCTGCGAGACCCCATTCTGGACGTTTCCTCGGTCGCGGTTGTCTGAGTTCCATGCCTTCTTAGGACCATGAGGGATGAGGTCGTTCGCCGGCCTTTGGATGCCATTGGCATATCCATTCACCTTGGGCAGCTTTGGCTTTGAAACTGTCTCAGACTGCGCCTTCGGGATAGTAGCCATTGTCTTGGAAGGTATTGTTCGATCTGTGGAGGGCTTCTGTTGACTTTCGTCGCGTTTTCGTTTTTTGCCTCGTGCGATGGAGTCAGGGGGTTCGGTGGGTCCTGGTGGCCTTGTGGATCCCTTCGCGTGCCCTTTGATATCTCCATACCGTAAGGGGGCCCTCTCCGGCATGCTGGCGGTTTTGGATGGAAGAGATGGACTTTTGCAGCTGGTGGAAATATTCTGCAGCGCTCAGATTAGATTAGATTGCCAAGCATTTTATCTCCGATTAGCCCCGGCCGAACTTGTCCATCTCGTGCTCCAACCTTTCTTCCACGACATGTGTCATTTGAAACATTGTTTCCTGCTAGCCTGTGTTGGTAGACATCCGGTGGTATAGGGGTGGATCTGAAATGCCCAATCATCACGTGTTCTTCCTATCCTCGACGTTATGGGTCATTCGCAAGACTGCCAAGGTTGTAGTCCTTAGCACATCCTATTCTTTTCTCAACCCTATGTCAACTGCGGCACTCGACACATTTCTCACTTGCTCGATGTTTTAGTAGCATTGTCTATTCATACGAATGCGTGCTCGCTAGTAAGATTGTGGTCCCCAGCGCGATAATAATGGGACAGGGAGGAGGTAGTACGGAAGAGGAGAGAGGGGTTTCGGAACGTCACGACAGGAGCGGAAGGTGATGGGGCCCTTGACTTGCATTGACAGGTGAATGAACCATGGTTGTGAGGCTCCGCGACGGAGAATCTGGGACAATACAACGTCTGTCTAGCTACAGGCAAGACACAATGCCGCTCTCCTTTTGCCTACATCTTCAGATCCCCTTTCTCATTGTCAACTGCAACATCATTCGTCAGAATCTTTGGACTCCAAGGGTACTGCCAAGGCGTTCGTCTACGATATCCTAGAGTTCCTAGGTACCGACATCTATCTCTAGCGCCGACACCTGCCTAGTAAGTCCAAGCGTACGGCGACAGGGCTTCCTATTGGTTCGCCCCAATCACGGGTTATTAAACAATATACCTTCTGTTCCTAGTAATTGTGATGATCTTACGGCTAATCAAGTTCCCTTAAAGTCATACATTTCCACTCGTTGGTTTGTTGCCCCTAGTCCCTCTCATTCATTCAATTCAGTACCGGTATCCTGCTCCGAGGAATCATGGTCGTCTTCCGTTCACGAGTCGCGAGCACCCTCCTGCTCTTGGCTTCATGTCTAGTCAATGTCCCATCCGCAATAGCATACTCGTCGCGCGACCGCCCAAATCACCGGAATCATTGGCTCCACCCTCCCAATCCACCAACTGTTGGCCGGACTTCGCTTGCGAACGCGACATTCACCCAATATATTGACCATGACAAGCCAGAGCTTGGAACCTTCGAACAGTTCTACTACTATTCCAACGAGCACTGGAAAGGCCCAGGGTCGCCCGTTGTGCTTATGACACCAGGAGAGGTCAACGTCACGGGCTACAACTCTTACCTTACCACAAACCGGACCACTGGAGTAATTGCGGAAGCAATTGACGCCGCCGTTGTGATCATCGAGCACCGCTACTGGGGTGTTTCTTCTCCTTATGCCGATCTGTCTACGGAGAATCTGCAGTATCTGACGCTGAAGAACTCAATTGCGGATTTAGTGCACTTTGCGAAAACTGTCAAGCTTCCGTTCGACCCGCATGGTACCAGCCAGGCTCATCGGGCACCTTGGGTTCTTGTCGGAGGTTCTTACAGTGGTGCATTGACTGCATGGGTGGCATCCACTTCTCCGGGAACATTCTGGTCTTACCTAGCCTCAAGCGCTGTGGTCGAGATTACCGGCAACTTCTGGCAGTATTTCCTTCCGGTCCAAGAAGGGATGCCGAAGAATTGCAGCAAAGACATGTCACTCATTGTGGATCACGTTGACAAGATCGGTACAGATGGCTCGGATGACGAGAAATTTGCTCTCAAGGATATGTTTGGTCTTGGTGAAGTCGAGCACTTCGAAGATTTCGCTTCGTAAGTGGAACACTATTCAGAATTAGGAGCCGCTATTGAATAAAATCCATTACTAACATTTTTTTCTTTAGGGCTTTGCAAAACGGTCCTTGGCTTTGGCAAGTAAGTATCAGCTATCATCTATCCTCGCTTCTTGAATCTTCTACTTACATATCTGATAGGGAAACCAATTCTACAAGAACACGGGCTTCTTTGACTACTGCGATGCAGTCGAGAACGTGGGAAGTGGAACTGTTCCTGGTGCCGAGGGAGTGGGTCTCGAAAAGGCCCTCGCAGGCTATGCAAGCTTCTTCAACGACACCATCTTGCCCGGTTTCTGTGAAGGATACGGCTACTTCGAGGGCGGCTACAATGTGGAATGTTTTGACACTTTCAACGGATCCAACCCCATGTTTACTGACCATACGCTGAGCAACGTCGTCGATAGGCAGTGGGTGTGGTTGACTTGCAACGAGCCGTTCGGGTACTGGCAAACGGGTGCACCTAAAGATCGTCCGTCAATTGTGTCACGTCTCGTCGACGAGGAGTACTGGGTCCGTCAATGTGGCCTTTTCTTCCCAGAAGAGAATGGTTTTACCTACGGTTTGAGTGGAGGACGGACCTATGAAGCAGTGAATGATTTCACCGGTGGCTGGTACGTTAGCTGCCTCTGCTCCCCTCCAATCAGTAGGCTAACCCAGTGATCATTTAGGGATGCAACCAAGATTCCTCGTCTGGTATACGGAAACGGGGGCAACGATCCTTGGCGCGAGGCGACCGTTTCCGCGGAACTGCGTCCCGGAGGACCTTTCAAAGGCACCAAGGAGACTCCGGTCAAGGTCGTACCTGGCGGGTATCACACGTCGGACCTTGTGACTGCAAACGGCGTAGCCAACGCGGGCGCGCAAGCAGTCATTGATTTCGAGGTCCAGCAGATCAAAGAATGGGTGAAGCAATGGCCTGGCCACTATTGAGCGCAACAAGCGGATAATTCTCCTTCCAAAATAACCGCCATCAGGCATTGCCGAGCCTATCCAGACTAAATCAATCTTTCAATCTGAAATGCCTCATGCTAGCATAACTGTAGGCCCAAAAACTCAGCAGTCGTAGAATTAAAGTTGGTGAAAAAGCAATTCCCTGGTCCCAGTGGGATAAGCCTAAGGGCACGGGCCACTTCAAGATCCTCAGCCCTCTGACTTCCCATCCCCCTCGTCAACCACCAATCTTCACTTTGGCCACCCGGGAGCAAGCAATCGCATATGTTGCTCGCTAAGATGTTCTGTTCGACATGTGACAGCTTGCCATTCTCGCGTGGCAATGACGTCAAATGGTCCAAGCTCCCACCTCATGTCTCTTAAATATAGCTCCTCACTTGCAAACCTACAAACTACACTCTTTCTCTCGTCGTCCCCAGTCTTTTCTTCTGGTGGACCACACTCTTTTGTCTCAGTCAAGTCAATCCTCCCCATCATCGACAATGCCTCCCACGAAGAGGCAGCTATTCGAGACGTACGCCAACGCGTCCAGTGCGTCTCCTCCTAGGAGTGTCTCGAAGCGTGTGAAGACTACTGAGAAGGAAAACGACGATGAGAGTGACGGTGCCCAGCCAGCTGGTGCTACTCGAACTCGACCTCAAAAGAAGACTGCGGAGTTGTCGGAGGCAGCGGAGAACGAAAATGATGATGCGGGTGCTGCTCAAGCTCCTGAGAAGATCTCAGAGCAGTCGGAGGTCACCGTACAAGAGGATGAAGCGGATGCTGACGCTGATACTTCTGTGTCTGCGACCACGGACGATGAATTGACTGCGAGAGAGCAGCACGAGGCAGAGAACGCTGCTGTATGTTTCTATCGCTCTATCATCATTGATCACAGCCTCTTTCATCCTTGCATCTTCGGACCTTTCGATGCTGCGCAATCAGCTAGCGGACTTCAATGCTAAAGAGACATGTACAGCAAGCCAAGATCGTCAATGATAAAATGGCATCCCCCGAGGGACTCGAGTACCGCTGCATGCCCCGCCCTTGGCAGGATCTACGTCGCGAGTGGCGTGACGCTGCTTACAACAATGCAACTAGCGAATCCTTCGACGGAGAATCAGTTGAGGTTGGAGGAGCCAAGGAGATGGAGCGTGCCCAGGAAGAGAGCAAGAGATTCTTGGAGAAGACTCCCGCTGAAGCACCCTCATGGCGCTGGACTGTGACCAACATGGCCAACTATCTGGTCAACACTTACAAAGACGATGCAGAATGTAGGAATCCTGACAACTTCGGCATGTACATCTACAACGACTTTGCTGGGTATGGATTGCAAGAAGTCATTGAGAATCAGGTAAGTAGTTCCCACAGTTGATCTATATGTGTAGCGAGAACGAAAGGCTGACAGTTGGTAGCTGGTTATGTTCCACGAGGAGTTCAACAAGGAGGACTGCGATCCTCACCGACTGTTCGTGTACATGGAGGCTATGGCGATCTGGCTGTTCACGAGTGATATGTCTCACTGGACTGGTAGGCCACGAGAAAGCTATGACGCATAGAAACGGCAATAACTGATTGATGTATTCTAGGTCTCAACGATGGCGCGCGTGTGTCTGCGACTATGGATATCATCGGACGATGCCTTCTTACTAGCTTGAACGCACTTGAGCGTGCCGACCTTTTGGAGCCGGGCTCAAAAGTCAAGAACATCCCTATGGTTCTTTCCATGTTCTTGGACTTCGCAGATGACGGAGAAGGCACTACAGCTATGCACTTCGACATGGATGGCAACGAAAACCCTCAGACATGGCCCTACTTCGTGGTGGCCTACGTGAACGCACATGGCATCGATATCGAAGGCAAGGGCTTGTACGGAATTGACAGCATCGCCGACGGATACGATGATGAAGAAATGGCAATCTTCGAGGAGCATGAGCCCGGACCGGATAGATGGGGCTTCAGCGCCGCGGTATGCCTAGCTGCGTCAATTCTTCACCATTTAGCTGACTTTCACTTAGTTTGAGGCCTTTGCAACTCATTGGGAGGTACACGCGGGCCAGAGCAACAAATACGACATCATCGCTATGGAGCCTGAGGAGCGGATGGAATATGCTTTCGACCACCAAGACCCTCTTGATACCATGGACCCCGACTACCTCATCCATTAAGCCAACCGGCTGGGATATCTCGCACCGTCAGCTTCACACTGATCCTAATAGCCAGGTAAGCTTATAGTTTCATTTTGGAGCGAGCTGGAGCGGCGATGGTTGGTTTAGGCGTGGGCGAGTTCTACATGCCACCAATTCCGATAGACCCTGGACACTGTACAGCCTACCAAGGCTTGGATGGTAAGCTGGCCGTGTGCTAAGCTTGGTTGATGGATTTCCAATAGTTGTCACGGATAGTATACTTAATTGAGATGTGACAATCCCATGATCTTTTCTGAAGAATGTGTACCACGATCCAGATGCGGTAGTGCGACTAGGGTCCTTTGTTGGATGATGACGGACCACCTGCCACCGGCAACCATCGGCATCCTTGCTGACATCGAACATCAATATCAACATCGACACAGTATCCTCTTGCATTGCCAAAACACAAGTTCGTAGTACAAGGCATCAAGGTCGTACAAACGAGCTGTTTAGCTTGCCTTGATTCCTCCAGATCGCAACCATGCCTCTCACCGAGATCGACAGCCTCTCCATCGTAGCTATAATCGACAACGAGCTCGACCCCATTTCACCCTGCCAAAACTCTCTCGTCACGCAAACGGGTGGAATCAGAGAGCTCGGCGTCTTCTCTCCTCACGATGCACCAGATCGAGGAGAAGGAGCCAAGGAATTCCGCATGAGTTCGATCTGCTGTGGCGCGCACGGGCTGTCTCTCATGATTGTAAGACGCCAGTCCTCAGCAGTCGAGCTAAGATCTAATGATGTTGTAGACCGCAACTAAAGGCGACAAATCCCACACGCTCCTCTTCGACACCGGTCCTGAGGAATCGGCCTGGGAACGCAATGCGAAGCGTCTCCGATGCGATCTTTCCACTATCGAGCTAGTCCATCTCTCTCATTGGCATCGCGATCACTCCGGCGGCATGCTTCGCGCCATCCAGATGATCAATGAAGCGAAGACCGCATCCAAAGCTGCCCCCTCTCCTTCATCCGCGTCTCCTTTGGTCGTAGACCTCCACCCAGCACGCCCGGACTACCGCGGCTTCATGGGCCCCGAAGCCGCCGTGTCCTTCGAAGCAGACCCCACGTTCACCGAGATTGAAGATATCGGCGCAAAGGTTAGCAAGAGCGACCAAGCGCACACCGTTCTTGATGACTTCTTCCAGATCTCGGGCGAGATACCCCGCGTCACGCCGTACGAGCTAGGCCTGCGACGAGGGATCCGGTTTGTGTCTGAGAAGAAGGCGTGGGAGAGCGATGAGTTGATTGCGGATGAGAGGCTTGTTATGGTGAATTTGAAAGGTACCGCCCACTTCAACCTATCTCATCTCTTTTGATACTCCCGATCGCATCTCTGAAGTGTTCTTGCTGACTTGACATAGGCAAAGGCATCGTCGTTTTCACAGGCTGTAGCCACGCTGGTGCCATAAACGCCTCCAAGCACGCCGTCGCGCTCGGTAATGGTGCACCGCTCTATGCTGTCGTAGGCGGGTATCACCTCGCAGACGCAGAGCCAGCCCAGATTCAGGCAACGGTGGATGCTTTCGCCGCACTGGATGCGAAGATTCTCATCCCGGGACATTGCTCTGGATGGCGTGTGAAGCAAGAGATCGAGCGGAAGATGCCCGGCGTGCTCGTCCCTGGGTTTGTGGGCTGCAAGTATGTGCTTTGAAAGAAGGGATACCAAAATTAGGTGTATACGGCGTTAGTGAGGTACTTTCTCAGTGTCTGGGTTCGGCTCATCCTTCTGAAGTCTACTTCAGCCGGTCTTGTGCCCATTCGTTTACGTGTAGTATAGAGACCCACCTCTATTCCGATGAGGTGGCGAAATCTCCTCTCAAAGATTCCACGGACTGTTTTCCTTGACTAGACACATCTTTTTAATAGTTTCTGATCGTCGATACGACGTGTAGATGCTGAGACATCTGCGAGAAAGAGATTATGGTCTTGAAAATCCTCACCCTATCCGACCCCATGAGCGAGGCAATGACTTTGATTTCTGCGACCAACACGCCACTGTATTCGATACAACTTTCTTTACTCCTTATTGCGCCCTAGGCCCTGTCGCCCAATACGACGCCCTGTCTTCTCTGACGTCCCGATAGTTCCCCCTCTCCAGCCCGTACGCCCTCGGCTTCTCCCCGAGAGTCTTCTCTTCCTTTGCATGGCACTGAAGGCGGTGCGAGCAGCCTGAGCCCAAGTGGTAATCACTTCCCTTCTGAGTGCCGGCCGTTGCGAATATAATTAGACTAGGGCACAGGTGATGATACGTCTCTTTTTTTGAACGGTGCGGGCCTTTGTCCCTAGAGGTGACTATGAGAATGGCGTTGCGCAGAGCTACAGCGCGAAAGATGTAGGTCTATAGAGGGTAAGCTCGGAGACACCCAGACTAGAGAGCGTAAGGGAGTAGCTCCACGGTACTGAGGTCAGTACACGCATTGTGGAATCGGTGGATGCTGCTGACACGATGGCTGGATTCTCTTCATATCGAGAGAGAATGAAGTCTCTCAAACGGGTCGAAAAGTCATGAACTAGATGCTCGTTCTTTCGTTTTGCGATTTGTAGTTCAAGAAACACTTTAGGTGACAGAGATTGATGTAGACGTGTAGAGTACAGTACGAAATCGTAAGTTTGAACAGTGGATATACCACTGCACGGGCTCTACTCTTGCTCGCCCGACATCACTGTGAGGGGCAGCTCAGCCAGCAGGCATTCAGCCGGTCAAAAGGTAGCCTATTTTCCACTGCGTCGGCCTTTACGACTGCTTTTGGAGTTTTGAAAAGCCCACAGGCGTACCCTAGACAGTGTCCAAACAGCATAGCCAAACTGATGTCCTATGAATGTATATTGAAACCTTATAGGTTGCCAACCCTCGAGTCATCCTACACCCTATCTCACGTCACACATGTAGCCCGCAGGCAATTTCAAGTATACCAAAAGAGGGTTGTAGATTTCATGTGGTCCAAGACCATGTTTCGGTAAGCCAGAAGGGTGGTGGAGGATCTCGCGGATGTGAGGAGATGCTGTACATGCTCTAGGTCGCTCACGACGATTCGATAAAGTCTGGAATTATCAACGAAGTTCTCTTGTTACTGAAATAGCCTGATACAAGAAAAGCTAATATGAAGACGGTAGCAACCTTAGGAATGCTATTGAATCTTGGAATCAGAGAATAGCCACCCCAAGCACGGAAGACGGACAATGCTCACATGTTGATAGACATTGACATGCTCCCCCTCTCAAGCAGTCACATAGCTAGAATGCTACATACATATAAGCAGAAACTTGCTTAGAATCGCCCTAGATTTTGAAGGGGCGTCTCAGGAAATTATGAAAATACCGACGGAGAGCATGGAACGTGTGTTTGAGTTGAAGATGAACTGTATATCGGTATGCATGGCAGCGAGCACCCGATAACAACAACGCTATGAGCAGAAGAGGTTGAAATGTTGGGATAACCTACCTCAACGCTCACAAGCCAGCTTACCTCCCCAGCAGGCCAGTCTCCCACCATCTCGCCCACAGACCTCGCGTCTGCCCTTCCCTTCCTACCTCGTCTCCTCATCCCTATCTTCCCTATCAAAACCCATACGCCCATCCAGCCCTTCAGCTCACCAGCCCAGAAAGCACCCAAAGCTTATCATCGGCCCAAAACGCGTCCCAACGCCACACCGCTGCCATCTGGCACGCCGGATCACCACATCCAGCAACCGCGCGCCACACAGAAAACCGACCCCGGGAAGCGAAAAAGAAGAAACCAACGCAAACAAACGCCGCAACAGCGCCTCAACAAAACGCCGCAATTAAACGCCAATTGCTTCGCCAAATGCTTGACTGGGAGCTGAGCCTTGGGAACGAAGGTCGGCGGAGGCGAGGTGGCCGGGCGACGGCGCGGCGGCGCACGAGGGCAACGGGGGGCTTTTACTTGGTTCTAATTTCCACTGTTGGGCTGGGCGAAGGGGATTTCTCCGGGAGGGCTGAGAGTGCTGAATAGCCTGAATGGACTGGACTTCGGGCGCAGGAGTCGGGCGAAGACTGTTGTTTCTTGCGTTCTCGTCAGGGGAGGTGAGAGACACAGAAAATGATGAATGAACCACGGGACGGGGCAGCTCGAGCTCGGTACGACCTGCCAGCTTGCCTCCCGGTGTCGTGCCCACCCCGTCTCCAGACAGCCGCACTCTATTCGCGTGCTGTGCCACACCACGTTTTCGGGGGAAGTTTGTCTGAACTTCATGACCGACAGGCCCCCAAGACCGGCGGCGCATTTCCGTTTCATAAGAAACCTGTTCGCAGCCCGGCGGCCAGCATCTAGAGCCTCCTCCAACCCGTCCCCTCGGGGAATCCATCGCCTCCGGCAACGGCAGCTTTGGAACAGCCAACTCACCCTTTTCCCGCGGACGCCGCAATCGTCAAAACGCACCGAGGCGCCTGCATCCCCCGCGCCCTGCCGTTCACGGAAAACCAAGATAGGCAACCAACCAATTTTCGGTTCCCCGGTTTCTGGGTAAAAAACGGAACCAACGCCGTCCAACAAGGTCCCCAAAACAAAATCCAGGAATTCAAAACCTTGCAGCCGCGGGCATAACATAATGTGACAAAGACCAGGATTTCGCCGTGATATTGGAACATGCCAGTCTGTGCAATTACAGTATCCCTCCTCCTCCCTTCCCCCCTCCCCCCCCTGCCCCCCTAACCCTTGCAATAACTACAAATTATGCATCAACCTCCATACTTTCCACCCGTGCATTAGTCTTAGCCCCCCCTGCCCCACCCCTGCAAAAGTGCGCCGCTGCGTCCCTTAGTTACTTCCCGATCAGGAACGGGGAATTTAATCAAACCTACATTTAACTTTTTCTCATTTTTCTCTCGTGCAATGCAACTAGTTCTAACGGCGCGACGCACGGTATAGTGAGTCGTCCCATACCACTCCACTCCTTGCGCGCGCAATATGCGCCGTGGCGAGTAGATAGAGTGGAGTGGAGGCGGTGCTGCCCGCGGGCGAGTCTAGAAGCGTCGTGTTCGGTTCGCACGGTGCGGGTGGAGCTGTGGTATGGTATGGAGGTTGCTTGTTTAGCCCGTTGGGGGGGGGGCGAGGGTGCGTGATGGGGGGTTTTCGAGCGCGGCCGTTGCTACGAGTGAGAACAGGGCAGATAAGGGCACGTGTTGCACTGCCTCGAGAAAACATTTGCGCGGTGGACAATGCGCGGGTTGGGCTCGTGGAGTGTGAGCGGCGCGCGCACCCCGCTGGATCCCTGGCGGGGGGCATCAAGCACGTGCGGTATCAGAGGGAGGGGAGGGTTTACGAGGTAATCACTTCGAAGGTCGTTTGTGTGTGTAAAGAGCAGGGCAGGCATGAAGAAGCATATCGTGATTTGTAGGTACATACGTCCTATAACAGCGATATGTGTCTCCTCAACACCCCTCTCCTTTCCCCATTCCCTTTTCCCGCAAAGCCATGGGCCAAGGTGTCCAGTTGAACCTGCTCCTCCACTCTCTCTCTCTCTCTCCTCTTCCACCGATGCAATAGTCTCTTAATGAAAAGCTTTTGCGTAATAGGCATGCGAAATGCGCCGGTGGTATCAAGTTAAAATGGCAATCAAAAAAGAAAAGTCGCCCTAAAATGGTGGTTGTGGAGAGCCAAAGGACCTCAGTTTCGAAACAAAGCACGTGAGAATTAGATAGAATTAGAGATTATGCTCCACCTTCCGTCCGAAACCGCTTATGCCTAGGAATAATACGCAGAAAGAGCTGGAAATATTTACACGCCCGGCAGGGTAAAGTCAGGGTAGTTGGGCCAGTTGCCCAAGCTCGCGAGATCTTGGCCAATGCGAACCCACACGGCCACGCTGGGCACACCGGCCGAGTTGAGGGCGAAGACCTGGAACCAACCGGGCGGGCAGATCTTTGAGTCCGGCGGCGTGCTGATGGTGCAGGTGCCGCCTCCGCAGGTGAAGGCTGGGAAGAAGGTGCGCATGCCCATGCTGTTGCCGTGCGTGCTCGATGTGGCGCCCATGAGAGAGATCTTGCTGATAGGTGAGTCTGTGGTGATTTGGAAGGTTGAGGCCCAGTCTGCGTGCTTGTTGGCGTCAGTGATGGAGATGACCGGTTGCGTTGGGGAGCCCATCAGATACGGCGGGATGAAGACCTCGTTTCTGTATTCCTGGACGAAACGCACGTCTTCGGGATCAGATCCAGAGACCAGAACGCGTCCGTCATCGAGGAGAACAGCTTCGGAGTGGTAGAGACGATCGACAGTCGTGTTGGCGGCTACAGTCATGCGATGGTTGACCTGGGCAGTTGGATCGTAGATGACAGCGTTGTGGTTGGGCTCCGTGCAGAGACCGAAACCAGCACGGCCCTGCTGGCCACCGTTCAAGATGACGAAAGTGCCATCGGGGAGGGCAGTCATGCAAGAGATGACACGCTTGGACGGCATACGTTCAATGACCCACTCGGCATCTGCGACGTCGGGAGTAATTGATACGCAGTTATCCAGAGCAAATTCAGGGCCAGGGATAGAGCCACCACACATCATGACAGTCAAGGGGTCAGAGTACGGCCAGTGCTGGGGCATGATGACTGCAGTTCCTTCAAAGGGATAGGTGCGGCCACCGAGGAAGTCGTTGACAGCGCCTGGAATGTTGGGAAGGGTTCGCTTGGTTTGAAGAGTGTCCACGTCCAGGATACGTGCTTCGTTGTAGTACGCGACAAAGATGTCTCCGCTGGGAAGGACTGCAAGGAACGGATACAGATTGTAGGGGTCCGTGCGCTCAAGCCAGTCGCAGTAGAGGTAGGGTCCGACGGTGGGAAGAACCTCGAGGGATGGCACTGGCGCACCGTTCGAGCCTTGTTCACCTCCAACAACCAGGATAGATCCGTTGGACATGATCATGGCAGTAGGATACCAACGGCCTTTCTGGAGCTTGACTTCCTGGACATTCTCTTGCCAATCATTGACTCCATCCACTCCGGGAGAACCATCTGGCCAGTAGAGTCGGATACCGTAGGTGTCGTCGTTCGCCCAGCCTCCAATGTTAATCTGTCGTCCAACCTTGTCAGGTAGAGTCAAGCCCGCAGAGCAGAAAACATCCGACTTGACATGCATCTCACGCCAGGCCCCAGTGAAGTTGTTGAGTTGCGCAATGTCCAGTTCGTATGCTCCAGTGGCGTTGGGGTTACCAGTTCCGTGCTTCTCGAGGAAAGTGACCTTGCCGTTAACACCAGGTGTGGTGATAAGAGGAACGATGACACCGCCAATCAAGAATTCATATGCGCCAGCTGCGTTACCTGAGGCGTAGTTCCACGCAGTAAGAGAAGGACCGGTCCACTTGTAGTAAGAGATTCGATCGCCGCCACCACAGATGTAAGTCGCGTTTCCGGTACAGACACTGTTACAGTCGGCCTCATCCTCCTGGTTACCAGGTAGAACATCGGCAGGATCACCACAGTCTGTCCATTAAGATTTAGCAACTCCTCAAGTAAAACTGCAAATGAACAGGAACACTTACAGCATTCGTCACCGAACTCCATTCCGCCAGCCTCATAGCCGAACTTCTGGCAAGAAGCTAGGCAGTTATTGGCAGTGTTGTTCTCGGAGAGGATCAGCTGATATGGGAAAGTTCTTGCCTCAGCATCATCGTACAAGCAATACTGGTATTCCCAGCTGCCATTGAGATTCTGAGTCTGGGTCGCAGGTGGCTGGTACACCTGAAGAGGTCCGTCGGAGTAGACACTCATCCGGTTACCAGCACCACACTTCTCGTTCGCATTGCCGGCACAGTTCATGCTGCAGTCCGAATCAGAAGTGAGCGCCCCACCATTGCGAACGAAGTCGTCGCAGAAGCACTGTGCGCCGTATTCCATACCAGCAACGGAATATCCTAGGCCAGTGCAGGTGGCAACACAATCTTCAACGGTGTTGCTGCTGCTGTCTGGCTCCTGGTTGAGCATGATACGGCCATTAGCTCCGTCAATGTAGCAGCCTTTGTAGGCCCATCCAGTAGGAAGTGCGGTGTTGACAGGCTTGGTAGAGGTTGATGCGGCAGCTTGAGTTGCAGACGCTGATGCCGCGGTTGTGGTAGTAGAAGCTCCTCCAAGAACCTGGAAGACGTTCAAGCGGTTGGGACCACCACAGGTTTCCTGAGCGTTTCCATTGCAAGGTTTGTTACACTGAGCGCTGCCGTCTGGAGCCGGACCACCATCATTGGAGAACTCGTTGCCGCAGTAGCATTCTCCTCCGTACTCGACACCCGCGTACGTGAAGCCCTCACACGCAGTGGTGCACTTCTCAATGGTGAGATCACCCGGGGGGAATTCGTAAGTAGTAAGGGTGCGGGCGCCAGCAGAGTCGGTATAGCATCCCAGGGCCTTCCAGCCGTCTGGAGCGGTCTTGGAAGAATACACGCTCAATGCGTCGGACCCACCACAGAATTCGGTGCTGTTGCCGTTGCAAGTCATGCTACAGCTCGAATCGTCAATCAGCACACCGGTGCCCCCAATGGCGTTGGCGCAGTCTAGGAGTAAGAGCATGAGCAAAAATGCCATGGTGTTTAGGTACAGAAAAGACTTACAGCACTCAGAAGAATACTCTACACCAGCCAAGACATAGCCGGCATCCGAACATGTAGAGACACATAGGGCTACAGTCAGAGCGGACTGTCCGCCTGTCACAGGCAGACCTTGGTTCAAAGTGCGGCCGGCATTAGTATCACTGCGTGTGAAGATCAGCCTTCATTCAATCTATAATTGGCAACACTCATCCCTGTCAGGTATGATGGTTGGTGACGGAAGTGTCGTATGGTTACTTCCGAGTAGCAACCACGATGCGTTGCAACGGCCACGTACAGGACTCAGGTCCCGGAAATTGAAGCAAGCAGGGTTTTAAGATCTCGTATCGAGGATCTGGAACGGGAAAACGGAAGCATCGTGCCTACCTGTAGCAGCCCTGATAATGGTAACCATCGACACCGGGGTTGATGAATGGACCAGGGTCCTGAGCGGGTGGTGGGGTTGAATAGACAGTCAATCGGTTGGAACCACCGCACGGCTCAGTAGCATCGCCATTGCAGGCCATGTTACATGTGCTGTCATCGTCAAGGGTGCTGGTGGTTTGGATCTTGTTTCCACAGTCTGGAATAAAGATAGCCGATTAGCATTGACTTTACAAAAATGGTGGGCTGATGCCCGATCCCGATGTCCACGGTGAGAGCTTGGTAGCGAGATATTGGGGGAATGCACATACAGCATTCTCCAGCGTACTCGGTTCCGGCATAGATGTAGTTTTTGCCTGCGCAATACGACACGCAGGCCTCGTTGGTCATGGAATCGCCGCTGTTGTAGCCTGCGCTGGTGAGGCCTCGGGCACCTACGCTATCACTGAGGGTGGACACGTGTTAGTCGCACACATGGCACGGTAATGATCGCATGTACATACGTGTAGCATCCTAGGTAGGTCCAATTGGTGGCTGGGGCTGCCGGAGGCGTCAAAGCACGCTTCTCGTAGTGGTGGTGGTGGTGAACAGTAGCGCTCGTAAATGAGGCCTGTACAACATTGTTAATATGGACCGTCCAACCGGAGTCGAATGTTAGACAAGCAAGTTTGCCACTAAATACGCACACTGCATATTAATAATAAGGCAGCAAGTGCCGATGTAACGATCGTGGGTGCCATAACGGCAAAGAGCACGCAAAGAAGGACAAGATGAACGAGTGTGAAGAAGTGACAGAAACGGGCGGGAGGCCGCCAAAAGTACTTGGCAAAGCAACAGATGCAGAACTCTACAGCATCTGAACGGCGGAAGGGTGGAGGTAAGAAGGGTCTAGACAGGGAGATCAGGGCTATCGATTGCGGGCCAGGTGGTTCGGGTAGCGTTCGACTACCCCTTCAGCTCAGCCCTGAGAGGCCGGTACGTGACAACCGAGAGCGAGACGCGGGCTATTCGAGTCGTGCAGCTTCCAGGCGAACGATGCCCGTATTCTGGACGTGATATTCCCAGGCTGGCCGTGAGGCTGAGCCCGTTAGGAGCTCGTGGCTTGCCAAACGCAATAGCACCGAGGCCACGCGAGCGACTCTGGGCCGGCGTAGGGCCGGCGTATGGCCGGAAAAGCCAGAGGCGTCGGCGCGGGCGAGACTTGGGTGGGCGGTTGTCTTGGGCGCATGGTGGAGCATGGACGGGAGTGTTGACGAGGTCGATATCGAAGCACGGACGACGTAAGGGGGTTGGCCAGGCTCGGCGCTATCTTTCATAGCCCACGATGACAGGCTCCCCTCCCGAATACCCCTGGCGCTACAGGGCATCCCATGCCGCCGATGGAAAGCAGGGGGTTCGGACCGCTGGCCTGCCGTGTTGCGAGAACGGTGTCGAGACGCGGCCTATCACGTACAGTGGCGGTGCATGACGCGGCCGACGCTGGACGCCCAAGGAATCGATAGTTATGCAGCGGCGCGACAGAGGAACCATTGCTGAATTAAGTATCGAATCCACCTGACCCCGAGCCTCTAGTTTGTCGTCATGTAATTGCTGCTGTCCGATGTCCCAAGAAGCGCCGAAGAAACCCTTAATCCAAGACCCGCGAGAATTACAATAGCTGTACCAAGAAAAACCTTCCCACTGCTGCTAACCGCTCTGGGTGCAGATGTCCCCGAGCTGCTGATTTGGCTTTACCCTTTCAGCATTTGCCCTCGCTCCACATCTTCACGCTCTTGACCGTCATCCCGCGCTCGTCGCCCTTGCCCCACGTGTCAATCCACTGGGACTGGCTGTCCCAGAACTCCTTGGGCGACTGGCCGCTCTTGTCGCCCCATGGCTTGTTGCCAACGCCGTCGGGGAAGAAGCCGTTGGTGCCGCCAATAGCGACATTGAGAATCAGGTAGAACGGCTGGTCAAAAGGAGTGTTGTGGCGGCCAGTCTGCGACCACGGATCGAAGAGCGCAGAGTGGTTGAAGATGGCCTGGCCGAATTTGCCACGGTCCCACATGCTCTTCTTGTTGTTGAACTTGATGAAGAAGACTTGCTATAGGAGAGTCAGCTATTGATTTTCATGCATCATGCGCAGGCGGGGGGCATCTCCGCATGGAGGGCAACAACGAAGGTGAGGGATGATGTAATAGATTGAACATACCAGTAGACGACTGTCAATGTAAGTGAAGAGGTAGTTCTCGCTCCACTATGGCGTCGTTAGCAGGGTGATACTTGTGCTGCCGACGCGCGTCACTGTGTTACCTCAACTCCGAACGTGTGGAACTTTTCCGTGTAATCGGTCCGGCGCACGCGATGCTGTCCCGAAGTTCTGTAGAAAGCATCCGCTTCCGGCACCGGGCCCCAATGCAGGGCACTGATGAGGGCATCCCGGCCACCGCTGGGGTAGTCGTCGCCGAAGTTGCCTCTGCTCTCTGCAATATCGATCTCTCCAGACGCCGGCCATGCGCCGTAGGTGTCGTGCTCCGGCATCATCCAGATAGCAGGCCAGAGCCACGATCCCTTGGGCATCTTGGCGACAACTTCGACCTTACCATACGTGATAGTCTTCTTGCCCTTGGTTGTTAGACGGGCACTGCGGACCGGGTTGATGATGGCACCGGACGTCTTGTTGCTGCGAATGGCGCACATGGTGACATCCGTCGAAGTGCAAGTACCCGCGGTCGTGAGATTGAGCACATAGTTGTCCTCCAGCTGGTCAATGGTGATGTCGGTAGAATCGGTGGTGAGTGTCGGCACAATGTGGAGACCTTTCTCGTCGGTGTAGGCATTCTTTGGGTCGTTGGTAGTCCACTCGAAGGTGCCACTACCGAAACCACCACGCTGGATCTCGTAACTCCAATTGTTCAGATCGATGTTGTGGAAGTCATCTTCCAGAATCAGGCAGTACTTAGAAACGTCAGATGGATTCTTCGCAAATAGAGAAGATGCTCACCTCGTGGTTTGAAACGGATGCGTAGGCAAAGTAGCAAATGATAGCACCAATAACAACGCCCACGAAGATACAGCCATAGAAGATCATGGGCTCCCATTTCTTGCGGGGGTTCTTGTTCTCCACCCACGGCTTCTCATAACTGACGTCGTTAGAAGGTTCGGGTCGAGGTGGGGTACTGCTTACTCCGGGCCCTTCCATCGCGCACTCTTGAACTTGCGAAGGCGTGCCTGTGGTCCTGCTACACATGGTGAGGGCAAAGTCGAAGAATGCAACAGCATGCAATGCACGAACCTGAAATCGCAGTGGCGGGGAAGTAGGATTGGCGGTCATCGCTGCCCTCCTCGGTGGGAGCACGACTGAGGCGGATGGGGGTCGCGAAGGGATTCGTTCCAATGCCTCCATGGGGCGTGTGGGCTCCATGGGGCGTGTGGATGGAGTTTGAGCTGGACATGGTGGAAGGCGGTACGACGACCTGCAGCAGAGATCCAGATGAAGAGCGGAAAAACGGACGATCTGCTCGAGGTATAGGCCGGGAAGCGCGCGGGCTGACCAGGCAAAAGCACGGGCGCAGGAGACAGTTGCGTCGTCCAAGCTGGGACCCAAGGCGGCGGCGTATTGCAGCAAGATGGGGAACTCACAACGCCTTATGGGGCCAGGTTCTTTTGAGGACAGCGCAGATGAGTCGCGCGGGACGGTGGACGCACGACAATCGAGCTGGACGACGTGCATCAGCAGCCGTCGCCGCCGCCGCTGGGCTCGTTGCTCCACGACGATGGCGCACACATGGCCGGAAGCATGGATGGCGTTGGCGGGGCTGGGCGGCGGAGTGCGTGCATGGATCAAGATGCGATGGGGAGGTGTGTGCGGAACGGTGCGACAGGGGCTGCTGGCGGCGATAGCGGGCGGCCGCGGGCACGTTGAAAGCGGAAGTCCAGATGCGCTGGGCGCCAATCGAGGCCGGAGCATTTCGCCGGGGGCCCAGCCATCGTCAATCGAAGCCGCGGCTGGGGCAGCGGGCGGCGGCGCAATCCCAGCGCGTGCAGCTGACCCTGACTCCGCTCCCTATAGCGTGCCGCGCGCGCAGGCGATGCTTGGCATGGTGTTGCAGCCACCAGCGCCGCCTGGCGAATGCCGCCGCCTGCCTGCGCCCCTGGCCGCCCGCTGAAACCATCCGCCGTCGTGGACACCTCCACCTACGCACCCTGCGTCACGCATATGCCACGGTGAGCGCAGTCTGCCGCCCGCGAGGTTGGTGGTGGTCGAGGGCGGCCGCGGTGGTGCGGTTCGCCTCCTGAGTGGGATGCAGCCAGGTGCGTTTAGACTCTGGCCGATCCGGTTCCTGCCCAGGCACGGCCCTATCACGGTGCTGAGCGCCCTGGCCCGCAGTGTGGAGATTATGTAGCTCGGCCAGCCCCCGTTTCTGACGCCCACCGCTGGAACGCCACTACTGCAAGCGCACCTTACCGCCCGCTTCTATTTTCGCGGACCTGCAGGCCCCGGAGACATCATCGCTGTCCGACGTTATCGTCGCCTCCTCACACCCTGCAGCCACAATATTGCACTCAACTGCGGCCACTTCTCCGCCAGCATATTGTCGATTGCTGCTGCATCGAAAACCGTGGCCGAGAGAAACATGCGACTCTGTTCCGCGTCGAGCCGCAGCGGAGTCTCTCCTCGCGCCAGCCAGCCCCTCGTCGTCAGGGGCTGGAGGTGACGCCTTGGCGCTGGTGGGACGTGGGGGAGTTGTGCTCTCAATGCCACCCCCTAGCCTTCACAAACAGGGCCCCTCGACTCAACATCACCCGCCGTCTGAGCCGGCGCGAGCCTCCTTGACCCCTTTAGGACACTCGCGTCTCCTAAACATTCCCCCAAACGCGGATGGCCCGCCTTGGCCTTCCCATCTGCCAGTAGTTCGTACCTAGCTCGTGCTCTGGAGCTCGGCACACGTTATTGTGTTTGACTTCCTGGTCTTATGCACGCTGTTTCCACAACCTGGGCTCGCTCGCTTCTGCCCTGGATTCTCAGAGCATGGACTCCTCTGATACGGAGCCCCTGCCGCCGTCCGCTGGGCGCATCGCCTGGATCCTCTCTCTGCGCACGAATACATTGAGAGTCGCCTAGCGGCATGCCGACCTACCGTTGACTGGCGCCTCTGGCTTCTTGCACCCTCTGCCGCTATCCCCTATTGTCTTGGCCCGTGGCGCCCTCAAGATAACTTTCCCTCTGTACGTGATACACAACCGGTCCAGGGCGCTACGTGGCAATGCTTCGGAAGCCCTGTGCGGCGCTTGCAGTCGTTGGCGCTCGAGCTCGTTCGATTCGGGCGTCTGAGACACTATTGACTAAACCCTGAACATGCCCTTTCCAAAACGGCGGAACCTAGGCAGGAGGGGTTTCTGTTCTAGCCTCAGATCTAGCCCGAGTCATTCTTGGTTCGACTTCAGCCCAGCAAATCGTGGCATGGGCCACTCGATCTAACGACCCTGTTATCTGCACGGGCAGGGTCGTATATCCGGAACTCAAGTGCCCGCTGTCACCCTCCTCTTCGTTCCTTACCTCTGCTGTCATTTACCAGCGTTGATCATTTGTGTTCAAGAGTGGATACAATCACTCGTTAAACGTATCCCTCTTACTTGTTCTTGCTTTCTTCCTTACCATGGCGAACAACAATCTTGGCTTCGACCGAGACTCCTTGAGTATGACGAGGGAGGGGATGGGTTCTGGTGTGCGATTCCAACACCCAGGCATGCAAGTGCGGGACAGTTCAGGCTCGAGCATTATCTCGAGCAGAACCAATGGTGGAGATCGACACGATGTGGTAAGCGTCCTACCCTACCTTCTCATAGACCTACTTGCCTATAACGGCGCAATCGCTAACCCAGCTCTAGATGGTCAGGTTCCTACACCGAAGATGTCAACAATCAAAGTGGTTGGAACCCGCCCAGGATGAGTTCGGTGTGATCGAGAACGAAAGCTCCAACCTGGGTGTATTACTGCGACGGCCTGATGGCCTGTACACAGCTGAGCCAATGTTCTTGAACCAAGACATTGCTGTGGCCGTCGAAAAGTTAGGTGTCACTGTTGCTTTCACCATGAGCTCGGAGATCACCCAAGCTCTGCTGCAACAGGTCACGCCTTTCCAAACGGAGCTCTCCTTGGACCCCCGTGGATTCGTGCTCCCAATCGTCAACTCCATCAAGGACATCGCAACTGGCAAGGCCGTCATCACCCGGGAAGCCTATGTCGTCCTATGCCGACAAGAGAGAATCGTCCTTGTTTGGGGGGACACGGTCCCTGGTATCCTCGCCCACGGAACAGACATTGAGACAAGGCTACTTGGTCTCGTCTGGGGACAAGCCATCCCCGCCACTCCAGGAGCCATTTCGCCATATCGACAATCGACGACGGCCAGCACACCAGCGGTGCGCAGTACTCGTGCGACAATGTACCCCATCTCAGCCCACCAAAGCACAGGCCAACTGAACGCCGAGATGAGCGAGAAGATCGGTGCGATCGACCGTGCGATCGAAGTTGAGGAGATGGGTGAAAAGATCTTCGACCCGGAAAGAGACGGCCAGGAGGTCCCAGAGCGACCTTTCCTGTTGTCGCACGCCCTCTTGGTGGGCCTTGCCATGATTCTCGTCGTGGTTGTCGAAATGGCGTGTCTCGCAAAGCTCATTACGGAGTACCGTCTCGATGGAAAGACGATGCGCTTTGCTTTGGTAAGTCGCCCCACTTAAACGCAACACCGGTGCGAATATCGGAACTTACGGAGCAACAACTAACGTTGATGAAAGGTTGCGACGATCCCGCTGTTTGCCATGTTCTCCTTGGTGAGTGGCCCGCTAACAATCTTTTCTCCGGAGCGAGGCTGCGTGCCTGGACTGCGTGGCGTTTCTTGGTGTTAGCTTTGGGAGCTGAAACTGACAATCTTCGCTTAGTTCTTCATGATCGTCATCACTGGTTCCCTCTTCCAGCTTTTCGGCCCCCTCTCCGGTGTGCATGGAAACAGCTTGTACTATTCCGGTATGTGATGCTTCGCGCTGCAATGGTCATTGCACACTTTGGTAACGATTAATGCTGACTCCGTGCAGGCAAGGCACCCAAGCCAGGACGTCATGCTAATGTCGAGCTTCCCCATGTGACCATCCAGATGCCCGTTTACAAGGAAGGTCTTAAAGGTGTCATCATTCCCACTGTTACCAGTCTGCTCGATGCCGTGAAGTTCTACGAGGAGCAGGGTGGAACAGCCTCCATCTTTGTCAACGATGACGGTATGCGTCTTGTCCAGGAAGATATGCAAGAGGCTCGCAAGGCCTTTTACGAACTCAACCACATCGGATGGTGCTCGCGTCCCGCCCAGAACAGCGATAAGGATAGCCCGGATTTCTTCCTACGAAAGGGTCAGTTCAAGAAGGCCTCCAACATGAACTACTGCATGGACTTCTCTATTCGTGTTGAGGACGAGTGGCAACGACTGGTCGACGAGACTTGCAACCAGCGCAGCTGCGCCCAGGACGATCTCTCTATCCAGGAAGAGGAGGATATCTACGATCAAGCCCGTGACGCAATGGTCGAGAAAGACGGTGGCAAGACCTGGGCTGCTGGCAACGTTCGCATTGGTGAGGTCATTCTGATTATCGATTCCGACACTCGTGTTCCCGAAGACTGCCTCCTGTATGGTGCTCTTGAGATGATTGAGAGCCCTGAAGTTGCCCTCCTCCAACACGCCTCCGGTATCCTTCAAGTCGTCAACAACGTGTTCGAAAACGGTATCACCTACTTCACCAACCTGATTTACACGTCCATCCAGTTTGCGGTTGGTAACGGTGACTGCGCTCCCTTCGTCGGCCACAACACCTTCATCCGATGGGCTGCTATCCAGAGCATCGCCTTCGAGGAGGACGGCCACACCAAGTTCTGGTCTGAAGATCACGTGTCTGAAGATTTCGACGTCAGTCTGCGTCTCCAAATGAACGACTTCGTTGTCCGTCTAGCTACCTACCACAACGGCGGATTCAAGGAGGGTGTGTCTCTCACCGTTTATGACGAGCTTGCCCGTTGGGAGAAATACGCGTACGGCTGCAACGAGTTGGTGTTCAACCCTCTTTACATGTGGATCTACCGGGGACCCTTCACCCGTCTTTTCATGCGCTTCATCTTCAGCAAGATCAAAGTCACCTCGAAGATCACCATCCTCGCTTACATCGGCACCTATTACGCCATCGCCTCCGCGATTCCTCTGACACTTGCCAACTACCTCATCGTCGGATGGTTCAGCGATAACGTCGACCAGTTCTACATCACCTCGTGGAAGATCTTCGTCGGCATGGCCGTCATCTTCAACGTGCTCTCGCCGCTCGCCTACGCCATGTTGCGACATCGTCTCGGGCAAGCCACCTTCTTCAAGTCGTGCCTGGAGACGGCCAAGTGGACGCCCATGTTCCTGCTCTTCTTCGGCGGCATCTCGTACCACCTGCTGAAAGCCATCATCTGCCACTTCTTCAGCATCAAGATGGAGTGGACGACGACGGCCAAGGAGCTGTCCGAGTCGGGCTTCCGCGTCGGCCTCGACCGCATCGTGCGCGACTTCAAGTTCATGTACTTGTTCATCACGCCCATTGTCGGCGGCATGATCTACCTCGCCATCTACGCGCCCCGCGGGTGGCTGATTTCCGATTTCGCCGCCATCGTGCCGCTGGCCAATCAGATCGGGTGCCATGCCCTTCTTCCCGTAAGTCTTCCCCCATCATACTCTCTTCCATCTATCTTCTTTTACTAACTCGCTCTCCAGTTCGCTCTCGGTCTCTTCTAAGCTCTCACACTCCCCTAGCCATCATCTCCTCCTCTTCTCCACCCTCCTTGAAAGTATACATATTGTTTAATACCCCGCCAGCGCCCCCCACCCTCCTCACTCGCTCCACGCTGGCATTATTTTACGACCTTAGAAGAGCAAACCGGTGTTATCGGGAAATCGGGAAACCCAGGGGGATCGGAATCGTTATCGGTATCTGTAGAAACATCTTTGTTGTGTATGTTGATTGCGAAAATCGAGGACACGCGCCGTGATATTTTGTTGAAACTGTGCGTGTTCGCGTGTCTGTCGTTGTTCATATGTGTCCACCGAAGAAGAAGAAGAAGAAGAAGAAGAAGAAGAAGAAGAAGGGAGAGAACGAAGAAGAATCAAGAACCAAGAAAAGCCCTAAATCAAAGTCGAAGCCTGTTGTTTTGCCTGCGTCTTGTCTCGAGGTTGTTGTTTTTTTGTTCTAGTTTTAGGAGGCTCTTCCGGTGTGCTACGAATTGATGGGAGCGACATAACTTTTATAGTCCTAGATAGGTTATTACTTTTAGTTCTGAGGAATACATAATACAGGCAGGTTCATCCCTTCGGGGGGACCCAAAAAAAACCCCCCCTTTTTTGCTTCTTTCCCTGCTGTCGTCGTTGTCGTCGTCGCGGCACGTACCATTTCCCGTCTATCATCCCCTTACCTCACTCGTACCACCACCAGCTCCTCCACCACCTCCTCACCGGGTCGTTCTGCAAGGCGTTCCAAGGCGTTTCCAGCACGATGGCACCGTTGCATCGCGCCGTCCCCAGATTCTCTCGCGCCGGCGATCGTTCCGTGCGACGTCCTCAACATCGGTGCGACAGCGCCAATTCCCAAAGAACGGTCTTCCATCGACCCACCACCATCGCACCGGGCACCCTTCCAATGTTATACAATCGCCATCCCATCCCATCCCCTATCTAGAAGTCCTTACGGAAATAGCACACGTTACCAACCGCCCCCCAGCACTCCGCACCGCCGCCGTCGTCATTGGGTGTTCCAGTGGGCCGCCTCGTACTCTGCTCCAAATACGAGTACTTACGGCTACCGAGTTAGCGGGCGGATCCCCAAGCTAAGGAAGCGGGTAGTGGTAGCCCTTGGGGGGAAGAAAGATGGGTACGCGTGGTTGTGAGTGGTTGGTGAGTGATTAGTACTGTGGCGCTTGGCCGGAAGCGGGAAAAGAACGTGCGGGAATGCTGACGACGGATAGGGCGGATTGCGCGATGAGGGGAGGGGGTGTATTTTAGGAAATAGATCGGACTGATGGGTTTGGAAGGTTTGATCGTCGGTGTTTGAGTGTGTATGATGGCTGTTGAGGTTGGAGGAGGGGAGGTGTGGTCTTGAGTTCATGACAGGTTTCCGGATATGGTATGCGAACGATGGTGAAGGCGATTACGCCTTTGGCATGTGAGGCGAATAACTTGCATCCCAGGCAACTAAGAAACCCGAGTAGAAGTTCCCGCATCAGTATTTTCACCGGTAATCCAGATAACCTTTCTCCCCACCCACTCTCTACCGGGGCCCAATGCGCATGCAGTCATTGCCGCTACACCCAACGGTCTCATGTCCCCACATGCGAAGCTAGGCACAGCCCGCCGCCAGCTATCAGGGTAGGCCCATCTATCTACCGCGGGAGTGCGTGTGCCTGCGTTGATCATTTCTGTGAGATCGTGCATGGGAGGTCATGGATCGTCTCCGTGTGCTCGGACTGGGTCCGGCCGGACTGCCCCCGGACTGGAGACGCTCACTGGAGCTAACGCTTATGTCGGCTACAGTGGTCCACTTGCAGAGGGAGACATTATTAGTATTGTGAGAATGTGGAGTTTGAGGGACTCTTATTATGGTCAATTTTCGCTGCGGATTACTGCTAGCAATCTTTGGCAGGTCTATGATGGATCATATTTTCAATTCTTCGCTACAGCTGGCGTAGCAAACCTACTCGATGAAAGTTGCCGATCTCGCGGGAGAGTTGCAGCATATCGCGAGATACTTGCAGATGGGTGTCGGATGTAAACGGCTATTTGTGTCATCAAAAACACTTCGTGCGTTCCTGAAGCTCGTCAGCTGTTTAATGTAGATCATCTAATCAACAAAAACGGCCGTATGTTTCATGACTAGAGGTTGAGAGCATGAAGAGCAGCGCAAGATAGATTATATATTCTTCTTATTCCCTGCTAGTTTCGTTTGGGACTTGCTGGTGCGTCCTAGGTCCGTGATGATGATCCCGAGGATCCAGATGTTCACCAGAAAGAAAAAGACACTGGATGCCCATAGCCCGGGGACAAATGACGATATTCCTAGAAATTCGAGGCGGTAGCCTTGGTGTAGCCAGAACACCTGCAGAGCGTTAGCACGAGGCGGGTGGAAAACGCCACAACTCCAAATTACTTGCCTGACCTAGAACCCAAAGAACGCCAGCAACAATCCCAGTGGCCGGCTTTTGCAATAGCGTTGACGTGGGAAGATAGAATGGGAGGAACATTATGTACCAGAGGAAGTACTAGAAGTCGTCAGCCGAGTCTACGGGTCGAACATGGTGGTAATACCTGGCTAGTGCAGACTTTGTTGAAAGTTACGAAGGCGAAAGTCTGGGCCAGCATGGTTGACGGAAGATCTTTCTTTGCAAGCGCCAATGGGATTGCGACGGTGCTCAAAAACAACTGAGGCACAAAAGCCCAAGACTCTAATTTGATAGATGCGTTTCCGGTTGGGGAAGAGTTCAAGTAGAGTAGAGTGTTGTATGGCGAGAAATTGTGGCGATGGTCAATTCGCGTCAAGTGGTGGAAGTAGCTGTGCTGGAGGAAAGGCCATCCATAGCTTTTGAAATCAGTATTGTTGGTGAAAATGATACCGAAACTACTTACGCATAATACATGGCACCGTTCAAGATGGTAAAAGTCAACAAGCTGAAGACAGCTATTGTGACTCGGGATGGGTTTGTAAAGCTTACGACCTGTTCATATATGGTCTTGGGCCGTCTGAAGTTTTTGTCGGATTTTGGCGGACAGTGTTCATCGTCCAGCCACCAGATGATAGAAGTGGCATAGATAAAAGGATAGATCTTGAAATGTACGGCGAATCCAAGAAGACAGCCAGCAAGCCCCATACGGCCAGCAAGCACCGACCATAGTAGGGCTGAGACGATGACCCCTAGCAAACCCTCAGAACTACCTCTCGTGCTGATTTGAGCCACCATGGGATTCAGAAGCCAGATGCTAGCGAATTTAAGGGCTCTATCCAACGGCATTTTTCCGGAAGACCGAAGAATAAGTAGAATCAGCCATCCCGCGGCAATGTCCCCAAGAGCGAAGAGAATCTTTCCGAATAAGAACCAGGAGCCTTGCCATGTCGTCGGGTAGATGAACCAAGCTAGAAGTGGCGTGTAACGGTAGGTATCTCTGGCATATGGGGACCGGCCGCGAGAGATGAAACGAGCGGCGTCGGTGAAGACAAAATAATCGATATCGGTGTACTTCATCGGAGAGAAGGCATCTTGAAAAGATCCATAAATCAGGAGTACCACCCGCAATGCAATGGCAGCAGAAAACACGGTACCCACGCTAGAAAAGAATTGGACCATGGCGTTCAGGGGGCAGTCTCGTGCGCCGAAAAGCGCAGCAGACCAAAACAGAGAAAGATTGGGAGACTCCAGGGACAACAAGAAGGCGAGGGAGCAGAATTACGGCATTGAGTATAGGTGGTGAATGGATGAACCTTCTGGCGGAATGGCGTTGATGAGGGGCAGGGCAGAGAAGGTCTAACCGACGCCAAGCGCTGGCGCCACTTCCAAGGTGTGAACTGGGAGCCGTCTCTGACATTGTCTGGGCAAACTTCCACCATGTAAGCAAATCGAAGCTGTGCTGCTTCACAATTTGCGGATGGGCCCAAAGCGAAAAACGGAGGACACAATGGAGGAGCCATCCAAGCGCCAGTCTACCTCGCCCGTGATGGCCATGTTCGAGGGGTTTCGCAGCGAGCTCGATGAGCACCACGACAGGCGCGAGCGTATGATCAAGGCGTCTCGAGACATCACAGCGGCAAGCAAGAAGATGTGAGTACAATGCGATATGCTCTATAATACATGCTAATTTTGTGAACGCAGAATCTTCTCATTGCAAAGGTAGCAGAGAGCAAGCTCAACTATTCACGACCCGGCGCTGACTTGAATTCAGAGTACGAGCGTTGAACAAGCCGCTCCCGGGGTTTGTCGCGAAGTCCAACGCGCAGTACTGGGGGATCATCCAGACCCAGTATAAGAACATTTCGCGGGACCTCCAAGGCCTCAATGCATATCGCTATGGGCGCAACATCACCGGCGGAAACCAGGAGTTCATGGAGGCGCTGAGCTTTCAACACTATCTCGAGCACCAGAACCTTATTACATACAAGGAGGCAAATGACTATGTGGCAAAACTGGGAGGGGAGGGAGGCCCGGTGCTGCTCACCACGGAGGACTACATTCTTGGTATCTTCGACATGGTTGGAGAGCTGATGCGATTCGCAATCACGGCTATGGCTACGAGCGGCGAGCTGCCGGGAACGCTCGTACAGGAAGATGTGACATCCAGGGAGAGTCACGATGAGCAAGCTGGGGATTCAATGGACGTCGAGCAGCCTTCGACAACGAGAACGCAACATCCACAGAAGCGAGACGTCCTGGCCGACCTAAGAGAGCTACGCCTATGCCTGGAGGGCCTCGAGCCAAGCAGGGGCTCCAAGTTCGAGGGTGACGCGGAGAAGAAGATGACCGTCATGCGGCAGTGCGTGGAGAAGGTTGAGACGGCGCTGTACGGGCTCATAGTACGGGGACAGGAAAGGCCCAAAGGTTGGGTGCCAGACCTCAGGGAGGAGCGGAGGGGGGCAGAGGCAATTGAGGGGTATTGACGGAGCATGTCTCACGGAGTTATGGATCATTGCCTAGAAAGCGTCTGGTAGGGTTGAGACGCTCAAAGACAGCGATGGATTACTGCTGTTAGTGAAATGCTCATTTCGGCGTATGTACTATGGATGTAAAACGCGTCAAAAGTAGTCGATCTGGCACAAACGGACACTATTCTTGGCCTGGCCTTTCACATGGCCTATTCGTGAAGAATTCTGTACCTCGAAGTGTGGCTACGTGCAGCCACACTGCGGCGGTGAAGGCTGCGTGATTAGGTACGAGCTGAGTGGCACGTCCAGCAAGCCGCGGGTCTCTCCAAGTCGACTCCGCCAGGCCGCCCATATTCACCATCACCGCCTCCTCCCCACGATGCGCTCTGCCACCACCACCACGGCCACCGCATCCACGAAACAGCAGCGCAATGCCAGCCTGACCCTCGCCCCTTTCATGAGTGCGATGGTCACGCCTTGAACCTGCGAGGTGTTGCGGATGAATCGATCACCAACCCCACGGACAAACATACGTAGTGAGTCCAACGCTGCTCTGCCTGCTATCCAGGCTTGCTGCCTCTTGCGCCCACCAAGCGACATCTTCAGGAACAAATACTGATAATGTTGCGCCCAGCCTGAATCCCACAGACACGCTCCGCTGAAAATGCGGTTCAACGCCATCCCATCGCGGCCCAAGGGCGATGACCGACGCATGCGAAATCCCGATCCGCCTACTCGAAAAGTCTTCAACTGTATCGTCGACGAGTCTGCTCTGGTCGCAGGCGTCAAGAAGAGCACCAGGGATGGCATTAGGAAATGGGTGACTAGCGGCGCCATACGCCTTTTTGTCCCACTATACAGTCCGTCTTCCCGTTGTACCGCCGCCGCAGTGGTACCCATCGCTAACAGAATACTGCAGCACTTTCGCAGCTGGATCGCCTAAAGAAGGGCAACGATCGAGTCAACGTAGACGCCCGAGAGGCTATCAAATGGCTAGACGATATCACCTCGATGCCCACGATTCAAACCACAGGATTGGTACAGATTGAAGGAGCCGACGAGATGTATCTCACATGGGCCGAAGTGGAGAAGTTCTTGCTACCAGAGACTCTACTCTCGATGGATGAGTCCGAGTCCGACGAGGACTCTTTGCCCGAGGACTTGGAGAATTCTCTCACCATCGTAGACCAGTCTGACGAAGCGTCCATGAGCTCTACTCACAGCATCGAGGATAGGGCAAAGACACCTTCCTCTCCACGCTCCATCTACTCTTCAACAAGCCCGGACCTCCTGAATGCCAACCCGTATAATGGAGCTAGCTCCGTCACTTCTGCGGAGGCCCTAAACCGAACAGCACGAAACAGTGCCGATTTGCCTCGCAATGATAATACTCCAAAAAGCGTCGTCCCCGTACGACTCCAACAGCTATTCAATCACGTACTATGGCGGATCAACCAGGAGACGAACGTCGATGCTGCGTTCGAGAGTTTCATTCTTCTCACGAACGATCCACAGAAGCAAACCATTGGCCAGAGATTCGGGATCCGAGCCAAACGTCTCGAACAGCTCCGCGACGCTGTTGGTCGCGAAGACAGAGATTACAAGAACCGCTTGGCTTTGTTCAAGAAAGAGACAGATATACTCCCTCCTGTTCCTGACAAGACTGCGGTCACCCAAGAAACGCCGGAAACCCGCGGTATCTCCGCTGAGCCCAAGGAGCCAGATTCCGATGATGAGGACGTCGTCCTGTTCAAGCAGACCCCGCGTGGACCACATGCCACTAATGGACAGCGGATGCTGGACCCCAACGACTTTGGCAGGGCCTCGCCTCAAACACAAGCACCCTCGCCGCGCGGTGGACGTGGCGGTAGCCGTGGAATTCATCGAGGAAGTCGTGGAACTTACGCACCCCCTATGGTGCCTCGTACCGCAGCTTTACCTCGAATTGACCCCAATCAGCCCATTGACCCGGACTCTTACTCCCGACCACCACCAAGAGTTGCGGCCGTTCGCGGCGGAAGACGAAAGCTATGGGAACCCACGTAGGGCCATCGTGGAGTGTCTCACGAGACACAGATTCCATTCTCCATATGCAACTACAATCAAACGACCATTCGAAGGCAACGAAGACCCGGCAACAGAAAATTCATGGGTTTCTGACCCTGGAACGGCAGTGTCTGAAATCGGCACTTGTTTCGTCCAATCGATCGGTCTGGTTTCAAGCACAGGGGCCCAACTCTCCTTTCGATATCCGGCACAACATGGTGCAGGAAGCTGAGATCATCCCAGGCGTCTCGCCGTATCCTTCCCGGAACGACGAGCCCTGCGATGCCCCTCAACTCTTCAGTCTAAGTAACTGTTGCAACTTGTTTTCTTACATTCAGCGAGTGTCGAGGTCGATGGCGATGCGGCGGTAATGGCAAACGACGCAGAGAGGAGGTACTCAGAATGTCCATGACGGCCCCTCGATGGCCGCTAATAGTTCACGTTCGGTCTTTGATCTTGGGGGAGTGCTTAAGTGGACTGCTTGGGTGGACTCCTTTCATTTTTTTACATTTTCTCTGGTTCGGGTACGGTTTGTCTTGCTTTTATTGCTTTTAGTCTTTCGTTCCCTTGTGTTGGGACTATGCTCTTTTTACAAGACTGAATACACATTACTGAAAATTCGAATATCTCTCTCGTCGAATCCACTGAGTGAATGGTGTGTGACCCTACTGCTAGATTGAACGGTTCTATTACACGCATTTCGGCCAATTGAGAGCCCTTGAATTACCTTTGCCCTGCGTTAGGCGAGGGTGACTGCCGTCCTGATTCAGCGTGGTGAGTGGTTGAAATGGTCCCCTTTCGCCTCTTTTACTAACTTTACACCTATTTTCTATATTTCATGCGCTTCTCCCATTACTCCCATTACTCCCATTTCCTACATTTCCTACATTTCCTACTTCTCTTACACTACTCCCAGAACTCAATTCGTACTCTCTTCGAGGAGGTGTCTCGACGGCCATGTTTTGCATGTTTGCTGCTTGCAGGTATTCACTGGCGACATGGGTGTGCAAAGGGGGCCGTGTCAGTGAGTCGAGGCTGTTACTGGAAGGCAGTGTCAGTAATGGGAGTAATAGGAGTGAGTAATAGAAGAAGCGTATAAATTACAAGAAATAGAAGTAAGGTTAGTTAGTGAAAAGACACGAAAGAAAAAGAGGATGCTGGAAGTGAAAGGTTGTTAGCGCGCAGAATAAGATCGTGGGACTGCGCAATGTTTTTTTTTTTTTTTGGGGACGTTCGTAAGACCTGCACTCTGAAACTACTCAGCTCGTTTCTTGTCTCGCTTTTAGTATGTCGAATATGTGACACTTGTGAGTTGAATGTCAACGGAGTTGGTCTGGTTCTTTGAGCTGGAGGTCAGAGCTAAGCTGTACAAGCGCCAAATCACTTGCGTTGAGAGCGTGAATCAGGCCGTAGGAATAGGCAAACGCTGAGAAGTGGTGACGGGAGTTCGTCTAACATTAAAGGGGCATGTCAGAATAACGCAGCAAACGCCCTGGTCTACGAGCTTCATTTTTGCAAAGCACGGCGACTAGGGAGATAAGGCACTATAGTACCCCTAACGTTTCTATTGAAAGCTCTTCATCGCCGCATCACGCTCATACGCTAAAAGACCAATATCTCTCAAGCCTGCCACAATATGCCCTTTACAGTTTCCGCCTCCTAAATCTAAATCCCGTCTCCTCTCCATTCGCCGTTTCAGCTCTCACCTTCTTCGGCGGCGGCGGATTCCCAGCCACAGACCCAGCCGGCCTCTTCCCCCACTGCACCGGCTGTTCTCGCCGCACTTCTCTCACTGGCTCCGCGGGCGAGTCACGCCCCATACTATCTTCTACCACATCCGACATCTGCGTATCCTGATCGTCCCCAGGGCCCTGCTGCGTCTGCGCAGCCTCAGCCGCCCGCTTCGCAAGAATCGCCTGCCTCCGCTTCAAGATCGGCACAGTCGAAGCATCCGGATCCTCATCCACCCTCCCAAGCCTCTGCCTGCCCTCCGACCGGCCCGAACGGCCCGAGCGCTGCGAATCGCGCACCTGCTCAGACCGCGTGCTCGATTCGATGAGGTAGTCTTCGCCGACGGGGGCGCGGGCGCGCTCGCGCGAGACCTCCTCTAAGGGAACGAAGACCTTCTGCGGGGCGCGCAGATTCCCATCTGCAAGCCTGTTCCTACGAAAGCCCTTGAAATTCTTGCGGCCATTCCATCGTGCGTCCCAGCGCGGGTCTATGGCGGCTTCTCTGCGGTTGCTGCGCGCAGTGCGGGCTGGTAGCTCCATTTCCTCGATGTGGGCCAACCCTCGCAGTTCCGAGATGTCGACGCCCTCCATCGCGTTTCGAAGGGCTTCTGCATCTAGCCGCGCGGCTTCTTCCTCGGCTTCTCGACGTATGCGCGCGAGTTCATGGAGGTCCAGATCCTTTTCCTTCTCTGAGGCCTTCTTTTTCGCCTTTTTGAGCTCCTCATAGACCTGCTTGGCAGTTCCTTTCGGTTTGTTGGCGCTTGCGTTGCCGGCGTTTTCTGGTTCAGCGGATTTTGAAGGAGAGTCGCGAGTGCGAGCGGCATCAATGCGACGTTTCTTGATGGCTGCGGCGGCCGGGAAGAGAGCGTCGATTTGGTTTGAGTCTTGCATTTCAGAGTCGGACGGCGGAGAACGGCGTTTACGGCTTTGAGTCTGCAACTGGATGCCCCCAGTTTGTGTATCAAAAGCTTGGGAATCCCGAGCCTGGCTTCTTTCAGGAATTTCGGACGGTATCGAATCATCTTCTACTGGCTGCGACTTGGCAGGGACGAAATCGTCGAAATCTTCAAAGCGGCTGGTATTGGTAGTGATTGCGCGGCGAGCTCGATGTCTGCTGGCAGCTGCCTTCGGCGGCTTTGGTGGGTTTGATAGTACGTTCGATTGTGGTTGACTTGTGGTTGGAGTGTCTACATTGGGCGTTCTCGCTATGTGATGTTAGGAGATATGGAGCTTCCAGAAAGAGCTATGCAATTTGAACGTCAAGAAATCCGACTTACCTGATCTCGAAGGCTTTGGCATGCTCGAAGGAACTTCGCTTTCAGGGAGTGGCCGCCTTAGCCCACTGGCTTTATTTAAAGTGACAGCATCCAAGAATTCGTTTTGCTGCATTGACCGTTGGTTAAGAGCCAAGTCAACACTGCTCATGAAATTGGTAGCCCAGACGTCGTCATCCTGGGTTGTATATCGGATGACAACAACCCCTTTCTCGGTTTTTCCTGGCCCAAATTCGCCAACTCCCTTGTTCCCAGCAGTGGACCTTACATACTCCTCAAACTCCTCCACAGTTGTTTGACCGTGTCGTAGGGGAAACAAGAGTGCCTTTCCACCTCCACTATTGACTGTGTTTGACAGGCTCTCGTACTGTCTCTCATCGCAGAATATAAATGTATATCCCGAAAATACGTCTGCTCTCTTCGGATCCGGCTTGAATAAGTCGGCTGGTCGAGCCACTGGCTCCTGGCCTACTGGAGGGATGAATTCGAATTCTTTAGGCCAGTTGCCCTCGAAATCCAGTTCGAATGGGGAGGGAACGTAGTTGTTCGGGTCAGCATTCTCGGCTGTCGCCGCTGCAATGACTGCATTCACGAAGTCGCTTGTCACAATATGTCTGGCGTTAATGAGAGCTTGGAGGCATTTGGGTGTATTGCGCTTGAGTGTAACGACGTGGGTTGTAGTGTTGAGGACGTATTCCATGGACGTCTTTATGTCGAGAGCCTCCGCTTGAGACGCGAGAGTCCTCATATCCTTTTTGGAGATCGCAAACGTAAAGACAACCGGATGCCATTTGATCCTACACTCAAGGTCAGCCTTATGCGACAGGCACGCAGAGAAGCCCTTGTCACTTGCCTGAGGAGCTCTCCCCAGCTTCCAAGCTGTATCGTGTGTTCAGTTTTCGTCAAAGTAATCGTCTCGCCCTTGACTTTCGCCGCACCGTCTACAGAGGTCCCAAACTTCGAACTCTCGATGATCTCAACTTTCGAGCGTGAGTGGAGCTGTGTCCCTTCTCCTGTCGCGACGGCAGATACAGCAATGGTGATGTGCTTTCGCGACACCCGCTTGTCGTCAATGAACCGGATGTTGTTGGTGCCATCGCCATTCTCTTTACCTTGAGGCGGCCTGGTGCGGCCGAAGATCTGTTGCGTGCCGGGCTTCAGCCAGACCTTTTTGCCGCCGAAGAGGTCGCCATCGTGCTCCAGAATCCACATTGCGGCGTGGTGTGGTGGTGAGAGTGATGTATGAGCTTGGGCTGGAGATCGATAGGCCCTTGGGCGCGTTCCCGTTAGGCAGCCTTGTTAGCGCAGAATACGCTCTCACGTGATATTGATTAGATAATTAGGTCACCTTTCGCAACACTCACGTTTTTGACGTTAAAAGTTATGCACAAGCTTTCTCAAGCGAACAAGTTTGTCTATTGAGGCGCTCCCTCTATCGCCTCCAATGCCTCTCTTTCAGAGTCGAACCAACGCCAGCAAATGCTTTCACAGTTAATGGGTATCAAACAATAACCAGACTCCCGATCCTCAATCCATATCCTCTAAAGCTGAGCTCTGGGGTATCTTCACATCGTTCTCTGCGACCATTATTCCTACCAGACATTCGCCCAACATGTTCTCCCAATTCACCCAGGGATGCACCTCCATAAACAGCTTCCCGCCGTCTTTACCTGCAGCCCGTCTCAGCTCTCCTTCCCCGCCAGGGTGGAAGGGGAGATACGGGGTGATATTATACACCTTGCCCTGATACGATGACCAGGCCGGCCGTTCTTTCCTGCCATTATTATACTTAAGCTGCGTCGGTGTGACTCGGACCAGCGACGAAACACCAGACAGATTGTTTCCAGATTTCTGCATGTTGGCCCAATCCAGCGGCGAGTGTCCCGGTGTGAGCTGAACTTTATTCCGCTGGTTAGGTGTCCTTATAGGGGCAGAAGAGGATAGCCCGAGGCTGTTCGAGACTGGCATTCCTCTGTTAGGCAGTGGTCCTCTCGAAGGGATTCGCAGTGAATTTGCAGTCGTAGGTAAGGCGCGAAGATTTGATGCCGCGACGCGGGGAGGAGGCGCCATGAATTGTGAGGACCTGGGTTGGGCAAACGCTGGTGGAGGTTTCGGTGGCGGTGGGCCCATCGCGGGAGGTTTGGCAGAAGCTCTCTGAGCAGAATTCACCGCAGGAAAGGAAGGAGGTGGCGCTATGTCTTCTTCGTCTTCATCGTCAGAGCCCTCGTCTGCCCCGAGGGAGAATGAGGGTACTAGTTGGGCATTTGCGACCACGGGGACGGCCTTTGGGGTGGTTTGCGGAGATGGGGCGGGGTCGACCCCATTCGCTGTCTCTCGTATTACAGCATTCGGTGGTGTAACGTTATTCTTCGATACTTCGTGTGCAACCGTCGTCTCATCTGGGGGCTCCCTCGAGGTCTGTGAAGGCGGATCAGAAAGCTGTCCCCGGCGCGGGGCCATGAAGAAGGCCCATAGAGGCCATGACGGCGGGGGATGGCGATAGAATAGTATAGACAGCGAGATAATAAAAGCCGTGACTCCCACAAGCATGGCTTGAAACTGAGGTGGTGGGAGGGGGTGAGGTTGCGAGCAGGAATGCTGCGGGCCAGGTTAAGTTGTTCGCAGAGCCGCGGGGCATAGAAAAAGTGGCACTCTTTGGTTTAATCAAGCCGCGCGGTGAGTGTGTACACTTGCATACCGCTGCTTGGGATGCATCAATTCACTTGAGTGTGATGGAGCTTCTTCGCCTTGGGCGGTGTCAAAAGTCGTTGAAGCACTCCTGCACTGGCAGGCAGGTGTGCTCGTAAGAGAACTTTCTTAGTGTGCCACTTCTTCTGTGCCCCGCGTGCCAGATTAAAAGAGCCGCGGCCGCGGGGTTCGCCCAGGGTCCATTTTAAGCCTCGTTTTAGGCTGCGGGCATCACCACCGCAGACACACTCCAGCTGTGATTCACATGGCGCATCAGCTGCCGGTTGCCTCTTTGCTTTCCGAGGTTCCGGTCACCCAAATCTGCCTAGGGAGCCTTAATTCACTGCCCGTCCGACAGCCTTATTCTTTCATAAGCAGCCTTATCACTTGGAGTTCATAAAAGCCTCCCACCCGGTACCCTTCCGCCTGCTCACACTCCCCCAGCCCACCAAACAGCTTCGCTCGAATCGGCAAGCATGGCACTCGAGACTTCCCAGCTGCCCGAGGGCATCTTCTCCCTGCTGGATACGTGAGTACACGCCTAAACAGGCACGCTTTTGAACATGCAGCTGATATGGCGGGGTACGTAGGGATTTGTATAAGCTCACTATGCAATGTAAGTTCGCTGTGAATTTTAGAGTGCTTGCGAGATTGCTAACATCCATGCGCTAGGCTGTGTGCTCAAATACTTCCCAGACGTTGGTCAGTGCCGGCAGGACCTTAACGTAGTCCTTGGACTGATTGGTTACAGCCGTCACATATAGCTTCACAAACCGGACACCGGATATGAAACTCAACAGGGCGGCTTTTAATTGGCTACAGGCCCAGGTAGACAGTGATTCTACCCCACAATATATGCTGGAGAGCTCAGCTAACCTCGAATAGAGCTTGCTCATGTGTCAATGTCCGAGGACGAGCTCCAATTCCTCAGGACTACTTGCACCTACCTTAGCCCGCAGTACCTGTATTTCCTCTCGACCTTTCGGCTACAGCCATCGAAGCAGACCAAGCTATCGTTTAGTCCTATTGAGGGCGCCGGGGGAGACGACGAGATTGGAGACGTTACAATACACATCGAGGGACTCTGGGTGGAAACAATCCTCTACGAGATTCCACTGCTTGCTTTGATCAGCGAAGCTTACTTCAAGTTCTGCGATCGTGACTGGACCTATGCTGGACAAGTTGACAAGGCTCATCAGAAGGGTCTGCAGCTTCTCGAGCCGGGCTGCATCTTCTCCGAGTTTGGAAGTCGGCGACGACGCGACTATCATACGCAAGACTTGGTGATTCAAGGCTTACGACAGGCGCAAGACGACGCCATTCACAACGGCTGGAAGGGGAAGCTCACCGGGACGAGCAATGTCCATTTCGCCATGAAACACGGACTGACGCCAATTGGGACTGTTGCCCACGAGTGGTTCATGGGCGTAGCAGCAATTACGAATGACTACGAGAACGCGAATGAGACTGCGCTGCGGTATTGGGTGGCAACCTTTGGAGAGGGTGTATGTGACTCCACTTGGCCACTTCTATCTACTCCATTGCTAATTGTTTAGGTGCTCGGCATTGCCTTAACGGATACCTACGGTACTCCCGCCTTCTTGAGAGCCTTCAAGAAGAAGATGCCCACGTTCACTACGGCAACTCCCGGGCCAGCTACTACTCTCCCATCGACAACTGCAAACTCACTCGCAACAACAGAGCCGCCAGTTAGCGCGCCGGTAGAGAGCAAATCGACAGGGAAGTCGGAGCCCAGGACATATGCGCAGGTGTTCACTGGTGTGCGCCAAGACTCAGGGGACCCCTTGAACTTCATCAAGATGATGCGCGAGTTCTACGACGAGGAGGGCATTAAGGAGAAGAAGACGGTTGTATTCTCCGACTCCCTCAATGTCGAACTCTGCTTGAAGTACAAGGCGGCGGCCGAGGCGCAAGGGCTGCAGCCGACTTTCGGCGTTGGGACGTTCTTGACGAGTAAAATCAGTGCCTTTGATTTTGTCGCATAAATACTAATCCGATATAGATGACTTTGTGCAAGAGTCGACTGGCAAGAAGTCGGTGCCGCTGAATATCGTGATCAAGATTGCGTCTGCTTCCGGCCGAGCCGCCGTCAAGATTAGCGACAACATCGGCAAGAACACAGGCGACAAGGCAACAGTTGCGGATGTGAAGCGGCGACTGGGCTACGAGGAGAGAGCTTGGGTCGGAGGCGATGAAAAGACACGCTGGGGCAAGGCAGGCGAAACAGCATGATCGCGTTGCTGTCCAAGAGCTAGGTGGAGGCAGGCGTCTATAGATATCCATTTGGCAGTACGGCGTCAGCATAGAGCACCAACCTCTTACCACATTTGGATGAGGTGTAATCAAAAGTCGACGCGTTCCAGTGAGGCGTGGCTGCGTGCGAGGTGTGGCGCAGACCGAGGATTGCGTGCAGCAGTGAATGTCTCATGGCAGTGCATCACGGATTCGCCTTGGCCTCCGAAAAGCTGCGTCGCCTTCTGTCCGTATGTGGGGTGGGTAGCGGAGCAGTAGTGGAGCAGAAGTTCGCGATGGCAAAAGAGCCATGCATGCACCTAGGCAGAATATTAATAGCACAGCCGCGACATAAGCAAACTCGACCCCGGCAAACGCCAACAGACCTCAGCGCGACACGCTATCTGCTACCGCGGCTAGCCTCGCACTGCATTGGGCATCGCGACGTTGTAGCGTGTGGTCAGCTCTCTTCAGCCCCATTAGACACCCCATATTGTGTCCTCAGCCTCAGTCTTTTCCGCACCATTTGATACCCAGAGTCCTCGCAGCTCTCCGCGCTGCCTCTCTCCCTCTGCCATTGCACTGCTACCACGCCGCGCCCACAGCTTTCTGCCGCCTAGATTGTCTCAGGAGTTAGCGTTGCACATACCAACACACGAATCTCGTTTCAGCACTATGAGTGTAAGCGCTCCTCTTTGTTGCACACCTGGACTTTCCTCTCCACTTCTCACTCACCACGTCCTACCTTCCTCTTGCTAACCACTGCTATGGCCCAACAGTACGGCGGATACAGCCAGGTTGGCGGCTACGGCAATGACAACCCCTACGATGAGCGCGCCGACGACCGACAAACGGGCAGGTACAACAACTTTGCCCAGGGCCGATACGATGAGCGTACGTTCATGTCGTCTACAAACATTCCGCTACTCGATACAAGTCTAACGAAACACCACAATAGAGTCCGACGTCGAGATGCAGCCCTTCAACGGAGCCGGCGTCGACCCCAATGCCATTCTCAACGACTGCCGCGAGGTTGACCGCTCGCTCGACCAGATCAACTCCCAATTAGACAATCTCGAGCGGGCCTTCAAGCAGTCCATCGCGCGCCCTGACCAGTCGACGAGCGAGGTCACTTCTCTGAGCTCCCAGGTCATGACCGGGTACCGCGCTCTCGTCAGCCGCGTGAAGAACATCAAGTCGAAGCCTGAGTCTGGCAGCCCCCGCAATGCCCCCCAGGTCGGCCGTGTGGACAGGCGCCTCAAGCAGACCATCAACCGCTACCAAACTATGGAGGCCGACTTTCGAAGAGACTCGCAGGCTGCCGCAGAGCGACAGTACAGAATCGTGAAGCCCGATGCCACCGAGGCTGAGGTTCGCGAAGCCTGCGAGAACCCTGACACCCCTATCTTCCAGCAAGCTGTAAGTATTCAAATGCAACCATCTGCGGCGCGTCTCTAACGTGGTCCTACAGCTGCTCAGCTCTGACCGACGCGGCCAAGCGCAATCGAGCCTCCGAAATGTCAAGGAGCGCCACGAAGCCATCCAGAAAATCGAGCGCCAGATGGTGGAGCTGGCCCAGCTGTTCACCGACCTCGACCAGATCGTCATGCAGCAGGAGCCCCTGGTCATGAACATTGAACAAAAGGGCGAGGAGGTCCACGAGAATGTGGTCAAGGGCAACGAGGAGATCGGTGGCGCTATTGAGAAGGCGAGGAGCCGTAACCGCAAGAAGTGGTGGTGCCTCCTCATCGTCCGTCAGTACCCCCCAGCTCTTCTAGCAGCAACAAAGTCCAAAGCGTCGACGAAACGACTAACAACTGCACAGTACTCATTATCATCGTCATTGCCGTTGTGGTTGGCGTCGTGGTTGCCATCAACAAGAAAAATTGATGCTTCTAGCCTAATCACGACAATCGATTACATACTCCGAGTCAACCCAATTCCTCTCCTAGCCGCTACAAAAGTTTAATACAGCAGCTATGCGGTAGCTCCGCACTCTTCCCACTAAGATATCTCCTTACGACCACTCGATTCCATATCCACCATTGCCACCATATCTTTTTAGTATCAGCAAGGCGGGTCCGGTCCATTGTACAGTACATCTACATCCGGGTGGATATGTGTCTCTGTCCCTTTTCTTATGGCCTCTTTCCTTGTCCCTAAACCGTCATCTTGCCGTGTGCTCTTTTTGCGTTTCGCTGAGAGGGTTGTTGGAAAATGGAATTCCTGTCAACCTCTGCGGCCTGCCTTTTTCCGCTTCTGGATGGAGTCTGTTCTTGGGATCTGCCCTACACCCTTCCCTCGCATCTGGGTGATGTGCTGCTCGCTGGGACGGGTGCATTGTTTGGGAGCACGTGTTATCTGTAGGCTTGCTCAAATCGAGTTTGTTGCTTTCTTGATTCGACTAGACTTGGGGCTGGCCTAGTCAGCGGTGTGATGAGGGCTCCACTGAATGGGTGGTGTTCACCGGAATCGTGAAATTTGAATGTTTGCCTGCACGGGCGTTGGCCAGGGGCTGCTCGGGCTGTGACCGGTATGAGGAATGCCGATCAAATATGTGGAGCTTGGCGAGCAACGGCCGCTATTCGGTACCCTTGTGGAACTGGCTTCACTCACTTCTCAACTTTGTTATTTACCTACCTACACAAACACATCTATGCTGCCCATACTAATGTACTCTACATACTCTCTAGCAGCCTGCCCTAATGTCAACACGGTAGTTGTCCGGCTCATCGACAATTCAGCTGTACTTGAATGAACAGAAACACTCTCAGGAGGAGAACTAGCACCAAGCGCCAAGTCAAATTCCAACTCGACTCCTCCGAAAGCCGCATGATTGGTCAAGATAAGGAGTGGCTCTCTTTCCTTATGCACTCGTCCGGTGATCATCAGCGCGTGGCTCAAGGCTCTCGATGACGGCCCCAATCGTGTCAGCTAGGCATCGTACCTCCTAGCTTCATCCCGCCAACTCATTTCGTCTGCATAGCGAGTACGTAGGTGGGTTTCAAGACACAGACGGCGCCTACGACTTCCCAGGCCTTTGTCTCTTGTGTACTGCAGCCCACGTGAGCTGCATCACTCCCTCAAGAACGCCTCCTCGCCTCTCAAATATGCTCTCCAACAATCAGCATTAGCTATCATCTTACTGTTGGCCTCATACATTGCCCACATCCTATTACCCTCATTTTAGAAGACATTCCATTTGACCGCCATCTTCCTTTTCATACGCCGTAAACACGTCTACCCTTCCGCGGCAGCCGTTGCGATAACAACCTGCATCCATCAAAGTCTCTGCAGCCGATGTTCAAGTAACAGCATGCAACTCCTATGCAAATGGACTGCGTGCTTAGCAAGTCCAATTGCAGCAACCCTAACCGACCTCGGTGTTGAGTCTCCGTCCGGAGACCAACAATGTATCCGGAAATTCTGGACGTGCTGCATTCTCTCAAACGCGAAATCACAAGAGTAGACTCGCGATTTTGGCAACGGGGTCAAGATCATTGAGGGCACCTGGCCATGCGATTTTAGAAGCGTAGACGACGTCCCATTCCACACAGCCGAAATCAGACGCGCGGATCAGACATCTTTTCCCCAGCAACGCGACGTTGACACGAGTCCTTCAGGAAGTTCTCAAGAACGGGGATTCAATGTAACTTTTCAACGCTCTGACTCTACCTAGTCTACTGACCGCGGCTTCTCACACAGCCCCCTCACCACGCCTCACCACTCATCTACCCCCCCCCCCCCCCCCCCCCCCTGATCTTGCAACCCATCTAGTACCCCTTCGGCGGATGCGCCCCATCCGGAATCTCAACCCCAGTATTATAAATCGTGCTCCTCACCAGCCTCCCCCACGTCCTCACAATACTCGGCAAGACCGAGCGCCCGGCATAGCACGCCGTCGTATCCGGCACCGGCAGCGGCACCGACGAGTTTACGCTATTAAACAGCCCCGGGTACGACGTATTGAAGAACACATCCTTGAACGCGGGGGTGCCCGTCCACGGCCGGACCTTCTCGCCCACTTTATCCGCCACGAACTTGTACACATTCGCGCCCACGTCCCAGCGGCCGAGCGTGTGCAGGCCCCAGTTGGCCTCGACGGTCGCGATCTCGGAGAAGTGGTTGTAGTAAGTCGCGTCGGTGGTGCCGACGAGGTGCGCGGGGACGGCGTCGCCGACGAGGATGCCGAGGATCTGGTTCTGGATGGTGTAGGTGTGGTTTTCGTCGAAGGTGATGAGGACGAGGGTGTTCTTGGTGAAGTTTGGGTTGGTGAGCAGCGGGTCGAGGAAGGTGCGCACCCAGGTGCCGGCGGTCGTGACGGAGGTGTCGTGGCCGTCGGACGTCATGTTGGGCGTGATGAACATCCATTGCGGCAGCTTGTCCTCGGCGAGGTCTTTGGCGAATATGGTTAGGTTCTTGATGTGGGCGAGGCGGTTGGGGTTGGCGGCGACGGAGTCGTAGAGGACGGCGGGGTTGTGCTTGCGGACGTAGTCGTTGGCGCCGGTTTTTTGGTTCACCCAGGCGAAGCCTTCGAAGCCCGTGTAGGGCATGTCCTCTTGGTACTCGCCCCAGCTGATGCCGCGGGCTTCGAGGAGGTCGATGACGGTGGAAATGTTGGAGGGGAAGGCGTTGAAGTTGTCATTGCTAGTTGCTGTGAGCGGATGCACGTACGGGAACAAGAACCAGTGTTCCGTATTAAACCTGTCTCCTGCTTGTCGCCCTCGATAGATAAAGGAAGCTTTTGGGATCATAAGAAATAGAAATGAAGGGGCCCATTTCCAGCATGCTTATTTTTATATCCTGTTCAGTTCTGGAAATGGTGTTCGAGCACCACGGGCAATGGCCAGCAAGTGTACACAGACGAATGGGAGAACGTAATACTACAACATAACTCTATGTGCACTGCTTGACGTCACTTTTGATTGATTCGAAGGCTGAATGCTATCATCCGCAGTGACCCAGGATTTTGAAAAAAGACCAAGGCGATTCGAGCAGTGGAAAATCGGTGCACAGGCGTATGATGGAGAAATATGACATGAAAGTAACTTACTCCATGCCGAAATTATCGCCACTGATAGCTGCAGCATAATTGGGCTCGCTCGGGTGGGTAACCGCAAAGTGGTTGGACAGCGTGATGCCCTTTTTGGCAAAGTATGCAAGGTTGGCTATACAGATGTTAGCTGGTTGAATACAAAACACTGCGTGATCTTACGGTCTCCTTTGGCTGTATCGTAGTCCGTGTTCTCCAACCAAATGATGGCAATACGGTCGAAAGCCTTGCCCTTTACATGACTGACGGGGCTCAATGTCTTCGCCGTGGCAGCAGCGGCAGCCACATCGGCAGCTCCAGTAGCTGTGTTCTGGGCCGCTACGGTGCCTGCAAGCAGGAAGAAGGCAAACTTAGAGAGATGCATATTGCATGAAAAGAGCGACAAGGCCGGGGTGCCAAATGATGCGGACAATACTGGCAGGCCACATGGTTCTTAAAGACTGCCGTGAAGAAGCCATTCGCAAAGACGTGGGCTAGGGTGAACGCAGTGCGAGGACTTTCAGACCGCTAGGATCACTCCAGCGGCATCCTAGCGAGCAGGTTCCACGAACCGACATGGTGATTGGCGTAAAGAGCTTCCTTGCGGTGCAGTTCCTGGCAGGTGGGTAATATATTTCCATTGCACGCGCTCCCGGCTCTTGATTTCATTGGCAGCCCTTCGCACCTACTCGATGGAGTGTAGATCATACCGGCTGCGGGGATTCAGCAGCAGAGTAAGCAAGTGGAGAGAGTGTCGTGCTCCTCGCACAGGCCGGGCGGCGATTGTCCATGAAGGTTGCTGGTCAAGCAGCCTGTCCTACGAAGTAATGAGTCGTCCGTGTTCTGATACATCAATGAGTCTTGCTAAAATGACACCTAAAGCAGTATACAAAGTAACAAGTGTCGGTTGTCTTTCTCACATCGAAGTACTTGCTCTTGGAGGTTGATCCGATATCCGACACTTACTATGCTCGGCTTGCGGTTGGTGGTGGAAAAAGAGCTTGGAGACGCTGGCGTCACCACACTAAAGCTTGTGCCCCCACCCCCCCTGGGGATGCTTATTTCAAGGGCTCTTCACCCTCTCGGTGGCCACCCATCCTGCACGTGTTGGCTTCGTGGAACGGAGGCTGAGAACCTTCCGATCCTTGGACCCCTCGAACGGGTAGGTCGGCCTGCTGGGATGCTATCTGCGTGTCAGCCCTATTCTTCTTCTGCGCTGCGGACTCTCTTCGTCGTTGAAAGCAATCCTACTACGAACCTTCGCAGACTTGTTGCCGTCGCACTTTTCTCCATGTCCTGACTCTGCGCCGAGCATGCCCAATGAAGAGGCATCACAGGATCGTCTTCACGATGAAGAGCTAAATTCCGACGATTCTGTCAGCCGATTGAAACATGATGCGTTCCTCTCCCACGAGGACGCAGAACAACATGACGACCCCGCGCCGGACTACCATGGTTCTTCCAGCCGGTTGAATCTTGTCCCAGAGCACGAGGCTCTCCTCTCGCACGAGGATGTAGACTACGACCATGGTAGTGATAGCGAGAGCTTTGAGATGGAAACCTTCCACGCTACCGGCGAGGGCTGGGAGAAACGGCCCCAGAAGCAGAGAATCCTGAACAATTGCTTTAGATCAAAATGCTCCTTGGTCATCGTCGCCATAGCCGCACTGGCTCTCGCCATATTTGTCGCCGTATTCCTGCTCCGCGATGAACTCCGTCCTTTCATCGGTGGACACCGACTCGAGTCCCCGCAAGCCTACCTCCTCGACCCGAACTGGGACTTTACTGCTACATCCACGAGACGAGACTACACCTGGGTTATTGAGGACGTGGAGCGGAACCCTGATGGAGTGTATAGGCCTATGATGGTTATAAACGGACAGTTTCCAGGACCATTGATAGAAGCCAATGAAGGAGATACTATTGTTGTACAAATTATCAACAAAGCTACCAATGCTACGTCAATACACTGGCATGGATTGTACCAAAGTACGTGAAATTCTATATTGTGATACCGAGCCGATGTACTGACTTTGTGCTAGATGGCAGCAACTGGATGGACGGCACTGTGGGTATCACTCAATGTCCCATCGCCCCTGGAGCGAACTTCACATACGAGTTTCGAGTAAACGGACAATCCGGCACTTATTGGTATCATGGACACCACAGCGTCCAATCGTCAGATGGTCTCGTTGGTCCGCTGATCATACACTCCAAGGACGAAAAGGCGTTACAAAATATCGAGTATGAGAGTGATCGAGTGGTCATGGTGCAGGACCATTACTACGACCTTTCTGGTGCCCTGATTATGGACTACCTGAAGCCAGATCGCGAGAACGCCGAGCCTGTGCCCGCTGGCGCTCTAATCAACGGGCAGAATATCCGGAACTGCGCCGATCTGCCCAACCGCAAGTGCGACAACTCGACCGCTCGCCTTGCAGAATTCAATTTAGAGCCGGGCAAGAATCATCGGCTGCGCTTCATCAATGTCGGAGCGTTGGCGACTTTCCAAGTCCAACTAGACGAACACGAATTCGCTATAACGGAGGTTGACGGGACGGACGTATTACCTCAATACTACCACCGGCTCAAGATTCAACCCGCCCAAAGATACAGCATCGTTGTAAATACAAATGTGACCACTGGAGAGGCGTATTGGCTGCGAGCGCGTATGGTCACCCATTGTTTTGCCAAAGAGAACATCGAGATGGCGGCTGAAGTTTGGGGAATTGTGAGATATACCTCGTCCAGCCCTCTTCTCGTCAACGTTCGTCCTTCAAGTCGCGACTGGCCCGAAACCATCGAGCTTGACTGCAGCGACATGGACACCTCAGGACTCCGCCCAGCAATAGCTATTCCAGCCCCTACAATGGCTGATGATGTTTTGTATCTGAGAGTTAACTTCGAGATTGGTGCTTGGAAGCTGTCTCGAGGCTTTTTCAACGCAAGCTCCTGGCGGGCTCCCGTGTCCTCACCCACGCTCAATCGCCTTCTCGACGGCTATACCACCTCCAACGAGTCTTTCACATCTTCTCTGTCTAGTCTGTTTGGCTACAATTCGGCCGCATTCGCTACACCACGCGAACTTGTCTACCAGACGACAGGCATTCGTACTATCGACATCCTAATGCAGAATTTCAACGAAGGTAGCCACCCCATGCATCTTCATGGCTACAAGTTTTGGGTCCTGGCACAGGGACATGGCTACCCTCCAAAGGATCTCTTCAGTACCCTGGATCTTACCAATCCACTTCGGCGTGATACGGTTGCCATAGAGGCGTTTGGGTGGACCCTCCTGCGCTTCACCGCTGACAATGCAGGCATATGGGCATTTCATTGCCATCTTTCGTGGCATGCGGAAGCGGGGCTACTGATGCAGTTCTTGACTAAGGCGGACGAGGTTGCGAAGTGGTCGCTACCGACTGAGAATCTGGGGTTGTGTGAATTGGAGGGCCATGAGAGAGGGAAGGGCCCTGATGATGAAATATGGTACGGACATCCATCGTAATGAAGGGAGTAAATAGACTTGTCATACACGATAATATGCTATGCCTCTTAATGAGATTCGAAGACTGTATGAACTATAATGAAGACTTGGTGAAGAGGAAAAATGCTTGCTACTGGACGTCGAAACCCCCAAAAAGCCAAAAGCGACTTCTTAAGGTCTACTTTACTCAGACCAGTATAGGCATGTCGACATGGCTTCAAACGGGCGATAATTGTTGGTGTTGAGTTTTGCGGGACCGTTTTCAGCTAGCGCGCAATGAACCACTGACGCATGCGATGCAGGGGTCGCGAGCATCACCAGCATCATTCAAGTCTCGGCCCGGCTCTACCAAAGAATCCCCTCCGCCCTACATTCACCTGTTCGATGCTGCTTCTCACCTCTCCCCTCTAACACAGCCGACGGCGACCGACAAAGTCTTCCCAATAAGGCGGCCATGCAACCTCCCCTGGCCGATACTCTTGCTCCTGGAACCTCCCGAGGCGGCAGTTCACGTCATGTCCCCGTCGCCTGCTCCACCCAGTGAGCCTCGATCCTCCATCTCCTCCGACCCATCGGCCACGTCGTCCTACACTCTAAATTCAAGATACTCGGGCGCCCATGCCGACAATGGCGACGGCAGTTCGACCCCCCGCCGGGAGTCGTCCGTACGGCCCCGCAGCCACGCGTCACCTGGGGACCATTCCGCGGCGTCTCCGAGTAAATCGAACAGTTCTCTGGAGCAGGAGCGTGTAGAAGAGCAGGACTTCGCGCACCGCCGGCATAGGATGCGGAGGTCTGGTGGGTTTCTCCTGGATTCCGCTTTCCCCTCAGCATCTGGATCGCGAGCATTGTCGCCTGGCCGACAAGATGACACGAATGATGGGGACAGACATACATTGCGGCCGCCTCAAGATGCTAGCAGAGTTGGGCGGGTGCGACGGGAGAAGGCTCGATCTTCTGGTAGCTCGCCTCTGTCGCGAGAGCTCGATATCACGAGTCAAGTGGAGGGCAATGGCGGCTTAAGAGAAAGGAATCATGATACAGAAAATGGGAATTTGCGTGTTGCCAAAACGAGGAAGAGTCGAGGAGGAGTACAGGCGGAAGATACACAAGCAGCGGAAGAAGACTATGCGCCGCCGCCTAGAGCAGCGATAGATCCCCATCAGATTGTCAACATGGCTCTGAATCTTAGCGAGAGTCGGAAGAGGAACCTCGGTGCTGGGCAGCTTGTTGTGCCGAGTTCGCCTCCCTCCCGCAGGCTCACGTCGGCTGGACAGCCTCCATCAGCGAACTTCCAGAGACACGGCGCAGGAGGAAGCCTTCGGCAGCATCTCCAGCAGCAGAGACGCATCTCAAGGAACATCTCTCCAAGTACGGGCAGGGAACCTTCATCCGTCTCCCGACATCTCTCAACTTCAAGTTCGAGGGTTCTCTCAGGACCGGGTCCGGCTTTACAGGGGTTGACGTTTTCGCCAATCACCATAGAACGGAGAGACAAAGCGAAAGCATACATAGAGCTGTCGATGGAGTATCTTCGCTTGCTGGAATGCCTTCCTCGGTTGAAACCAGACGCTTCTGCTCCGGGGAACTACATAATATCCTCGAACAACGTACCCGGAACCATGCAGGTCGACTTATCCCGTGTGCCGTCAAATGCAAATAGTAAATATCCTCTCGGCAGACCCTACAATCCCTTACAATACATCCGCAACCGTCGCACGCGAGCTCGAGAACGCAAGACGCTCGGCCATCACTCAGAGGAGTTCGAAGATGTGGACAGGGTCAAGAGTTGGATAGATGAAGTAGAGAAAAAGTCTGAAAGCCCTGATTATCGCCAACAAGACGTTGTATTACTACCGAAGTACCACGAAGACCATGCGGACAAAGATCCTGCGCCTAGTAAGCCAGCTAGGCCTCGCATGGGATGGGTCTTCTCTCCTGCCGAACTTCTTGCCGATGCATATTGGCTTGAGCAAAATGATAATAAGAGCGTCATAGAGGATCGCTGGGGAAACAGAATCTTTGTCCCGAAGAAGCAGATCGATTACTTGCGGCCTCGTTCCAGCAAAGAATACCCTGACAAGAGGAGGAAAAGCTGGATTGAGCCTATCATTACTGGAACGTCATCCGAACCTCATACCGGGGATGAAAGTGATGGGCTGAGCGACCGTGGTAGGAAGCGCCGCATGCTCATTGCCAGTCTTCGTGGAGATAGTAGCCCCGGACGTCCCAAAAAACACGGATGGCGCAGAACCAGGACAGATTCGAGAACCTCTTCAGACACGTCCGAATCCGAAAATGGGTCCAGCGGCCGGAAGGCCGGAAAACCAAAGCTGGTCACATCGAGTGACATGAATATAGGGCCGTTGGAACGTCATATGAAGGAGATGCTAGACAAAGAAGCACAGGAGGCTGGGATAGCTTCTTCCCCAAGCGTGGGATCTCCCGATAAATGGGGCGAAGGCCATCCCATCATAGCAAATGATATGGTTGGATTAGACGCTGGTGCTAGCGGAAAGACATTAGAAAAGCAAGCAAGTATCGCTAAACCTGACGACGAGATACCGCCTGCCAAGAAACGACCTACTGAAGTTATCATAACCCCAGATACGGGTCCAGAAACCCGTTCCTCGTTTGAAGATCTCGATACAACGGAGCCCAACACACCCGTACTCAGGAAATTCTTACCCAGTATTGGTCTTGATTTATCACCTCCTCCTAGTCGGCGACCATCTCCCTCGCGCAAACCAAAGAAGTCGAAATTCGACTTATTCCGTTCTGATGGAAGCATCAAAGCTCAGACTTTGGATCCTGATTCTGCTACAGACGAACACAAGAGAAGTTCCCGACAACCGAGTGGCGAAAGTGTTGAGGCAAATAGCTCTGGGACCGCTAAGATATCAGCACCTACTGCCGTCAAGAATCTCCTTACACACAAAAAGAATGACAGTGTTGGAAGTCTGGCGATAAGCCCGGAGAAGAAAAGCAGGAAGGATGGCAAAGAACCCAAGGAAGGAAAGGAACCCTCTTCGGCTGTCACTCGTTTCTTCAAAGGTGGCCGAATCGGGGAATTGGTACGATATGAAGGGTCTAGAGTTGGCGACTTCATCTTCAAAAAGGACCCGCCCACTGAAGACTCAGACTCGTCATCGTCAAGTGGCAGTTCCCTCGAAGACTCAGAAACAGAAGAAGGACCTGAACTATCATCCCAACATTTACGGCCAAAACCTGTGCCCCGAACTACAACGTCTGGCACTGCTAACAGTCTCACGGGGGGGAAGAGCGGGTACCACTTGGAACTTCCAACTTTTCGATCTGCCACACTACCTGAACAGGACGATTCCGACCAAGGAGACGCAACAGACTCCCAAATACCTGATCACCACATCTACCATCAAGCTCTGCAGCGCACTAACTCTCGCTCTTCCCGCTTCTCTCGCCTTGCGCCCCCTCCAATGGATCTGAGCTCCATACACTCCTCCCCTGCACACTCACGCCCGCGCTCGCCAAGCAGAACCCGCGCACGACTAAACGCCATCCTCGATCGTCCCGGCCAAGTCGGCCGCGGCGGCCTCCCCTTTACCGCCCTAGCGAAACCAAACCCTTCCCCCTCCCCCAGCCGCCAGCGCAGCTCCTCCCGCCCCAGCCTCGCCAACAAACGCCACTGGAGCATCACCGACAGCAACTCGCCCTCGCGCCTCCCCGCCTCGTCCGAATCCGCCGTCACCACGGCCGACATCGCCCGCGTGCGCGCCCTCCTGCTCTGCTCCGGCATCAAAGCCCGCGAAATCGCCCGCCGCGCCCACACGCCGCGCTCCCCGCCCCCGAGCTTCCTCACCCGCGCCGCCCAGACGGCCGGCGCCAAGCTCATCCCCGTCAGCAAGAAGGAGGAGCACGTCCTCGCGGCGCGCATCCTCGTCCGCTCGCTCGAAGTGTCGACGCAGCGCGTCCATGAGGCTGCCGAGCACTTCCGCAACGAGACGTGCAAGGCGCTCGTCGCGCGCGTGGCGGCGCTCAAGGCGAAGGTGGAAGAGGAGCTGTTCCCGCGCGTGCACGCGAGCGGGGACGAGGCGCTGGCGATTACGGGCGAGGTGGCCGGGCAGGCGCCGCTGCTTGTCAAGGGGGTTAGCGATCGGGTGGATGCTATGATGCGGATGCGGAGGCGGCGGATGAGGTGGGTGAGGCGCGTGGGGTGGATGCTAGTGGAGTGGGTGTTGTTGGGGGTTATGTGGGCGCTGTGGCTGATTGTGGTTGTGGTGAGGCTGGTGAAAGGGGTCGGTGTTGGGGTTGTTAGGGGGGTGAGGTGGTTCCTTTGGCTATGATTTCTTGGTGGGTATTGATTGGGCCTTTTGAGGCGCTTTGCCCTTTTCCATTTGTATCTCTTGGGTCAGTGTTATTCCAGCGTTGGCGTTAGGGGGGATTTGACTGTATGAATATGTAAAGTCAAGGGGTCACTCGGCATATTTCGGCGTTGCAATCGCGAGGTATTTTCTCAGCGGGAGCTTTTTCAGAAGCACTTACATCATAAGCATCGACCAAGCAGGAAGGGTAACTATTCATTCTCGTAACATGTCGTTTTAGATATACCAGCCTTACGCCTTTTAATCAAGCATTCGAACACTACTTTTGATAGATGGATGAGCTAGAACTCGGTCCACGTTTTTCGTGAACCAGTTTACCGGATCACGATCTCGACCGCAACCTCGTTGCTCCAGCCGGCCTCGGAGTCCGTCTCCTTCCACGCCTTGACAACATCGATTTCAAGGATATTAGGACAGACGGCGTTGATTTTGACGCAGTCGAGCGGGATGGGTTTGCCGAAGAGGAGGGCCATGAAGTCGTTCTCCAGAGAGCGTTTCGGGAGATCGGAGATGTACAGGCCTATCTTTGTGTGAGCGTGATTTGAACGATAGACTTTAGGATGGAAGGAAAGAACTCACCATAAGTACCCAACGCCTTCAACGACGTCCAGACCTTCAGCCTCCCGGATGTCCGATCAATATGGATATCAGTATTCACGATAGCAGCAGCGCCTGTCATCTTGCCTATCAAACCTAGGTTGGCGACGCTGATGGATGATGGGCCGTCTGCGGGTTGGTTGCGCTGCAGCTCGAAGTCATGAACAGGGAAGGCAGAGAGGATCTCCCATCCCTGGACTGGGAGGTTGAGCAAGGCGCAAGGATCATCTCCATTGAGGATCTGGCTGCTGACTTGGGAAGTAGTGTGGCTGCGGATGATATAGCTGCCTTCCTCAGTCCCTGGGAATTGATCGAGTCGGAGCAGTTCGGAAATGCTGCGCTGCGAGACGTTGAAGACGCCGAGGATGCCGGTTCCGGTGTGGGCCATGCCGACGTATGTCCCGATCTTGAGCAATGCGGGCTCATCGTAGCTGCTGTATGCTTCGATGCTCTTTCCGACGGTGTGAGTGCGCAGGATGACAGTGTTGCCGCGTGGGGTTTTCGCCGTCATTTGATGGATGAGGTCGACGTCGTGCTTCCCGGGAACGTCTGTGATGTAGATTGGTCCTCCGGAGACGCAGCGTGCTGCGGCGTGGAACGAGGCCCAAGGATGTGATGTTTGGAACATGTCCCAATCCGGCAGAACATTTAGATGCTGGGTGAAGAGAGAGTTGTGCGCGTTGCAAAAGATGTGCCAGGGGTGTGAGGCAGGGACTTCTGGGAAAAAGTCGTCCGAGTTGCGGACCATGATCTGGGGCTTGTTGAACGGCATCTGAGAGTGGAAGAGAATTTGTGGCGTCTGCGACATGCAGGAAATAGCTTTAGCGGAGAAATAACGCAGGATGTTTATGGACCACGCGTCTTGATATGTACGGATCAAGGCCCTCCTGTCGGTGGCATCGTCAAGCTCGTCCAGGAAAAACTGAGCATCCGTCTTGACCGAGTCAACTCCCGTAGAGCTAAGGAAGCTATAGAAGTCTTGATAGAACCGCGGTACATCCTCTTCGGCTACAGCGAGCATCTTGCCTCCAGAAACGCCACCCTTCTTCTGTACAGTGACAGTTTTGTACTCTTTCGCAATCTTGCCACTACGGAAGGTTAATTGTAGTAAAGAACGATTTGACTGAGAAACCTACTGTGGAGAGATGCCGCCCCAATATCCGAGTATTGCATGCCAGACGGCAATGTGCTTGATATTTTCGTTTTTGGAGCGAATGTCGGCCACTGTCCTTTGGAGACCTCTGGGGAACCCTCCCTTGTTGGCTTCAAACTCCATCCAGGCATTTTTGAATTGGTCGCCACCTTCTGTGTCCAGTGACTGCCAGTTATCATCAATGATGAGATTTGTGATGTTGATCTCATTCTTCTTGAGCGAATCTAGAGCTGTGAATATTTTATCCTCGGTGAGATTTTGCCCGATTCCGTTCCATGTGCAGTACGTAAGTCCATCATACCAATTTTCTAGCCACTCCGGTTTGATCTCGTCATCCCCCTTAGCCTTTTCTTCTTTCGAAGCCTCACCCGAGGCTAGTGCGTACTTCATCACCAACTTCCGAGCGTAATACATGACGGCCGCATTGGCAACCTCGAAAGACTGAGCAACTGCAACAACGAGTCGGGCAACGCCTTGGCTTTCGCTGTCATTGCGTGAATTCATGACTATTCCCCCGTTTCCGTCGTGATGGAGTGTAGTCAAGACGTCATCAACACCACTGACCGCGAGTATGACCAAATGTGAGCCATCCTGACGAAGAAAAGATGCTAATACAGCTTCCTTATCAGGATTGAAGCTGGTTTGCCCTTGTCGAGGTGCTAGCCATGGACTCCATAGTCGCACCAAGGAGAACCATCTCAAGAAGTCTGTAGGCCGGCCAAGCTTGTTAATAGAGAATCCGGAAGCTCTACCAGATGCCGCGCTAACGGGGCTAGTGACGGACCACAAGAGCGTCTCTGGAGTCTCGCTTTGTTCTTCATCAATTTGAAGGTACGGAGGCAAGTCTGCTATGTAGTCGGATAGGTCATGAGCTTGTAGTCGTAGAGATTGATAGAGCAGCTGGCCATCCGAGGTTGAGAACTGATCATTAGCCCATTTCCACGCCTCGTCTTCACCGGCTCGGAAGGTGATTGTGAAAGAAACAGGGGCTATGCGTCCAGGATTGTTCTTCAGCGCAGTAGTAAACCATTGGTGCTTTACATTGGTGCCGTTTTGACCAAGTACTAGCTTTGGACTCAATCAGCCTACGAGGTCTCCTTCGACTACTTAAGAATTGAATCATCGTACCGTAGATGTAGGCCGCTCAATTGGATCGAAAGGAACACTTTCCCACTTGGTTGGGTCATTACAGTTGGTCCACAATGCTACATTCCATCTCTTCTCCGCAGAACTCTCAATCGCAACGGTAAATTGGACCTGAGCGAGGTTAATGCGGCCACCATAGATCAGTGAAGTTTAGGAACAGAACTTACATCTCGAGCCTGACCAACGACGGTTGCCTTCCCTAGCGGAGGGTTGCATATTATCTTAGCGTACATGATGAATGGCCAAGAGAGAAGAGTGAGAGGGAATCGATCAATTGACGTCAGTGGATAGTCAACATATACCTACTCTCCCTCTGCACTGGAGGTGGTGAGACGAATGGGGTACCTCCGGCTGTGTAAGGGTCAAAGAGCAGTCTGGTATTTCAGTAAGTTCAGACGGAAGCAGTCGTTGAGCGATGCGTTGTCGGTGTAAGGCAGAGGTAGTGGCGCCCCTGTCCAACGCTACGTCCAATCTAGTCTAGGCACGGGAAGCGGAAAAGCAGTCGGGCCGGGCCATGAAATCGCGGAAATCCCAACGCGACTTTTCTTGAAGGGTGATGGGACTGTTCTGCCAATGGCCGCTGCATCCTTTTTCAAGCACTTAGCTCGACCGCAGGCATACATCTGCAAAGACTGCATTCGATATGGTGCCATAGCCAGGCAAGCAAGGCGAGCCATCAGTGATGGATGGCTCCGCAAGACCGCCGAAGCAGAGATCGCCTGGAAAGAGCAGAGCAAATTGATCGGGGCAGGCGAGAAACAGAGCACGCTGGCAGTCCTCGAGGAACGTGGATTTATCAAAGATATTGCTGGGTAGGTTGTCTCCTTGCGAGCATTGTCTTACCCAACTCATACCTCTCCCAGGGGGCGAGACGAGCTGGACAATCTCATGACGAACAAACGAATAGGCGCATACGTCGGTGTAGACCCTACGGCACCCTCACTGCATGTCGGACACCTTCTTCCACTCATGGCCCTATTCTGGATGTATCTACATGGCTTTGGTTGCACTACACTGGTCAGCATAATCATCTTGATATTGGAGACAGGAAGTTGACAATAGGTAGTTAGGAGGAGCAACGGCGAAAGTCGGAGACCCATCAGGTAGATTGAGCGCTCGTGATGCTCAAAAAGCGGACAGCCAGAAAATGAACATGATCGCCATGCATGTGCAACTCAAGAAGCTCTGGAGCAATGTGGACGCCCTCGCGGGGAGATTTGGTTACCAAAAAGAGTGGGCATGGAAAAGAGCACTGCTGAATAACAACGCGTGGTTAAATAAGCTCGGTATCACCGAGGTGCTTAGAGATCTAGGCCCAGGGCTAAGACTCGGGACCATGCTGGCAAAAGACACGTACGTTCTCTCCAGTACCTTTTCAAGGGCCTCATTAACCGCAGATTAGCGTCAAGACAAGGCTGGAGAAGGGAGACGGTATGTCTTTCGCCGAATTCTGCTACCCTCTCTTACAATCATGGGACTGGTGGCACATGTATCAAGCGAACGGAATACAATTGCAAATCGGCGGATCGGATCAGTATGGAAATATATGTGCCGGTATGGACGCCATCAACTACATGCGAAAGACATACCATGCTCCTCACCTTCGAGAAGGCCTTGATGGACCACTGATGGCACCATTTGGATTCACGACGCCCCTCCTCACCACATCTTCAGGGGAAAAGTTTGGGAAAAGTGCAGGCAATGCTATTTGGCTAGACCCAGAGATGCTCAGCTCCTTTGATCTATATGGGGTATGTGAGAAAACTTTGCAAGTTCTCAAATTCAGAACTGATGTGAAAGTTTAGTTCTTCGTGAAATCCTCCGATGACGACATTGAGCGTTACCTCAAGCTGTTCACATTCATTCCTCTCCCACAGATCAAGTTGGTCATGACACACCACATGACACAACCTGAGCAACGACACGCTCAGCACCTAGTTGCCAAGGAGTTTGTCTCACTTGTCCATGGGGTGCCGGCAGCAGAGAAAGCGGAAAAAGAGCACAAAGCCTTATTTGCCGGAGGGTCTAAAACCCTGAACTTGGATGCTCTCCGGAATGCTCCTCGGAATCCCGGGAAAGCATCTCCTAGCCCTCAGGAAGACATGTCAATGTCACTCAATAAGTTTGCCCCGCAAGTAAACGCTCAAAATGCACCTCAGAAATACACCTCTCTACCTAAGTCATTAGTAATGGGGTCCGCGTTCCCCCAGATCTTGTACTCTGCCGGCCTAGTCTCCTCCCGCAGCGAAGGTCATCGCCTAGTAAGCGCCCAAGGCGCTTATGTAGCTGGTCAGCCCGACGGCGATAGCATTGGTAACTCACTGAATTGGAGCGCGATGAAGCACTTCGAGACGGACAAGCCACAAAAGTATATTCTTGACGGGAACTTGCTGGTGGTGCGAGTAGGGAAATGGAACATCAGGATGTGCCATATTCTAGAGGACGACGATTTCGAAGCCCAAGGTCTGACTTGTCCGGGATGGGAGGAGTTCAAGGAGAGGGAGAAAGCGAAGGCGGATGCAGCGACCGGAGTAGGGAGCTCGCCACTGTTTCCCATGTAAGTATAGCTGTACAGTATCGATTCTTGTAATATATTGTATGATTGTACAGAATGAGTACGTACGAGTCTGCACAGTTTTGTCCTGGTCACCGTCCAAAGAGGAAGAATGGGTCTTCATAGGTCTGTGTAAATTTTCTTGTCACTATCCTGAGCGACTCTGCGCTCTCAAGAAGATGGAATTGAAGCTTTTTCGATCGATCGGTAAACGCTCCGGGGTACCTAAGACAGTTGTAGACGGTTTGGAGGAGAAACGTCGCGCCCGCATCATATCGATCTAACTGAAGCATCACAAGAGGTGGTAGTAGGTCGCACACTGAGCAATGGTGAGGCACTGTGTCTTAGAAATCCGACGTCTGTATCATGTCTTTTTTTTGGTGGTAAAAAAACATCCGCTCAGGAGTCAGGCTGCCTCCTGAGATTGAAGAGAGTGGTTAAAACAAATTGCTAACATACTGCTTAGATCTCGGCACGCACCCTCGAGAGGATCAACACGGCGTGCGGACTAGTATTCTCGCTGTGCATTGCCTCCCACGTTTCCGCGAGCTCCACCTCAGGCAGCCTCTGCCAAGCTTTGATGACCCAAACGGGTTAGTCCCGCAGTTCTCAAATAAACAACACCACGACGCTTTCTCCTCCGCCCACCTTGATCTTCTGTCTTGTTTACTTCTTCACCTCCGAGCAGAGGCGTCAATGGACAAGCCATCGCTGATTGTGAAGCTCAAGTTCAAGAAAGGACCAGCCGCTCGAGCTGTTCAGCGGATACTCACGATGTCTCCACCAACCGAACCTCCTGCCAACGCGTCTGCGAACTCGTCCAGCCCCGCGCAAGTGCGAGCCAGACACATGAGTCTTGAACATCGTGTTCTAACACGACGGGCACGCGACGACATAGAGCTCCGACCGAACACTGAGTCCCGGATCACAGTCAAGCCGAGAAACTTCTCGTCAGGGGCTATCACGACTGCTGGAGGATCTTCATCAGCAGGCGGATACGACAGTGCACGAATCAATCAATCAAGCGATATGACGCACCAAGGATCTCAGTTGTTAGATTTGCAGAAGGAATTGGAGGACTTGCGGAAGAAGCTTCAAATGAAGGATGCTAAGATACAGAAGAAAGATGATGAGCTACTCAAGAAGAACGACGAGATATTGAAAGCCAATGCTGATATACATCGGAAGCTTGTTGAGATACGGAACATGAATGATGAGATGCAGAAGAAAGATGCTGAGCTGCAGAATAAGGAGGGTGAGATCCAGAAGAATCAGGACGAGATCCAAAAGAATCGCGATGAGATCCAGAAGAATCATGATGAGATCCGGAAGAATCGTGCTGAGATCCGGAAGAGTCGCGCTGAGATATGGCGGAAGGGGATTGAGTTACATGAGAAGGTTGGTGAGATACGGAAAAAAGACGCTGAACTGCAGAGAAAAGACGCGATGCTGCATACCAACGAGACCGACATTCGCAATAAACAGGGCGAAATGCGGCGAAAGGATGAGAGCATCGCCTACCTGCTGGGTCATGCTTGCAGGACCAGCGTTTCTGAAGGTATGTGTGGAGCCCGCTAGAAGTCTGGTAACTCGTTTATCACTGCTTGGTGTGTTTCTTTGGGATGTCAAAGATCAGCTTTCGATCTGAAGCATGCTCCGCCGGATTTGATCTGGCCTTCGAGGTCGCTTGATTGGCTAGCTCCGGAACGGAACGGCTTCAGATCGTGGTATTTGGCTCCTAAAAGAGGCATCCAAGCACTGAGATACTCGTTCGCCTAGACTTATAGCCTAATACTCTCTAAATGACGTTATACTAATGACGAGAACAGATCTTCCCCTGTTCATTCAAGGACTCGCCGCACAGCATCGACCGAAAGCGGAGGACCTCGCGATGGGCATCGCCTCCAAAATGGAGATTCTCTTAACTTCTACTGATAATACCAAATGGACTGATGCGTTTAAACTGGTTCCATCAATCATGGGCTTGCAAGGCGCTGATTCGCAGATTCCGTGGAACTTAGTTTGGCAACTACTGATCCACATGACGGATCTACTTCACTCAGCCACACTCCCGAATCGGCTCATCGATGGCTGTGCTGACAGAGAGCACTTCAAAGAGCTAAACAAAGCTTTGACTACAGCCTTCACGTCGGCCGACAAACCGGAGACCTTGGATCTGACACAAGCCTGCTGGCAAACATGGGCGCGAGATTGCAGAGGCCTGGTTCACAAAGATCTTTCCCATTGGGCTCTTCCAGGCCTTGCCATAGGTGAAAACCACATATACGGTGGTTGCTTATTGGCAGCACGTGAGTGGTACCGCGTTACAGCTGGAGAAGAGGGCGAGATAACTGACATGACAGCTTTCGATCATGCTTTTTTTGACAAATTCAAATACACTGGACCATGCCACGCGCACGCCGCGTGCCAGCGATGGGCTAACAAGGCGAACGGATGTGGATCGAAGTGCCCAAAGGCGACGTACTCCTGGGAGGCTACGCGGAACAAGGAGAAGAAGGAGCTCGAAGAGCTTGCTAAGCAGAGGGAGCGGGATCGGATTGAGGAGCTCGAGCAGATTGCTAGGCAAGAAGAGCGGGCTCGGAAGATAGAGCTGTTGAAGCGCAAAGGAGAGGAGCTCGAGTCCCAGAAGCGCAAAGTCGCTAGATACGAAGCCAACGTCCGGAAAGAGCACGACGAGCTTGAGTCCCATAAACGCAAAGTCGCCGAACACGAGGCCACCGTCCGAAAAGAGAACGAAGAGCTGGAGGCTTGCAAGCGCGAGTTTGACAAATGCGACGAGAATGTCAGAAAGGAGCTCATGGTCCTCGAAGTAGAGAGAAAGGCCATCAAGGAGCGAGAGGAAGAATTGAAACGAATGAGAGAAGAACTCCACCAGATGAAGTAGCTCTGAACCGTACAGCTTCCTTGTACATACCTAGGATAGTATAGGGCTAGGAGAATAATGTGTAATCATTCAATTTCCAATCTGCGTACACGCTGTTGACGCTGTCTGGGGTAGCCTCGCGAGTTTACTGGTTGTCCAAAATGTCGAACTTCTCTCTTATTCAGAATGCTGAAAGTACTACGAAGCTTGTCATGCAGCGGTAAACGAGTGTACGGATCTCTTTGACAAGGCATCGTACAGACCTTGCGAAGGTCAATCAGCATGACCGTGTCGATGCCATTCAGCCTCGTCTTCTCCAAAGCTCGTACAATCTCCGTAGTGAGAGACTGTTCCGAGCGCTACTTTGCTGGTGAAAGCGACCATGATGTGATTCTGCTACAGTAATTGGTCATAAGTTTAGGTAGACGGATATATCGCTGCTCCGGCTCCACTCTTGCTCGCTCGACAATACTGTAAGGAGTACCCCAGCTAGCAGTTATTCACTTCGCCAAAAGCAACTCTGATTTTCACTACGTTAGGCTTACATGCGTGTTTGGAGTTTTGGGAGCCTATCGGGGTACCCCAAGAAGTTGCAGGGAGTGCCCAAACTTATGTCTTGGTGCTGTACCTTCACTTCCCAAGAATGACACCCCTTACCTTCTCCGCCGTATCCACATCCACTATTCCCTCCTCGACCATTCCCCGTAGCACATCATCCACCTCCCCTTCCCTCCAATCAAGCCTGACCACCCCATCGCCATTCCCCTCAATCTCGGCCTTCAACACTTCTGCGACCGCGGCCTTGATCTCCGCGATCTTGGTTTCTCCACCAGCCCGCACCCCCCAAGCCTTCGCCCCTCGAAAGAAGACACCTGCGTTCTTAACTAACACGCCCTTCGCGTTAGCTTCACTCGTAATTCGCAACCGGGAGAGCTCCAAATCCCCTCTGGCGAGAAAGATTTCTGCCACTCTTGCCGGCTGCAGCTTCACCGCTGAAGCGGGTGCTGTGAGCCGTGCCAGGAATGTCTGCGCTCGTGAGAGCGCTGTAGCTTGTGCCTTGACACGCTCGGAAGCTGGTTCACTGGATAGCGTATCCATGAGCGCGGATGCGAAGGCAATGAGGGCGTCAGCGTGGGCAGAGAGCGTATTGACGGTGCTTGGGGTGAGTGCGGTTGTAGAGGGAGGGGTGAGTGGAGCGAAGGCAGTGGACAGGTGGGTGGAGTATGTAGCGAAGGGGAGAAGGCCGCTGCGGTAGGAGGATTCAAGCAGAGCTGCGCGGAAGGTAGCAGCTGCAAGGAGGGCGTCATCCTGGATTGGTGTTTGAGGGTCCGAGGAGGCGGTGGGGCCGATGGAGAGGGAGAGAGAGGGCCCTGTAGTATTTTGGGACTCTATCGAGGGCGCGGGAAGAAGCGAGATATATTGGGGGATTTTAGTGGTAATGAGCGGGGTGGCAATTTCTGAGAGACGATCTAGAGTTGATGCATCAGTTGGAAACGAGATGCTGACGAGTGTTGATAGTGAATTGAGGTGGGCCACGACAGTTTCGAGGAGGTCTGACGGAGTGACGGGTTCGAGGACCGTTGCCCAGTCTCCCGGCGCATCTGAAGATGTCGATGATGTATCCATAGCGTCTGATGCAACTCCTGTGATTGGCGGAGATGGATCGATTGACACACCTCCGTCTGCCTCCTGTGCGTTTGCTTCCTCGATCTGCTGTTGCATCTCTGAGTAATCATGTTCCTGCCGGGCAAGACATTTGGAGAACATTTGGACGGCGTCTTTCAGAAACGACTTCGCTATTGCCTTATTCGGCTCTGCATCTGTATCCGTTTTGGAACTCTCGATGAGTGACTCGGCCAAAGATGTGAGCACTTGGCCCATATTGAACTGGACGTCCGCATTGTCCGGATTGAGATTCAGAGCTAGTCGATGTGACTCCAGTGCTTCATGCAGTAGATCTAAGATGTTGCCCAGCTGCGGTGCCAGGCGAGCATCTTGGGTCAATTGATATTCGAGATTTGCCCTGACGTGGTTAGCCCGTTGCAATCATAAAAACCAAGTCTTTTACGTTCATGAGATGGAAATCAGTAACGAGAAGGGACAATGAGCTCAAAACTAACAAGAAAGGAGGAATAATTATCTTTCATAATAGACATAGGAAATCGGAAACCGGGTAAATCGTACATACAAAAGATGCGCCACTCACTTGTTGTAAGCCAGATCAAAAGATGTCGGAAATCTTTTCAACCCTTCATCATATGCATCAATCGCCTTCCGAAAGAACCTCAGGGCTTTCTCTGCATCGCCGGCTCTCCATTTGCCCCCAGAGTGTTCATGCTCATTCGCCGCTTCTAGAAAGTAATACTCAGTTTCGGGAGTCTGCCTGTGTCGTCAGTCCAGCCCGAGGTGACATAATTTGCGGCGTGCACGATGAGAGAAAGAGCCTCACTTTTTGCTGCCGCTTGTTTTGCTTGGAGATACTCTTCAAGACGTCTTTGCGCTTTGGTGGCATCGTGACGCTGATGTTGCGACGGTACCTTAACGTTTTCTTCGGCTTGCAGATGATTTTTGGTGGCATTTTGTGATTGGTCAGATTTTCTCGCTGAGCACGTTCACTCTGAACCAGGTACAATGTAATTGGATTAAAACAGATGACTTCAATAGTTGTTGTATCATTCCGGAACAGCAACCTAGCTATTAAAAGGCAGGAAGAAAAAGGGATAGATGCAGAAGCTGCTGAGTAGGCCTCAGCTGCTAAACAGCCAGGGGCGCGACTTTCAGGAACAGCTTTGGAAAAGCCTCCCCGTGAGGCAGCGCCCCGAGATAACGTGTTAGTTGAGATCATGAAGCATCTACTATGTGTCAAATTCTAGGTATTCGGGTGTTGAGAGACACGTGGATCTTTGCCCGCCAAGAGTGCTCCGACAAACGCCATCTCTGTGGTTTACTCAAATATGATCCGAAGCAAGTAAGTCATTGAGATAGGAGCGGAAGCAAGACAGATAGAGTGGCAAAAATCTACGTTCTCCTAACGACAAGACCTATAGCTGATGGATTTTGTGGGTATATGCATGCAAGAATGGGAAAGAAAGGGGACGAATCTAACGACGATTACTCCCCAAACCCTCACAGGACGCCACGCTATGCAAAAAAGATGGACACCTTTCGCCGCCTCATAGTCCCATTCTCAACCACCTCGAGGATATCCTTTGTGAGTTTCATTAGGCACACTACCACATGAACAGCAAATATCACCCAGACTCTCTTTTCCTCGCCAACCTTCGCGACGCACGGTATTCAGATTCATTGACATCCCATGTTTTTTGAGCGCTCCGTTTTTGTGCATGCTTCAGTCTCTTCTCCGAGTCTCCTGCATCACCTCCTCTCCACCCATGTTGCTTGTGGATTGGCTGTAGGAATCCGTCCACGTGTACAGCACCAAGCATCGGGCTTGCCTCTCGCTTTTCGACTCTAGGATCGTACTTATGAACTCGAATACAGTGCTCTATAGCACGATATGGCATCTTGAATTGTTGCTTGTTTCCCCAGCAGTCCGTATGCGGACAGGACTGCGTTCCGGGTGGCCAATACGGGCGAGGCTCTGCTAAGCTAGAAGAATCTTCGAGAATACCTCCATCGTTAGGATTAGATGTTTGTGGAGCTAGTGTGAGGTTCGGTGTGTACGCGATTGGGTCCTCAGGAGCCTTCAACGAATCCCCTTCCTGCAGAGTCCGGAAATCCATGCTTTCGCCGAAGAGGGCCGAACAGCGCTTCGCCGCCCTGTCTATAACTGCTGGATCCCAACCTGTCATGGATGCAAGACCGAGGACCTCGCTCCAATCACGTGGTTTCAGGTCATGCTGGCGATTCGTGCGTCGTCTTTTGCTCCTCGGTTGGCTATCTTCTTGGCCGTCTTCGTCTTCAGCATCGCCAGAGTCTCCAGGTGGATAGTCACTTTCAGAGCCCGAAGCTGGATTTGAAAGATTGCGTAGGGGGTTACGGCCATTTCGCTTTAACGGTTTATCGAATGGATTGCGACCTTTGGTCGACTTAAATTCGTCTTGTGGGCGTGACGAAGGTCCGCGATCTTGAGTTGTCGAGGGCTTTCTCAATCTTGAACTTGATCTTGATGGCGATGTGCCTCGTGAGATAGTATCGCCGTCGGACTCCATCTCCGTATCTGGGGGCCCTCTTACTACCCAATGGTTCTGGTTCGATCGACGAAGAACCTCCAATAGCTTATCAACCTTTGAGAGGAGAGAGTTGACAGTAGGCTGTAAGATCCTGCGAGCCTTTTCATCGTCTGCGAGGACCACTGGGCGTGAAAGTGGACCGCCCCCGAAATAAGTACCTTTGCGCATCCTCCGTCGGACTCGTCGTTTCTTAGTACCTTCAGAAGCCTCTGAGGTCTCTACGTCGCTTTGGATTTTAACCTCAGTGGTATGAACGACATCATCATCGAGCTCTGTGGCCAAGTCTATAGGCGAAGTTTCTCTACTTCCACCTCTACTTGCAGCTCTACTTTGAGCTCTAGTGTTGGATCGACTGGGGCTCCGAGTTTTGATAGAACGTTTTCTGCTACGGCGAGTAGTACTCCTGGACCGTGACCGCGACTCTTGCTTCACATTCGCCTCTGCTTCTGTGTCCGTCTCACTTTCCATGCCCGTTTTTGTATCCTCGTCGTCCGAGTCCGCCGGGGGCCTTGCTTGCCACTGCTCCTTCGCGAACCTCTGAAAGGTACCTAGAAGCACATTTCGGAGATCATCTCCAGCACTTGCGTTGTGTGTCCCGCCAATCATCCCATCCTCTCCGTCTTCCCCATTCTCTACCCCAAATCGTTCCCGCAATCGCGGCGCATCCGGGAGTGGCCACAACGTCCAACCTTTCCAAGGCAGAAAGTCCGGATCCCTTTCTATACGTGGTCCCTCCTTTCGAAGCTCATTGTTCTCTTTATACCATCGAGACTTGCTGTGCCAATTTTTCAACCCAGGCAAGCTCTTGGGGCGCAACTCTCGCTTTGGCACATGCGCATTGTAGAGATGAGCAGCCAAATCACCAGCGAGAACCTGCTCCATTGAAGCCGCCAGCTGTCTCTCGGCAACTGTGTATCTCCTCCATGTTTGCGGTGGGCCTACGAAGCGGTTGGGGCGGTCGGGTTCGTAGTCGGAGGATCCAGAGTCATCCGGGGCGTCAAGAAGCTCTATGTCGCCGTCATCGGCATCATCTTCGGCCTTAGGTTTATGTGAGGGTACTGATGATGATCCGTCGATTTGCACTGCTTGAAGGGGTTCGCTGTCGCTCTGCGTGAATGGAGAAGCGTCTCGACTGAAGGAATCGGAGGTCGCGGACGTTGCGGAGGTCTCACCGCCGAATAGAGACATGGCAATTCTTGGAGACACCTAGTTTGGGCTCGAGGCAATTGCGTTCTGGTGGCCGTTTGCGCATGTTGTGTTGGAGTGTACGTCTTTGAAAATGTTGGGCACGGTTGCACGTAAGATCCACGGATCACGGGTTTTCGCGAAGAGGGGCACTTAGGTGGGGTAGTTATTCAAGAACTAAAGTTTAGACGGTTGATTGTATATTTTCTCGACATCATTTGGAGTGTTGCAGTGAGGTTAGTATTTAATCAGGTTTGTGAATCTATCTCTCAACAAACCTAATGCTCTATATGGACGTACTTGAGCTATTGGGTCATGAGATGGCCCAGAGAGCTATCAGGCTAGAGGACCTCAAGTGGTGCAAAACAAGCGTAGAAACAGCTGGGGTGTGTATATACATAGCTCACGGATTTGTACTCTGCCACTTTCTGTTGACACTCATCAACCACGCTGTCTCATAGGTACACCTGTTTACCACTGCTTAAAGTGCTTCAACAAGTTTTTCACATAGTTAGCCCAGAGTGAAGAGCTTCTATCCCGTTTAGATTTCTGAAAATGCATAGAAGCACCCCAAGCAGTCGCATACACGCGCACACCAGTGTAGAGTGCTACCTTTTTCGTGCCCCGCGTGTGGGTATATGTATCACCAGGCTGATAAAGTAGGCTATTCGAGTTAAAGAGTAAGGCACACCAAGTTTGTTGAATATAACTCTTATTTCTATTGAAGAGCATTGCAATATAGACCATCAAATTCCCTGATCTAGTATTCTGTCAAATAAAGAAAGCCTTCATCACAGTCCTATCACTCAGAGCTTCAGTTGACCCGAAAATACGTCAAATCCCACTATCTTTCAAAGCCTCCGACGACCCTGTACCTGCTCATAATCTGGCAGCTGCTCTGCCTGCCTGGCCTCTATGCTCCTCATACTCGGTTTGAGCCTAATCATCCCCTCAAGCTCTTTCAGTCTTTTCTCCAAAGACCCCACAGCACCATCATCCTCACGTTCGGCATCAATTACGCCCTTAATCTCTGTCTCTTCTTCGAGCAGCACCCGCCACCGCTGCTGTTCCTCTTCCCAATAGAACAACAAATTCACCAGCTTCTTCTGCGCAAAGCTCGAAATAATCGAGATCTGATGTGCAAACTGCGGCGTGATGGCCTTAGTGTCGATGGCTGCCGATTGGGCTGAGAGTACCCCGTTCTTGATAAGAGCGGCATGAACTTGCGTAGATACTCTTTCGTGCGATGTGATGCCGCCCACGAAGAAGGCGAGCGAGTCGAGTTTTAAGGGGTCGGGGAGCGAGATCTGGTGCTCGAAAAGCTGGTCCTGTTCACGGACGGTGAGGTCGTCGGCGCGAGGGCCGAGCGCGAGATTCGGAACTGCGTTGTTGATGAAGCGGCTGAAGCTGAATATGTGGTCTCCAGTGGGGGTTTTGTGCATGCTGAACGACGGCTGTAGCTATGCTGGAGCACAGTGCAGAATTTTGGGGTTCCTAGGGGCGCCTGTTTTGAGGGAGGTAGAATGTTTTCATCTTTTTACGCATGTTGAATTATTTGCTGATAGAGTAGGCCGATATCTCTATTACGCGTCTTTATCCGTGTTTCCACGATGGAGAGCCCGGGGGTGCCGGTGAGACTGATGAAGGACGGCGAGTGCTTCCAATGATTGACTGAGCCCATGACACACGTGCGATAACGGCATGGAGCCATTGGGTTGTCTGCCACACCACGATCCTGTGCCCGGTTTTTTGGTGTTTATTTGGGCGGATAGTTAATCGTACCCTTGTTCACATGATCTCCGCGAGGGCGGAGTAGACGTGGAGGCGCTCGACTTGGTCCCGTGGATGAAATAGATAAGTTGCGCGTGGGTATGAGATCCCATAACGATACGGATATATCGTCACGCTAAACCCGCATATCAGGCACCTTCACATATGCTTATTTTGGACGGTTATACAAAGGTAAGATGTGCATCTGTGGAGACCCTTGCCTACCGCCATTAAGTGGCGAAACCGCGGGACTGCGTATTGGACACGAACGCTAGATATCGGCCTTTTGACCATCGTGTATGGCTACAAACAGTTATATAGTGAAATATAATCGTGACGTCGCCGCGTTAGCCATCTGATGACCGAGGTCAAAAGCAGATGCGTAGGCGTACATGAGGTGATGCTGGGGGACTTCGGAAGGCCGCTAGAAACAGCAATGGGACGAAAGAGATAGGAGAAAGAGATTATGCGATGAGAGATGAGCAGGAACCTTCACAGCTAAAGTCGCGCGCGGGGGTAGCCGTGTCGCAGAGAATATTTCGGCCGCCGGCCTTCATCGACCTCAACTAACACCACAGAATTCACCAGCAAAAAAGATTGAGCACATACAACCCGGTTTTGAGCACCTCTGAAGCCGAATTTAATGTCTATTCACCCAGATCTAATCGTCTGAAATGAGAAAAAAAATGACTTCACTGCGACTCGATCTTCAAAAAAGATATTTCTTGTTTATAGTCCAGTTCCCATAGGCAGCCTCGCGACGCTGGTACATCTGACTCTTCTCAATGGGAAAGCTGTTTAATACATGGCACCCTCACCACCAAGCCAATAGCAAACCGGCGCACCTGGGCCTTTGGCCGCTTCCCACGAGGTATTTTGGGAGCCGATGAAAATTTTAGGTACTTGTACCCTCAGAAACTGTCCCCGCGCACAGGTTTCTTTGGTGAGGGTCGGCGAGAGCTCTCACTCTTGCCGATTTGCCTCCGCCGCCTATCCCAACCCACTCCATGGTGTTTTTCGCCTGACACGAAGCCGCCCGCTCGGTGTTTCGCCCACCACCAGCCCGACAGCCCTGGTGTTTTGATTCACCACAACCCAATTGAGTGCCCACGCTCCTAGCTTGGTGTTGCAAGCTCCATTGCGCTTCACCTCACCACATTCTCCCATTCACCATAAATTCACTCGCTCTTCGGTCGCAGACGGCCTAGCTCCGACACGTCTCTTCACCGGACTTCTTGCGTGCCCTCGATGGATTTCTTTTAGGAACATTCCCCGGCCATCGCCCCCGATGCCGGCAGACACCACAACAATGCGGTCAGGCCAATGCGACACGTGCATTCGAGTCTCCATCTCACCGACGGGCGACATGGAAGGCATGGCGCACCAATGGAAGGCTTTCACTTTCCGCGGCCATTCTGCTGGATCTGCTTGAATACCATCTCCCACACGCCCGGGGCCCGACTCCTCTTGCTCGCCGCTTTGTCGCCCTTGACGTAGAATTTGTTCCTCGTCTCTCCAAGTAGCGACACCGCTTTCTTCCACAGCGGTCTTTCCGCCAATATCTTCCTCTGCCACGCTGGCACGACGTGTTCGAGGTTTGCGAAACCAAAACGGCGAGGTGGCAAGACATGCATCTCGGATAGTCGAACAACGTTGGTCTTCTTGAAGCCGAGAAGGCGGGCGGTCACAAACTCGAGTTCGGCATCCTTTGGCAGCTTTTGGACATAGCGGAGCATGGCGTCGCGAGACCTGCGGGCGGTCTGTGGCAACCGGAGAAGGATGGAGTTGACGAAAGGGGCGGTTCCATACCCCACGACGACCATAGGGAAAAGGCCGCCGACGACAACTATATCAACGTTAGAAAGGAGATAAGAAGAGAACGACTATGGAGAAATATGCAAGAGCTGGAGAACGTGGCATGAAAGCAAACTAACCGCCTAGAGCTTTGAGGGCAGGGTAAGGCTCGTCGGGCGCATAGTAGAAATGCGGGGCTAGGACTGAGCAGTAGAAGATGAATAGGACGACGGTAGCAGGCTTGAACGTCTGGATGAAGGCTGTCTTCTGGACGCCGGCGTCGTAGATTTGGAGCTGTGCAGGATAGACTACTGGGCATCAGTAAGCCGTGACGAGCCAGTTCGTGGGCTACAGACCTGGTCTGATGGATCCTGATTTCCGTTGTGTCGATTCCTGCTGTCGACGAGCTGTTGCGGTGAATGAATGCAGTCGAGAGGTCCCTAGACGACCATTACTAGGGGTATACCGGACTGTACATGGCTTTATAGGGGCAGTATGGATCCTTGAACAGGCCCTGATGCCAGCGGCAAAAGGACTTAGTGGAAGAACCATGCTATGATGGATATAGAGGTGTTTTTAACGTAGACAGCATAGGATGTAGTGAAAAGAAAGGTCTGGGGGAACCAAAGCTAAGCCCGATTTTCACCGCTGCAGGGCGAATCAGGGGCGCCAGATATGCAAGTGATCGGCCCGCATTCTAAGGTTCCGTGGCGTCTCTGAATTGAGGCCTCCGCGTAATACGGAACCATGATGAAGACACCTCTCCACATACATTCATTGCATCCTTAGATCACGACGACGTGCCGTGCCAGCCTGTGAAATGCCCTCGTTTTCTATCTAGAAATGCTACAGATCTTCCAGGTCTGGTAGCACCCCACGCCCGCCCGCAATGCCGTCCCTCTCATCCCTCGTCCTACTTTGCACCTCCGCATTGCTCCCCTTCACCTATGGATACTCAACCATCTCCGACAACACCTTGAACTCTCTCCCCGGCCCGGGATCTGACTTCGACATCCACACCGGTGCTCTCCTATCCCCAATTCTGGTTCCACGTGTCTCTGGAACCTCGGGATCCCTGGCCGTCCTTCAGCACTTCGTCGATTTCTTCCACAATACCCTCCCAGAATGGACGCTGGAATTCCAAAACTCGTCCTCGACGACCCCAACATCAGGGGGCAAGAAAATACCGTTCGTCAACCTTATTGCGACACGCGACCCGCCTGGAACACAGCCTGGGGAAGTCGGACATCTGACACTGGTGGCGCATTATGATAGCAAATACACGCCGAAGGATTTCATTGGCGCAACGGACAGCGCAGCGCCATGTGCAATGCTGATGCACGTAGCACGCAGCATTGATGCAGCGCTCACGAAGAAATGGGAGGCCATGACCACAGACGGGCTGGGCGAGCTCGAGGAGCAGAAGGGCGTGCAGATATTGCTCCTGGATGGCGAGGAATCGTTCCTCAGCTGGACGGATACTGACAGCTTGTATGGGGCACGGTCAGTACAAATTCCAATTGCAGATTTGCACTGTGGACAATTTTCTAACCTCCACACAGCGCCCTCGCCGAAAGCTGGGAACACGCCGTCAACCCCGCCATGTCCACCTACCGCACGCCTTTATCAAGTATCTCCCTCTTTCTCCTCCTCGACCTCCTCGGCGCCGCCCGGCCCACCGTCCCTTCATACTTCAAAACCACCCACTGGTCCTACAAATACATGTCCGCGCTCGAGGCACGTCTTCGCGCCCTCGGCCGTTTCAAGTCCTCTCCAAACCACCCATCAAAGCTCGCTCGACGCGCCGCAAAAGCGAAAGCAAAAGGAGATAAGAAAGCGATTAAGACAAGGAAAGAACCGGCATTTTTGCTAGACTTCAATAAACAAGACAGCCAGTTTAGCCCCTGGACGGGCATCCAGGATGACCACCTCCCGTTCATGGCGCGCGGCGTCGAGGTGCTTCATATCATACCTTCGCCGTTCCCGACAGTGTGGCATGAGATGGAAGATGATGGCGAGCATCTCGATCTCGACACTGTGGAGGATTGGGCGACGTTAGTGACGGCATTTGCGGCGGAATGGATGGAGTTGGAGGGGTTTTTTGATGTTGAGAAAGCGGAAAGGGAAGCGGGTGGGGAGAGCGAGGATTATGAGAAGGGGAGGAGGAGGACTACGAGTAAGACTGAGTTGTGAGTACGCTCCCCTCTTTCTCCTCCATTTCTGGTTTGTGGGCTTTGCGACTGTGATGTTTTATTTTTGGATGAGAGGCTGGGTTAACGTTTTGTGCGGCATAGAAATACTCATATCTAGCATGAGGACAAGAATCACGTTATTCCACAGTCTTTGTATTCCAACAATTGTGAGGGCGGGTGTGTTGTCGCATTCGCACTTGTGGTGGTGGGTGTCGTGAAAGGTACCACCACCACCGTCCACACCCACACCTCCGGCGCACAACCGTCTTGTCCGTCTTGTCCCCCTACCCCTAATTCGCCATCCCATTGACTTGAAAGATCATTACAACACCGCCGTCAACGCGTTGGTTCTAACCCGATGAGTGGGTGTGGGCCCCTGCGTCCGAACAAAGAAACCTGAAGCACAACCCCCCACCTCGAGTCCGGGCATTACTAGATGCGGAACCTGAAAGACGAGAGATGGGAAAGTTCTTTCAGCGGTCGTTGATGCGGTTCTTTTCTTTTTGAGCGCGTGGTTCGCTGTTCTTCTAGGGTTTGGATTCGAGTTCAGGATTGTGATTTTGAATACGTTTTGAGACGAGGAATCTAGTTTCTTGATATTAAGCCTTCCACGCCAACAACCATCAAACGCGCGAAACGCTCCCATGGGGCCAAAAGCGAACGCAGCAGCAACTTCTGGGAGGGGCCGCGGTGGGGGTCGCGGTGGGCGGGGTGGAGGGGCAAGAGGAGGGGCAAGAGGAAGCGGGAATCAAGCTGGCGGTGGCGACGCTGTGGAGGTCCTGACGATGCCGGGGACGGGGACTGGACCAGGGGACGAGTTTGACACTCACCCCAGATATTGGACTATCCCACATCTCAAAATCAGGATGGCTCAATTAGGTATGCGTATCCCGAGTAGAGCAAACAAGGCCGATCTTATTGCGCTGTTAAGAGCGGAGAATGCAAGGCTGGAAGCACTGGCGGCAGTCCCGACAGCGGGTGGCGACGATACGGTAGAGGGAGGGGCGGAAAGCGAGGAAGAGGTTGGCAAATCTCCATCGGAAAGCGAGGAGAGTGTGAAAGAGGTTCGCAAGACTGCTACGCCACCTGCATTGGCAAACGAGGAGTCGAGTGAGGACGAAGGAATAGAAGAAGGCGGCACGAAGAGAAAAGAGAGCAATGAGGCGACAGATCATTCGACGACATCCGAGACTGGTAAAAAAAGTCCAAAGCCACCAAAGACACCGTCTGAGCACCTGGGAAGTGATGAAAGTAGCGAGGAAAGTGGCGGTGACGGTGGCGATGATGTAAAAACTCCCGCGTCGCCGAAGAAGGGAAGGAAGCCAGCATCGCCGCAAAAGGCACCGTCTAAGCCTGTGGATAGTGATGGAAGTGCCGAAGATGAAGGCCGCGAGGGTGAAGGCAGTGAGGGCGAAGGCGACGGGGATGAAGACGGCGAGGATGAAGACGGCGAGGACGAGGACGGCGAGGATGAAGACGACGAGGATGAAGCTACTCCCACGCCGCCGCAGAAGAGGAAGACGCCGGTGAATTCAAAAAAGACTACGCGTAAGACCACGGAAAATGATAATAGTGGCGATGAGACAAATACCCCTGCGCCGCCGAAGCAGGGAAAGAAGAGTGGTCCCAAGGACGGTCCTGTGGCTGCTCGAAGGCGACACAGGAAATTCTATTGGGAAAGGATGCGAAGAATCCTCTACATAATGGCCAAAAAACGAGGCTGCACAGGTCTAAAAGCAATGCGCGATTCCAAGAAGAGAATTATACCGGCGCTTGAACAAAAAGACATAGAAGACCCACTACCTGAATCGGATAGATCAGACTCAGAGGGCACAATATTCCCAGATAAACACAACAAGCGCAACAGGAAGTTTTTGAGTGAAATTGAAGCAAACACATTACGAGAGTGGTGTACGGGAAAGGGCCTACCAACTGGCCAGCTACGTGAACCCATGGAGCACCACCTAGCGCAGTACAAAAAAGACAAGAGGGAAGGGAAATTCGTCCTAAAGAAGACTAACGAGCCGAAAGTGAAACCGAAAAAGACGAAGACCTCGAAACGACCGCAACAGGGAGGTATCTCGCTAGAGAACGATTTTTCAGAGGAAGAAGAAGAAGGCACCCAGGCCATACCCGGTGAACTGTTTCTCTTCACGTTCGACAAAGAGAGACTGAGAAATAGGCCCGGAAAACTACTGCCACCGAGTCTCGACCAGAAGTGGGAAATTAGTGATGCGGTGCTCCGGCCTGTAGAATATTTGAAAGCCGAGCGTCCAAGGGATGGTAAGGACGATCCGACAAAGCCTTGGCCTGAGGAATCTAGTGGTCTTGAGAAAGAAGTACAGTGGCACTTGCAGGACAGACCATCATCTAAAGAAAATTATAGGCTCTCAGGTGCCGCCAATGTATACGAGGCGGATATCAAAGAGTTGCAAGCTAGCAAATTGGCCGCCGCCAAGGCAGGTGGACATGCAAAAGCTACGGTCCGGTTTGGGCTCTTTTCCGAAAAGGGGAGGCATCGTAGCGTAGCCATAATCGAATATTTAGCGCAAAGGGCGCACGGCTTATTTGGTCCTGGATGGGAGATCAAGGTCCGCCACCTTGAGCTTCAGTACGAACGCGATACTGCAATGCCCGCAGAGGAAGCAAGATGGCAGCCTCCGCTTAAACCACCACAAATAACATTTACGCACTGGCCAAAAGCAGTTCCTGACGAAGATGCGGAAACCCTTGAAGTGCCACCTGCGGGGAACTCTTGGCCAATATGGGACAGGCTCTTGCGTACAACACGCGGTATAGAAGAGCAATACACTACGCCGAGTTTACGGGAATACCCTTGGGGGGCCAAAGCCAGTAGCCGAAGCAGCAACGTGCCTCAACTTACGCAAAAAGAAGTTGACGCGGCTCACGACGGAATTCTTATGAACCAGCTAAGAGGCGCAAAAATCGAGAGTGGCGAAGACTGGTTGAAACGCACACAACTCTGCCTAGATACTGGCCATTTATTCTTCCACCCCGACGGTTGGGCGCGGACCAGATCCGAGTTTCTCTATGGTCCACCGACGGGGGGGCTTTGTGCCTGGCGGCCAGCTCCTCTTGATTTCGGATACGGGGCTAGTGATATCGAACCCGATTACGAATTGAGAAAACAAGACCTTTTCTATGTCGTGCTTAGAGGTGACGATCTTCCCTCATTTTATTTTTTCAGACGACCTGGAGAGTGGGACGACCCTTTGCAGGCAAATCCCAAGTCAAGATACTACGAGGATGTATTAAGGGCACGGATTTCTACCCTGGGCAGATACTTGAGACAGGCACAAAGAATGGGAAGGAGAATTCATGATGAGAAGGCTGGAGAATCCGAAACCGAGTATCGGAAGAAGATACCGCGACTGGCAGGAAAATCGACAGCGTCTACGACCGGTAAAAACGAAACTCTAGAGCAAGAGATGGCAGCGATTGCACGTTTGTTATACTGGCATGGAGTTCCTGGAGCAATTGAAAGGGCCAAAAGCTATGGCCCGGGGAACGCAGAATTTCTGGAGCTTGGCTGGCGTGATGAGGATAAGAACTACCCGAAAGTTCCCCCAGTACATGAAGATGACGCTGTCCGACCCGATTCGATTGCTAGGAAGGTCGCCTCGCTGAAGTTTGAGCCAAGTGCGGCGCAAGGCGGCGCTGTGTCTCCAATTCGGGGAGATGAGCCGTGGACTGACGATCAAGACGACGCCTTGTGGCCGATAATTGGACGATCCCGGAGAGGCTCCACGCAAGAAGACCAACGCCGAAATGCAGTCACTTTGTCCCCATCTCAACTCCCCCGGCAGCGAACGCGGATTTCATCTTCCGTAGCAAGAACATCAAACGCATCGCCCAAATCCACAGGACGGGTCCCACCACTACGGAAGTCAAGCTCCGCAGGCGTATCACCGCAGGCTAGCGGTGGTCAAGGGGACGAAGGGGAAGTCGTAGTCGTAGAGGATGACGAATCAACGCCATCCGCGAGTGGAACCTCCAGGAAACGAAGGTCGAGGTCGAACTCTCAAGCTTCAAGTCAGTCTGCAAAACGGCGAAAATCAAGCTCCGGTAGCAGAGTGTCGCAGGACAACCACGAGGCGTTGGAAGAGGGCGAAATAAATGAAGAAGACGAAACAGCTTCATCGGCGGGTAAGCCTGCCAGTCGACGAAAGTCGAGCTCAGCTTCTCAGGCTTCGAATCGATCTTCAAAGTCGCGTAAATCATCGGCCTCGAACCGCGAACCGTCGCAGCACAGCCTTGACGCTTTATTCGAAGACGATGAAGAAGGAAAAGGACAAGGAGATGAAGGGACAGAAGAAGAAATAGCTCCATCTACGATTAGCGGCAATCAGCGAAAACCGAGTTCAGCTTCCCAAATCTCAAACCGATCGTCAAGGTCTCGTAAAGGATCATCCTCTTCTACCCAGTCAGTGCAAGACCCAGATACATTACAGCGCAGTTTCGAAGACGATCTCTCCGACATTGACCGCGAGATACAAGAAATGCCACACGAAGAGCTAAGACAAAGATACACTTCGCTCGTCCGGCGGCTGGAACCCGAACCCGACGATGGGCACTTCTGCTTTGTGTGTACGGCTTCCTTCGAGGGTGCAGATCTAGAAAGCATCCTCGAGCATTACGAAGAACATCGGCTTGACCCGCAGCTCCCGGAAGCGGATTGGGAAAATATATGGTACGAAGGGCCATATGGAACTACGGAGCGGGTATTCTACGAACCGAGTGGATCTGGGAAGGGCCACAAAGTCACCTTCGCTCCATATACGGTTGAGAAACGAGTCGGATATAATGATCAGCCAGAGGACGAAGATGGCGATGATGATTCTCCAATATCTCCAACCAGGTCCAGCTTGAAGAAAGCTCAAGGGACGAGCAAAGAGACGCCGAAGAAAAGGGGAAGGCCCAGGAAATTGACACTTGAGCCTGCCCCTGCAGCCTCTAATGGCGTCAAGAAGCCTGAAAAACGGGCCAAGAAAATAGACCCAACGTACAAGAAGTCTCCCACGCCTTCTTCTGGAACACCTTCACCCATCCTTCGGCTTGTGAAGCGCTTGCCCAAAGATCATCCAAACGCTGCTTTCAGAATCCGCAGAGCTAGTCTCGTAACGCAGAGCTCCGAGACCTCACCTGGACTAAAGAAGAAGAAAGCCAAGAAAGCCGCTTCGAAGAAAACAACTAAGAAGACCAAAGACGCTGAGCCCACGCTAGTCGAGCCTTCAACGCCTTCGCCTCCCCCAGTGCCAGCTGCGAAGAAAACTACCAAGAAAGCCGCTCCAAAGGAAACGACCAAGAAGGCCACAGCCCCAAAGAAAATAACGGAAAAGACTAAAGCCAGCGATTCCACCCTAGCCGAGCCCTCAACACCTCCAGTCACAACTCGCAAAACCCCCCGCAAAAGAAAACCACTCGTAACCCCGTCTCCGCCTCCAACGCCAACAACACCCCCACCCATAAAAAGAGGACAGCGAACCACACGTGCACAAACACCCGAAACACCAACGCCTGCGCCCCGCGGCCGCAAACGCAAAGCCCCGGAGGACGAGGCCTTCCAAGCCGACATAGTGGCTTTCGACTCCAGCTCTGAGTCGGCTGGGCCGGTGGCGAAGAAGGCTAAGAAGGCAGCGCCAGCCAGGAAGACAACACCGGCTAAGAAAGCAACACCGGCTAAGAAGACAGCACCCGCTAAGAAAACTACACCGGCCAAGCAAGCAGCACCTGCCAAAAAAGCCAATGCATCAAAGAAGACACCAGTGAAGCCCAAGGTCGTAGCCGTGGCTAAGAAGGTGGCGAAATCGCCCACGGCGACGAAAACGAAGAAGACCACAGCGGCGAAGGGTAGGTGAGTGACCCCAATTACACTGGAAGGGCCTCTTTTAGACCACGAACTAATTTAGCATAGGAAGTGAGAGTTTGACGGTGGAAGTGGCGGAGAGAGGCAAACGGCAAACTTCGAGTGTGTTTCTGGTGCCGCCGAATACGCCGGCGCTGAGGAGGGGTAGGAGGAGGTCTTCGTATGTAGGGTCGGAGCCGCCGCTGGATACGGAGGTGTTGGCGGAGAAGATTGTTGAGGTGGCGAAGGAGAAGAAGAAGGGGAGGAAGAAGATAAAGGAATAGGGTAAAGGATGTTTCAAGGCTGTCTACAAATCGATTTTCGGTCTCTGCGTATTTTCGAGATAGAAAACTCTTTCGTATATCATAGTATTGCCTCGTCGAGTCACCACAATCTGCGCTTCACATTAAGTCGGCATAAAAGCCTGAGGCATTAAACGCTTCTCATTAAACTCATACACTATGTAACCGTCATCCGCATGAGTCGTTTCATCCAATGCATCGCTGTACAGAGGGGTGGGTATTCCAAAAACTCGAAATCACCACAACCGCTTCCAAACCGAATCCAAACCCATACTCTGACCCCTAAGATCTCCGATGCTAGCGCTTAAACCCAATCGGCCACGCCATCACATCAATCCGCTTTGCGCGTTGAGGCCGTAGAAAACCCTCGCTATCAGGCTCGCCCAGTCGCCCTTTCACAGTCGCTAGGGACGCATACCCACGCACGAATTGCCGGAAGTTCGAATTAGGGTCTTCGTGCATCTCAATCTCAATATGGCCATCCTCGGGCTCTGCCGCGTCCTGTGCCTCGTGTGATTCCACCGCCCCGTGGGGAAGGCCTCTCTCGTCCACCTGTCCATGAGTTGTGGTTGTTGCTCTGGACCGATCTTCCTCGTCCACGCGTCCAGCTATTCTGTTCGTCGTTTTGGGCCGATCGTCCTTGTCGTCGGCCTAGCATAGGATTAGCATCTCGCTCTGACACCATAATGGTATCGGAACGCACTTACAAGACATGGGATTGGCTTACTTCTTGGTTGTTGGGATGAAGCTGAGGGCAGTGACATTCGCGGGGGCCCACTTTGTGCAGGCGCCGTACTTGAGGGTTCCCACGGGACGGATTTTCGGGTACGCTTCGGATTGCTGGACTGCGCTGGGGATGTCGGTGATCGGCGAACGGGAAGGTTCAACGCGGTTGAGGTTGAGGTTGAAGTATTTGAGGTCTGATCGAGTACCGACTTAAGCCCCTCTGGGTTAAGGATTTGTTTCATGAACTTGTGCTCCTTGATTGAGTCATAGAAGTTGTAGTATGAAACGGGTTCATCTCCGTTTTCGAAGCAGTCGTTGCGGTACTCAACGAACTCCATCTCATATCTTATCACGTAATCATCCCACATTAATCTGGGCAGTTTTTTTCTCTCGTCCTCCAGCTTCTGTATCTGCTTGCACATTCCTCTGAATTGCTTCATAGTACCCTTGTACTCAGGGTAAGCTTGAGAGAATTTCGAAAATACAATCGCGCCAGGCGATTGCGAAGGCTCCGTAAGATTGGTTGTCGCGGTTTCCATTGCAGCAGAGCGATTCGCAGGCCTCGAAATCTTGTGCGTAGCAGTGTTTGAAGGAGCTTGCTCGACGCCAGGCGACCTGTGGTCGTCATGCAGCACACGCTCACTGCCTCGTCGTATGTCCTTCGGCGAAGCATTGTCAGAGCGAGGGGGCCAGCGCGTGGTAGAAGGCGGATGGTTCGGCCTTGAATCGTGCTTGTCGACGAGTCCATTTGACTCTTTACGATTGGTAGCAAACTTGGGAGATGGCAGGAGATGTTCTTCAGCACGTCCCGGACCTGTCGTGTTATAGCTGTTCAATTTCTGACGTCTCTGTTCTCGTATTGTCATAGGAGGTGCCATGTTATCGCCATTTACCATCTCTGACTCCCGTGGAAGCCCAAGACCAGCCGATCTAGGTTTTTTACTGCTATTAAACCCAGCAGGAAGATCAGCAGCTTTGCGTTTGACTAACGAACCCGGATTGCTACTCGAAACGTGCGGAAGCATTGGAGAATGATTGGAATTGAATGGAGCTTTGGCCTCACTGGGAGATGGGCTTTTGACTTCAGGTGGCGGACGCTGCGAGGCAGCATTAATCTCTTCGTTTAGTTGCTCATCTATCATAATAGGGTCCGCGTCTGAGGAGAGATCGATCATCGCTGAGGCCCTCTTAGTAGAGATTAGTCTTGCGTTAAGTTGGCCTCGAGGCTCAGCGTAGGTACTGGGAATAACGGAAGTAGATGAAGTTGTTTGGCCACTAGACCGTTGTCGAACAGGCGACCATGAGGAGGAAGGCTTAGCGAGGTCTCGCTGTACTTTCCGATGACCTGGAAGCTGCGGGGTCTCCTTTACCTGAAGTTCTGGGACTCCTCGGGCCTCACGGTGTTGTAACGAGGTACTAGTTGCCTGAGATGCCGAATTGGTTTCCATCTTGCTGGTCTCCAATACTTCGGGTATGGCGAACTCCATCTCCTCGTCACTGTCGCTGATGTCTCTACGTTCAGGCGAACTTGCTCGACCTGTTTGCGATCCTGGCTCGGGTGGAGATGAGGGAACTGCTTCATTTCCTGGAGCTTCAGATTCAGCAATTGAAATCTGGGTCCTGCCGGGCGCTCCCACATCATCTGAATCAGACTTCGTAAGCTCGATTGGAGTCGCTTGAGATAACCCACTAGGAGCACGCCTTGCCGGCGATTCCTCTTGTAGAGCCGAACTGTCTGGATGCAATGTTGTCTGCGAGTGTGCGACGGGTCGAGACATCCGTTTCAAAGCATTACTCCCGAGTGTTTCCACTACGGGAGCGGAGCTATCAGGAGGCAACCCAGCTAGTAGATGAGCGGGAGGTCTTGGCGGAGACGACTCCTCCCACCCAGAGATTACTGACCCTGCCGAGTCTGAAGCGCCCGATGAGCTCGAAGAGTCATATTCCGAGTCACGGTCTTGTTCAATGTGGGAGTCTTCTTCTGATACGTTTGGTGCATGATCCTGTTCGCCCAGGTCCTGACCACCTCCTTCGTCCGCCAGTCTATTTAGCGACACAAGCAAAGGCGTAGGTATGTTTGGATGGGGGAATTTTTTTCCTGGGAGTGAGGGGAAAAGCGAAAAGTCCCTATTGAGGATGGCTGCCTGCCCCAAAAGGAAACTGCATTGGTCCTGTATCTTTGAATGGCCATCTTTCCAAGCAGGGATACTGATTGTCTCGGGGGTATATGTGGCCTCATGCAAAGGTTGTTGGCTAGGTTGCACCTCCCCATGCGCTTCATTCGAAAATGGTATACTCGGAGGAGGGCTGCTTTTCGGTGGCGAACGGCGTATTGGTATCGGCCTAACAGAGGGGCTGCCCTGAACATTGACGCCTTCTTCTGAAGATCTTCTACTAGTAGACACGAAGCCATTGGCACTGTCTTCTGAGTGTTTCCTACTGGTAGGCGTGAAGCCATTGCGTTGGGGGTTCGCGTGTATGAAGTCAGAGGAGACGTTGGCTCTATTAGATGCTTGACCTCCAGCTCGGAGAAGACTCAGCAGCCTGTCGACAGCCTTGACTTGTGGAGCTTCACGAGGCTGGTCTTCTTCCTCCTCGTCCATAGGAGCGCTCCGTACGTCGCCGAGCAGGGTTGGACTGTCGCGGTTCACACCACCAATGCTGCGTCGTTTGGTTGCGTTAAAGTTTCCCCGCCGCGAGACTGGCCGCTGCATGGAGGGTTGCATCTGAGTATACAGCGCAGATGACTCCATGTTATCATCTTCGACGACCTCTGTTGTCTCTGGCAATGCCTCAAGATCTCGATTACCAGGTGTATCAGCCGTCTCCTGAGACACCATTGCAGTCCCAGCCCCATAGTGCCTGAATTCGGACAGCGTTTTCAGTTGAGCTTCAATATCTGGCTTCTCGCGGATTGACTCTGGGTTTCCGAACTGGCTTTCAAAGTTTCCTTGCCATTCCATGCTCTCTACCTCCAGCGAAATGTGCCAAGTGGGCTCCCCAATTGTTGTAGCCACGACGTTGAACTTCCGAATTGAGATAATGCCGTTTTCCGTTTCGTCGAAGATGCGCCGCTTGTGTTGGCTCTCGAAGTGTTTAACGCAAGAGGAAGTGAGGTTAGCAGGGATAGAAACGTGGCTATCAGATAACACGACTTCGAATCGTGGTCTGGTACGAAGGATCTAGGAGTGGAGTTGTTAGCTTCGGCGCAAGGCATTGAAGCAACAAAGATGACCTTTCGTATCTGCGCACAGCGTCTCTTCTCGAAACCATAACTGACGGGTATGCGCAGGTTGCTGCCGTCGTCTTCATATGGGAGCTTTGCTAGAATTTCAATTAGTTTCTTCCGCTTCTTCCTGGCCTGCCTCGACCCAGGGTTTCGGGGAAGCTCACCTCCATCCTCGTCTTCTTCACGCTTCACCTTGTCTGCTAGAATGAGTCGGTCGATGCCGCCGCTGAGCTCCTTCTCAATGTCTCGCGAGAGCCATTTAGTAAGTAACTCAGCCATGTGGAGGCATGCCGGCCGTGGCCAGTACGCAGAAAAAGGTATGCAGTGGAGTGAAGAAGCTCGGGGACGGAGGCGGCGACGCGATGTCGCGTTTTGTAGGGAGCGGGGCGTGGTCCGGCTCGGATTCACCGCCAGACAGTGACTCGGCCAGATGTACAGTAATAATAATATAAATAACAATTCGGAGACAGCTAGAATCAAAGTAATGGTGGTGTCTTCCAACAGCTGCAGTCTGGAGCCGTGTATGCCTAAGGCATGGGAGACGGAGTAGCCGCTGATCAACACCTGCAACACGCTCCACGCAATCACCTGCTCAACGACGTAGCGCATTGATAAGTGCAGTAAAGCTTGGCAACGGCCATCTAACGGCGTCATAAGCTTTCCCCGGCCTACAATGTTTGTTTGACTACTGCGAATCCACTGCTTGCCGTACGACTCCATTCTACTGCTTGGAAGACGCCGCGAGAAGCTGCGGAAACACAGGTCCCATTAGAACACCACATTCTACCAACGGCATACTCTCCCAACGCACCCGCCTGCCCGCCTGCACCTCATCCACGCCTCCGTCATGTGGCCGACGACGGCCTTAATACGCTGATGCCTTATATAGACGAGCTCATGCTCTCTTCCTCTCCGCACAGGGCTCCGAAGCCTCCACGCCTTGTCGACCTCTGCCGGCGTTCCACCCGAAAGACACCCTCTTAAGCTCCATGAATCCCAAAGACCCTGCTACACGCCGCTCTCGACGCGGGTCCGTGTCTGATCCCTTAGCCCAGATACACAGCTTGGCGTCGCGCACCGAGAGCCTCACAACCTTTGGCGATTTTGCCTCGCCGCCTTCATCGTCCGGCGCAGACGCGAAAGGCATCGACCTAGTTCAAGGCGGTTTCAGTGGGCTCTACAGTCGCTTGAAGGCGAGCGTGGGAGGCGCAAGGGATGGCAACGAGGCCCCCGATGATGTATCCATCAGCAGTGCCAATATGCGGACAACGAAGCCGTCGCAGACACCAAAGAGCCCAGGCACCGCAGTCTCCTCCCCCGTTGTAGTATCCGTTCCCTCGTCAAGACTGCAATCACCTGCAGTCACAAGCTTTCCTGATGTCCAACTTCCTCCATCCAGAGATTCGAACAACTCAGGCCTAGCCGCTGCGTCTAGAGGGTCGTCGAACGGACCGAAGCCCGCTTTGCCAACAAACAAATCGAGAGGCTCTTTGGTAGCTAGCATCGAACCGTTGAAACTATACAAAGATAATGACAACGGGTCCCAAAGCCCGGCAGGTTCTATTGCTAGATCGAAGAATGGCCGTGGGCTTGATAGTCCTCAGCATCCGCCCTCGGCCGGGCTTGGAACACCCAATACAGTCGAGGGAGCACGCTATGTAGCAAGCGGCGACGAGCCTTTCCGCCAATCTAGAGATGACATGGACCTTCGGGATGACGAGAGTGATACTACTGAAGACGACCTGGTGATGGTTGACGGAGGAGCCTTTTACGAATCTACAAAGTCACAGCAAAATCCTAATGATACCGCCACAGGCGACTCTGGGCTCCAAAGAATTGTTTCTCGAAGGGATGACGATAAAATCCAGCCTTCAACCACACTTGGAAATTTACCATCTAAAGGTGCAGACAAGAGTGAGCTTGCCGATCGTGTGCTAGACAAGCTGGCTACCGACCCTGCCTATAAATCTTTCATAGCTCCTCAAAGACCTCCCATGCTACAAATCAGCCAGTCCCACCTACCAGGATACAGACACTCGCGGACATCTTCCTCTGACGGTCTCAGCTCTATTGCCACTATCGCTCCAGCTCGGAGCCCCCGATTTCCACCCGTAGAAGAACATCCGCGAGCAAGACCCCCGAGTTCTCTTTCTCGGAACCTTCCTAATAATGCGTTCTCTCAATCGCGCCGGAAAATCCTACCGAAAGAATTTTGGATGCGGGACGAGAATGCTAAAGACTGTTTCTATTGCGGAGATGCTTTCTCAACTTTTAGAAGAAAGCATCACTGCCGAACTTGCGGCCAGATTTTCGACGCCAAGTGCACCTCCCTAGTATCAGGCAAGCTGTTCGGCCAGTCCGGCAATCTTAGAGTTTGCAAACCTTGCGAGGCTCTCCTCTATGGAGATGATGACGACTCTTCGGTATACACGGACGAGGCAGATCGCAATTCTCTATACGAGCAAGATGAAACTCTGGGCTTCATGGACGACATAGACCGCAATACGGACACAACCGAAAGCGACCACACCAAGATAGGGACACCTACAATCAGCATTCCGATGTCGCGAAAAGCTGGAGGAGAGAAGAAGCGCCGATCTGCCGTTATTGAGCTTGGAGCGCCACCGATGTTGGCGCGACCCAGCTCCTCCAGGTCACTCAGATCCCTCAGTGGGAGACCCCGATCGTCAAGTCACAAACGCCATCTTTCCCGTCATCAGCACATGCGACATGTTCGATACGATGAACGAGCTCCTTTTCATCGTCACGATGCGGAAGACCTTCGGAATCGCCCAACGCTTCCGGCTTTCCACCACGACAATATCATCGATCCAGATCTCGCAGCTTTCATGTCTGATGAGGATTCAAGCGATGAAGAACCAGCCAGCATATTCGCAACTCTCAGCGCAGATTCCCCCCCTCATGCGAGTGGAGAGAGTGAAAGAAGTGGACTTGGCGGCCTCTTGGCAGCTATGCGGAAGGGGAAGTCTAGGATCGGTGAAAGGAGTGTAGTTGGGAATCCACGAGACACGGACACCGCAAGCATTGCGAGTCGCCAAATGAATCGACATTCAAGAAGACGGAATATGAGCGTGAGCAGCACGGTTGGACTCCGGCCTTCTCCGCGAAGATCGAAAAGCAACAGCCTACTCCGATCGATTGGAGTTGGCCTCGGTGGAAGCGTTGGGCAACCGCCAGCTCCCAACAATCAAACACTTCCTTTGCCCATAGTAGGTTTCCAGATGACACGTAGCTCATCAATGCAAGGAGGCAATGCGCCTGTCGTTGAGCTCAACCAAGCAAGCTTGCACCATGTCAGGAAGTTACTGAAGCAGATGCTGTATGACTCCGGAATCCCAAATCTGGCTAGATGGGAGAAAGCTCTCATGCCCATTTTGCTACAATGCACGGACGATGTCAATCCTGATGTTCAACATAACGACGATATTGACATTCGGCATTACATCAAACTAAAGAAAATCCCCGGGGGAAGACCAGGAGACACTTCATACGTCTCGGGTGTCGTCTTCACGAAGAAAGTAGCTCTGAAAAGCATGCCGAGGAGTATTGCTCATCCCCGTATTCTGATCGTGACATTTCCGATAGAGTATGCGCGCCACCAGCAACATTTCATGAGTCTAGAACCGGTCATTGCGCAAGAGAGGGAATATCTACGAAATCTAGTTGACCGAATAGCCGCCCTCCAGCCTTCCGTGCTACTCGTGCAGCGCAATGTTGCTGGTCTTGCGCTGGAGTTCCTCGAAGAAGCTAACATTGCAGTCGCGTACAACGTCAAACCAACGGTTCTCAACGCTGTCTCGAGATGTACTCAGACGCGGATGATATCCTCTGTGGAAAAACTCAACATAGATCCTTCGCATCTCGGACGATGCCAAAGTTTCGATGTCAAAACATATGTCCACGAGAATAGGAAGAAGACATTCATCTACTTGTCCGGTTGTCAAAGTGATCTGGGGTGCACGATTGTCTTACGCGGCGCTACGGTTGAAACACTCAAGGCTCTGAAGAAGATAGCCGAATTCCTCTGTTTTGTCGTCTACAATCTGAAGCTCGAAACTTGTCTTATGCGGGATGAGTTCGTTCTCATACCATCGACTACCATGGGAGGGACAATTTTGGCAGGAAAAAAGGACCATTCCAGATCTAATCTGGAGATCGCTGACACTTCTCGAGACTCCGGATCTGCGGCTCCGCAAAATCAAACACCACAAACTACGAATGAAGCTTCCGATGTGAACTCTCACGCTATTCAAACGGACACAGACGACAACGTAGCAAACGCCCCGATATCAGCCAAAAACAGCATTACGAGCAACTCTGCAACTGCCTTGACTGTTCCAGATGACGCTCCACTGCCTTCATTCTATGGCGAAATGGTCGAAACACATCAGACAAAGATACTTTCGGCCTCGCCCTTCGTAAAATTCATGCCGCCGTATCTCTTGATGCAGGCCCGCGAGCAGGAACGAAAAGTAGGGTATCTGAAGAACCTCCGCGATCGTTATACTACGGATGACGAGAAGACGAGTACAGACGACCCCGAGGAGTTTGAATTGGTCCAACCGGAGATGGTTCACACCGTCCTAGAACAGACGTCCAAGCAAGTGCGCGACTTTTTACACGCGGTCCATAATGCCGAATTTGATAAGGCGTTGCATGCATACCAGACTCAAAAACGACAATGGGAGGGTTACGTATCAAGCAACCTAAATCTCTTCGACCCATTCAACCACCAGAAAATCGCAGTCTTATATAGCGTGGTCAACTCAGTCACATCCACTCCGTGCGTTGGTCCCGAAATTATCGCCTTGGCATTTTACCATGAGCATGATTACGATGATGGTTTCACACCTGACTGTACACTCGGTCAGTACGTCGAAGATCTTTGCCACGGCGCAAGCACGATCTGCGACGTGAACGGGTGTGATAAGAGAATGTTGGATCATCATCGCCAATACGTTCACGGAGAGGGCCAAATGAGTGTCATCGTCAAGAAGTATCCTTCTAAGATACGAGGTCTCCACAACACTATTCTGATGTGGAGTGTCTGTCGAAAATGCGCTATCGAGACTCAAGTCATCCCGATGTCCGAGAACACATGGAAATACTCGTTTGCAAAATATCTAGAGCTCACTTTCTGGAGCACGAAGCTGCATCCTCGTGCAGATATATGTCCGCATGACATTCATCGAGACCACGTCAGGTATTTCGGACTCAACAATGTTGCAATTCAGATTCAGTACGACAACGTTCACCTCTATGAAGTCATAGTGCCCCGACCGACCGTGACTTGGAAGGTGGATAGCGATCTCCGCCTGAAAAATGAACAGTTTCTCAAGATAGAGGATCGGCTAGACAGGTTCATGACCTCCGTCAAAACACGTCTTAAGAGTATCCACGTCGAAAGTGTAATACCGGAGAAGATCGAAGCCTGCCGAGCTGAGGTTGACAAATTGACGAAGCGAGCTAGTGAGGAACATGACTGGCTACGACAAAAACTACAAGACAAGTACATGTGTTCCAGGTACTACGAAATCATTCCTCTCAATAGAGCCATTCGAGCTATCCAAGAAAAAGCAATTTCGTGGGACGATGCTTTTGCGGAGTTTGAACATCAATTCTTCCCTTCAGAGAAAGACATTAGGCGACTTGCTGCACTTCAACTGAAAAAGATTTTCCTCGAGCGCGATGAGTCCTCTAGCTCATTGGCATCCGTCGAGGAGGGAAACGAAGCCTTGTCAAGCCCAGAGCTACGAGAGAAAGGCGAGACGCTCTCATTGAACCCTATGCCTTCCCACATGTCTCCGGAGCACGCTAGAGATATGCTCACATCAGTGGTCGAAGAAGACCAAACATCTGGCTCAAGGCTAGGAGAAGAACAGACCTCAACAGCCGTTCGCCATGGACCTAGTTCCCGCCGTAACTCCAGTAGCATTAACCCAGAAATGCTTCTCCAAACTCCCATCGAAGCCTTTGAGAGGGAAGATGTCCGTCACTTGGACCTTGCGGTGTCTTCTAATTTCCGAGAGAGCACATCCTCTCCGAAGGCTACACAAGATGTGAACCCACCTACCTTGTCGCCAGAATCGAGCATCTCACAAGAAATAGCGCCTACGATTACCTCGCCATCTATCAAACCAGAACCGTTGGATGATTCCATCTCAGAAGCCGTGGACAGTATGCAACAAACTGAACTCAACAGCTCCTCGGCTGGGTCAATCATTGAGTCGAAGATACCTCGCTTAGTCGATGCCATTCGACGTGAAGGTGTTTTGAAACCACCGGCTATGACTCGGACTCAATCGCAGCCGGGCGGTTTATCTCGGCGAGACCAATATGGCAATGGTTCAACTAGCAGTATCACGACGTCTATTGGAACCAGCAAAGGGGATTCGCAAAAGATGAGCCTCAGTGAATCTGCAAAAGCTCTAGAGAGGAGAATGACAGAACGTCTAGGGCTAGGTTCCTTCAAGGCATCAAAGTCGTCTAGCCATTCAATGATTCCTAGATCTGTCCCTCGAAAGCGCAATGAGTCCAAGGTATCTACTTTGGCAAAGCACTTTGAACAGCTCAGTCGCGAATTCGAGAAAGAGCGTCTTCGTGAGAGACGCCTTCGAGCAGAGCGAAGCCGCCAAGCGCGGGCATACCCTTTGGCGTCTTCAAAGCCCATAGTAGAGGTGTATCACGATGTACATGACGCTGTACAGGAACAGAGCCAATCGGAGGAGGACCCTAGCACAGCCACTCCCGCTCGGCTTAGCACAGACAACAGCACGCTCGAGGACAGTAGTTTCTCTGGAACTACAGAACCAACGACCGGAACGGAGTCGCCCACCGACGAACGAAATCCCAAGAGTTCAACCAGTCCATCTATTGAAAGTCAAGAACATGGAGCGAACACCAGTCATCCTACTTCAGACGCCGAGGGCGACGCTAGCGATATTGAGAATACTATCTTGGACGATTTGCGACTTCCCGAAAGTATCGACGAGTCACAACTCCTATCGCCAACAGAATCGCAGCTCGATATCAGTCTGGAGCTGCCGAAGCACGAGAAAACTTCTTTGATGAAAATGTTGACGAGCTTTTGGTCTGAACGTTCGGCTAGTGGATGGGCGCCACTGGATTACCCATTCGCCCAGATCGAACATGTATGGGAGGACTCCGATATCATTGTCCGTGAGGATGAGCCAAGTTCTATCATTGCGCTAGCATTGTCAAGCCCAGACTATCTTACTAAGTTGCATAGTTTTCGCACTGAGCAGAGTAAGATGGAGAATGCAATGGGACAAAACGGTCTCGCAGACTCCGAAGCCTCCATTGAGCGAAATCTACTCCACCAAGCAAATACGAACATTCGCTACGGCTTCACCAATCGCGGCGTGAAAGCGCAATGCAAGATATTCTACGCCGAATCATTTGACGCACTTCGCCGGAAGTGCGGAGTCGCTGATCGCTTTGTCGAGTCGCTGTCCCGATGCTCTAAATGGGACTCTAAGGGTGGTAAAAGCAAATCACTTTTCCTCAAGACACTAGATGACCGTTTCGTCTTGAAATCTCTCTCACCAATCGAAGTCAACTCTTTCTTCCGGTTCGCGCCAAACTATTTCGCCTTCACCCACAAGAATCTCTTCGAAGGATTGCCGACCGTGATCGCAAAGATGTTCGGTCTCTTCCAAGTGCAGATCAAGACACCCACTGGCCGAGACTTTGACTGGTACATGCTAGTTATGGAGAATCTCTTCTACGATCGCGAACCGAACCGACGATTTGATCTCAAGGGTTCCATGCGGAACCGGAAGATCCAAAGCACTGGAGAGCGCGATGAGGTTCTGTTAGATGAGAATCTAGTCGACATAATCTACTCTGAAACGCCTATCTTCGTGCGCGAGCATACGAAGAAGCTCCTCAAAGCCTGCGTCTGGAACGACACGCTTTTCCTATCCCAGCAAAACGTAATGGACTACAGTCTCATGGCCGGTTTCGATGATACGCACCGGGAAATCATCGTCGGCATTATTGGTAAGCAATCTTCTTTCTTTGCTATACCCAAGATCTCTTCAAATAGTATCATACTTGCTAACTTCTTATCGCAGATTGCATCCGTACATACACCTGGGACAAAAAGCTCGAATCCTGGATCAAAGACCGCGGGAAGAACAAGCCAACTATCACGTCGCCTAAGGACTACCGCAACCGTTTCAGAATCGCGATGGCGAAATACATCCTCCAGGCACCGAACTGCTGGCACCAGTTTACGGAACAGAGCGTACAACCGCGGCATATTAGGTCGGAGGCACAAGCGGAGCAGGAAACGGTGATGGACTCCAATGGTGATGCTCGGGCGGTAATTGGGCACTTTTGAGGCGGGCATGCTGAAAACACGTTGATGGCGATAGGTATGGCGTTGATATGGGTATTTGGGTGTATAACGATCAGGTGTTTTGGGGGGCGGAACTTTTCGTAGATAGATATGAAAGTTAGTCATCGGATTACAAGCTTCCTATCCGTTTCAACATCAGTTCTCACGTCCATGCCACCTTCAGAGGTCAATGACGCTAAGGTAGCTCGGCATCAAAGGACCATAGCAGTCAGGTCCACTGCTTCATTGAGTGAGTAAAGCAAAGACATAAGCCCGGCAATGTTGCCTCCCTCTCTAGTCCAGGTCTCCTCTCACAAAATCCCCCTTGTGCTCATGCTCAAACAGGTAATCTTTCATGATGTCGTCCCGGTTCACCTTTCCCTCCTCCATCCTCTCATAAGCCTCAGAACTCTCATCCTGAACGATCTCCAGCAGGTAATCCCAAAAACACGTCCGGCTCAGGTGGCTACGCCACCAGTCGTGCGGGTTGACTCCCCCCTCCATCTCGCACTCGCACCTCTTCTGGGTATGCACCCACGTCCACAACTCGTCCGCCCGCTCAAAGGCCCCGGAAGGCATACTCCTCGTCCCTCTGCGCCGCTCGGCGCCATGGGCCACAGCACGTGCATTCTTCCACGCCTGCGAGATGAGGGACACTGCACCCACAGCTTGCCTGTCCAATACCGCCAGCCACAGCTCGACGCCGAGTCGCTGGATCGTCTGGAGCTCGAATGCCGTGAGGGCGTCGTCGCGGAATAGCTTTGTGCGGCAGTACGGGCACCGGTTGCAGTTTGGCTCGGTGCTCTGCAGCCAAGGCGTCACGCAGGTGCCGTGGAAATAGTGCTTGCAGGGTAGCAGTTGGATGGTGTCGGTGGCGCCTGGCGCGCACTCGTCCTTGCAGATGGAGCATGTTGCTGCTTCCGGGGCGCTGCTGGCTTCTGGGGCGTTGTTGCCCGCGAGGTGGGTTAGGGAGTGCGGGAGATCTAGGAAGCGCGGGGCCATCTTGCTGAGGTATGGGTTAGGGACGTTGGGTAAGGCATGGAGAGAGGCAGAGGGGTACGTACGTTTGCGTGTATGCTTTCTCTCGATGTAGTATATTGATGGACTTGGTGGATTTAGGGCGTTATAGATCGTGGTGTGTGTGTGTTGAAGAGAGCTACGTAGGAGGTAGATATAGATGTATGGAATCATCTTTCCGCTAGCAAATTAAGATCTATTATAGTATCTCGGCCATCGGACCGCTTCTACGCAGCTTCGGTCATTGGTGAACGACAAGTTGTGTTCTGAACATCTCCCTTGGAGTTTCGGCATTCCCGAAACACTAAACTGGAGGTGAGAAGGTGCCATTTTTAATCCGTTCATAAGCCTATTGGAGACTTATGAGAATGAGATAGAAGAGATTTGATATTGCTTTTATACCTCCCCGAACAAGGGGATCATGTTTGATGGACAGCTGCATTTTGACTGCTGAACGGCAAATAGTTGTCAAAGCATGCTTTTTGAAGCTGTGCTATGTTGATTTGATTTGCTATATCTGTTATTCGACGGTTATCGACAGCATGATGCATTGAAAGTCCTACATTCTGCATACCATGAGGTCTCATTTAAAGCCACAGGCAGTGGGCCGCAACGTGCTGGATCCATAATTGCTCCTGCGCTGTCTTCTGCCTTCAAAGTCTCTTACTTTGGAGGGCGGCTGAAAGAAATCTCGCACTACTCGAGGGCACCACGCATTGCTTTGGTGTTGCGCAGATTATGAGGGATGGTATAGCTGTCCCTTTACTGACATAATATATGCATATGTCCATTGAACTATAAGGTTCCTTGCTAATTGCTGATGGTGGCGATTTGGCGGCGATAAAGGATCGAATCTGTTTGTAGAGCAGTTGTTACGAGACTAGTTAGAAAGGGCCTGCCTGAATACGCTATGTGATTTTTTGGAAAGCAAAAGCAAAGGTATTGGAACGTCCCAGCTAGCACATCCCATTCTAGGCAGAATCTTCTCGATGTGCCTCAACTGTCTTGCTTTCAGTAATATTTCAGGTATCTCTAGAACCCTTTCTCGCACCGCTTGTTCGGAAGAGGGCAATCTCCTTGCTACCGAGGTCGAAGTCTTCGGGTATTTGTCGTCTTCAGTTGGTAAAAGTTGATACTCATGACCTCGATGTCTCGAAGGACATCTGCAAGTAGATTTCTTGAACCATAGAGCTTAGTTTCCAATTCAAGGGCCATGATCGTTGTCATCTCCTTTCTAAGGCGTCTTCTCGAGGGTACCTAGTCCCTTAGATACGAACTTTTGGAAGTTTAGCGACACTGTTCATGACTAATACCCAGCATAACCAGACAGTCGCCATGTATGATTTACGTCCTCAATGACCTAGTCCTCAGCGAAGGCCTGAGCTGAAGCCGCATTCACCATGAAATTACTAAAGTGAAAGTGTAAGCCAGCTGGGGGAGGGTTTTATGAATCTCTTTCTCCCAACCCACCCTCATCTCATCCAAAGATCACCCCCTTTTTCCACAGACCCCACCACCTTACCCCCACGCACCACCATGTCCACACCCCCAACCTTCCACCACTTCCTCTGGACCGGCCTAGTCTGGAGCCGCCTAGAAAACAACACAAGCTGGGACCCCTGCTCAATCTGCAGAGAAGAAACCTCAAGCACCGAACGGCTCTCCGTGCGAATAATCCAATGCGGCCACGCCTTCCACGAAGAATGCATCTGGCCCTGGTTCACCGGCACCTCGCAGAGCCGGGACACCTGCCCGAACTGTCGATTCCAGCTTTTCCTCGCCGCTCCTTTAGCTGTGGGACCGCAAGGGAGTATCGTTAATCCTCAAACTCAATCAAGTCTCGACGACGATAGCGAGGACTCGGACGTATATTCTAGACACGATGACAGCTCTGACATGGACACGGATGATGCGGAGACGGACCCATCCTCCTGCGATTCGGATGCACATGATCTGACCCTATCAGAACTAGAGGACAACGACTGGGAGATCAATTCTGATCCCGAGGTCCTCGCACAGCGCCTGAAGATTGCGGTGATAGAAGAGATTATCCGGGCGGTTCGGATCAATACACCGCGTCGAGTGTGGGCTCAGGTGGTCAAGGAGGTAGTTGAACGACATCCGAATGACCTGACGGTCGTCGAGGTCCGGCAGCTTGAGGTTACAATGGCGGAGAAAGTGTATCCCGCTGTTCGTGAGATGAGCCCGAGCATCTTTGAGGTGTATTCTGAGCAGGAGGTTGCGCGGGAGATTCGGGCTCGACGGGGAAGTGCAGAGGTTGAAGAGGCAGTTGGTGAATGGTGAGTATCTTTGTCTGATTTTTAAATCGGGTAAGGCTTTGTTGGTAGAGTTGGCTAGGAGTTTGGCTGGACTTTTGTAGATATGGAAGTTGATCTAGGGGTCTTTGATAGATTGCAGCGTCTGTCCCCTTACTAGCAAACTGTCTTACTTAGGTTGGCATTCTTTGTGCTGTTTGTGTATATCATCTGACATCTACAGCCATAATTGGTCGTATTTCACTACTGTGCCTTACCATAGATCCATACACTTTTCTGCCACTGTCTGTGGGGCTCCAACGTAATAACAGAAACTGGGTGGGGGTCAGATACACTTCCAGTCCGTGTGGACCTCGCTGTCTGGGGTAGCCTCGCGAGTTTACTAGTTGTCTAAAATGCCAAACTTCTCTCTTATTCAGAATACTAAAAAATACTACGAAGCTTCTCATAAAGTGGCAAAGGGGTGTACGGATTTCTATGACGAGGCACAGTAGCTGTATACTTCGTACTCACTCACCGGTTAGCGTGATTCGTATGTAAATGAGATTCATCGGAGACGTATAGTGGCGAGGAAAGGAACATGATGATGATACATCTCTTTCGTAATCGTAATTGGATAGTTTGCGTGGGAATCGTGGGCGACTGAGGTTACAGTGTAGGGTTCTCCTGGAGTGGAGTCCTAATTCACCCCTTTCTCATAATGCGCTGGGAAGGCCGCGATTCGAAGCCGAAATTACCCCTACTTTGATCGCGAAGCAGAATCGAGTTGACTTCACGGTTGGTCAAATGCGGGTGGGATACAGAAGGCGGTGCAGATAGCTAGCTACTAGTCGAGGGGAATGGCGCGGAGAGAGAGAGGGAGGGAGGGAAGAGGGGTGTGTATTTGGCGACCTTTGCTTCCCATTGAAATGACCAGTATGTAGCCCCAGGGGCAGTCTCGATACGGGACATCTGCTGCGAAAGGGTTCTAAGCGAGGCTGCTATTGAGCGCTTTCGATCGCCTTCCTGACTCTGCTGTGGGCTGGAAACTCGCCGTCGCGGACATTCACCATCTGCGTAGGTAGGCATTGGCTACTGTTAGGGGAATTAGCCTGTCGCTCGGCCTATACATTCGGCCTGCCAGAACTTGGAGACTCACAAAACAACATCACACCTGCAAGTGAACTGCCAGCTTCATATCTGCTCCGCCAACCTGCTCTTCGTCAATCATTCACAATTAATAACCGACACAGACTTATCCAGATCAACAATGTCTTATCCAGTCACTCCGATCGCCAAGGCTTCGAGCAACGTCCTCGCCGACCCCCCAGACAGCTCGATCCTGGCCCGCGAAAGCTGGATCTTCTCGTGCCTCCGTATAGCCCCGATCACCACCATCGAGAAGGACGACCAGATCTGCATCATTTGCCAGGAGGAGATCACCGGCAAGGAGATCCTCGACCAAGAGACGTACGGAGAGATTCCTGTGCGCGCCCCATGTGGCCACGCGGTTTGCCAAGGCTGCGTCCTTAAATGGCTCAATCAAAACAAGAAGGACGTCGTTGTCTCTCACGAGAGCTTCCTCCAGCTCCTGAAGGAGCGGGAGGCGAAACGAGAAGAGAATGCGGCTCCGGCTCCGGGACTTTGGGGAGAAAAAGAGAAGAAGCGGTTCAATTGGGTCTACTGGCATACCCAGGTAAGTGTGCGTTGCGTAATGTGTAAAGCGAAGAGGATGCTAACGACGATTGTGTAAATGGGGTGCTATCTCGCCGCAACATTTCCAGGAGTGGATGGACCGACATAACGATCGGGAAGCGACTCATCTCAACATGAATGACAGATGCCCGACATGTCGGACAGCCATCGTGCCCTGGTTCTTCAAGGTTGCAGTGGTAGATGTCGAGAAGGCTTGTGCCGAGCTCCCAACTCTTCTCACATGCTTCTTTGAGCTGAACCCCCCTAGAGGCCCACTGCCTTCCAAGGCTAAGAGCATGCTAGAGACTACGATTGCTGTCGCCTTGATGAAGGTGCACGGCAGTCTCCTTTTTTTCAAGGATGCAGATGAGGAGATACGAAAGGCACTCCTAGAGGCTCTAGAGGGGGTTGATTACTTCCTCTGGGCGCTACCAGAGCTGGATTCCGAGGAGAAATTCCGGCAGTTCAAATTGGTCGTGAACATGTTTCTGAGGTTCTTGACGTCCCATGTCGTCAATCAGATCCCTTGGGTGAAGGTTAGGCTGGAACGTCCGCAATCTGACTGAGGGTAGGTTGACAGGTACTATGACTCAAAAACAGAAAGGAGACTGATGGATTTCGGTAGGCTTCAGAACTTGGAGAACGTGGAAGACAGACTCGGATTTGGAAGATGATTGATCTTGAGAATAGAGTATGTTTGCCGTAACAGAGAGTCGTGGAGTCATGTCAAATTAGAGGGTGTACATAAACATACAATGGGTATTTGGAGAGTATCATAATGGATTCATACAGAATAATACCAAACTCCTGTCCACATACTTCGAATACATGTACTGTACATGAACGCTTACCGTCCTCGCCCCTACCAACCCCACCAAGTTTTGATCGTATCGCCTATAGTGGCTTTTCCCTCTTCTTTCCTTTTTAACCGGTGTATTCGCTCCTCGACAAACGCGCCCTCGACATTTTTGCTGTAGGCACGAGTAGCAGCAATCTCACCCTCCAAAGCTTTCTTCTCGATTTCCCTCTCAATTGGCGAGAGCTTCTCGATTGACTTTTCGTAGTTCTTGCGAGTCTTGGCCGGCACACCCTTCCAAGTATCCTCAGGTACATCGGCGCCGGAGCTTTCCAGAAATATTTCTTTTGATTCCAGAGGGTTACCCTTCATAGCCGCAGATAAATTTTCTTTCGATATTACGGACTGGAACTCTGGTACCGGGAGACCTTCCTTCTTTGCCTGCTCAATCATCTTCTCCTGCTGAAGCATCTGACGATATAGCTTATCGGCATGCATTTGAATCTTCTCATCGTCCGCCGGACTCCGGTTGTTCATGTTCAAGTATCCCAGTGCTTTCAAGAACTTAGCCTGCATTTCGAGACATCGATTTTGTGCCCGGTTCTCGTCTCTACAAAGCATCATCTTTTTCATATAGGAGCCACTTTTGTAGCAGTCTTGTACCGCGAGCACCTCCAGCGCGCAATTCTCCGACGCGACGCGGCCGACTGAGGCCCTTCGGTCATTGTATGCTTCGACGACATCACTCAGTCTTTCTTGGTCAGACTTTCCTCGCGCTTCGATGGAGGATAGAGGTTCGTAGTTCTTCCACAGGTGGGCGTATCGACCATCCGGGAAGAGGGATTCGCGGGGGACTTTGGGCTTGGACTCTTCGGTCTTCGGTGGCGATGGAATTGGATCTGGAGGTGCGGAGAGGATAGGTTCTTTGGGTGTTGGCGACGGAGGTTTGGGTGTGTATTCCACGGTCGATTCCTTGTCGAGGAACTCGCGCAGGCTAGGATCCAGCTTGCCAATGGCATCATTTTGGGATGAGCCATCTCCGTTCGAGCTGCTCCCCCACCAGCCCATTTTGAAGTCGTGAATGTGAGTGCGGAGCTTTGTGTTTTGTGATCTCGTGGCGTTGAGACGAGATCCGGGCACCGACCCGTAATAACTGGTGAAAGTTTGTCACGTGAAAAAACCTAAAACACGGTGATAACAAGAAGCGCGTCTCGCATTAACCTCGACACGAGACACACCACCACCATTCCTCCCTGAACCCACCATCATTATGGCTCCAGCTGGTACGTATCAATATAGCGATACAGGTAGCAATTCATATCTAACGAATCCGAGCAGATCGAGAGGAGCGCCGGCGCATGCGACAACGAGGTGCTGGAGCGCCACAATTGCAGAATAACATTGCCTTCACATTCGGAGTCCCCCCTCTACCTCCACAACGATCCGCTCGCCGGACGCCACAGCCTCTGCCCGCGCGACCCTCCCGCCAAACTCCTCAAGCCCTCCAGCCTCGGTCTACGTCTCGCAAAACACCAGCCGGATCCGGGGCGAAACAATCTGGAAAGGCGTCCAAGCGGCAGAGAAGCGCGTCCGTCCCATCCAGTGTCACCGCGGGAGCAAGCAGGTCAAAGCCCACAAAAACACCATCCGCCAAGAGCCCTCCATTGTTTGTCACACCAACAGTAGTTGCGAAGCGGAAACGAGGGCAAGCCGCGCCAATACCTCCAGAGGAAGTTTCGAGAGGAGACGAGTTACAGACCGACGATGAACAGTACTTGGCGTCTTCACAGAGGAAGAAGCCCTCCGCAAAGGCGAAACTCTCAGCTGCTGAAGTCGGAAAATGGTCGCCGGAGGACGACGATTTACCAGATGAGCTGTCTTTCGAAAGTGAGGAGCTCCAGGCATCTATGGAAAAGAATCGGCGCGAAAGGCTTTCTAAATCTGCCTCACATACCCCAGCACCCAGGACCACTGGCACGGAACGCGATCTTGCAAGAAGCGGTAATAAGTCGCTACCTATCCGAAATACTGGAAAAGCATCAGCCACCGCTGCGAGCGCGAAGGCACCGGTTCAGCGACCAGCACCACGAAAGTCAATAGGAAAGCAAGGACCGTCAAGAACACCGCAACAACCTTCAACAGCAGTGGAGGATGATAGCGAGGATGAGCTCTCCCCTAACAGAATGGAGGAAGATACCACGGCAATGAATTTCATTGCGGATGAAGCTAAGGATGATGGGGAAGAAGAAGAAGAAGAGGAGGAGGAGCTAGAACTCGATGATGGCGATCTCAACGAGAATGATAGCATAGACGAGCTGTCTCCCGAATTTGATCGCAAGAATTCTCAAGTTGACAAGCTTCATTCAGAGATTGAAACCCCCGCGCCAAGGGCAAAGAAACGCCCTGCTGCGATACAAGAGGAGCCTGAGGAAGAGGAACAAGAAATGGAAGAGGAGGCTGTCCGGCCTAGACATCAGTCTAGTGCCGTTGCAACATTGCAGTCCCCCCGCCAGCAAAGATCTCCTTCGAGCCCCAGATCAACCGTAGCCGGACCCATCCCAGTGCGCCGCCCGAAGGCCAAGACCACTGCGATTAAATCCAAAGGAGTACGCCATAAAGTATTAAAAGGCGACGGAAAGCGCGTTCCCATTCAAGTATATCGCGTTTTCTACCCGTACAAACAGCTCCGAGAACTAGATAAAGAGGAAGAAGACGCTCAGATGCACGCAGCGACCCGCATTCCTGGTGTCAGCTGCGGCGACGTCCTAGCTCAAATCACTGAAGAGATTCTTGATGCTCGAATCTTGGACCTAAACGAGAAAGCACTCGACCTCCCAGATTCACAGCGGAAAGAACGTGCAACGCTGAAACGCAAGCGCGGAGCCATTCAGAACTTCAACTCAGCTCTTTCTGACCAGCTTCTCAATCTTAGAGAAGCTTTGGACACCGGGTCTGCCCTCAGAAGCCGCCAAAAAGATGCGGCGAAGGAGAAGATCAAGCTGCGTGGCGAATTCCTCGAGATTCGGAAACAGAGAGAAGAGCTGGCACTGAAGATGGATGAAGCGCGGGCGGTGCATGCGGATAGGGTACGGCGGATGAAGGAGATGAATGAAGTCAATACCGCGATGACTGATATCGAGATGGCCATTCAAAGGGGTAGGGAGCGTGCCAGGAAAGAGGGCAGGAACGGCGAAGGTCCCGACATGCCGATTGACATGCTACTAGACAAAGTAGCCGCGGATGTTCGGTCTCATGGAGGTGGCATGTTTGATCGAGTCAAGGGCTTCAATGGGCGTATGGAGAGGATTGCGATGGTGTTGGAAGGGCGACCTTAAGCGCCCTGTATTGCCTGTACAATGGCCTGATGTTTTGGACGATTGAATGACAGCGTTGATGTTTCTGGATACATTATGGTCGTTGACATTCGACCTGAATGATCACTACTTCTCCCTTGGATGTTCTTCTGGAAAGGTGGTTTTATTTGAAGCGACTCCAAGCTAAGTACTAAAATTGTGTTATGCAAATATCCCAGCAAGCTGACACCTTACAAACTACCCCTGGCAATACTATAAAGAGACCTCGGAGAATATACATAAAGAACAGTGATGGACAGCCGATTTGCCGTGGGTGAACATCGAGGGAGCCATGCGGGTAACGCGCGTTCCGAGGAGATGAATCCACCGCGTGTGTCACCTTCCTGATATACAATGGCCTTCTCAACTTGAATGCCGCTTCACCATCGCTTCCACATCTGAATTGCGCATCTTAAAGCTACTAGGACGCAAATATTAGACGCCTCAGCTCAGGCTGGGCGACGAATGACCTGTCATAGAATTCTCGGAGCACTGATACATCAATCACGTCCCAAACACCACGACGCCCGCATCTAGGCGCATCCCCGCCCACACTGACGTGCAGATACCCCGACAATCACACAACATGATGCCCATTACGGCATAGCTCACGAAGCTATACATCTGGGTACAGCCTCAATAGGATTGCCAAGTCAATCTAATAACATGCTCGCATGCACGGCCTACATCATCGGTGACCATGATGGCATCAGCAGCCAATTAGGCAGCTCATCTTCATTCATATGTCTTATGTTCTCTTCAAGTCTATCATCTTCGAAGACCCCACCTCCATGCTTCCGTACCTTGTTCCGCGATAGGCAAGCAACTGTACCGGATGAAGTATAAGTAGAGCCGTCAGCTTTCCATCCACGCTGTCCGCCCCGTACAGCTGCCTCTTCCACAATATGACATCCTTACTTCAATTGGTAGCGTTAGTGGCTCTATGTTCGCCCTTATTCGGTGTCGAGGCTTCGAAGCTCGATAATCGCGGTGTGCCTGCTGAGCCTACCGGCGTCAAGACAATCACGTCTAAACAAGGCGCGAAAATCCGATACAAGCAGCCCGGAAAGGAAGGGATATGTGAGACAAAAGAGGGCGTAGATGATTACTCCGGATACATCAGTCTTAATGAAAAGGAAAACATGTTCTTTTGGTTCTTCGAGGCCCGAGAGAATCCATCCGAGAAACCGGTATGAAGCCCCTCATTCTCTTCAAATATCGTGCAATGCTAAGATAAGAGCGATGTAAAGTTGACGCTGTGGCTCAACGGTGGCCCAGGATCTGACTCATTGATTGGCTTGTTCGAAGGTATGGCTATCCCGTCGTTGCTGTTGTACCAAATCTGTGTACCTTGAAATTCCGGCCGGGCTTTCGCCATATTCACATCTCTCCATCTTCCACGAAACATTCAGAAGACATTACGTTATAGCTCGAAGTGTATTCAAGCTTCCAAAAACGGACTAACGCTTCGTAGAACACGGCCCTTGTAATGTATCCAAAGATCTGAAGACACATTGGAACCCATACTCTTGGAACGAGGCTTCGAACATGCTCTATCTTTCCCAACCTATTGGCGTGGGTTTCTCATACGAAGAAGCCGTCGTTGGCAGCTACAACCAAAGCGGCGACTTTCTCAATGCGACCGAAGCCCCTCCAGACGGTCGCTATTCGTTCGTGGACCCAGACTTCCACAACACGACTGATGCATCAGCCATCGGAGCTTGGCATATCTTGCAGGCGTTCCTTGACTTGTCGCCGCAATTAGATCCAGATATCACCAATTTCACTTTCAATCTTTGGACAGAGAGCTACGGGGGTCATTGTAAGATCAAAACCTCTGAAGTCACGGACTCCTTCAATAGCCAAAGCTGATCTAGGTGTATAGATGGCCCCGCATTCTACAACTACTTCTACCAGCAAAATCTCGCAATCGAAAATGGTAGCATCCCCGGTGTTCCTCTCCAGATGGATACGCTTGGAATAATCAACGGCATCGTAGATGAGGGTATTGCAGCCCTTAGACTCATTGTCGCATGCCCGTACTGAATCAAAGCAGAGATCCAGGCCCCTTACTACCCAGAGTTCGCGGTCAACAACACGTACGGTATCAAGGCCGTCAACGACACTATCTACAGCTATATGAAGCTTTCATACACTATGCCCGGAGCCTGCCGTGATTATATCACTGCCTGCAAAGGAGCAGACCGCAGCACTCCGGACGGACAGGAGACTTGTTCATACGCAACGTATCTCTGCCGCTCATTCGTCGAAGAGCCATACTACGAATTTGGCGGACGAGGCGTCTATGACATCCGACACCCTATCGACGACCCAACTCCTCCTGGTAGGCCTTACGATGCCTATCAGAGGAGACTTCGCTGACACTCCTCCAGGATACTGGCCCGAATTTCTCAACCTAGCCTCAACGCAAAACGCAATCGGCGTCGACATCAACTACACCAGCACAAGCAGCCAGTACGTTGGCGCCGGCTTCTCCTCAACCGGCGACTTCGTCTTCCCGAACTTCATCGAAGATCTCGAAGAGATCCTGGCCTATGGCGTCCGCGTTGCACTCATCTACGGCGACGCGGATTACGCGAGTAACCCCCCTTTCTCGCAGCCTTTTGCCGACTAACCCAAACCACAGATCTGCAACTGGTTCGGCGGCGAAGCCATCTCTCTCGCACTGAACTATACGCACAAAGCCGAATTCGCCGCGGCTGGCTACACGCCCTTCCTCGTTGACAATGTCGAGTATGGAGCTGTGCGCCAATACGGCAACTTCAGCTTCACGCGCGTCTACGAGGCTGGGCACGAGGTACCGTACTACCAGCCTAAGGCAGCGCTGGAGCTGTTTAGGAGGGTATTGGGGGACTTAGTGATCAGCGATGGGAGTAAGGCTGTGACGGGAGATTATTCAACAAATGGCACAGCAAAGGCGACGCATACGGAAGCGTATGTGCCGTTGCCGAGTGGGACGGCGGCATAATAATGTTTTTTTTGAAATCGACAGACCTGTTCTAGTACAGTGCTACGGCATAAGTCTGGACACACGAATTTATCACTGCTTGGCTCCAATCTTGCTCACTTGACACCATTGTGAGGAGTAGCCCGCCGAGTCAGTCAGTACCCAGTCGCCAGTGAGCCAAGGAGCAGAGCGATTTGCACTGCACGAAACTTGACATTGCGCCTAGGCTTTTGAAATCCCATGGGGTACCCCGAGTAGTGTCAAACGGGTGTGCACAGACTTATAGCCTATGTCTGTATCATCGCGCTGTACGTTTCATTGTTCAAAAGAATTTCATTCTATCATATGATACCAGCCTATGATAAAGAAAGCAAGAACGCTACAACTGTGAATATTGTACCCGTATCTTCCCAAAGAGTCGCCCAGCCCCGTTGAAACTATCCCAAACCGCCATATACTCCCCCAGCATACCTATCAATCTAATCGACCACCTCCAACATGGAGTACGCCGGATGACTGATCGCCTTCTTCACAGTCGTCAGCGGGTCCATTTTGACCTTCTTCGTCTTCTTCACATCCACCATATCATCCGCATCCTCCCCCTTAATATCCTCAGCAACGACCTCCTCCTCCACCTCGTCATCTTCAAACTGGCCGTTCTCCAAAAACATCTTCATTTGCCCCTGGCTGTACCCGCTCACTAGCGCAACGCCCATGTCCTCCGCTGTGACAGGCTTTGACGCAATGTCATTAGATCCAACCGAATACCCGTACCCACCATACTCGCCGGCGCGGCCCCCCGCCAGGTTCCAGAAAATAAGCTTCGGCATCTCATACCCGGCCTCCTCGAAATTCGCCTTGACGCGCTCGAAGCTCGTAGTCCAGCGATCCGCCGCCGTCTCCGCGGCATCGAACTGCATATCGCTGAAGACGAAGACCTGCTTAACCATGTCCTCCGGCTTGAGCTTCTTCTCGACGGCCAGCGGGAGGATGAGGCGCTCGAAGACGGCGACGAAGTCCGTATTCATGCCCCACTCGGCGGCGCGGACGGCGTTGACCTTGGCCGCGAAGGAGCGCGTGTCCTGCTTGCCGCCGACTTTGACGACGGTGGGGTTGGCGGAGAAGGTGATGAAGGCGCCGCCGAACGGGGGCTCGACAATCTCGGCGAGCAGGAGGGCGAGGCCGATGGCGGAGTCCATGGGGGTGGTTCCGTCTTTGAACTTGGGGTAGGTCATAGAGCCGCTGACGTCGCAGACGGCGATGGAGGACTCGATCGTGCCGGAGTCGCGGAGGCGCTGCACGAGGGTGTTCCATTGGCCTTCGGCGACTTTGGACTTTGCGACAGCCAGCGCGCCAGCGAGGGGGTTCTTCTTGTCGCTTGGATTATAACGGCTGGTAGGGCTGTTGGCTACGCTGCTGACGAGGGTCGATGGAAGGAGAATGGCGCCCGAGATCTGCTTAGACCCGGTTGTGACCTTTTCTAGATACTCCAGGAAGTGGGTTTCGTCTTTCTTGACGAAGAGGGTCTGGTAGCGGTGCATGGCGAGAGAAGGAACACGCTCGTATTTGATGTTGGCGAAGGTTTCGGCTACGATGTCTCGCTCGACTACTTCAAGAATCTTTCGCAGAGGTGAGACGGTCATACGGCGGTATTCCTCTCGTGCGTGACGGAGGTACAGTTCGCGGTTATCCTTTGGCACGTCGGGGCAAATGTCAGAGGCGTCTGGGTACAGAATCTCGGCGATAGAGGAGACAATGAAGGTGTTCTTGTCGTGAAACTCGGCGAAGGTCGGAGCCCACTTCGCGGCCAGTGAGATCTTCTTGAGATCCGCTTTATTATTCGAGCTCAGGTACTGCTTGTCTTCCTTGAGCTGAGTGGCGAACAGACGAGCGACGGCTATGTGGAGCACGCGATAGAAGGGGTCTTCTTCGAACTTCTTGAGGACTCGATCATGTTGCTCTTTCTTCGCCTTTTCTCTGAGTTCTTTGGCGGCCTTCGGGTCCCATTCTCGCTTCCGCTTCGCCTTCTTGGATTGCTCGGGATGGGTATCAAGAATGGACGAAGGATTGCTATTTGCCTTGAGCTGATCATGTGCAGAAAGCACCACCAGGTTGAGCAAATCCTTCCAGTATCCATGCGAGACTCCGTACTTCACATCATGGCTCTTCTCCGATGCTACTGGCTCACCCTTAACCTTTTCGAAGCCTTCCTCAGCCTCACCAGCCTCAACCATGACCATGTCATCATCCTCATCCTTCAATGCCTTCTCACCGTCTACCGCCTTCTTCTCCGCCGACTTGTCTTCTTCCTTCTTGACCTTCTTCTGGATGACCGGCCTAGTCAGCCACCGCAAGTTAGCCACCAGAGTCTGTGGGTGCTTCTCAGCCAACCACCCGAAAGCGCGGTAAGTGACAAAGCGACTGCTCTTGCCTAGGTGGATAGATCGTGCATTAAAGATAATCTTCACCGTGGAGAGCGGGTCTTCCTCCCATGCAGCATCCAAGACTTCGACAAGTCGATCAGCTGAGATGGAATCCTCCAACTCGTAGAATAGATCAACCAGTGCAGATTTGGTGGAGATGTGAGCTACGTCTGCATTCTCGGTGAGCATCTTGTTGTCCCTCTCTAGCTCCGCCTCGGAGTATTGGCGTGAAGAGCTATTGAGAACCGCATCCATGAACGCAGACTTCGGCTCCGGTCCCACTGCAGCTACAGAAGCATCCTTGGATTCTGCGTCGACCGGTTTCGTCTCGCGTGTGCGGTCGGGAAGGTCATCACTGAGGCCAGTAGGAGCGCTAGGAGGGGCTAGTTGGGCCTTGACGTACGCCTGGAACTCATACTCTGGAAGGAACAGAGCCTCGCACGGGGGCAGAAAGACCGGGAATGTAGACTTCAGGATAGAATGGGTGGCCTTCTTTTCGACGTTGTCACTCGTCGCTTTCTCGTTGGTGACAGTGTCGTTGGATGCCATGACGGGTACGGCCTGAGCGGTTTGAAGCGAACGAGACTGGGAGAATGGCTGAAGGAAAGACAGATGTGAGTAAGGTGGAGGAAAATGGGGCCGGCAGATGCAGGCCTGGTGTTTGCCTCTAAAATGCTGAAATAGCAAGCTGATATAGGAAAAGCGGTGTGGTTCAGGCAACAACGACCGGCACCTCGCAGCTCGAAAAGAATGGCGTGCTGACTCATATTCTCTTACCTTCAAGTGAAGAGTCACCCGTGGTACGGTGTCCCACGGTGAATAATAATAAGTGGCTATTGGAAGGGCTGAGCTAAATGTGGGAGTGTTGTTGGGGTGTGGAAGTCTCATAGGCTGCGTTGTCTGGTAGATGCCGCAGCAACCAGGCCCCGGGCAACGACGATGAATCTGCCTTGTGATTGGCCGCCAAATAACTAGGCAGCCTCGCAATTGGTGCTAATGAGTGCTTATATAACGGGCAGAGGTACCTATCACAACGTAGGCCATGGGACCCGATACGGCTTTACTTCTCAGATGCGCCCTTCTCCGCCCATTATGAGGTCCCTCGCCAGTTTCACGAATCAGTGGATACTTAGATGAGAACAAAAGTATTATAAGTCATTCAATGAATGAACTTTCCATATCATGAAATGAAATACTCTTTCCATTTAGCTTACGATGTGAACTCATCAGATCGACGGAGACACTACCAGGTATTCTAGTTTATCAAGAGCAGCAGGTCCGCATTCAGTGTTCTACATCAAGGATATTACTACGAGAAACAGGGGACACGCATCCTGATGAATGAAACACTAAAGTTGCAACCAATTATGGACAAAGATGAAGAACGAAGGAGGTGGGAGTGGAGACGTCTCGAGGGCGGTGGCAGAAAGAAAGGCCCCAGGACGCCTAGCATTCATAACGCGGGGACGGACTGTCCCACTATAATCCCAGAGCTGACCGCAGGGTGGTGGCTATCAATACAGTCAGCCTTCTGTTCATCATGCACTTCACAATTGAAAAAACTCCGGGGCCTTCTCCTAGACATCCTTATGCAATCGAGCCCCCTTGAAACTGGATTACACCTGTGTGCCTGTTCCATTCCTAACAATCGAACATGTACATCAAAACAGCAGGTCTTGTGAGTTAAATTCGCCATATCACTGATAGTTCCACCTCCCTTCCAGGCGGGTCCACGCCCTCGAAGGGAGAATCTGTGGGGAAGGCTCTCATCTACACTGAACGTACTTCAATGACGTCGAAAGCTTACTCTGAGATGTAGACGACCATCCTCCTTTCCATCGCCGCTCCATGGCTCTACGGCCGAGCGATACTCCTCTCTCATATGATCACCAATGCGCCCCACAAGATAACACCGCTTTCGACATTCAAGGCCCAGGAGCACAGGCTCACCCACAGTATAAGGAACTGTGAAGATGGGCTTATGGACGAGGCGATGGGACTGGCAATCCTGAGCTGCGACGCTGGGAGGGACAGCTGGAACACCGTTTTGGGATACTTCAACATAGCAGACGTGGTCAACGGCGGACTCTACCTCTACGATTACTCGAATGCGGATCTTTCCGACGAAGAGGCCTTAAAGCGCATCACGTTCTCCAACTTCCCATCCGCCGAGACAGACTTTCATCCTCTCGGTATCGAGTACTACGCACCGACCTCCACCCTCTATGTTGTCAATCATGCTAGAAGCGGTTCCGCCGTCGAGATATTCCAACTCTCGATTTCGGACGGCATAGCGACCCACGTTGGTACTCTCAAGCACGAACTTTTGCCAACACCAAACGCCATCGTAGCCATCAACGAGGCAGAAATATACGTCTCGAACGACCACCACTTTAGAGTCCGATTCAATCCCGTCCTCGCAAAACTAGAAACCTACATCGGAATTCCCGGCGGAAGCGTCGTGCACATAAACCTCGCGAAGAACATTACCAGGACGGTCGCTCGGGTTCCGATGGCGAACGGCATCAAGTTCCTCAACGAGACGACGCTCGCTGTATCCTCGTCTTCTACGGAAACCGTGAGGCTGTACAACGTAACCGAAACCACCCGCGACTTGGTTTTTTTGAAGTCCATCACCGTTCCAGAAGGATCTCCCGACAATCTTTCGGTTGATGGCAATGGGAAGCTTCTCATCGCCGCACACATGCATGTCCCGAGTATGATGAAGATCTCTCAGACGAGGATCTGGTGCAACTCCCCAGAAGGACAAGGGACCGATGTTTGCAAGGTGCGAGCGCCGAGCTGGCTTGGCGAATGGAGCGAGGAGGGCGGTGTGAAGACGTTGTACCGAGGTGTCGATATTATGACAGCTAGCACGGTGATGAGAGACACCACTAGGGGCATTGCGTTGGTCACAGGCCTGTATGATAGAGGCGTCTTGGTCTTCCGGGACTAGGCTTCAATCGTGGCGCGACAAATTAGCATCACCTTTAGCTTTCGCGTAATGCTTTGAAGGGCTGCTGGCGGTAGTAGCGAGTGCGCAAACGGGGCTTCAACCGCAACCGAATCAAATGGTGGTATCATGTCATTTCAACCTAGTATTTCACGGTGTATTGGTGTATTTCAGACGATGTCGAATGTACTCGTTCTATCCCAACTTTCCCCTATCCATAATATACAGCAAGTCTGTTCACCACCTCCACAATATCCAGTTCAAAATCCAACCCTATCGCCTTTCACGCTGCGCTTAGCTCACCCATCATCCTCCCCATATCACCCCGGCTCCTCCCCGGCCTCTCCCGCCTCGTCGTTGACACCCAAACGACCTCAAAAACAACAATTCCGGTCTGCGGAGTACATCGAAGAGAACGACATGAGGATAATGATGGACTGTTTCTACATTAGCAAGCGGAACGATGAGGAGGCTTGTCACTCAGTAACCAAGCCCGCACCCACCGAATCGGGATACTTGCCCTGCCTTACTTCCGGATGACGGGACAACGTTCCTCGCAAAGACCATGTCGTTGTACTCGTCCTCACTGAGAGCATTGTCGTAACTCTCCATAACGCGGTGGAAACATGTGCCCAGGAAGTGCGTGTACTGCGACTGCATGACATGACCAAAGGGATCCTGATCCTCAGCCCAGACAACACCGCGCTCGTTCATGGTCTTGGGGTCATATCCCATGGCCTTAAGGGTAGAGAGGGCACTCCCATGAAGCGGAGCGTATGGGTCGGTATCGGGATGGGGGGTTCGGGGCCCGGACGTGCGAGTAGGGCGAGTTGTATGCCGACTGGGCCAGCCTCGACAAATTTCCCTCTTTTCGCAATCACCCGCCTTTTTATTCCGCGAAGAAAACATTACAAGAAGATGTGAGGTTTAGTGAGACTTAGTGAGGCTTATGATGTAAATTATGAGGAATCCTCAAATCAGTATCGTCAATCGTTAAGGAGAAAGCGGGTGCTATTGAAAACACGAAGGGTGTCGGTGGAGAGGACTAGGGACGCGACAGCGGAGATGGCCGTGGTCTGCGAATGAAAGGTATTAAGAAAAAAACCTAGGAGATTGGTGCAGGTTCGGCGCGCGCAACACGTGATGGCGGCGAGCGTTTGCTATGATCTCAGATTTCCAAGGTCCAACCTCAAACGCTACGTTATATACCTATTATTTCTGAACACCATTCAACTAACCAACAGAGAAACGTAGCCACTCAGCGATCCCGTAAGAAATTGAGACTCTACAGTGTAGTAGCGCAGTGGTAGCTGGGGGTTTCGTTTTGCCATTTCGTTTTGCTAGCTGGAGTTGGATTCCCGTTGGGAACTTGGAGTTGGTATTTTTACTGCTTTACTTTCTCTTCTCCTTGATTGCTACTTACGAGCTGAGCCCGGACCCCATAACAAGAATGAGGAGTGGGGCTGGATCTGAAGCACTTACTACACAGTAGACAACTCCCGGAGTACGTGCGTACGTCTCTGCTACTGCTTGGAGTCGTGTATGAGCTACATGCGTAAGTCCTAGGTCGGATGTGCATGCCTCGCTATCTTATATTACTGGAGAAGTATTGGATGTTTAGACGTAGGTAGTGGCCTAGGCGTGGCAAGCTCCTCTGCAAGTACTCGTGTACTGAAGTTAGCCACGGTCACGTGGTCTCTTCGAGACAGAACTCCATCGCCCTGATACCGGCGGTGGGAACTTCGTGCAAGAATGCTGTACGATACTAGAGAACTCTCGATGCTGTCGAGGTGCCTTAAGGTAGCATCGCGAGTCTAGGCAAAATGTGGGAATTGTGCCGACATGCTCTTTGTGCTCCGTAATTCGCAATTCTGAAAAATATCCTTGTTAGACGCGTAAGCGCTCTCTCGAAGCATGGTTGTCCGGGAGACATGATATTAGCAGTTGCCGGACAGAATCCTATGGAAGGTTTGCGAATAATAAGTTCTTCAAGGGATACATTCGATCCCTGACGTTAGACGTCGATGGGATGAGGTCTGGCGATGAGAGCCCGCTGCGCCCTATGCGGCCATGGCGCCGTTTTACGACCGTAGCGCCAATTTGCGGGGGGCACCCGAAGCCGAAAATGGAGACGGCAACGTCAGAACATGGCCCGTGCCTGGTGGTGGGGAGACCTCAACGAAGGCCAGGCCGAGAACGCCGAGTCCACCGGCAAGACGCAAGTGGTAAAGGAAAAATGCATTCATCATACAGCTGAGGACGCCGAAGCTGGGAGCGAGCCAACCGGCATCCCGGCATCAGCACGCAAGACTCGGCCCGTCTGGTGCCGTGGGTGGGCGCCGAGTACAAGTCTTTGACGGGAGGAGGAGGAGTAGTGGATATTTTCTTTTCTTGGCTGTCGAGGCATCGGCAACTGCGCCATCATGCACCGTCATCTGCCCGTATGCGTGCCTGCTCCGAGTTTTGCACGGCTGCTGGGTGGGTAAGAGACTCGGCTGGTTCACGCGACCTCATATATCTCCAATGCCATACGCTCCGTTGCTGTTCTTCATCTTTTCTTATCCACACATTCTATACGGTGCACCTGGCGTTGTTTCCATGCTTTTGACTCTCTTGAGCCCCTAGCACCTATCAGTGGGCGTCGGCCTTTCAATCAGCTGATACGACAAGCAATCCGCTTTGTGTAACCTCAAAGCAGCGACGTCTTCACCTCACGCCAACCTCTGAAACCTCTTAATTCCACTTTCCAGCCTTCGAACCGAGAGGAAACTCGAATCTGCAGGTGTTGTACCTGTCCTAGGCACAATGGCATCGCAAGTGGGAGTAAGAATCCCATTCAGCTTCTCTAGACACGCCATGTGAATACATCAACTAGGTCTGGAATCAAGTATGACTAACTCTGCAGTTAGGATGGTCTCTGTTCAGATCCTTCTGAAATCATCAAAACCAGTCTTCCCGATGTGCCCAGCGATCTCGCCTTGAACCGCTACAACATCCCCACCACCTACACCACGCTCCAAGATGTTCTCGATAACGCTCGGGCATCAGAACATTCTCAAACCCCTCGTAGTACACGACACGATTCTCATCAGCCTCTATTCAACACAGACGAGCTCGATGACTTCGAACAATCCAGTGAGGCTATCGTGCAGAACGGGGAGAGTACAAGCACTAGCTATGAAGACGACGGGTCACACCTCGAGATAAACTTCAAAGGGCTGAGTACGGACAGTACAGACTCGTCAATTCCTCCTGATACCCCCAGGAGAGGTAGAACAAGACAACATACCCCCAACTCAGGCGAATTTATACAAGTGGACGGATCATGTCTCTCTAGAAACGTCATGACAAACGGCATCCAAAACGTTCTCGACAACCTCACACCAACAGGCTGCTCCGGAAGCGAATCCTCAGACTCAGAGAACTCACCATGTGGACACAAGCGCAAGAAGCTAAGGCCCTCGCGCAAACACCTGCAATCAGACTCCACCAAAGTCATCACACCCGCCGTTCAAGACGTCCTCGACAACCTTACTACCGACGGCTGTTCCGGGAGCGATTACTGGGAGTCCGAGGACGAAGACTTCCATCTCGTGCGCAAGCCGCTTAGAGACACGAACCAGACCCACACCTTGCAAAACACAGAAGCATCCCAATCCTACCCCTCCATGCCCCCCGAACCCGAGCTCAAACCCCTCGCCTTCGACCACTCCTCCATCCCCTCCTACCCCCTCGACGGCACCGTAAAGCGCCACGTCCGCGCGCGCACTTACCCCCTCCGCATCCATCCCGACCACCAACTCACCGCCGCAGACCACGAGAACCAAAACCAGAACCAGAGCCAGAAGACCACCACCCAGCACACCGCCCGCCGCTTCACCAGCTTCGACAACCTCCCCGCGCCCAAGATCCCCCCACACCCCCCCAAGCCCACCGCCCGTATTCAACTCCACCGGCACCCCAGCTCCCAAGTCCACCCGGCCCTGCTCCCCCTACCCCACCGCCCGAGCAATCCCCCACCCCTCCTCAACCCGCAACAAGACGCCTTCTACCACGCCCTCAAATCCAAGCTGTGGGCCCTGGCGCGCGAGCTCGAGACGCTGGCGCCGGACGACGAGCGGAAAAGCGAGGTGCCCGAAGCGCCGAGCCCAGACCTCGACGACGACGAAGTCAGCGTCGTGTTCAAGCTCGATCGCGAGGAGGAGGAGGCGGAGCGCGAAGCCGCCAGTGACGGGGACGTGGATACGAATACCTCGAACTCTGGGTCTGGTTCGGATGAAGAAGGGTATGAGGATGAGGACACGAATTCGGAGAACACGATCCGCCACCCCACGCTCTCGGCGACAGGGAAGCACAAGACGGGGACGCGGCGGCGGATATCGCGCCCGCGGGCTGACGTGCACGAGCCGAGCGATGCGGGGACGGCGAGCGACTCGCTCTGCGGGTCAGATGTCGATGAGCTGGTCAACTGGGTGCGCGCGAAGCCGGCGCTGGAGTGTCTGCAGCGGCGGCGGAGCGAGGGGCGGGGACGGCAGCGGGCGAGGGAGCGCGCGGCGTCGTTGCGGGAGAGGTGGTTGAGGGCGGGGCCTGATTGAAGCAGTATCCGATTACGGGACGACAATGCGAGTGAATAGCAGAGTGAATCAGCGCGAGAGGGCTGGAGATTCGGAATGGCTTCAGGCGAAGTAGTAGTGCCTACACGCTTGGAGTAATGGGTTGAAACATCATTACCATTGCCGCGTTTTGTATGCAGCGGATACACATGCTATGAATACCTCGATAGTCGTAATGGGTCATTACCAGCAGTTCCCCTGCCCGCTAGAAGCCGAAGTTCCAGAATCGTGAAAGGAGAGAATGCAGCAGAACGCTGACGAAGAGGCTGATAATTATGATAGAAAGAGTAGAAACACATAAGGAGAAAAAAGAAAACCAGCAGCAAGAGCCCCACCCACCAGATGCTGTGCCAATTTTCGTGTGCAAGGGAAGGGAATTACTGCGATCGAGAGATGCAGTCTACAACGCCAACGTAGCATGCACGTGATTCTGCACGTGATAGTCCAATCATCGCATATCCCTGAAATCGTACCACCTCCCAGACCTAACGTATGAGAAAGCAAAACCGAGCCTAGCCGTAACGCCAAGAGCATATAAGCCCTACCCAGTCCTCCGATTAGTCGTTAAACTCAATAAACACCGCCTTGCCCTTCCCCTTCGTATCGCCAATGACAACGGCCCCGCCCGCGCCGCTGCTGGCCATCGCCATGCCCTGGCGCCGCTTCCCCGTAGCATAGGCATCACTGGCCTCCTCTTCGGAATTCAAATTCGTGGCGTCAAACGTGCGCTTGGACGCCTGGGAGGTCGGTTCCATGGCATAATCGTAAGGCGACACGCCGACGGGAGCTGCAGCTATCGGGTCGGCTTGGGATTGTACCGGTCCTCGATGCGCCTGCAGCGCCGCTTGTTGTGCTAGCAATTGCGCTATTTGGTGTACCTGGGCTTGTGCTATTTGCTGTGATATTTGCTGTGCTTGCGCTTGTGCTTGGGCCTGTGCCTGCGCATATTGCCGTTGCGGTGTGACCTGTGTTTGTATTTGAGCTCTCGCAAGCAAAGATTGATAGCTGGACAGAGAATGTGGTAGTGGTCTTGAGTAGGTAGCAAGACCGGGTTCCTCGTGGTAGAAATCGAGCATGGGCGGCGACGGATCAAACAGGGTTGTATCTGGGTTTCCTAAGGGAGAGAACATGTCGAGTTGCCCGGGCACTTGTTTGCACGTTGTGACAGCGGGCCTGGATGAAGAGGTCGATTGCACCGTGTTTGACGAGGAGCTAGCTGTAGAACTAGAGCTCGATCCAGCTGTCGCTACACTACTAGGAGCAGTGTTAATTTGAGGCATTAAATGGCTCCCGGAAGCTACAAGGGTTATGGAGGACTGTTGCTGGACTTGCCGAGCTTGCATTGGGGCCTGAGCTTGCGCCTGCGACTGCATTCTGAACATCATCTGCCGCTGGATTGAAAGTTGACGTCGTAGCTGTTTGACGTTGAAGAGCTGAGCTGACAGACTCAGATCATCCTCTGCGGCTCTCAATAGGTCTAGGTAATCGGGTGATCCACGCTCGTGAGGGGACGCAGTCGGCTCGTCCTCATTCTCCTCTGAGGGATATGAATCCACGTCCAGCATTTGACACATTTTCTGGTTCATGTCTTCTTTCTTCTGCTCCTCTTCCTCCAGATACTGATTCCAGTAACCGATGAGCTCGTTACGAACTTCCCGGAATGCTAGCACGTCTTCCTTCTCTCGTGCAACTCTCGCACGGTGAAGGAAACTATCTTGCCCAGAGCGATAGATGTCTGGAATTAATTGGTGGAGCTTGGTGTAGAAACTCTTCAACTCCGAGAACATTGCACGAATTGGAGGACGGGGAGGAGGAGGCGTATTTTGAGAAATAGTCCGCTCCCATGTCTTCTTGTAGTCTTCGAAGTCTCGGTATAGCTCGGCACTACTAGTTCCGAGGAGAAATTTCTGTGTTGGGAGTCTTGGGACTGAGTACAAAGTGCTGTTCGCTTTACCAGAAAATGGCATCATCCAGGAATAATTATTGTTGGTTTGGCCGTCATAGACCCCAAGTAGCATTGGCTGCACAACTTTGCGGAGCCTTGTGAATGGCTCCACAACGGTCTGAAGCTTTGGTATGAGGTCTTTTTCGGACCAGTTGAATCCTGACACGCCGACTCTAACGATGAGCCGAGAGAGATTTGAAGCCTTGGCAAGAATTCCAGACACTGCTACCGAAACGTAGTCTCTCAAATCGTACAGCTCTACTTCTTCGCTCCACCAAGGCTGACGGCGTTGTCGTCCTCCTAGGACTGGACCGGTTTGCTGCCTGTTTTCAACTAAAATGTCGACGTGATAGTTTTTAACAGCTCCAAACCGGAAAGCTTTGAGGAACTTCTCTAGGCTTTCATCTGCTGCTGCTGATGTTGGTGGGAAGGGGCTTCCCTCAGCAGGCTTTGCTTCGAGAAGTCTCCTGCCGCACATGAAGGTTCCGTCTTTGCGGATATCGATAGTAAAGGGGATTGTGCCGTACAGCAGATCTAAGACCTCAGCAGTAATTTGATGATTGATCAACAACAATGGCAAGAACGACCGGCGTAGGGCGGGTATCCATGGAGCCGCAGGCATCATGTTAGTCATTGGAGCGAAGTGTGGGTTAACAGCCGGTGGGAGTGGATGCAGATTTGGAGGGGGGTTGGGATGAGCATATGAAGGGGCGCTTTGGTGCTGTGGCACGGTTGACGATCCAATCGGTCCCTGGGGTATCAGATATCGATATATATCTCGTCTCAACTCCAATGGAAGCTTCATCATGTAGCAGGGTGTGTCTGGATGCCCCATGTGCTCGTTGCAAAGCTGAAAGTAAGGCTTGATCCATTTGAACAGACGTCCGCACAGCTCTCCAGCAGGGTCAGAGTATTGACACCGACCAGCAAAGAACAACTGGGCCTTGTGAGAGTGGCACGTTGGCAGGAATTCTGGGGTACTGTTGATGCCGTGGCGGGAGTTCATTGTTCCCTTGCCGAACACCTTTTCACACCTCTTCCCAGTCCGCTTGTTGTATCCCGCACATTTCCTCAAGTACCCTTCCGGGTCTTTGGCGTCGAACGGTATTTGTGCTGCGACAGAAGTCGCAGAAGGGTTGGCCTTGTTCTGGTTCGACTGGGGCTGCTCGGGCTCGACGGGAGTATCTGGTACGTGCGGAGGCGACGAAGAGTCCTCGGATTTGATGAAGGGCGGAGTGGGCAAATACGCGTAGGTAGATAAGGCGTCTTGAGCCATTTTGTCCAAAGGTTGGGGGGTGGTGTGATAGCCGCGATGTCAGGATGCCTAATGATGATGGAAATTGTCAGACGAGGGTTGATGAAAACCACCACCAGTCCAAAGACGCTTACGAGGGAGACAGTCCCCAGACTGGGAACAGTTGAAGCAGCAACGATGGTTTCGCGAAGAGGAGGTGGGGCGAAGTGCGGGAAGGGTGCAGGATGCCTGACGGATGCTGATGGCTTGGGGTTCAGGAAAACAGCATTTCCCGGACTTGAAGACGCAAGTTACGGACGTACGACATCAGACAGACACAAGCACCAACACGCCACACTGCATGGTAGAAAACTCGGGGAAGGTTGTGTTTAAGTAGGGTAGGTCCAGGCATAGTGGCCGGCCTCACACAGAAGGCTGTGGCACATGGATCAAAATACCCCGCACTGATGTGAGATGCCAGTATCTCGCACTGATGTGAGATGCCAGTATCTGGGTGTTGTCGAGTGCAATTAGCAAGGCTGTGTGATTCCTGGAAGCAATGATGAACAATACGGAGCCTGTCCGAGAGCACTACCCCCTAGCTTGATGTTAGGGACCGACAGGGAGCTTTCGAGGCTCTTCATTCGCTGTGGCGAGCCTGGGAGGCTACCAAATAGCTCTAAACTATCACGTGACATTTAGACGTTCGATTCCAAGTCAATGCCACTCGCAGCAGGCGCCGTCACCACCACCAGACCTCTCTACTGCCACCACAATGGATCTGGGCGACGAAGGCAGTTCTCCGTGGGGAGGTTAGTGCCGCATGGCTCTATCCCTCATGACCAAAATGCTGACAGGCTTCAGATGTGCCGTCGCGATCAAACTCGAGCAACAATCTATCCAAATCGAATGACGATCACCTCAAGGCGTCAGGTATGCCCACTCCATCCAGCTGGTAATACACTACCTAATTACCTCTAGAACCCCTCGAATCTTCCAAGAGCACCGCCGCCTCCGTTCCCAATGTCTCTGCAGCCCCGCGATCACCAGCTGGTCGCGGACGCAGGCGGCAATATGGCACCCAGCCCACTCGACTAGAAGCTGTAGATGACCCTCTTGGGCCATTGGGAGCTCCAACACCACCTTCGCAAGTTGATGAACCTCCGGCGCCTCCGCAGAAAGAGATCGCATCGGCGCGTAGGCAACCCGCAAACTCGTCGACAACATCTATCCGGAGCATGATGGACTCGGTCAATCTTGACGATGACGACGAGGACAATGTTACGGCAGGACCGCGGATACCGCCCCCGGTGCAACCAGCAAACAACACCGCACCTCAGCGGCAGATACAGCCCAGCGTCAGCGTGGAGCAGGCAGCGAAGCCGTCCTTTCACATCACCGTGGGAGATCCCCACAAAGTGGGAGACCTCACCAGCTCGCATACGGAATACACTGTCACGACAAAGGTATGACCCTTGACCTAATATGTAATTGTCTACCAACATGAAACGTAGACTACCTCAAAAGGCTACCGTAATCCCGAGTTCACCGTCTCTCGCCGCTTCCGTGACTTCTTGTGGCTATATACCCAACTTCATAACAACAACCCCGGCGTCATCATTCCGCCGCCGCCAGAAAAGCAGGCAGTGGGAAGGTTCGATCCAGACTTCGTCGAATCGAGAAGGTCTGCCCTAGAACGGATGCTGAACAAGACCACGGCACATCCAATATTACAGCATGACGGAGACCTGAAGCTTTTCTTGGAAAGCGACGCCTTCAACGTCGATGTTAAGAACAAAGAGCGGAAAGACCCAGGCCTGAGCGAGAGCAAGGGCATGTTTGGCTCCATCGGAATATCTGTTGGTGGAGGTGGAAAATTTATCGAGCACGATGATGTACGGTCGTTCTTGTCTCGCGTACGGCCCTCATTGCTAATACTGTAACAGTGGTTCCACGACCGAAAGGTCTATCTCGATGCTCTCGAGAACCAGCTCAAGGCTCTCCTCAAAGCTACAGACACTGTAGTCACACAACGAAAAGGACTCGCCGAGGCATGTGGAGACTTCTCAGCATCACTACATTCGCTCGCTGCTGTTGAACTTTCGCCATCTCTTTCGGGCCCGCTTGATGGCCTATCGGATATACAAATTCGCATTCGTGAATTGTATGAGCGCCAAGCTCAGCAAGATGTTTTGACGCTAGGCATTGTTATTGACGAGTACATTCGTCTCATTGGGTCGGTCAAGACAGCATTCCAGCAGCGACAGAAGGCGTATCACACATGGCACAACGCCGAGTCGGAGCTGCAGAAACGCAAGACGAACCAGGACAAGCTTCTCCGGCAAGGCAGGTCACAGCAAGACCGACTGAATCAGCTTAGCGCAGACGTTGCGGATGCTGAACGACGTGTTCACCAAGCGAGGTTGCTGTTCGAAGACATGGGCCGGTTAATGCGAGCGGAGTTGGACAGGTTTGAAAGGGAGAAGGTTGAGGACTTCAAGTCTGGCGTGGAAACTTATCTGGAGAGTGCGGTGGAAGCGCAAAAGGAGGTACGTCATGAGTCAACTTCCTTGGCTTGGACATGTCCATTATTCCTCGTCTAAGCAATCTCACCTTGATACTGACCCGTAATAGCTAATAGAGATATGGGAAACGTACTTGATGCAACTGGATGCCGAAGATAGCGAGGGCTTCGGATACGCTCATCCTCCGGCGGGCGTCCAGGCTGCGCCACTACCATCAGACTCCAAGGCGGATGAGAACGACAGGCCGGCGAGCCAGGGGACGGACACGGATACTCTTGCGACGGGAGATTCGACACGAGACTTGGACGACTAGTTGTACATATACCAGCCGCGCCTCTTAATCTACTTCATTGCTCCTCGAACTGGTACTGCTCTGCTTAAGAAATGGTATTACTTTGCCAGCGTTAGCGAGTAAGGGCGAAGGCTCATTCTTCGTTGTGCGTATATATACAGTCGACACATTAAGTACATACATGCACGGAGAAGCGCAACCGTTTGAAGCTCAAGAGTGGGGTATCGCAATAGCGGAGGCTCGTCCCAGTGTGGGGAGATCCGGATAGCGTAAGTACAACCTCAGGCCTAGAAGCATAGCTACCCCAGATTTCTCCCCTTCCACGCGTCCCCCAAGACGGCACGTTGTAGCTATCTCCAGCCTTGTTCTCGATGATCTGATAAGGGCGAGCATTACTTGCCCAAAGCGTGCTGGCGCTGGATGCGATTCCCTGCATCTCACACCTTTATCGCAAACCAATGACGCGCTTATTTGGTGCGCATGGTGGTGATGTCGACGACGATCCCTGCGGACCGCTGACTAGCCTCAACGGTGTCACGGCAGAAGCGGCCGTGTGTACTCTCTGCGATACCGACCGCACGATTGCGGCGGCTGCAACCATGCGCCGATAAGATCGTTCCCAGTGAGGAAGGGTCGTAGGGCGCGGTCAGTGAGATGCAACGACTCTTTAAGAGAGCCTCATCCGCCAGAGTCGAACGAGGACGACGGGCCGAATACGAGTATACACCTGTGCGTAGCGAAGATATCGAGCTTGAGCAAGTCGACGACATCGATATGGGGGTCTCGGATGTCCTGAAGAACGCGTTCCAGCGCGCGCCGGCTGTCGACGACCATATCGAGGAAACGGGCGAGCGGCATGAGCTTGAGGATGGCCCGGCGAAGAGAGAGGGGGTCATTGTGCAGGAGGAGGATACGGCGGGCGGTGTTGTGAGTGCGGAGGCGATGATGACGGTTTGGGGGAAGCATGGGAAGAAGGTTATCTGGGCTGGGTAGGTTGATCTGGAATCACTCCTTTATGGGAGCTGTGGTTTGCTAACTGGAGTAGGCTTGCCATGATCATGATCATGTAGTAAGTCTGGGCGTTAAGGTGGGTTGAAGGGCGCTAATACTGGGACAGCGAGCTGGACAATACCACGGTGTACAATTACAGCAACTACGCCGCTTCTAGCTTCAACAAAGTCTCCGCCATCTCGACCGTCGGCACGGCGTGTACTATTCTGTTCGCCGTAGCGAAGCCGCCGGTCGCCAAGTTCTCCGATGTCGTTGGCCGTGCGGAGGCGTACTGCTTCACCGTTTCCTGCTATGTCCTCGGCTACATTCTCAGTGCTTCCAGCAAATCTTTCGGGGTGTATGCTGGCGGTCAAGTTTTCTACACCATTGGTAAGACTGGCACTAATATCATGAATGAGTACGTCGTTCCTTCTTCAAATGTTGACCAATCAATGCTAACTTCGTTCAAGCATCATCATTTCTGATATTACATCGATGAGATGGAGAACATTTGCGCTCAGCTTCCTCTTCTTTCCGTTCTTGATCATCCCTTGGGTGTCTGCTTTTATCACGGAGGCTGTCATTGGGGTATAGAACCGACCTTTCTTACCTATATTACTAAATCGTCCGGACTTTTCTAACGCCCTCGCAGGGAATAGGATGGAGATGGGGAATCGGCATGTTCGCCATACTAATGCCCTTCTGTGCCTCTTTCATCGTCATCCCTCTCCTCTACTTCCAGCGCAAGGCGAAGAAAAGCCACATCATCCTCACTCGCAAGATGTCTGTGGCCAGCTTCTGCTCCCTAATCGATCTCGGGGGCTCCTTTCTTCTCTGCGCAGGCCTGGCCATGTTTCTTCTACCATTTACTCTAGCAGCTACCACGACAAATCGCTGGTCCACCCCTTACATCGACGTCTTGATCGCCTTAGGAGTCGTTACCCTTATCGCTCTGGTCCCGTACGAGAAATACGTCGCAAAACACCCGATCCTGCCCCCCCACTACTTCAAGAATAGCACCATCATTCTGTGTGGCCTGATTGGGGCGTTCGATACCATGGCCTTCGGAGCCACGCACACGTATCTCTACGCTTGGTCTACTATCGTGCACAACTTCGGGCCACGTGATGCAACATTTTTGCAGTACACGAACGGCGTATGGCAGTTCTTCGTCGCCATGATAATTGGCCTCGTCATCGGTAAGCTTCGCCGATACAAATGGTTCGTCGTCGCGGGCGCCTGCGTCCGCTTCATCGGGTACGGCCTCATGGTTCGCTGGCGCGGAGCCTCCAATTCCATCGCTGAGCTTTTCGTTGTACAGTCCATCCAAGGCATCGGAGACGGCTTGATCGTGATCGTTATCATCGTCGGAGCGCAGATTGTCGTGCCACATGCTGAGATGGCGCAGGTAACGGCAGTGATGCTGCTGTTTCAGTTCGTGGGCAGCTCCATTGGGACGGCGATCGCGGGCGGGATTTACACTGGGACGTTTAAGGACCGGCTGAGAGCGAGGCTGGGAGGGGATGCAAGTCAGTCGGTCATTGATGCTGTGTTTAACTCGATTACGAATGGGATTCCGCCGGAGGGAAGTGCTGAGAGGGTTGCTGTTGGGCTAGCTGTGAGTGCCTTCCTTTCATATACATTACCTTCCGGCTCCTCAAAGTATTGTCTTCCCCCTTAATTCGAGAATATGAGACGCGAAGGAGATCAGCTACTAACGCAGTCAACCAGTACTCCGACGTCCTACGATACATCAGTTACGTGGCACTCGGCGTCTCAGTCCTGATTCTGGGCATGGCAATCTTCCTGCCAGATCTATACCTTCGGCAAGTCTTCCACAATGTTAAAACAATTTTCTGTATTAGCTAACAGCGCATTCTAGCGAGGGCCACAATCTCGTCGCTGCCGCAGACGCCGACGACGAGCGCCTCGAGCACAGTACCACCGACTAGAGTGCGCACCCCGCTCCAACAACTACGAACAAAAAGTGAAAGAATTTTCCAATTTTGTGCGCCTGTACTCCACATATAGTAGAATAAAGGCCACATATATTACCCAATTATATTCCCTCTCCGATGATTATTTCTCTTGTTTCCTGTATGTGTCCGTTCGCACACTTCCACCTCGAAGGTAAACGAGAGCGTTAGATATGCTACGACCTCTTCTTAACGTGCTAAAACAGACTCCAAACAGCGAAACTCAATCCACTCACCAAAAAAGCCTTCATGGAGACTTTTTCCTCATGCAGACCAGGCGACAAGAGGCCGCCCGCGTCTTAGTGGCCACCAGCCCCAGCCAAATCTCCAAAATGACTGAACCCGGACACCGCCTTCAACGCCGCCTCCTTCGGCGTAGCTCTGAACGCCTGGGGCGTGGGATCGGCGCGGGCGACGAGCTTGCCGTCCCCCTCCTTCTTACCGTCTTCTCCCTTTGGTGCTGCGTAAAGGGGCACATCATTTTCCGGAGAGCAACAGTTGGTCTCGCCGGGCGAACAGAGCTTACCCTGACAGCTGTCTTCGGGCCACCAATGAATTTCGGGGGCTGTGGAGGTCGACGCGGCTATTTTGAGGTCGGCGTGGGCGATGAGCTTACTATGCCCCTCCTGCGTACTGTCTACGCCCTTTGGCGCTGCGGAAGGAAGCTTATCATTTGGCGGACTTCTCCGGTTGACCGTATCTTGTAACAGCCAGCAAATGTTGCCGCCGCACCCCGCACAGGGGATGCACATGAGTCTGGGCGGGCGATCAGTCTCGAAGGGTCCAGCTGCGTCGGGCAACACGGCTATCCGGCGGGCGATTGACACGCTGTTCACCGTGGGCGTTGGCACGTCCTCTGCCTCCTTCTTCTCTTCCTTCTTCTTCTCGATGGTGCTTGGGACAAGTTGCCTGCGCGCGATGCCGCGATATTCGTCTTCTGGCGAAACTAGTTCCTTGGGCAGCGGGTGCGGGTGGTCGGGGTAGTGGCTGTTGACGACGCCGGGCCGGTTGCACGCTTTCCACATGTAGGCGCGGACGGCCTCCTCCGACCAGCCCTCCTTTTCCTTGATCGGCTGCTCCGCGTGCTTGGTCTCTGGCGCCGCGGTCGCGGTGCTGCGGGCGGCGAGGGTGGTGCGAGGGAGCTGCTGCTCCTCCGTGGTGACGTCGAGCTCATGCGGGACAATCGGGTCGATGGTGTTGAGCTTATGCGGCACGATGGGCGCTGGAGTGCTGGGGTTGAGGTTGCGTGGGACGGTGCCATTGAGCGCGTCAAGGCGCGCAACTATGCTGCCAGTGCCGCTGCCCTTGTAGCCGGCACAGATTGGAATCGTGGAGGACGCTGACCCGTGGCAGTGCGTGGAGACCCACGAAGAGTTGATGACAGGGGCGGGATTGAATTCGACCTCGCGCGCCACGACCGCAGCGGCGGCGTCCTCGTGGCCAGGACAGCCGGTGTTGATGGCGCCTTCGTGGTCGCAGGACGCGGCGACGATGGGGGGCGGCGTCTGGTCTGGGACGTAGTTGCGAGGGGGCTGCACAATTTTGGTATATATCTCAGGAGAGGGAGCATTGGAGCCGTTGTTGACGATCGACTTCTCCAGAGGCCCGTGTCTGCGTGGCAAAACAGGCTGAGTCATTGCGGTAGGCGTGGGGTGCTCGAGATGTTCGCCAACGATTTGCGGCGGGAGGAGTTTGTCTGACAAGGGGATGGCAACCTTTGGAACGGCCGTGGCGCCCGTGTGGTTGCGCGTGAGTGGGTGGATAGGGTGATCCAGCGAAGAAATGTTGGGATAGCTGATGGGAGCCGCCAGGACGAGCATGGGGAGGCAGAGGGCTGCCGAGACAATAGAGTAAAGCATGGTGGCAGTGTGTCCGAGTGCGAAAATTGAGAAGGAACCTTGGAAGCCTTTCAGTGCGCTGAGGGCGGACACGGTATATAAAGAGCAGCGACGGTAGCTAGAGCATAGGACACATGTATGAGTTGAGATGCATCGAGGCTAAAGTCGTACCGTGGTACGTTGAGTTGTTTTTAGTTGATGAGATAAAGAAACTGGAGAACCGCAGCCAGATCCAATGAACCAAGGCACCGTGCGTATCGAGACCATGGCTACGCCAACTTAAATCCCCGGAATGTATAAAAATACTCCCAATACCAGAATACAGGAATTTTGTTTCGTCGCATCGTACATCGCTGAAGCATCGTGAAATAGAAGTGCGCTCGATTCCATATCATGACCGTTGTGATCGCCACCCACCCCGAACTGCATCTCGAAGTCCCACCGCTGTTCCTACGATGAGTAGTAATGCATTGAACCCGGCCATCATGAAGAATGGGCTGCCAGGACCTGCACTATCGAAGAGGGCCCCACCGGCTTTCGTCAGAAGCAGGATCCCTGCACCACCAGCTAGACTATACGTCCCAGCTATTGATCCTTTGAGATATGCATGTGACTTTGAGTCCGAAGGCGAAGCTGGTAAGCTGAGGTGGCTGGGCGTATGACCTGGCAGAAGCGGCTCCTCTTCGTGCGAATCCGCTATTGATGGACTGGGTAGAGGAGTCGAGCCAGCAGAGAGTGACCGTTGCTGAGTTGTGGATTCAGGATACGTGGCGCCATTGGAACCAAGGCTGGCAAAGTCATTTACGTGATTGTTACCAGCATCGTTTCCGTCGTTCTGAATGCCGCGTCCGAGGAGCGCGAGCGAGCAGACGATGCTTCCGATTTGGCTGATGCCAAGAAGTGCGACAATGAAGAATACAGCACCGGAACCGCCTTGCGTTTTCGGGTCTGGGCTTCGCAGCGTGCCGAACCATACGTAGCCTATGATCCCTGCGGCTGCTGCGCCCGTTAATGGAATGTTGAATCGCGTGTATCTCCCGGCTAAGTATCCGAATAAGGGCGCACAAATTAAGGCAACCAGTTGGCTTGTGCCGGTTAGTATCGCCGCGAGGATGTAGGCTCGGGGACATGCGTGTTTGATATCAGCCGGGTCCGCAGGGTCCGCGGGAGAGCAGAGGCCAGAGCGAAGGAAATACGCGTTTGTGAAGAGTGGTATGAAGAGCGATATCGCGACCGATGAGGCCCGAGCAACGAAGCCGCCCAGGTAACCCAGACCTATGTTCGTGCTCTTGAAGCCGAGTATTACGCTTTTCCAGAGCAAGCGGGGGTATGATAGGTGTGAGCGGTCTACGCTCGCCGTCTCGGCTCGTTTGTGATATTTGAGACTCAGGAGCCTCCGGAAGCCTTTCTCTTCCTCTCCCGGAAGGTTTCGCAGACCGAATATACACAGAACGGATATTACAATGGCGACTGCACCGACCACATAGAAAGCATCGGCGACTGCTGCGGAGGGTGAGGCGCCGGATTTCTGGAACCGCGTAGGGAGAGGCAGGAAGAAGCCCAGAGCAAGTAGTGCGCCCAGGCCTGTAAACATGCCGACAAGACCTGCGAGTTGTGAGGTTGATGCCGCCGTAGACTTCTTCACAGGAGTAGCTGCATTGGGAGAGCGTGAGCGGAAGCGGTCAGGTGTTATGGTAAGCTCGGAGGATATAGAGGCGGCCATTGTATGTGACGTGCCATTGCGACCTCTGGCTGGAGACCGGGGATCAGAGGAAGACGTATCGAGTGTCATAGTAGGGAGGATGGCTGTTACCATCGTCGCACTGCATGTTGTTAGCACAAGTTCAACCTCATGCTCTTGATATGGGACGAAAGGTGTTGCTTACGTCGCCGCGCCCCCAATGCTAAAGAACATCCTCGCAAGCAGCAATTGCGGATACACGTTCCCTGCTTGCACAAACACCCACAGGCTCACACCCACAATCGTATAGCCCGTTACCGCCACCGTCCGGACTCCTACGCGATCGCTCAGCACTCCCCACATGGGGCATGCGACCAGCGCGACCAGTTCATCCGCAAAACCAAGAGTGCCGACCGCATCGCCGACTTTGTCCTGCTGTCCAATTCGCTGCGTGATGACGAAGGAGACAGAGCTATTGAGAAAGACCAGGAACGATATGCTGAAGAGCGCGATGCAAAAGAGGTAGGTCGCAATCTGGGTGCGCGAGGCTGTGAAGCCCAACATGATGACTTGGTAGCCAGGCGGAGGGTCTGCTCATTGGGGAATTGTTACTTCACATTGGATTTGGCGGTAGCTTGTTTGTAGAGCAGTCATGGTGTTGAGTCGGGAGCTCACTGCTGGTGCCAAGGCTGTGGCCGTGCGCCGGCCAGCCACTAGTTTGCTTCATGTTTCAACGTCATGACGTCCTTCATGATGCTGCATGTCTCTTTCTAACTGCAATTGATTCATGTATAGCTTATTTACCGCTTTACCACCTTACCACTACCTCAGAGCCAGACGAACAGACATGCTGGGGTGGGAAGGGCACCACGGTAGAGAAGCCAGGCTAGCAGTTCGTTCCGGCCGCAAAGTGGAGCAGAATCATGGTGCCAGCTAGCACCAGACTTGATTCGCATAATAGGTACTCATATAGTGCTGGCAACTCTTCATGTAGACTCCCAGATAATCAAATAGTGAATAAAATGGTGGCGAGGACATGTCCTCAACACACCTATCCAGGTAGCCTCGAGCTCCTTAGCAAATGGCAAGTAGGGTTCTAGTATATGGCTGATTCTTGACGCTCTGAAATGACTTTGGAAAAGTGACCACATACTGTTGCAGTTGTGATCACTTTTACAAGTTCCATGAGGAAAGAAAGCCTTCGTGTTCTGCGCTCGCGTGATCAAATTTTCAGAAAAAAGAAAGATATACCACGTTGTGACTTTGGCTAACAACCGATACATTCGCTTGCGTTATCATATTTCATGCACTTTTGTTCATTATACTGGGACACTGTTTAGCACAATCAACGGCCTAGAAAAGAGGCCTTCGTGCCTAAGTACTACTTTTCTGCCTCTTTTCTGATTTAGCATCAAGGTCTATATGCTCGAGCCTTGTGAAAAGACTTTGACTATGACTACGCAAAGCCATAGTAGCTATCAGAAAGTCTCTTTCCAGGAGGCGAAACGGTCTCTGCGGCTGCTATTACTCGCATGTTGGACTCAAACAACAACAAGTTCTACCCACAGCGGCCTGCCACTTGAAACATTGTTGGAAGGCGTTTACCTTACGACGCGGTAGTACTGTGTATTGGGCGCTACTTCCAGTAAACCTTGCGGGCCCATGTTGGTGTGGTTCCCTCGAATACCGTTCCGTGTTCACCGTAGGTGTGCTCTGATGCGCTGATGCTAGGCCATGTGACGTGACCCATAGAAACCAGATCGCACAGCGCCCGCGCACACTATAAGGCCAGGCCCATCGTCTCGTACTCCAACCTTCTTCCCTCAGCAGCAGCAAACACTCTGAATGTCATTGAGATCACTTACAACTTTCAGACTACAACACCACCTTTACTACACTCTTACCTACCTCCTCACAGGTCACCCTTCTCCCGTCGTCCTACTACTAGCCAGCCGGTGAATGAACCAACACCCAACCACTAGTTATCATACTCAACTCCAGTCCACCCATCATGCCGGAGGAGTACACTTGGGACGTCGCTCGCCAGGAGCACCACCAAAAGGAGCTGGACTATTGGGGGTGGCCCAGATAGTGGGTTTGCGGCAAATTAAAAGGTAGTCTACTTCACCCTCTGCCGACCGTTACATTATCTTTTAAGTAACGAACCAGTGAGACGTATATTTCACTACCTTAGCTCTCCAATCTTGCTCGCTCGATACTGCTGTGAGGGGTAGCCCAGCCAGCAGGTGACCAGTCAGTTAAAAGGCAGCCTGGTTCCCACTGCACCGACCTTTACATCGTGTTTGGAGTCTGCAAGAGCTGTAGGGGTACCCCAAGCGGCGGCAGAAGCGCAGCCAAACTTACGCCCCAGGACTGCAAAATCAACGATGAGATTCAGGGTCTGTGCCCTTCCCATGACAAAGCAGACCACATCCTAACGGGACTCAGATACTCCCAGCAATCATGCTGCTCACATTCAGCACCGTCAAAGACCAGACGAACAATGCGACTTGTCCAGCCCCAAGCAGCTACTCAATCGGCATCGTGCAAACCTGCTCCGCATACTTCTGCAGAGGAGAGCTCCAGAAGTTCTTAAACGTGACGATCGGGAGATGTGTCGACGCGCAAAACTTCACCACTGCGCGCGGTTATCGGCGAGGGGATGCTCTAGCAGGGCATGAGTGTACTTTCAACTACTACAGCTCAGCAGGGTGCTACGGGCCCTTCACGTCGACGAGAAGCGCTGCGGATGGGAGCAAAAACTGGGCTGAGAGTATTCGCCATTTCATGTCTCTAGTGGGCGAAGAGGGAGCCTACGGTTTGAGCTTCATGTATGTTTGCTACCCACGTAGTAGCAAGTGAAGATGGAAGCAAAGCGTGGGATGGTGAAGGTGGATGGTGAAGGTGAATGAAAGCACGTGATATTCCTTGGCGTTTACTACTAGTTTGTAAATTGGCGTTTGGTGACATTTGCTCCCCGACACCGTACATCATCTCGTGTGGTCGACCCTTGGTGAATGGAACTGGCGCCACCGCATTGAGATTTTGCAGTTCGCAACTCCAAGACTGTGTCGCCATCGCCGCCGCCGCATCGTGGAGGTTCAGATTTCGGACTAAATTGACTGGGCTAACGGTTTGAGATGATAGGAGCGTCCAACTGTTTGAGGCAAATCAACTTACACGGAAAGCGCATGATTTTAGGAGAAGGTCGGGCTCTTAACGTAGGTCCCCTAGGGTATCTCGAGAGAATTTTTCTAACGACCGATAGATCGTGCAATATCAGGGCATCATCCATTACAATCGAAGCCGATAGAGTTCAGGAGTAGCTATGAGCCTGACTAAATGGAAGAAGCCCTTCGAGGGAACATGGGTTGAGCCAGAGCGACCAATAGTAGAGCCAATGACCCCCGAACGACCAAGCGTGGAGCCACTGACCCCTCCGAGGACGATTTCGAAGAAGAAACCCAGAGCAGATTCTCTCACGCCTGGTGGAGGGAACAGAAATGATGATAGTGAGGGTGCGCGCGGTCGGGAGAACGTGAGGACCAAGAACAACAGAGCTCGACATCTCCAGGCAATAGCCCAACAAGCACTAGAACCTCACGACGACGTCCTTGCTGCAGCGGCACTCCATTTCGCTGAAATGCAGGCGGCGCAAGACCGTACGCAAATCGCCGTGGTGGAGTTTGATAACTTGGAGCGCCTCAGGGGTGAAGTCATCTGCTGCTGCGAGTTTCTGGAGGAACCACAACGCATCAAACTTCATCTGACCAACGGGACCCGGCTCGTGATCAGTGCAAAGTCGAAGAGAGCGGATATCGGAGTCCCTTGGCAAGCGATATACGACACAGAGCCTGCATTGAAGGTGTTCCCCACGCTAGCAGATGCGTTGAAGGGAATTGGTGGCCATGCTCAGGAACACCACGACACTTCGTTCAATGGTGGGAAACGCATCCTGGGATTCAAGACAACCATGCAGGCCTCAGGAGCTATTCAAGTCAGAACGCTGAGTATCCGGCTAGAGAGTATGTTCAGGTTGAGTCCGGTTCGATCCGAGGCGGAAGACGAAGACTTGTATGATGTGGTGCTGAGGGAGGACGTGGAGGATGAGGACTCTTGAGCATTCTCTTTTTCTCTATGGGGGGTTCTTTTCCTGGGCTTTTGCTCTCTGGATGTCCCGTGGGCCAAACATGGTGGCCTTCTGGATTGTAGATACAGTTCGCAGGCGGTGTTGTCGGTCAGGATGGATGCAGGGACGCAGCCAGAGCTGCAGGTCTGATGCGAGGGAGCTGGCTGAAGTAGCCAATCGCGGCGATACTAGGCGCCGGTGGGTTTCGGGGCAGGATCTGCTACCCACAACCCAGCCTCTTGATTTTTTCATAGCGACTAGGCATGGAACAATTCACTCTGCTCTGCCCCCGCCCAAAGACACGAGTGTTATGAGCAGCAGCCCCCTTTGTAGTCCATCGAGCGACGTCTTCTTGCGGCAAGACGCTCTGTAAATTTGCCGATCAGCACTAACCCCAAATCCCAAACTGCGAATTGCGGAGAAACTTCGACCTCAGAACACCTGTCGGACTTGAATATCCTGCTGCTGCCAGCGCTCGCGACCCACAGTGGCGCTTCTCTCTCTCCATCTTAACCTGCCGAAGTCCTTTCTTGTGTGCAATTGACAATCGAGCAGTTCTTCCTCCTACCCTCACCGCCACAGCCACAAACAAACTCAGACATTTCACCATGCCTAAACTGTCGAGCATCTTCTACTATGGCGTCCATCCGTCAGAGCTGAGGTCAATCATTCAATGGTACGCATCTCAAGACATCATTCAAGCCTCAACGTGGACTGGCCTTTACGACGCAAGCCGTTGCTATTCCGCTATCCTGAAAGCACACGCACAAGCAGCACAAGACCAATACTGACAGAGCTTAGGAAAGTCTGGCACAACCCCGTGCATGAGCGAGACGAGAGCAAGGAATGCGAGACTCTCAAGCAATGCTTCTTTTACCTCGACATGACCAGCCGCAGCTTCGCTGCTGTCATCAAGGAACTACACCCTGAACTCCTCGTCCCTGTTTGCCTATTCTACCTCGTCTTGCGAGCGCTGGACACAATCGAGGATGACATGACAATACCACTCGAGAAGAAGGAGCCGCTGCTTCGAGAGTTTGATACCGTACTGGAGAAGGATGGCTGGACCTTCACCGAGAACGGACCGAACGAAAAGGACAGAGAGCTCTGCGTCCACTTCGACGTCGTCATCGAGGAGTTCAAGAAGATCAAGCCTGCATACAAGGCGATTATCAAGGACATCACAAAGAAAATGGGCAATGGCATGGCTGATTATGTTAACAACGCTGAGCACAACATTCACAGCGTCAATACCATCAAAGACTACGAACTGTACTGCCACTACGTTGCAGGTCTTGTCGGAGAAGGATGCACACGACTGTTTGTGGAGGCTGGACTCGCGAACCCGGCCCTGCTGCAGAAGCCAGAGCTCATGGAATCCATGGGCCAGTTCCTACAACAGGTCAACATCATGCGCGATATCAAGGAAGACTTCGATGACAAGCGACGTTTCTACCCGAAGGAGATCTGGTCAAAACATGTCGACAAGTTCGAGGATCTTTTCAAGCCCGAGAACCAGCAAGCAGCTCTCAACTGCACCTCGGAGATGATCTTGATCTCCCTGCAACGAGCGGATGAGTGTCTTTACTACCTCGCTGGTATTAAAGAGCAAAGCGTGTTCAACTTCTGCGCAATCCCACAAGCCATGGCCATCGCAACTATGGAAGAATGTTTCCGGAATCCGAATGTCTACAAGACGAACGTCAAGATCTCCAAAGGACAGGCTTGCCAACTCATGGTGGACTCAACCCAAAACCTCCAAATGGTCTGCGATACCTTCAGGAAATACGCCCGAAAGATTTCCAAGAAGAACAACCCCAAAGACCCCAATTTCCTCAACATTAGCATTGCATGCGGAAAAGTATGTTCACCAGTGCGAGATTCTTCAATCCATCTGACCAAATTCCACAGATCGAACAGTTCATCGAATCAATCTTCCCTACGCAGAAGTCCAAGGGCGGCGCCAAGCTCATCAGCGCCGAACAAGAGGCGAAGGAGAAGGCGGAAGCTGGGGAGGCCAGACAGGACACGATCTACATGGGTCTCGCTGTATTCTTGACGCTATTTGTTATTACTGGTTTCATGGTACGTCCCGTCCCGACTAAAACGATTCGTGTTACTGACAAGATCATCTAGGTTACGATTGCATGGTTCGCGGGCGCAAGGTTCGACATCGCATTCGGCCAGATCCGAAACACCCTATTCGGCTCCGGATTCGCTGGAAACGACCTCCCCACGAATGAGAACCTCAAGAATGCACTCACGCCTGAGCACGGAGAGTTGTAACTAAGTAGACTGATGATATCCTGACTTGTAATAATAATAGGTGGCCTGTACTGTGCCGCTCGTTTATACCCCGAAAACGTTTGTCTCCTTCCATTTACCTTCTCTTTGCTGCAGGATAGTGAGATATGGGCGATGGTGGTTCAACATCCGACCTGTTCGGGTGCTGAGCTTTAGCACGGATGTCAAATTGCAATTCAGCCCTTACCAATGGCTGTGGTTGTGCCGCTTTAGAAGTGCTTATATGGATATCACGTCTTGCTTGGCAACGAGACTGCAACGGGCTGGCCCTCGATTTGGTGGGGTTGGTGCGTTGTGGGGATGTGGACATACCTACAAACTTTAGATAGAGTTGTCTATCAAATTGGTATTCTTTTTAAATTAACCTGACCCTCAAGTAATGGTGCATGTCGTGTTGAAACTGTTTCAACACCCCAATCTGCACGCTGCCCGACATACCTCTACTCTCAGGCCCGGCTCAGCTTTGGCTCAGGTCTCCTCAGGTTTGCTTATCCTTGCTCAGCACCTCCTTAAGTCTGCCCCGGGTCACAAATAAAGGCCCTGTACAGCCTTAGAAGCATAAGCTCCTTTGTAGCCTTGTTCTTATAGTAATATTGCTAGAAGTTTCGATTGAGGACTAGCCAAATGTGCTCTGGGCCTGCTGCCTAGCGAAATTCGTCATTCGTTTTCCCTCACCGTCATCGTAGATTGGATCCAGTTAGCTCCGTGCGACTGTATACGTTCCTTTATACTGCAAGACCGTTATCAGAGCCCCCTCCATCCCACTAACTACCTCGAGTCTCCGAAGAAGATCTCCTTGGGAGGAGCAGACTTAACCATCGACGACCCAGCCCACTTCCTAAGCTTACATATGAACACGCTGTCGCACATTCGAATCTGCCGATTGTTGCTTCTTCTATATGGATGTCCTGTAGCTAGCGGAGGAGATCATGGCTATGCCTCACTTGATTGAGCTCGAGCTAGAGGCCGTTGAACATATACCCTGCGACTTGGTTTAATTGTCGCAGACCTTGGTTGTTGAAGTAATATTGACCTGGAAACGTGATGATACCGCAGCTGTCTCGAGAGGTAGATAGAAGAGCGTGGAGACCTTAGGATGTAGCCACAGCTTCACTTTACGAGTGCCAGATTGCAGAAAACGGACTGTAGTTGCCAATTACCTATAGCTCTCATCGAGGTTGAATTCCCAGGTGAGAGAATAGGCAGATTGAGGAGCTATATTGGAAATAGAATGCTTTCAGGAATAAGAATCAATTAATATCGGTGTGCACATCGCAGTAAGAATTAGAATGCTATATATCATTGCCAGAAACACATGACAAAGTCTCAGCAATCTCCCAAATTTTGACTGTTTGCAGCTCAACTTCCTTGTTTGTTAACAATATCACTAACCAAGCGAGGCTCATTTTGCCGCTTGCATATCATCAAGTCTGATGGTACATTGAAAGTCCTACTCAGTGGTGTCTGTGTTGACTTGGCTGAATTTGGTAAGAGATACTGGCACATCTGGATCAGAGAGCGGAATAAGTAAGATACCTTCTCAAGTGTAAATTTCGGAGCACTGACCCGTTCAAAAACCTGTTGCACGGACTTCTCATCGGACAAGCTGCATTGAAGGTAAAAAAGCGCCCCAACTTCTTCGGCGAGATTTGACCCGAGCATGTCCGATGTGGATACACGAGTGCCTTCTTCGGTTTCTTTTGCCACATTCGTAAACATGCCATCAGCATCATCCGGCTTTATTTCTACAAGCATGTAAGGTGTGTGACTGGATTTTGCCTCAGGAACCCATTTTTGGCGGATTTCATTGCTTCCGGTTATGGATGCGGAAATACATATCAAGACGACGTCAGCATTTAAGTAAAGCTGTCGTCTATCATAGTCTTCCTCTCCTACTGTGTCCCAAAGAGATAGTAATATATCATGGTCGTCGTGGTTGAACGGTACCACAATGTGACCGTTAAGGCTAGATTTCACCACGGTTAGCTTATATGGCCACGTCCAAGCCGTTCATATAGTAAATAGTCCTGAGGTAGACGTTCTATACTTACAGGAATGCCGGCGATGCCGCCTGATACTTCTCAAAGGCAGTTGGTATATAAGGTCTGAGAAGAGAGGTAGGGTTGAATCTTGAGAGTAACTGCGTTTTGTGTGACTCTAGTGGTCCTGTGACTAGCACTCTGGAAAAATCAGCAAGCATTTTCTAATGTTGGCTTTAACCCTCACTAGTCTTACTTGGCACATTTGAGATCTACTTCTGTCTTTATGGCCGTACTGCTTGAAACGGAGAGCCGACTACTTGGGGCAGAGAACCGACTTCTCGCAGTCTCGTACGACTCCATCGTTATGAACGACCTTAGACTCTTGGAGTCGATCGATACTCGCGCACTAGACGTCGCTTCCGAGGTAACCTCAAGCCTCAAGCTTGCAGCGTCCGAAACCGCGTCATCTTCTCCTTCCCTGGCCATTTCCATCTCCTCTAGAGTCTCCATATCCGTTATTGACTCTATTTCGTACCCGATGAACACCAGCTGCCGTCTCGGGACGCCTGTGGCTCGAGTAAGGTTCTCCAAATCATCAATGAAGTCCTTGAGATGAGATACCAGTTCTGCAAACTTAGACTTATCCTCGATCGCCCACGCCGCTGAGGAACGAAAGGAACTGATTTTCTCTTTGTCGGCCTTTAGACTGCGCAGAAAACTTAGTCGATTGGAATTCTTCCATTTTTCTGCCACATCCACACTGTCAAGAGTTGGTGACGGCGCATCGTTATTTTCATCAACGGGGCAAGGTTTCAGCCCGTATCGGCCCCGCAACTTAGCTCCATCGCAAAGCAACATCTTGATACACTCCAGCGTCTCTGCAATATTCACTATCAACTCCGGCATGTTGAGACGCTCATCATAGCTCTTGTCTGTATCAGCGCCCTCCACTCCAGGCCTCCCAGCCTCACCGTCTTCATCAAACCCACACGCCCGTCCCCAGGCTCTTAATCTCAGCTCTTGGTTACTGAACTTGGCTTCTAGGATCCGGAAATCATTTCCTAAAGCTCTTCCCCGGCGGATGAGCGCAAAACCATTAGCGCAGGCGGAGAAGAGCCCAGCAAGGCCGGCCACGCCAAGCGCGAGGCCAGCAACTTCCATAGCTTAGCCCCGATGGTTTGGGGACGCATGTGGCGATACAAAGGGAGCCGTAGAAACTGGGAATAAGAAGCGGAAAAATGAAATGACCAGTGGAGAGTTGTCGCAAGATGGAGAAGGGAGACGTAGGAGAGAGTAAGGATGGAGGCAGGACGTAAGGCTGAAACTCAGCCCCAATGCAGATGGACTGCGCCAACTATTGGGTAGCTAGGTTTGTTCTTTTCGCCAGGCACACAAACGGAATATCATGCCCATTTGTAGCAGTCTTCTAGAGATAATTCAGTGTTTGTGAAGCTATACCCAAAAAGGTACATCACGTGTGTTATGGAGCCAAACTTCCCGCGCCTCAACTGTTTTGGTGCTATCGCTTTTAGTCCCTAAGAACAAAACTATGCCAAGATAGCGGATATTAATTCGTATCACAATGCGTAAACGTGTCCTCCGCCTTACCGTTCCCTGTACGTGAACATATGTCCCCAAGAAATGCCACATTACCCATAACTGATCTTCTATTATCCCTAAATGCACGCCTTCCCAACCCTGTATTCCCCGAATAATCCCCCACCCCCCTCAACCTAAATCAAATCCTAGCAGTCATAAATCCTTCTAAATCAGGAGCGTGATATGAGATTTGTTCATAATAGTTTAGTTATTGAGATAGAAAAGTAAAGTTGAGTACGAAGGAGAGAGAGTAATAATAAAACCCTCCAGATTATATATCCTGTGCGCCCTCGTACAATTTGGTCCTTTCTCGTAGTGCATGCGCTGCACGCAGTCACCTGACTATGGTCGTTGCGGTCTTGAAAATGCTACCGTCTTAAGGCCACGGCTGTCGTCAGACTATGCGTGTCTTAAGAACTTACCGTTTTTAGAATATGCCATGTCTTAAGAACGTAGGGCCCAGGACTGGGGTTTCAACTCTGTCTCAGTCTCAACTCAGGATCCGCTCGCCCCAGCTCGGCCACAGCTTAGGGCCTATCTGAGTCTAGGATATCGAACACAGTTGGAACATCGCTCCTGCCTATGCGACTTTCAGCAAGCTGCTCACTTCATAAGTCTCCCATAATCTGTACGCAAGCCAATGTCTTGAACGATAGCGTTCTATGCAGATGTTTTTAATTTGATAAGGCCGAAAGAACAAACGGGCACCGAAACGGGAAGGCGGGGTTACATAAGCCAGCCGTTTTGAAAGGCTAGCGCCACCGCCGGGATCCTTGGCGCTTTCATGCACCTGCATTTTCTCTGTTGAAGACGGCGCGACTAGCAGCACTGCTTCCTCGACGAACCACTCTACAACAATCCTCATCGCCTGCCGCCTGAAAACTCTACCTCTTCACTCTCTTCAGCCTCCAGCGCCCTTCGTCTTTCAATCGCTAGCCCAGTGCGAGAGCGAGATTTGAATCAGTCTCTATCTTCAGTCACTGCTCCCGTTTCACTGAAGCACTTCCTAGCTACTGAAACCGCTTCGCCGATCGTCTGCGACGAAACTCTTTTCCTGAAAAGCCTGCCTTGTCTCGCCTTTCGAAAACACCTCCAACATGGCTGAAGTCGCATCTGCTCAGCAGCCGGTCCCGCTCGACACCATCCCCATCTCCCCCGACGGAGACAACACCACCAGCGGCACTGATATCTCCAAAAGCAATGGTAGCGCCGACACCGTCGACGATGCTCCCGTCACCGTATTCCACGACCCCGACAACTTCAACGTCAAGCACCCGCTTATGAACACCTGGACTCTGTGGTTCACCAAGCCCCCAAGCGGCAAGGTACGCATGCCTTCCCAGACACCACATGTGTGGTATCTAACGTCGCGACGGTTACTAACCTATTACAGGGCGACCACTGGAACGACTTGCTCAAAGAAGTCATCTCGTTCGACTCAGTTGAGGAGTTCTGGGGCATCTACGTGAGTTCTCTGTGACTGCGCTTCTGGAAATCTTGCGACTGTGCTGATACTTTGGCTGGACAGAACAACATCACTTCGACTTCCGAACTCGCCCTCAAGTCCGATTACCATCTCTTCAAGAAAGGCGTTCGTCCGGAGTGGGAGGACTCGCAGAATAAGCACGGTGGCAAGTGGGCTTTCCAGTTCAAGGATAAGAAAGCCATCAACATCGACGCTCTCTGGCTGCATGTCATGCTCGCTGCCATCGGCGAGACCTTGGAGGAGGATGGCGACAACGAGGTTATGGGTGTCGTTGTCAACGTCCGCAAAGGATTCTACCGTATCGGCCTGTGGACCCGCACCATTGGCAAGGCAGGTGATGGAAAGAACGGCGCAGCCAAGGGCCGTACCCCTGAGCAAGGACGGGAGGTTCTGATGCGGATCGGCAAGAAGTTCAAGGAGGCTCTGGGCCTGGAGAGCAGCAATGAGGTGGTCGAGTTCTCAGGACACACTGACAGTGCCAATGCGGGAAGTACCCGCGCCAAAGCGAAGTTCACGGTGTAAGCCGGAGCGGCACTAACGGAGTTGGTGGTTTAGGCGACGTCTGGCATGCTATATGGACGACAGACAGGAAAGATATGGCTCGTCTGAGGCTCGCTATTGCCTCACGCAGCATACTTTCGCCTTCGACGTTTACATCACTGATATCGCGCCTGCCGATTCCGTGATACCTAGTTTCTCACTTACTCAGCTTCACTATCACCTGATTTCTTGCACGACAACTCGGTTCTATCCCAATCGAAGGTTTTGCATGGCGTTGTCACCTCTGGCCCCTCGTTTGAGACAATGGATGAATCATCGCGGACTCGTGGAATCCTCGATGGGACAAGGGGCAAAAAAGGGTTTCTGTACACTGGTTGATCAGGAACAACACATTCCCCGGTTAGCATGGCGTTGAAAGGGTTCACGGGCGACATGGGTATGCGATGGCATTTCAGCCCTTAGTGGTCATTTTACTTTTCGAGCTGTCCTTGTGACAGCGGAACTGGTGGAGGAGGATACCTGTGTTGATAGATTTCTGCTGATATGAAATCATGAGTGCATGATTTAAACATATTGTCCCTTGGCTGTGACCATATCCATCGAATGCGACACTGACACAAACTTAGAAGAAAGAAGGTGGCCTGTTGTCTCACTTCCTAAAATTCTCGGTTGCCAAAAGACGTCACTGCAGGTGAAGCCGAGTAAAATCGCCCGCCTACTCAGCCCTGTGCCGCGTCAACTAAAGCCAGGCTGCTTTTACCAACAACTTCTCCCTCTCTGTAACGCCCCACCCCTACAGCCATGGTTGTCGACACGGCATACTACGATGCGCTGCAGGTCCCACCCACGGCCACCGAGCTTGAGATCAAGAAGGCATACCGCAAGCTCGCGATAAAGCTGCATCCTGGTAAACACCACCGCCCGCCGCTCTGTATTTCCTTTCTAGCGGATACTGACCAGCTGTTCAGACAAAAACCCGGACGACGCTACTGCCCATGAGAAATTCCAGATCGTATGTACCCTGGGACGGTTTGCCCCGCTATCTGGAAGAAATTCACCACGAAGGGACCTTGGCTTACGGAAGAGTAGATTGGAGAAGCATATCAGGTACTCAGCGATGAGCAGCTACGGAAGCAGTATGATAAGTTTGGGAAAGAGGGCGCGGTGCCGCATAGTGGGTTTGGTACGTGTTCCGATCTCCCCCGCTGAGATTGTGAGAGGAAGTACTGACGTGGGACAGAGGACCCGGCGGAGTTCTTTGGGATGATATTCGGTGGCGATGCGTTTGTGGATTGGTATACATTTCCTCCTTTCTTCCATACTCCTAGAGGAGCCGGGGAGTTGAAGGTTGAGCGTGGCTAACAAACACCAGGATTGGAGAGATATCGCTCATGAAGGACCTCACAAAAACCATGGACATATCAATGCGCGAGGCAGAAGAACAAGAAGCACAGGAGGCGCAAGCAGCCGCTGCTTCTGCCTCTGGCCAGCCCTTTGCCGCTGAGGGCTCGAAGTCCTCTTCTCCCCCGCCCGCAACCGGCGCATCCCCCTTCGCCGCACCTCCCCCTCCCTCTGTCTCCGTAGACGCACCCATACTCGCAGACGATGCGACCGCTAGAGAGGCCGCCCACGCCGCCGCCGTAAACACCCCCATCACCCCCTCCGCCTCGGGCACCAGCACGCCCCGCAGCGGCCGCGGGATCCCCACCCGCCTCGCCGTCATGGACCGGTCAGAAGAAGACGCGCGACTGGAAGCAGCGGGCGTGACGGACGCCGAGAAAGAGCTCCGCGCGAAGGAGAAGCGGAAGGGCCTCAGCAAGGAGCAGCGCGAAGAGCTCGCCGCGTACGAGCTCGAGCGGAAAAGGATCCGCGAGGAGCGCGTGTCGAATCTCCAAAAGAAGCTCATCGACCGCATTAGCGTGTGGACCGAGACGGACAAAGGCGCGGATGTCACGAAGGCTTTCAAGGACAAGACGCAGCTCGAGATTGAGAATCTGAAGATGGAGAGCTTTGGGCTGGAGATTATGCATGCGATTGGCGCGACGTATTTGCAGAAGGCGTCGGGGTTCTTGAAGAGTCAGAAGTTTTTGGGCATTGCGGGGTTCTTTTCGCGGGTGAAGGATAAGGGGACGCTGGCGAAGGAGACGTGGACGACGATTAGCACGGCGATTGATGCGCAGATGACGATGGAGGAAATGGCGAAGATGGAGGAGAAGGGGGGCGAGGACTGGACGGATGAGAAGAAGGCGGAGTATGAGAAGAGGGTTACGGGCAAGATTCTTGCCGCGGCGTGGCGGGGGAGCAAGTTTGAGATTCAGAGTGTGCTACGGGAAGTCTGCGACCGGGTCTTAAATGATAAGAAGGTTAAGCTGGAAAAGAGGATTGAGAGGGCGGAGGCGTTGATGATTATTGGGGAGATGCACAGCAAGGCAAGCTCAACCCTAAATTTTTGTCTTTCTGGATGTTTGGCTAACTGATATACAGGCCGCGCGAGACCCAGACGAAGAAGGCGACTACATGGCCTTCGAGCAGCTCATGGCCGAGGCCGCCGCCAAGAAAGAGCACAAGCACGACAAGAAGAGCAGCAAGAAGGATAAAGAAAAGGAAAAGTCTAAGGATTCGTCACCGCCGTTGGGCAGTGCATAAGCGCGGCGTGCTGGAGGCGTTAGATTGATTCTAGAATACCATCTTTACCTCGACTCGAGATGGTGTTCTAGCGCTGAGTCGCGGTGGTGCTACTGACGCAGAGAGAGAAAGCATTTGACAGCTTGAATCCGCTCCGCTTGAGTGAATGTAATTGAGGGGGGTTTTGGAGGCTGACTAGGTTGGCTGGGTTGGCAAGCAGTGGTATGGCTGCTGTTTGGGTTTGGGTGACTACTATAGACGTGCGGCTACGATGAGATATGCATACGATACTCCCCTTTATTTCTCTCTTTCCGTCTCGTGTCTTCTATCACAGCCTGATTACACACTGATATTGAGATGTCAAATGCAAGACCCTCTATGTCAGACCCTTAGCTTATGCTAACAATGGAGAAAAATGAAACCGGGCCAGTTTACTGTGTCGACCTTGTGCCAAAACAGTAGAAACAATAGTGCAATTCGGCGCCCTCGCTTTTCTACACCTTTCTAACCTGACTTTGTCTATGTTTTTATATATAGAAATCCCTAGGTCCTGAATCGGACCAGGAGAGTGCCTTCTAACTTTCATGTCTTGAAACGTGTAAAGGGAGGCTAGTCTGTGCGATTTGAATCGTTTTTGGCATGTTATTGCATGACACTTCAAATAAGACACAGGGAAGTAGGATAATTGTACATCATTCTCCACGCATAAACGGGAGCTAGTCTGCTATCTCTCCCCTTCGTCAAAACTGTGCCGTTCATGCGGCAATCTAGTGGTCCTGGGTGCTAGTCATCAGATTGAAACCTGATTCTCCTCTTGCTTTCCATCGTGGAAATACTGAGACTGTAAATCAGAGCCGGGATTTGAAACAATCTTCGGAGATGTTAGGACGTGTAAACGGGGAGCCAGTCCGTGCGATTTTGACTCGATTTTGGTTGTTTACTCTATTGCATGGCACTCAGAATTTGAAAACCTAGGAAGAGGGGTGAAAACCTAGGAAGAGGGGTGAAAACCTAGGAAGAGGGGTGAAAACCTAGGAAGAGGGGTGAAAACCTAGGAAGAGGGGTGAAAACCTAGGAAGAGGGGTGAAAACCGAAAGTTTCAAATCTGACGATTGATCCTAAACTCGTTCCCGTGAATAAAAGCTAACTTGGTTTATCTCAAGATACATGTCTCCGTGATGCCTCACGTACCCCCACTATATTATCCCACAAAGAAAAAAAAAAACCTGCCCCTCGCCCCCTCGAGTCCTAACTGCAGGTTCCCGAAGCGCCCTCACCATCACCAGCAGACCACCAAAAACATAGCTTTTAGGGGTATACCCGTTCAAAAAACAAAATTTACGAGCGGGGAGGATCGAACTCCCGACCTTCTGCGTTCGACAGGAATACACCCTTGTAAAGCAGACATCATAACCACTAGACTACGCTCGCTTGTGATTCGCTAAGGAATTCGAAACGGATGAAATTAAACTATCTATAGCCTCTGACTCTCGATTGAGGCCGTGGAGATATCCGATTTGCAATGATATCGAAGGTATTCGAGGGGAACAGTGGAGTAAAACTATATCGTAATCCATTCCTATCAAAGAAACTCTAGTCTAGAATACCCCGCCATTCGAAATCCCTCCTCACCCCCCTCCCTCGATCCCCTCCATTATATCCACCCCCCTAACCCCCTAAAACACCGCAAAAGCACTACAATAACTAACACTACTATCCCTCACACTCACACACTCACTACTCCGCTCATACCGCACGAACCGAAACCGCCCCTTCCCGGCCCCCCGCTGCCCCTCCTCCAGCGCCTCCACCGCCGCCAGCACCACCCCAATCGGATGCCGCCCGCACACCGTATTCTCCGTCTCGCCCAGCACGTCCAGGAACCGCGCATGCGACCCCGTCTCCACCGCGTCCATGCACAGCCGGTCCACGGCGGCGATGCTGGCGGCCAGCGGCGGGTCCGCGGGCGCGCGGTCGCTGCTGCGCAGGCTGTAGGGCGCGCCGGCGCGCGGCGCGTAGTACGTGTAGTGGAAGCGCGTGCCCCAGTGGCAGAAGTCGGACGAGATGATGAAGGTGGCGGTGGGGTCGGCGAGGTAGGGCGCCAGCAGGGCGCCGTAGTGGGCTTCGGCGGCGGCGGTGGTGGCGCCGACGAGGATGGGGATGATGGGCGGGAAGGAGGAGGGGGTGGGGAAGGTCCTGGGCGTAGATGGTGAGAATTGGGGGGTTGTGGGAAGATAGAAGGGGGGGGGGGATACCTGGAGAGCACTTTGTAGATGTAGGGCAGGTGCATTTCGAGGCTGTGCTCGGCTTCGTCGACGGAGAGGGACATCTTGTCGAAGGAGCCTTTTTGGTGCAGCTCGGCGACTGTGGCTTTGTCGACTTGGAGGTTGCCGAGGGGGGTCGAGAGGGTGTCGCATTGGGAGAGGGCGCAGCCGGATAGGTAGTGGTGATGGGATGGGCCTAGGAGGAAGATGCGTTTGCTACAGGGCGACGCTCAGCTCGATTGTGTCTTTGATGTTCAAAAGGGATGTAATTGAAGACTCGACTCACGTCCTAGACAGATCCAGCGCCTTGTATGCCCATGCCGCGGCAGGCCCAGAGTACGAGTATCCGGCGTGCCTGCTTAGCCATGAGCTTCTTGCTTTCAGGCCCACTAGCTACTTCTCTCAGCCTACGGTGCAATGATGGCTCTTGCTCCCTCTGACGGCAGCGGAGCGGCGCCCTGCTTGGAGGACTCAGTGCCGATGCCTGTGGCAGACGAGGGAACGGCGTCGAGCCATCCGTCCAGCTCAGCGGAGAGTTCGGGTTTGTGGGACGAATACCACGAGCCGGCATGGCTGGCTTTGCGGGTAGGCATTGTCTTGGTGTCTCTTGCTATATATGTAGTTTGTGCACGTAGTGGTGTTGTTGATTGTTTGACAGCAACCTGGAGGGAGCTCTAGCTCGGATGGAGGGGTAGAGATGTGGGGTTCCGATAGTAATGGACAGTTGTGCATTTAGGGACCCTTGTTTCAAGATGTCTGAGAATTTCTGTAGTATATTAGGGGATAATAGATATAAATGAGAAGAAATACCCAATACTTACGTCTTATGTCTGTGCAGACGAGAATATTCTACAGGGCCTATTCATTGTTATAGGACACAAGTTTGGGCACGTCGTCTTTTGATCCCTTCCAGAAGTATGATAATGTGCTAAGCACCACAAACAGCAGCCAAGTAAGCTGACTATAGCGCATGAAACCTCTCTAATTCAAGTGCTCAAAGTGTTTACATATTATCAGAAGTTTTATAATGTGCTGAAGCACCTCAAATGGTGGTGAGCAAGTGTGCTCGGACTTCTGGCCAAGGCACTGTAGTTTGGAGCTTTTGAGAGCACCGAATAGCCTTTTTATGTCGTGATTGAAGAAGTTTAAACAACAGGCTCCTGTCGTCTTTAAAGTGACATTAATATCAATAGAATTACTGGGTGGTCGTAAGGTGGGGAGTGCTCTAAAGCTACGCGCAACTCTCCCGAGGTCGCGTCGCAACATCGCGTCTTCCCCAGCCTCTCAATAATATCGTCCCGCTCTTCCACCTCTTCCCACCATCATCATCCCACCTTCAGATCCCCCATACAACCAACATCATAGCACTCGATATCTCCTACCCGCTAAACAACTAATCCCCAACAATGGCCCTCAAACGCAAACGCTCCATGTCCAACGACTCCCCCCTCTCCACCTCCAGCCTGGCGTCTACCTCCACAACACGCCAGTCTCTCAGTCCAACACCTGCACCACGCCCCATAGGCAGCGTGTTAGACTTCTCCTCCTCCTTCCCCTCAACCCTCCAATGGCCCTCGCACGCTCCCTCCAGCTCCCACCGCGCCCGCCTCTCCGCAACTGACCTCGGCAGCCGCACGCGCAAGCGGTTCCGCGACAACCGGCCTGACGAGGAGACCATCCACGGTACGTAACTGCCTCCAATTCCCGCATCACATAGCTGTATAGCGCATCTGACTAAAATCCGCCAGAAAACACCCTTTCTCTTCTCTTCTCCGCCGCACGCGCGCCGCACCAGGACCCGACGCCATCGCAGGCGCAGCCCGTGGCTGCGAAACACGAAACTACTACCCAGAAATCAACCCTCCACGCCTTCTGGAGCCTCCCCGCGCCGCGCGCGACGAACCTCCGCTGGCCGCGTGTCCACAACGCGCGTAACCACCCGGACACGCCGCAGCAGGGCCCGACGTGTGAGGACTGCGATAGCGCGCTGGAGTCGGACAGCATGGAGATTGACGACATGGGTGAGGTGGGGGATGAGTTTGCGTGTGCGGGGTGCCGGCGGCGGGTGTGTGGGATGTGTGCGGTGGACGGGGATGAGCGGCGGTGTTTGAGGTGTGTGGGGTTGGGCGGGGGGTGGTGAGGAGAGAGGAGATGAGGATGGGGTATGTGTTATTTGCTGGAGTATGAGGGGGGTCGGTGGGGAGGGAGCAACCGAAGTCGGAAGCTTGAGCTTGAGGTGGCTGTGATGATGATTTTAATGGGTTTGGAATGCTTGGATTGGGCCGTGTTTAGCGGATTGATTAGTTCGGCGTATGGTTGGAGTAGCGCTGGGTTTGGATACCAATGCTGTTGTAGTCATATCACTCAATGCGAAAGTCGTATATTGGCGCGTATAGTGCTAGAAAGTGTCGTGATTTCGATCCTTCACCAATAGATGCTATCATACCTTCAAAAATAAAGGATATCAAAATACGCTCATCTGAAACGCCATGCCATCGCTTCCAATATCTGACTGTAAAGATGCAGCTCATACGCTCATACATACAAAACGCCACGCTAACGACACTCAGGGTATCGAGAAACAAAGAACACTCATTTCGGTCGTGGAGGCTGATGCGACTTCACGCTCCAGCCCTGTAAACTCCTTCGCATCCCCAGCGTCTTACGTTGCGGTGCAGTTGAGCTGGTCAATGTCGACATGCTCGTAGTATGGAGAGTAGACGCGGGGCGGAAGCCAGCTGAAGAAGCGGCAATGGTGGAGACAGTTTCAGATAGGATTTCGGTTGGGCTAGGGGGTTCTGTGTTGTAGGAGGCACCTGGCGAGGGATAATGTTAGTAAGTGCTTTAAGATGAGTATGAGGGGAGAGCTTAATTACCATTTCCCACATTTGCATCATTCCCCTCTTCTGGTTTCCCTGGCGAACTCGACAGCAGTATATAGCGATTCGTTTCTCCAACCTCTTCCTCATCAGTCCGTCGCGGCTTGCCCACAAGCGGTTGGTTTCGTGGTCGGTGTGTTGATATAGTGGGCGGCACATAAACAGGCTTTGAGGTCACAGTCTGCTTGCGGAGATTGGATATATCGTTCAGGGGTGGCTGCTGAAAAGTTGAGGAGAACCCGGGAGAATGTTGAGAAGGCTCAACCAAATGAGTAGGCTTCCCCGTAAGCTCTTTTGGGATAGCGCTTGATTGGTTAAAGAAGCTCTTGATACTCCCTTGTCCTGCTGGCCGCTTGGTCGATCTCTTCGTAGATGCTCCAGCAGCCTTGCTGGTCCCGCTATCCTCCCGCTGGAGCTTCTTTGGTATATACTCTTTCGCCGTGCTGAATTTCTGCGCAGCTGCGGTCTCTTGGAGGACCTTCATATGTGCAGTAGCGCTAACAAATCCACTTGAGGGAAGAGTGGTGTTTGATATGGAATATTGTGAGGTGCTCTGCATTGTCGACGTTGTCATCGTGGTAGCTTTCGCCGTTTCAAACTTGCGACGTTTCGAAGGAAAATCAGAAGGAAAAGCATCGCTGTATTGATCGTCGATGTCCCAGTAATTGCTCTCAGGGTCGATATCTTCTCCATCCAAGGGGTAGACGTCATCTTCGACATGCTCGACAAGTGTCCGCGCATGCTGAATGATTGAGCCTGCGGGACAAGCACGCCGAAGGATGTGGGACAGGTCCTGAGTTGTCTGGAACCCAAAAGATGGCCCCCTGATATCAAAGCTTCTCGCTACGTTCTTTGGAGTGACAAACGGTGAGATTGTCGTCTGCTCTCTCTGAGAGTTTTTGGTGGGACAACTCAGGTATAGCAACGCTTGCGCCCTCGTCATGCCAACGTATAAAAGTCGTCGCTCTTCGTCCGTGTCCTCTGATCTTGAATGCGGAATCGATCCTTCATAAGCAGCAGGAATGAAGACGACCGGCCATTCTAGTCCCTTGGCGGCATGGATTGTTGATATAGTGACCTGTTCAGCTCGTTGCCCGTCCTTCTTCTCAACTTCGGTAGACAGTGCTACATTCGAGAGGAATTTGGTCAAGATGTCTCCCGATGATAGCGTGCGCTGCTCGATTCCCTCGACAACTGGCAAGCTTTCATCGAGAGCGTTATCGCCAGCTTCCGTGGACAGAGCAACATCGGTTGCTTGCGCGACCAACTCCTCCACGTTAGCCCATCGCCCTTCCCACTCCTCTCGATACGTCTTTCTTAGAAATTCTTGGAAGGATAGCTTGTTGAGAACATGCGCGATAATATCTACCAAAGAACAGTCCTTACCGTCCTCGTTGAGTAGTTTCTTTCTCGACGTCAGAATCAGGTTGACAAACATGTCAATGCCCTTTTCAGCTTGTGCTGAAAGTTTCGTCCGAGGTCTTTTCCTCCCTTGAGCTTGATTAAGAACGAGATCCCATAGAGTCATCTTCTGTGCTTCGGCTTCTTCTAACAGTGCCTTCACAGTGACTTCACCAATCTTCCGTGGCGGGTTATTGATTATCCTGACAAGAGCGTCATTGTGATCGGGTTGGTTGACGACGCGAAGATAATCCAAAACAAGCTTGACTTCCACTCGATCGTAAAATCGATGTCCGCCCACCATTCGATACGGAATCCCGGCTTTGCCAAGTTGGGTCTCAATGAGCCGAGAGAGGGCTGCTGAGCGGAGAAGGATTGCATAGTCATTGAAGGTAAAAATCTCTCCGGTCAGTGTTTTGGATCGTTGTATTTCCGAGACAAGCCATTTTGCTTCGGCTACGGCATTTGGAAGTTTGCGAAGAACGGGCCGTTCTCCCACAACGTGGGTGGGAAGAAGAGGTTTGTTATGTCGGCTCTCGTCTTGCTCGATCACGGCGAGCGCAGAGGTCAATATGCAGCCCGACGACCTGTAATTATTCTCCAAGTGAATGACCACCGTCTCCGGGTGGTGCTCTCTCATCAGCTTGAGATTCTTTATCTCCGCGGATCGAAATCCGTAGATGCTCTGGTCCGGGTCCCCAACAATAGTAATACACTTTTGCTTTTGTGACAAGAGAGTCATCAGTTCGTACTGGACGTGATTCGTATCCTGGAATTCATCAATGAGTACCGCCTGGATGCTCGAAACGCATTCAGGATGCTTTCGGAGGAGATCAGTACATCTAAGAAGAAGATCGTCGTAGTCCAGTAAATTAGAAGTCTTCAGTGTCTCCTCATACTCGGCATAGAGGGCCGCAAACTCGTGTTGCTCCGCTTTCTTGTTCGTAGCTGCGAATTGCTCCACGCTGGTACTCCTCGCCTTCAACCCTGATATCCTCGACCGAGCTACGCCTGGTTCCACGCCGTAACGTTGCCGCTTAACGATGCGCTTTATAATCGCCAATGTGTCCGAAGTGTCTGCAATCCCAAAATTCTTCTCAATGCCAATATGATTCCCATACCGGACCAAGAACCGGCGCGCGACCGAATGGAATGTGCCCAAGATCAATTTCGCCTCAATACCCTCCCCAACAAACCCCCGGATCCGCTCTTTCATTTCCCGCGCGGCTTTTATAGTGAACGTGCAGACGATGATATTCCATGGCTGGAGTCGGTTGTGGTTGATCAGGTATGCGACGCGTGAAGTCAGTGTTTTCGTCTTGCCCGATCCTGGAGGCGCCAGCACCTGGACGACGGAGGCCGGGTTGGTGACCGCACTCTTCTGCGCCGGATTGAGTCCATCGAGAAGAGCATCCATAGGGGTCTGGGGTTCCGGCGCGAGGGGTGTGTCGGGGAGGTGTTGAAGTTGGGAGACGAAGTCGCACGTGCGTTTCGGCGCTAAGACTAGCAATTCACTAGTCGGAGCTTAGATCCCACCTCATGTCATTCCTCCTGTCTGATTCGCGATGTCCTAGGCTTGACATTGCCTCTGGAGATCGGATCCCTACGTGAGGTCATCCTGACGGTGACAGGCAACCGTAAAATCCGACTATCTGATCATGTTCATTGCTCTCGTCTAAAGAACGACCCCCTGGACGTTACATCGCTTTCAGATATTTGATAACCATCTGAAGCAATCCTGATAGTAGCGGGGATGTAGTATATTGCTTCAGATTCCCCGTTTGACTTAGCATTCTATAAATGTTACATTACTCCTAGCTTTCTAGTGGGTAGGTAGGGCACTCCCAACGTTAGCATGCATGTGAAGGCTCAAATCACGTCCACTTGTTCGATTTCGCGTTCCTCAAGCGCTGTATCATCTCTAGCTCTCGAGTATCGAGGTAAGGCACTCCAGACGGTAGTAAGCAGGTAGGAAACTCCTGTTAGTCCCATCATTTCGATTTCAAGTCCTATAAATGTTACATCACCCCTATCTCCCAAGCCTCTAGGTAGGGTACTTCTGACGGCTACATGCATGTGGAAAAAAAACCTTAGATCCTGTTGTCTGAATTTGAACGTCACGTACCTGACATCACGTCCAACTCTCAGATGCATAGACAGGGCACCCCAGACGGTAACAAGCAGTTGGAAAACCCATGCCAATTTTAGTCTGGTTTTACCTGTGTGAACATTTACAACCCCGAAGTATGTGCTATCGAGCGAAAACGCGAACATTCATCGAAACGGAAGTACGGAGAAAAAAACAAAAGAAGTCCCCCTCCGCCTGCCGAAGACTACCATAGGGGGGCACCCAAACGCTATCCAAACAGCTCATCGAACAACTCCTCATCTTTCCGCTTCTTCTCCGTAATCTCCGTCTCCTTCCTCTCCTTCAACTCCTGCTCCTCCTTCGCCCTCTTTGCCCTCTCCTTCTCGATCTTCGCCTTCTCCTTAGCCCTCTTCATCTCATCCATCCCCTTGTTTCGACCCGAAGTGTCCGGAAGACCAGTCCTCATCCACGTGATGTTCTGCACGGCGCTGCTCTTGCCCCAGAGTCTCTCTGGCACGACACCAAGCACCGAGGACCCAGTCTTCTTCTTTTCAGTGGTGGTTGGGCTGTCCGCGTTGTCCAAGGCTCGCTTCATCCGAGCCGCCTGTGTATCTTCCTTCGACTCAACTTTGTGGACTATTCTGCCGAAACGCTTCTTCTCGCGCGCCTCTGTGGCCTTCTTGCCGGCCTCGAGTATCATCGGGTATTGCGACTTCTTCTTCTCCGACGGCGGTGTTGGGTGCGCGACCGGTCGACGTCGCATCGTGGCCGGGTCGGCGCGTTGTGGTGTGTTTGGCGAGGATGTCTTGACGCTCGTGGTTTTGGTGGGAGTTTTGGCGGATGATTTGACCGATGCGGCATTCTTGTCGGGAGAGGACACGGTGGAGGAGGAAGGAGCGGGTAGCGCAGCAGCACGACTGCCAGCCTGCCGGTGACGCTTTGGAGAGGAGTTGTCGTCGGCTTGTAGGCAACGCTTGCGGGTGGCGGTACCGGCTGCTTCTTCGAGGCCGCCGCGTAGTGTCTCTCGCAGGCTCTTGAGGTCGGCCATGTTACGGAGCGGCAAGGTAGGAAGGGCGTCGTGCTCGCTCTTGGTGACGAGGCCGACGATGGGGTGTTCGACCATACGCATAGCGCAAGTGGAAGGCATTTCTTGTCGTTTGGGTGTTTTGTAGTAGGCTTTGAGAGTGCGTGAGGGTTGCAAGAGCTGGGTTGTGGTCAAGAGTTGTGTGAGTGTATGCGGAAGCAGTCGAGCGAGGATTCCGCTGGTATTTTTATTGTTTTCAAATCATTAGAGCGCGCGAGGGGTCATCAGAGCGGTGGCTCGGCGTTGAGTTTCGCTGGTAGTACCAAGGTTGGCTGCGACTTCAAGTCTGGGAACCGGTACCGGTACCAACAACTCACAGACGAGGCGGGAAAGAGAACGAGGCTGGGCGATACGCAACGATTGCAAGAGGCGCTCTGGTGGATGATCAAACCGGGAATTTGTGAAACTGCAATCGAAAGAATCGAAGGGTCCGGAGAGAGGGGTTGAGAAGGATGGCCAAATTTGAACGCTCTAATAATAGTTACCACGCGGCCAGTGGACCTTGAACCTAAGATTGGAAGTATGTTGACAAGTGCAGGCGTGCTTCCGCGACCGGCGATAACGAGAAAAGGCAACCTTGTGGGTGCTTGATTTGGAGTGCCGGTCAGCCCGATCGAATGAATTCATGAAGATACGGTTGCGCCAAAGGTAGACGAGATATCGGCCAGAGCACCTATCCATCCTGCCACTGCCCATATACCCGCGAGAGTCTCTCGATGTGTCTAGCATGTCTTCAACTCATCAGCAGGAAGGCTCCGATTTGAACTTGTCTAATTATGCTGCACTACCGGACGCCGCAAATCAGGCACATCGTGAAGGTACGTAAAACTCGGGCATGATTCACACTTATTTGCTGACGGCTCTGAATGATTACATAGAGGACTCAGGCTCTCTAGTCCCCTCCGCAAAGTTACCTTAAAGTATCAAAATGAGCAGGCCCGATTTACAGTCCTTGATAATTGACATTGCACATCGAAAGTCTTCTATTACTGGAGCCCCCTGCCGGTGGCAGCGAGACGGAATTCATCATAACCCAGAGACTCGATATGAAGGCTGTTGACGAGTGCAAAAAGACTCAATTATCGCCAGATGTATCATGCGCAACGATCCTGATTTGCAAGTCTCAGGAAATCACATTGGTAGTCAATTCTTCCTGGCACTGGAGTTATCCCAGCGGTGGCAACGACAAGAAATTTTAACGCCCTACATACAATGCAAAGCCTTGAAAGAGTGTATTGAGCTTTTGAAGCTCGCTGGGGGCATTTTGCGACGCGCTTCTAATTCACAGGCTCTGGAAATTTACACTATTTGTCCAAAATGTCTTTGTGCTGGAGTCCTCCTAGCAGCGGCGGCACGCTAGAAATGCCAATGTCCCTAGAGAAGATATGAAGGTTCTGAATATTCTTGTATCTCTTGCATGTAAGATTAGATAAGAGCACCCGGCAACTGACGATACAACTACTACTACCGTCAAGGATACATCAGCTCCTCTTCGCTTTTCAGTTTCATCGCTCGGTATCTTTCCCATTCTTTTCAAGCTCTCCTTAGCGAAATTCTCCCTCAGACACAAACTTCCCGCGAACCTAGATCCAGCGCTTTCCGCCATGCCGGTTAGCATCCAGTCGTTGGAGCAGAGAGATGTGTAGACATGGGTCGCTGAGATGCGGAAAGTCCTCAAACTGTGGTCGGAGCGTATCTTTCGTTACATCTACTTATGTCCTCTTCAATCTTGGCCCAGGCTTGAGGCAGCAGGATCCCCGTCAACCAGTAGTTATCCCCGTAGTCCTTCCCAAGCACCACGACGACGTTTCTGACTGTCGGTCCCTGTCGCATCGATTGCGCGTGGTGAAAGACCATAGTGCCGGGCGGGTTACTCCTCGAAGGCCCCGTCTCGCCAGCACGCACAAGCGCAGGGCTGAAATCAGCTGTTTTGAAGAAGTCGGCCCGGGTCCAGTTGGTGAAGGGCATCAACACGGCGTCAGGCTCACCACACAGTACTAACGCCGGATCGCTGCCCGACGTAGATCGCAGCTCGCGGAGGAAGGCCAAAACCTGAGCCTCTGTCGATTGTTCCATCAGATGGCGCCGGTTCTCCAAAGCGACGGGCCCTAGACTCGTTGCAATATCGGGAGTCAGAAACGTGAAGGCTGCCACCGCCATGTTCTGGACGTAAACGCCAGAAGTCTGGACCAGCGACGAGAGTCTGAAGCGCGCGTTGAGTGCGTGAACTACTGTCACCGGCCGTGGCTGCGGCAGGGAGGAAGCTACGGCGCGCACCGCCCAAGCCGTCAGCACATCGCCCTCGCTGATGAAGGGCCTCTCGCCATCCGTGGCAGGCAGCTCGCCTTGCGTCTGGCGTTGCAGCTCAGCTACTACCTTCTTTGGCAAGTAGATGGTGCGCGTCTCGACGACCTGGTTCCATAGCAGGTCCCAGGCAAAGCGCAGCCCGAACATGAACATCGCCCACCCCCTCAGCCGCTTTCGCCCTACTTCGAACTCCTCCTGATCTTCCTTCTTCACGGGGTAATCTGCGGCTGCGCATATCGCGTCCTCTCGCACACCAAGCAGGGGCGGCACTTCCGAGTCACGACCAGCTAGCACTAGGGACCAACCGCGCAGAAGGGCCTGCTGGCCCATGACATCCATAAGCGTGTGTGGCCACGAGAGAGCCACGAGTGTCGCATCGTCGAACGAAGTGACATGAAGCGACAGCTGGGGCGTATCCCGGTATTGGCAGATGAAGTCCTCGAGCGTTTCGGGTGCATCTGCCCGAGCCGCAAAGATTCGGAAACCCGGAGGCCAGGCTGAATTGATGGGCCATCGGTGGCTCTAGGGAGCGTCTTTGCTAGCGAATGGGATTCGATATTCATGTCTAAGGCCTGGTGGGTGTACGACACGGCTGGACGTTCCGCGGTGAAGGGCCGCGGCACATGAATCTCCAGCTTTCCATCCTCCTGGCGAGTGTGAGTCAGTAACGTATCCGAAATTAAGAAGAGCTATGGACAAGTCGCGTATAATCCAAGTGAGAGAAGGTATTCAAACCTTTAGCCTCAGCCGGCCACCGACCTTCCTCCAGTCCCCAATATCCAGCAGTTTCGAAAGTGAGGCATGTAGCTTGTCTGCATCTAGTACGTCGTTGAAGCGCAACGTCCATGTAACGACGATGTTCCGGAGCGTCTTGGTGTCGTCCAGCATGTGAACCGGATAGACGTCGTCATTGTCGCTATTTAATAACGGCGTTGGATCCCTTGCGGGAGACGCTCTAAACAGGCGCATTAAGGCGGCCATCTTTTTGACTTTGAACCCGTCCGGAATGGAGGATTGGACCCTTCATATGTCTGCCGGTGGCCGGCGTCTTCTATTTCTATCTTCGAGGTTGATAGTCAAATAGATAGGGGTTCGCTTAAAGAACTCTAAATAGTAGCCAATCGAAGAGAACGGTTCCAAGCCAATCTCCTACACTAATTTCCACAGAATCGATCCCTCCAGCCTATTTTAACTTTATTCTTCCTAAAATCTTCTCAGAATTACCTTATATCTGTCGAGTAACCACTAGCTCTTCCCCTAGTTCTACCAATGTAAATGATCCATAGGACTCTCATACGCCTTCGAACCTCAAGCAAGACAAGGATTGCATAGAGTGCTATACATCCCCAACCTTTTACGCCATAGGCAGACTGAAACGAAGGCACTGGATGACCGTATGAGATTGTCCCAAATGTCCCTCTCCACGGCGATGACGGCAAGCTGAATTCCCATCTCTCGGGAACGTCGTGCGCGTCATCGTCGGCATGGCCATGAAGGATAAGAATATATCTTTCTTGCGCATCCACTGAAAACTGCATTCTGCGGCCGCGTCATCCTATTGTCTTCCATGGAAATGGTGGTTTGGGCCACAGATATGCTCTATAATTACATAACCTGGACTATCTTGATTCGTCTCACAGCCCCATTATGTATAATCTATCATGTCCAGCCAAGACGAATGAAGTAAGTGGCTAGAGACGTTTCCGAGCTAATGACCTTCACGGTCGTCGACTAAACCTGGATTGGCCATAAAGGCCTCAAGCTCCGCAGCAACACGTCCCTCTTCTGCAGAGACGACGAGGTGATCATGGTAACCAAATGGAACCCTATCACACGTATCAGCTACTCGAACATGCTCGAAGATGACTGTCTACTCACTCATTCTCAGAGAGAACACCATAGAAGTCCAGCCCCACGCCAGGCATCATTGACACCTCCTCGACCTTCACGTCAAAAGACGACCGTTGGGTGCTAGAGGTTGGATAAAAGTGCAAAGTCCCGGTGAACGTTCCCTCATCAGTGACAGTGCACTGATCATTTAGTAGCCAGCATTCCTTTGGCAGGAAATCCTGATGCCTTTGAGCAGCGAGGTTGGCGCTCGCCTTGGTGGCATAGGTAGCGACGATACGCGTGCGACCCTCTCTAAACGATGGGTGCTTGTGGTCGGTCGTTGTGAGTAGGTAGACGGAGTTGATTGGGGAATGCATCGGAGAGACGGAATTAATGGACAAGTTGGGGGTGAGGACGAAGAACGAGGGATTTGGGTCAGCTTGGCGAGCGAAGATGGGGGTTCAAATAGGCTGGCTTTGATCGGCCGGCCATTATGACGTCGAGAGGTTCGTGAGGATTCTGCTGATGCTCTGATGGTGTTGAGGTTCGAGGGAACTGCGTCTGCATCTCCAGCAGTCCTTTACCTTACCCAGTACCCGTGGGGTCCCGAATTCACGCTAGCAATTCACGCTAGCAACGCCTGATCACATGATAGCTCCATCGCTTTTCCTTCAACGTCTGGAGCTATCTATGCAAGTGTCTATACCACACACTACCTCTTCAGGGCTTGCTAGCTGCCTCGTTTAGATGGGTCTTAATACTCATCACCTCCTGGGACCTGGAAATCACGGTAGATGTATACCTCAATCGGGTATAGCTGTGGACAAATAATATCATCCTTCTCAGATAAGAGACCGAGTCGGATGTGCCGTCTGTCCCGCCGTTATCTCCACCTACCGACGTTTCATGCCCCTTCAACTAATTGTTGACACATAATCCGCCATCATGCGGACCATCATGTTCCGACGGGTTTTGATCCCATATACTCATGTGGACAAAGGTCTCCCCAAGGGACAGTGCTGCCATCAGAGCTCCTGTCCTCCTTGATTAGCATGCCTCGCATCGTCCGCATTGCCGCAGCACAAGTCGGCGCCGTCCATATCTGGAGCAAGAGACTAGACACCTTGAAACGCCTATTAAAGCTCCTAGACGATGCAGCATCACGAGGAGCACAGGTTGTGCTCTTCCCAGAAACCACGTTGACAACATTCTTCCCCCGGTACTTTTTCTCCGATGACGCCGAGCTCGAATCGTTCTTCGAGCACGGCGATATCATCACCGCATCGAACACTAAACCGCTATTTGACAAAGCGAAAAACCTGGCCGTCGACATCATCCTCGGATTCGCAGAAGCTACCGACGATGGAGAGCACTTCAACACCCAAGTCTACTATCATGCCAAGTTTGGATCGATAATGTCCAGATACCGAAAGGTGCATCTTCCCGGAGATTATGAGCCTTTCAGTGATCCAGACGCCACGAATCAGTTGGAGAAGAGGTATTTTAAGCCTGGAAATCTGGGCTTTGAGGCATTCAGAGTCCCAGACCTGACCACGGTGACGCCCGAGCGAGGTGAACCGATCTTTGGGCAGATGATCTGCAATGACCGCCGATGGGCAGAAGCATGGCGCGTTCTAGGTCTTCAAGGTGTGGAAGTTGTCTTTTGCGGTGTGAGTAATGGCGTTTTGATCGTAATTACATAAGACAGAAGCTAATCTCAGGACATAGTACAACACTACTGGGTTCGCTCCCCATATGTGGGGAAGTTCAAAGACTCAAGATCCTAAAGAGGCTGAGGCAATGGCTTACTTCCATCACAAACTCGTGATGCAGACTCATGGCCACACAAATTCTTGCTTCTCCGTTTCCGCTGCCCGGTGTGGCATGGACGATGAGAAATACGGTTTGATTGCTGGATCCCTTATCACAGACCCCCAAGGACGTGTGCTGGCCAAGAGCAAAACCACAGAGGATGAAATCATCATAGCAGACTGTGACTTGGATCTGTGCCAGCAAGGAAAGACCAGGACGTTTGACTTCGCCAGACATCGGCGCATCGAACATTACGGCAGGATCGCAAATCAGACGGGCGTCATTGAGCCTCCTCGTCTATCTTCCCTCACGCTTAACGGATCAGCACCTATGATCAACGACGATGTGGCTTTAGTAAATACCCTCCCAAAAGTATCCGGCCCAGCATTTACCAAAATTATTCGCATCCTGCTTTGCAACCCTAACTCCACTGCGTCTATAACCACCTCATGCCTCGCTATGGTAGCATCCGCTCTTCCCCCTGATGTCTCCGTATACGGCTTTACTGCACCCACGCCCGCTCCAACGGCAATCGAAGGAAACTTTGACAGTATCATGTCCGCTGCCGCATCTGCTCGTGCCATCATTCCAATCGCGGATCGGTACGACGCGTTCCTCGTGGCCTGCTACAGTGATCACGCACTGATCAACATGCTTCGTAAAGAGCTGAGCCAGCCTGTCATTGGCATTATGGAAGCATCATTTTTCGCAGCGCGCACTCTTGGGGATAGGTTTGGGATAATCTCAACGAGCCAGCGTTCCAAGCTCATGCACGAAGACTCCATCCGGCATTTTGGATTGGATGCATTCTGCGCCGGTGCCAAGAGCTGTGATCTAGGGGCTCTAGAGCTGGAGTCAAAGCCTGAGAAGGAGGTACTAAGCGTGATGTGCGCTGTAGCGAAAGAGTTAGTTGCTGATGGTGCGGACGTCCTTACGCTGGGATACGCTGGAATGACGAAGCTGAAGCCTGCTATTGAGGAGGCAGTGGGCGAGGATGTGCAGGTCGTCGATGGCGTAGTTGCAGGAGTGCAACATCTGATCGGGTTGGTGAGGATGGGAAGCAAGACCGCGAAGGCCGGTATGTATGAAAGCTCAGCGGTTGGGAGAAAGGCGAGGGGGCAGGAGCACTACTAAAGATAAATATCTCCCCGAATCTCTTTGGTTCAGTATCGGGACACTGATCAGATAACCACTTCAATCATGCGTTCTTCCTAATCCAGCAAGGCAGTGTATCCACAACCTAGCAGCCCGACCACAAAGTATCGAGGTCTCTTTATCTTCCGTTACTCTCATGATTATCAATTCACTCCCCGTCCATCTTCCACCTCGCTTTAGCTTCACCCTCACTTTTCACCTACACGCTTGCTAGGCAGCCACTTGCCGCACGTGGCTAGCGGTAGGTAAATTAGCTTATATAAGGCTATCACCTGCTGCTCATTAAGCTGCACCTTTCTTTCTCTACAACCCATTCCCTTCTTCCTACACTAGGCAAGCTCGCCGATCAACATCACTTTATCCTAGGGACAAATCTCTCCAATCGAAAAGGTACTCGGTTTTCCCAGCTTAAGCTAAGATGTTGTGCATCACTAACACGAGTCAGAATACCAACCAAGCTCCAGCTTCTATCTCCGTGACCGCAACTTCCGGGATGGACAATGACGAGAATCTTGCAGATCTGGGGGAAGAATCCCGGAAGCTGGTTCATGATGCTCTGGCAGCAGCTGGAATCTCCCGTTCTCACGGGTTGTTCCTGTTCGGCTTGTGCGCGACTCATCATCCTATTGGTATTCTTGTCGCAGACCGGGAAGAACACCGTGTTATATTTGCCACAAACAACGGATGTTACTATGTATACCCTATCCGTAAAGGGAAGTCGACTTATTGAGTATCGTGAGACCAAAATTAACAAAGTAAACAGGAACAGCGGAGTACCGGGTTCAAGGAGCCAACAAGACGAACCATAAGATTGACTTATCGAATGGCTCAAGCCGGAACAACCACAGATTCCGCTTCTGGGTAGCCCCAAGGCCTAAGCGTACCAAGTACACAGCCCTCCCTGAATACCACGAAGATCAAGCGCAGCACAATGGTCGAATTTTGGAAGACTTTCTTACAGCCATCAGAGCCTCACGAGAGGACAAGAAGGATGAAGACACCGACGTTGAGAACGCCGAAGATGAAGAGGGCGAGGTCGAAGATTAAGGAGAAGCTTGACGAGCTTCCACAACCTTTCCCGTTCACTTCCATACTCTCTCGGATTCCTCTATCATACCATCCAACGAGCCCCCGGCTAACCTTGCTTCAATTTCCCTCGATCAATCAAACTCCCCCAACTCCCAAAAGCTTTCACTTGATGCACAAGTTCCTTCAGAATTTCTCATAACCCAAGCTTTCGACTCAAATGCATTCCAATTCCCAAATTTCGGCAAGTCAGACTTCCTCAGACTCCCATATCCTCAGCACCCACTGGTCGGATCTTTACTATTCGGCAGTATCGGCGATTCCTCATCCTTCTCTGCTTTTGATCTGCCTTTCATTTTTCTTTCAATAATTAGTCATAACTCAAAATGATCCACATATCCTTCTCTGAATGGGTCCCCCGAAATAACGCTGTTTTTGAAAGTTGATATAGGTCTAGAATGGTTCTCTGGCGCTTTCGAAGGCACTCTCACGAACTTTCAAAACTTTGGGCACCGTGAAAACTCCGTTGTGACTATATTCGCGCCACCACTATGAGTGATCAACTGATCGAATACCTGGCTGTGCCATGACCAGCGTAGGCGTGGGGTAGCCAAAAGTTACACCATAGCAGCGCTGAAGTCGTGTGTGCAGAGGTATGCAACTTTCTATTTCTTCTTCGAGCAACATTCTCCTCGCACACCGCTAGTCAAAGTTCCTTGGACCTTACTTTGCGGTCTAGGGAACGATCACGTGGCTAGCGCCTTCGGCCAACGTCTCACTTTATGTATTTACCAACCTCCAGATCTTTCCTTCCTCTGCTACCTCCTCCTTCCGTCTTCAATCTCAGTAGAGAGCCCGATGAAACCAACCAAGTTGTCCGATTGAAGTATTTGGCGTCGCTGTCTGCCATGTGGCTCTCATTCATCCCCGGCATCGAGGTTAACTCGACCAAGATCCATGGCAGGGTGCAGATCCTCTGGAGAGACCCAGCGGGATGCACTATTCTTGACACGGAGCTTCGTTCTGTGTCTGGCCTGGCGGCTAGTGGCACGCCGACCATGCCTCTCACAGTACTGATATTGCCCACTAACTTCATTTCATAGATGGAACGGCAGTCCAGCAGGGAGAATCTTCCCACAAAAAACACTTCACACTCGCCTTACCCGGGGCGGAACTCGGCTTGAACAAGATTCAGGGCTCCTTGCAGGTCACTTGGAAGAACAAAGCTGAAGTCAAGATCCTGGATACAGAGCTCTTTCCAGCGGCAGATAAAGTAGCTAATGGTATGACAACCGTCTATCTCAAATTGCCAATGCGTCGCACTAACATTATTTCGCAGTGGAAACGTCGACTCTGCAGCAAGGCCCGTGCCACACTCAACGTCCCACTATCACCATTCCAGGACTAAAAGTCGACATAGCCAACATCCAAGGCACCATACAGATTATATGGAAGGATGTGGCCAGTAACAAGATACTGGCCACGGAGCTCTCCGCTGTTGATAGCGTAGCAGATAGCGGTATGTACATACATCGCCTCGTGAATTCTTGTTGAGAGGTTGCCATCACTAATCTCGCAAATATAGCACTAGTTTCTCAATGGGACTCTTCCAGCGTACAACAATCCATCATCGCTCCAGATGAGCCTTCCGAACTGGCCACGGCCAATCCCAAGCCGACCGTCTAAAAAGGACCAACTCCGAGGAAGCAGGATGTAACTACATCACCTGGAAGCGAAGACTTGAGGTCCGCGTCTAAGAAGGTGTCGTCAGGGAAGCAGAAGCAGGCAGCAGACACAGCGTGTCACCCCAATGTGTTGAGATCTTGTACTCATTTATCTCGCAGGCACACCATCAGTCCCCCAAGCAGATTCTTCCAGCATTCAAAATTCCGTCATCGCGTCCGATGAGCGTTCGATGCCGGCCACGGCTACTCCCAAGCCGGCTGCCAGAACTGAACCAAATCAAGTTACGTCTAGACACGAGATCTTGGAGTTGAGATCGACAAGACCCATCAAAGTCGTCCCCTCCTTGCAGGATAGACTCACAGCTCTTCACTCGGGATACGCGGCATCCCAACTCTCAATCCCCGACAGCAGCTCTATAGTCATCCCTTCCACTATTCGTACTGAAACAGGCCCCAGTTGTGCTCTCAGCCGCGAAAGCGCGAGCAGAATCAATGACCAGGGGCTCTTTTTCTTTGCGTGTAAGGGACCTGGACGTCATAGCTGGCGATACTCTCGAGGCTTCACTTACACAGATGTCGAGAATGCGAATATAGTAGTGTGCCATGTCGAAAACATCGTGAATGCTATCCCAGCTGCGAACCTCTGTAAGTGAAATCCCCAAGAATTATCGGATATTAAAATTAACTCAGACGTAGCGAAGTGGATTCCGTCCCTGATGAGCCTGGTAGCTATATAGTGACGTTCCATCATGCCCATCCGAGTGGATACGAGCTGAGATTCCGTATCTGTGTGCTCCCGAAGCCAGAATGGTGCAGTGACGAAGAGGCAGCTCACGATCATGAAAATTTGCAACACTTTCTGGATGACGTTACAGGAGTCTTACGAAAAGATTGAAGGTCTAACTCAAGTACATCTCCGGGATGTCTGTGGATCGTATCAATCCCATGCCTAGTATCGACTCTACTTCTCTTCAGAATCACTCCCATGGATCTGAAGTGGCTAATTGCATTCTTCATTCTCCCGGTTATCTTCCTAGAGAGTCGTCATATTAGCATTGCTAGGCTGGTCTCTTTGTATCTCCTGAGTGGCTCTCGAATGCAATCAGAACCTGTCTTTCCAATTGGTCTCCTATATTTGAGTGTGATTGAATATTTCTTCTTTTGTAAGGTGACGGAATGACTCGATGACAGTACCTGGACTCAAGTAAAGCCTGTGCACTTTTGCTTGCCACTGGCTTGAGGTGCTCCGGCGCATCATAAGGAATCAGAAACAATGCACAATCCTAGCAAGCGTAAATCGAAGCAGATCCAGAAGCTTCTAATCTACCTACCTTGCCGCCGCCTAAGGTAGATCCGCATAACATATGTGATCTAGAAGAGATGCAAAGAAAGAGTGCATAGATTCATGTCCTAGTCATGTGTTGGCTGCGGCCGCATCTTAGAAGGACCTCATGCCCTCTCATCCAGAGCTGACGAAAACCCTCATCATAGTGCTCTTACCAGCAAAGCATAATACATTCATCAGACTTGAGCAGATGTATCAACGAGTTTCAGAGTGTGAAAAATTGGTCACAAAGGCCAAATAGGAATTTTCCAAATTGTCCCGTTTTTCATCCACAGCTCTTCGGCGAGTTGAAATATAATCAACTCACGCTAGATACTAACAAGACTTTCAAATCGAATCATAATGCATCAATACCCTCAAGAAGCCTACCGTGGCTATTCATTGCTGAAAAGCAGTCTGATCGACGGCGCTTCTCTCCACACGTGGTTAGACAGCTATGCAGTCGGAGATGAAGCTGCAAAGCTTGGAAGTTCGACAGGGTGAATGATTGGAGAGGTTCATTGTATCAAGACGGTCATCGGAGACATGGCGTCAGATTATGGCGCTGACCATATCAAAGCCTTTGGCATCGTCGGCGAAGGCCCTGACAGGTCTCTGCGATCTCCGGTGATTTAAGTTCAGCTGTTCAGAGTACTTTTAAATGGACATGTACCCATAAGAGCGTACCACTGAAAGGGCCTTTCTTTGTCAAGACGATTGGTTCGGGTCTGCGACGCCCATCGTAGATCTATTTCGAGATATTTATATCATGCCCAGGTATGGTGATCATGGGACCAAAGAAGACTGCATCAGGACCAGAGCAGTACCCAAGCCGTGAGGCACCCGTTTGCTCGGGCTATGACCTGACTCAAGAGTTCTACAGAGTTAGCGGCCAGAAGATGTTGCTCTAGCTCTATGAAGCTGTCCATGTCAAAGCACTCGGGGTCATTAGGGAAAACTCCTCGGGATTTTATATAGTTTCGGACCTATGGCTTTGGATGTTATATTGGATAATGAGGTAGCCACTACCAGAGGAATTCCAATCGCAAATTCGTCTTCGTGGTGGATAGTTGGAACTATCGTTCTTGGCCTTCGTTCCCCCCGCAAGCAATCTTCATCCAGTTCATCTCACTTCTACCTTTACTCAACCACAAACTCCTTCTGAAGGTGCGGAACTTATCTCGCAACTCCGACCTAACCTGGATTCAGCTAACTTCATCTCTACTCACGACTTCTTTCAAGCCAATGACTTTGCACTCCTCAGCTCAGAGTAGACAGACGACTATCCTCTTGAAGTCCAGCTAGGACATCTTCCTAGGCATTCTCCAACAAACTCTCTTCTAAGACCTCACTTCCGTTAGGTTTCTCGACTTCTCGCAAACACGAGCCCCAATTCGGAGTTCTAGCTAGCGAACGCAAATAGCTAAATAGCTTTTCACCTTCTGTTCATATTCAGCACTTCGTCTCCGCGGCTCTGCACGGTCTCTCGCGAACATTGAACTCGCACGGTCTGGTCAGATTCATGCATCGCGCGACTTAATCCTTACTATCTCTAACACAAGTAACGATTATGGAGCGCCGCGTCACCTTGCCAGGACTGGATTTATATATCCGTCAGCTTCAGGGCAAACTGGCCATCTCCTTGACATCGAGATTGTTTCCAAGCTCCTCATTGGAGCTGCATGGCACTACTCAAAGCGGCGATGTTTACTATCACTACGTCCCCCCGCCCAGCGAGTTGGTTTCCTCAATCACGGAACCCATCGTGATGCCTGGGCTGAGCATAGACGTCTTGAAGCAGGGTAGAGATTTGAATCTCTGCTTCGTGGGGCTCGAGGGCGTGAGAGTCGTCTTCGAACTCCCTGGCTGTGACGGGCAGGCCAAGCCAGACGCTTCGATAGAACCACCATCCAGCAGTCAGATAGCCCCCGAGACTTCGCTCGCCCCGTCGAAAGGATCCTCTGCATCTTCTAGTATGCAATTTCCTGCGAATGGGGATAGCAACAAGCAAATGCACACACCAGCATCACAAGAGGACTCAGTCAAGCTGTGTTCGACAGCACTACTATCCGGCCGCCAGGGTCCCGAGACTTTGCTCACCCAGTCAACAACAGCGCTAGAATCTCGCCCAATTCAAGCACACGCAATCCCAGATAAGAACAGCAGCCAGCAGCCAAACAAGCCATCTCAGGTCTCCTCGGCGGCGAGTACTCCGTTTCTCAATACTCCAGAACCTGCCACTTCAGCCAAGTCTTCGCAAATATGCTCCCCTTCGTTGGTAGGTCTCGACGCCGGGCATCCAGTTCCCAGACCAGTCCCCAGACCAACTACCGCAGTTGCTATTGCCATGAAGGCTACCTCACTCAGTCCCACCTCGGTTACGTCAACATTCACTAAGGCGGCATCGTCCCGGCCACAAGTGCCAGCAATTACGGGGAAAAGGCCATCCGACGCTCCAGCATCAGCACGATTGGAAAAGAAAATCAAGCTTGAAGGATATACGGTGTCTAACGTGACAGCGCCCGATCAGCGTTACGGTATGCTGGGATATCTCAAAGATAACCCCGTCATCAAAGCCGAAGAATCAGCCACCACAGCAGCCGGATCTACTAATTCTGGGTTGAAGACATCTACTGTCACTCAAACCCAGTCCGTGGGAACTGACACAGTGTCCGGAGATAGAGTGAATCGAGGTCTTCAAGCACCACCTGATATGGCTGGCACAGTCAGCGTCGCAATCCCCAAGGCCTCGCCAGATTTAACGATACAGCTTGAGCTCCTGGAAAAGAAAGTTGGGAATACGATGAAGATGTTGAAAGACTTGAAGGGACCCGGTTGTTTTGGCGAAGAATATCTCACGACGCGGCGTCGTTCTTGGAGCAGTTTTCTAATGGCATTCCGAGAAGTAGAAAGCCTAAAGGCCAAGCAAGCCGAGTCTAAGAAGGCGCAAAATCTACTGAGCATTCAAATTGCTGGCAAGGCTACGGAAGTGGTGGCCGAGGAGAAAACACAGTCTCGAGGAGAAATGGATGACATATATGTCTATGGCTATAAGACTATCCCTATATTAGGCATCAGAACATACGGGAAGCTTCACATTGACCTGAAAGCTCGGTTGCTGCACTGGAAATACATCAACGAATCCCGCTCTGAGCGTGTCGATCTCTTCCCAAGCAGTAAGTGCTCTTATGCGTGCTTGCAATTACACAAGCATGGATTCTGACATAATGATAGCGAAAGTGTCTTTGACCCGCACCAGTCCTGGAATCCTACTGCTGGAACTCCGCACTTGTCGGATGGGAAAAGGAACTTACTTTTCCATCAATGTCTTTGACGACCACAAGGTGCATGGCGTGACTCGCAAGAGCGGCAACCCGGATTACAGGATGTCACATACGGAGAACAACAGGTGGGTCTATCCTGGCGTGGAGGAAATCATCAAATCCTGCCGGCCACTCAGCGCGGCGAAGAGCAAGATTGCCATTTCCAGCGCGGCGACAGGAGTCAAGCCATCATAGCATCTCAATGACTGCGAAGAGGTGGCCTCTGAGGAGGCTTACCTAGAACGCACTCTCTCATATATTTAGCACCTCGGCTGAGATATTCTAGGGCACACCAGGTGCCTGAAGGGATGCTGCTCGGGAAGGACATTTGGACTTTATAATGGACTGGCGTTCGGAGTATTCGGTTGGAGAGAAGCTGACAGAGGAATGTGACTTCAAGAGAACTCCAATGGGGGTTATCTCGAAGTGCCTGGCTTCCTTTCTATCCCGGCTACTAGGTACAGCCCTACTATTTTTTGGTTAGATAACATGGTCTTCTTAGATTGTCTGCGCGAGATTAAAAAAGTTGCGCGTGTTACGATTACCAGGTTCAGACGGAAGCCGGATGTTATGACAAACGCGACGAAGCAACGGAGCACTCCCAGAGACAGATATCAAAAGGAAGCAGAGACCTGAAGCTGCAAATTCAAGGCTCATGGAGTTCCTGCTTAGAAGCTGTGGCTTTGGGCCGTCTGAACAGACCATCGAAGGTCTCACTTCTCAAACGCTATAGATCGCGTCTGTTTGCTTACCTCCCTCCACACATCGATGACTCCTTGAAGACTCCCAGAGGGCCAAGTAAATAGCAGACCTGATTAGGCAGCAATCACGTGCCCTCCCGACGGACGTCTTGTTTACTTCACTTCTCTCCCGCGCCTTCCGATCTTCACCTCTCCACCTCTCCACACTCGCTTCTCTCTAATATAAAATCCGCTCGCTGCCCACTTACCGACAGCACTAACCATCATCTTCGTATCCTTCAGGGCGTCCACTCTTCAGTCCGCAGCAAAGGACGGAGGTGAGCTGAGCGCTCTGTCAACAAGCAGCCAGTCCGACTGCCGCATCAAAACAAAACAAGACTCGAAGCAGCTCCACTCACGTCTAGGTGCTTACTCGCTGGAACAAGCCACATCGTCCAAGTCCTCTTGAGTTCTTAAGAAAACGAAAAGATCGCAAGCTCAGCACAGCGCAACTAACCTCGCGCTCATTCGGTCGACTCAACACCAGAACATCAACAACCCACCGCGCCTCGAAGAGCTCTATTCTACCACACACCCTTCAAATCCTTCCGTCACTTACGACTATCGTCAACATGTCCGACCTCAGCCCCATCTCCTCCCCCAAGAAACGCGCCATGTCCGCGCCCGACCTCGACTTCACCCACCTCGCCTTCACCGAGTCCCGCGTCCTCGCCACCGACGGCACCCGCTCCTTTTCCGACGCCCACACGCGCGTCCCCACCTCCTCCACCACCGACAACAGCGCCGAGTACCATGACGCCGAAGAAGCGCGCGACGAGCCCTCGCCCCTCAAGCAGAAGCAGCAACTCTTCGCCGATGGCCTCGACGACGACTGGCGCGTTGCCTTCGCGTCCAAGCCGCCAAAGCTGCCGGACGCCATGGGCATGGGTTTGTATCACCACGCCCCCCCTCCGACGTGCGCGTAACGTGTATAAGTTTGGGAAAAGCTGACATTCGGTGTTTTACAGCGGAGCGCGCCGCAGGCGGTTGGATCGACGTGCATACGATCCGCAAGCTGCTCCCAGGCCCGGCGCGCGGAGCGGTGGCGCGCGCGAAGCTGTACATGGTCCGCAACGGCTCGGATCGTCTGGAGAAGCTGGAGGTCTTCACGGATCGCGATCACTTGTATGTGTCGGCGCCGGCGGGGGGGAGGGGACGGGACTTTTGGCTGTTTAGTCTGAAGCGGGATGGGAAAGGTATGTTTTGCAGCTTGCGAGTCCTTTGTTTCCTTTCTCAACGCCCATTCTCGAGTACCGCCTGCGTTTGCGTTTGCGTTTGCGTTTGCGGTTGAAGTAGCAGCTGGACCGTTGGGAGTCACAGTGGTGCGGTGGAGCGCGTGGCGGGAGGAAGAGCAGATGGTTTCTGTTTCGTTTGGAAGGACAGTGGAGCTGACAACACTGTGCTTACGATCTAGTCCGCGTCTGGTACCGCGAGCTCCACGGCATGGTCACCATCATCCTCTCCTCGCCGGACGGGAAGGGGTGCTGCGACTTCCGCGCGCCCAAGGAACTCCAGCCTTATATGTTTGCGCCCTTCTTGAGGATTCTCGCCGACCGGATCCATGCACTGTCGGATATTGTCCTGGATGATTCTGAGTGAGTGCCCATCTCTATATCTCTGGGAAGGAAGGTTGGCGCAATGCTTGACTTTGTTTCGATGGAGTTGGTTTTGGAGGCGGCTGAATGCGGAAGGCCATTACTTCATTGGAAATGGGTTGGATGCTGAATATTGGCGTGGGATCGGATGCGGAAGACCGTTCCTTGATTGGAGTTGGGTTGAATGCTGAATATTGGCGTGGGATCGGCTACGGGATACCATTCCTGATAGGGGTTGGAATTGCTTTGGCATTGTCTTCTGGCATGATGGCAAGGCTTCTGGGTACAGCGGCAGTACTCTCATATTTTCAAAATGGGCCAGGCGGATCCAGGAATAACGTCCACGGATGGATGAGGCATGCATTGACTAGCCTGGATAAAACCATCAAAAAAATCAACCGATTAGTATTTTTTATCAATGAGCTATTGTGGAATTTGGCTGTGACGTGCTAGAACGCGAACTGATACCACGTCGACGGAGATAAGGAAGTGCTCAAGACAAGCTATCATTTCGGAGATATTGAATGCTACCCACAGCGCTGCAATGGAAGGCTGCTCACACGCGTCTACCACGACTTGTAGGCCCTCGACATAGTCCAGGAAACAAAAAGAAACATTACAGAGCAATGCCATCACACATTTAAGGACCGAAAGCAAAAAGGATGGCGAAGTTAGGGCCTTGATCGTTTAGAACAGATAACAAAAAGAAAAGAAAGAAAGTACGAAACCTCATACCTCCCACCTAGTTACCAACAAACCAACAAGTGCGCTCAAAGCACCCATCCCAACCCCCTCCTCGCCTCACCACACCCGCCTAACTAACTAACTAACTAACTACTTAGCATTCTTTCCATTTTACATAAGCACCAACACCACCACCACCACCAACATCAACACACACAGTCCACAGATCTCCTACCCTCTTATAAACCAAATCCACGGCCTCGTCCCCGCAGCAAGCCACCAAACGACCGCCGATCCACACCACCGATCCTGACTTCCTCGCTCGTGTCGATCCGCGAGCGCGCCCCCCCCCCTTTCCTAGCTCCGCTAGCGCCGATCTCACTGCATGTACCTGGCCCCGTCACACCGTGCATCGGTACGGTCACAACGGAGAATGCGCTGCGCCGCGTGCGGTGTGCTTGTGCCTTCTAGCGCAGCGGCTGGGGCTCGGAGAAAAGAGTCCGGAGGCCCGCGGGACGCGAGGGTGGGGTGGGGTTGATTCGGAAAAGCTGGGGGTCAGGCTACGGAGGGAAAAAAGGGGGGAAGCGTGCGGGTGAGGGACGGGGGAGGGCGGGATTGGGGGGGTTCTACTATTGTCAATATTGAAGGTTGACGATGAATGTAGCGGGAGTGGGAGGAGGAGTCGAGGGTGAGGTCGGAGATCGACATTGGAAGTTGTGGCTGGTGCCTGGCTGGGCAACTTTTGGCGGCAAGGCTGTGTGTGTGACTGGCGATTGACGGAGGGGACGTTTCTGGGAAAATTTGGGAAATCGCCGAGGCGGATGGACGGAGCCCAGCCTCCACTATTACAATAGCAACCCAACGCACGAATTTTAGGTAGAGGAGAAGTTTCTGAGGTCATTCGCGTTACAAAGCTTGGAGTCTGGAAGCCTAACGCCGTATCGTGCTCCGCAATTGCCGATTTAGTGTCAGCAGTTAAACACAGAGGGCGTGCATGTACGCGTCACGCCTAGCTAGTGACAAGATAATGGTTGATGCAGATAAGGTCTTGGCTGCTTGGAGCTGTCCTGGCATATTCGCCACCCAAAGCTGCATCGAGATATTCGCCACCTCGACCTGCAGCATAGCGGAGGGTGCGTTTCGTACAGTACCAGCTTCACGAACAAGATCTTGACAGGCGGGTAGGGGTTAGAGCAAGATCTCGAGAAGCCGCCGCAGGGATGTGTGCAACGCAAAAACAAGGTTTCCTTTATTGAAGAGGCCTGCGGCCTTTGGGTTCCGCAATAGCCGGGCCTTAAGGCCCGCCACCACTGGGGATAGACGCGCGATCGACAGGGGCCGACATGAGCTTCGTGAGTCGAGATAGAGTGTCCTTAGTTTCGAAGTCCTCGAGTAGACCTTAATAGCTAAATACACTAGAAGAGATGTGGAGCACATCGACGCTTGCCTGAATGAGTTGGCGAGGCCATTGAGTGATGCAGGACGCGCTGGTACCGCATGCGGATGGAGGTAGGTCTTCCCGGGTTCTCAATCCACTGTTATGCCCGAGTAACTCAATACATCTGAAATGGTGTGCCTGCCGCGTATTCTAGGCTCAAGTTAGCCTTGAGAGCCATGGACGGATTGGCGAGGGATATCTGCGGCTTTGGGAAGAGAACTGTTCTTTCAATGCCGGGCCCCTGAGTATAGAGAAGGAGCACAATAAACCTGAAACGAGATCGACGCATTGTACTACATGCTCGATCGGTTGCCGCAGCACCTACATGCTCGATCGGTTGCCGCAGCACCTACATGACTTGGCGGACGTTGTGGTCTGAGGCTCGTACGTTTGGATAGGAGAGATGGAAGTGGGGTAACTTGATTGGCGAGGAATGAAGGAGAGTTGGGCTGGGCTGTGGGAATAAGGTCAAGGGAGATGTTTGACGACACAGTTTAGTGTGTCCTTTGTAGAGTGCTCTTTTCAAATGGACTTTGACTTGTTAGTCACGATGGCATAAGATGGAAGAGTAAATAGAAATGTTTGATAAGAATAATATTCGTAGATTCGTAAGGGTATCAAAATGCGCAAGATTACTAGTGGTTTATCTCATAAACGGTCCAGCTGATGATGAGTTTGCTCAGCAAACGACAGCGCCCCTGGCCTGCAATCCTTCGCCTGCCAGTAGATCAACGCCTCCAACGCCTCCAACACCACGCGGCTCCAGCGCAGCCAGAGTGCGCGAGAGACCAAACGCCATAGGAGACGATCCTGAACTTTTGGTTTGGAGCAGGTTTGCACTCCGCATCTAGGCTGCAATCCTGCTCGAGGAATGGAGCCGACCCATGATCTATGATTATCCAATTGGCATTGAATACGTGACCTGTTTCCAGGTGGTACGAGGGGTATATACTGTCCAATACCGTCCGTTGACGGTGGACCAGCAGTCGGGAATGGCAATCTAAGCATGCGTGATAGCGATGCCATTGAAATGTGAAGTCGGTTCAACCGTCGGGTCGTTAACCGCTAATACGAAGATCGACGTCGCTCGAGTTCGGCTCATCCGGTGGCGTCTGAGTAAAGTCGGATGATGGTAGAGCAGGATTTCTTATGGACACAGTCCGCAAGGCTTCCGAGAGTCATTTAGACAGAGCCGTAGCCCACAATGCTCGCGCAGCGGTTGCAATAGTACAGGTTGGTGCCGAAGGAGACCATGCCGGCGGTTTGTGGAGAGGTAGCCCAATTACTGCTTCGATGGCATCGTGAGCAGCGGAAGGTTTGCAGGTCGCTAGGTGGTGGTGAGCCCGAGGTGGAGGAAGACGAGCTGGACGAGCTGGTCTGGGGCTGCATTGGGTGGGATCTGGGACGGTGGGCAACGGAAGATTGGAGTTGCATGAGTTTGGAAGCGTCCATTGCCGGAGGGGAAGGTGGCGGAGGTGATGGACGAAGAGCTAGGAGTGGGTTCGTTGGGTCTGAGGGCGTGTGGGAGCCGAAGAGCGAGAAGGAGGTAGTCTGTTGATGGTGGGCATGTGTCGTGGTGGTGTACAGCATCGACCGTGGATTGTTTATGCACGGATTGGGCGTCGTGAAACTCTGTGGTGTGTAGAGGAGGCATCTGAGATTCTGGGGGGAAGGGGGAATATATCATCCTTGGGCACGGGCTGGACGGCAGTGCTAAACGGATTCATCGGGCGATGTGAACGATCATGGGAGCAGGAGACGTGGACCGGCGGGCTTAACGGTGGCCAGGGGTGCGATTGGGCTGGGGTTCCGCGCGTTTCGTGTTGCCAGGCGGTGCATCCCAGGTGCCAAGGTGCCGTCCCACGGTGGTGCTCGAGCTGTAAGCGCAGAGGAGTGTGGGAGTCAGCGACGGGTGGGCCGTGGTGGTGAGGTTCGATCGCATGGCTGAAATCGATCCAGACCGCGCAGTCGACGCCACACTCAAACATGCCCCGGCGCGCGTCCGTCCGCGTCATGTCCGCGCCGATCGACGAGCGGCATCCCGGCGTCTGGCCTGTGGTTCGCAGCCGTTGTGCTCCTTGGCAGCCTGTGGAGCGGCAGCCGTGCCGCGTTTCTCTCCCACCCTCCCATCATGGCCTCGTCAGGAACCCATCGTAGACTCAAGCACTCCAAGCATTACAACTCTTCAATCAGCATCTGTGGCATCTAATTCTAGGCGAGATTCCCCATTTCTCACACCGAGTCATCGCCGCCGCATCCTGTGTAAAAATGCCTCAGCATCCGCTCTTGTCCTGCGCCGGCTAACGCGGAGCAGGTCGTCAGCCATCCTGGCCTCACGACCCACGATACTGCCTCCGTTTCTCTCGTGCACCGCCGGGAATTGTGCCTCGTGGACGGACTTGGCCGGCGTCCGTTAATACATCACCGAGTGCTGGTCCGTTGACCTCGTCCCAAACCGCTGGGTAGCATCGTTCCATCGCCCAGGTCTGGACTCCGTTGTTTCGTCGTGTCAACCTGGATCCCAACCTCCTACTCGCTGCCCGCCTCGGCGTGGACCCTTCCTTCGTTCTCACGAGGCGTTTCAACTTTTATCACATCAAGTAAGGCCTCCTCTGCCATGCCATCAGAGAACACCTTCGTCTTTACCTGCACTTAGCTGTCGGCACCTACCAAATCACAACACACCATCACGTCTGCACGGCGCGTTGCTCCCAATATCGAACGATACTGACACCCGGGGAATCACGAGTGCTATGCAGTGCTGCACTAGAGATCTCATCCCATTTCGTCCCCCGATAAGGCAGTTTACTCCTTTAGCTCTGCCTACCGATAAGGTTGAGTGGACGAAGTGCAGCTCCCATGAGACTAGGATGAAGGCGCCAATGGCGTTTCAATACTACAGCATCTTTCTGAACCCCGGTGACCCGAGGACCCCAAGGTCTAGGTTTCCCAGCATCCTTCCTTGCTCAAGGAGTGCAGAGGGCGGCCTCGCTCCAGCCATAAGCTCGACTATTGGAGCTCTATGCAACCTGTACGCCAGCGAATTGACCAAGCAAAGATCACGCGCAGCATTCTTACGCCTTCCAGCCCTTTATTGAGCATAAGACCTCACGGCTTGACTATTTTTTTAATGTTACAGTACCATCTAGCTGGACATCGATGCATACAGTTGCGCGGACCGAAGAGGCGGATCTAGAAACTTGGACACACAGCTCGCACAACAGCTCTGTCTTCTACCTATTTTGATCGTGGACCCACCCGGAGGAGTTACACGTGCGACTGTAAATCCTTCCTTTAATCCGGCCTGGCACGGATGATCAGACAACAATAATGTCGTCGCGCAATGCTCATATTGCACGATACCTGTTCCCACCTCGAAGTAAGAATGGCAGGGGATATTTAGGCGGTCTGGATTCATGCCCAGCCTTCACGCACACCTTCTGCCAGAGGACGCGGATGCAGCCGTGTTCCAGGTCTCACTTCCTATGTAGCATCACTGAGGACTATCACGTGCCTTATTCATACGCATGTCTCCATGTTTTTATGCTCTTGAAGAATCGGCCGCAGTGCATGGTTCACCTACCCATACACAGCCACACCGCCTCATTGTAAAACTTTCGAAGGCCAGGTCCGTCTATACTTAGGTAATCCTGGACTCATATGAAAGAAACCTGCAGGGCATCAACCCGCCAAGCCACCGCGCAGAGAACCAACGATCTCCCAGACTCCACCAACAATACTCGACTGCAGCATGCATGCTTCAAAGCATCAAAACAAGTTCCTCGAATCCATTTACGTACACGTCACACTGACCGCGCATCCAAGGACGACGTGTCGTTCCTCGGCCTACAAACCCGCACCTACCACCGCCGCCGGAGCTGCCTCCGACACCCCGGCAGCTTCGGCCAGCCCCTGTTGATCTCACTGGTTCATGGCAACGACTGGTCGCCCGGATTGCGTTTAAACTCACTCCACCTTACGATCTTTTAAAGACATATGATAGTGGGGTAGGACGGAGCTGCCCTGTGCCGACAACGTTGGTCTGGAGAGATCTATCGATTTGACGTGGTCGCCGTATGAGTCGTGGAGAGGTAAGCGAGGTATGCATCGCGGCTATTGAGTTCCCATCCGGTTTCCATTTATGGAGTGGCGAGGGTGGAGTGAGATCTCAATTAGCTGGCAGGTGGGAACACATACGATCACTCATTATTGAAGGTCATTTCAGCCTGCGGAAATAAGACAAACGCCTGGATCCTTCCCTTAATCGAAGGTCCCTGAATACCAGGGTCCATGTCTTCCCCATCAACAAGAGTAGCGAAATACTCTTCTGTAAAACACTAATCCCCACCCGTAGCGCTCACTAGCATCTCTACGCGGGTGCCGGCCCGGCGTAGCCGGGTAGGATGTGGCTGATCAGCCTACTAAACTCCACCCTCAACCACGGTTCATCGAACCTTAATTACAACCGCAAGATCCACGGAAAAGCATTTTCTATCAACATAGATCAGTAATACTGCTCACTCGGTCAACACCGAGACATACTGCCGGATCCCTGTTCTCCATTGGGAACATAGATAACTTTGGTGCTAGATTATCCCAATCTGTGCCTCAACCACGGCTCATACAAACTTCCCTCAACAATAGCAGCATGTCACGGCAACAGTCCCGATGAAATGCATTAATGAAGCACTGCCTCGTAAGCAAAATGTGCTCATCTAGTCACCACCATAGTCACCTAGCGGCAACCACAGCGGACAATTATCGGATTCCCGATTAGAGAATTCCGGACTATTCCCTAAGCCTTACGCATTCCAACGGAGCCCGCTCCGCATCAATAGCTACGATCAGCCCTACCCACCGAGAAGTAGTCTAAACCCACATTAGCCGGTCCTTCCGAGAGCCAGCATAACCTACTCCCGCCCTGGCGAGATCTCAACCACGAAACGTACATCCCAACCACGAAACGTACATCCACCGGTTCCTACTAGCGCTTGAACATGTCTACTCAGGTACTCAACCTATGCCACCGGCTCTCACTACTGCATGAACATACCCACTTAGGTACTCAACCTCAAGATCCGAGCGGAGGTTTGCTCCGCCCGTCGGATGGGAGGGTGGGGAGCTCGTAGAAGCTTGGCGGGGGATAACGGCGCAAATTTGAATTCGGCACAGGCATAGTAAACACAGCCCGCGTTCATCTTCTTCCTTTTCTCTGCGTCCTTCTTCACGCATCTCACGTGCCAATTCACCTCCTAAAAAAGTAAGTCTTGGCATCAGAAAACTATGCAGCACTGAGAAGAAGGGGGGCACTAACCACACCCCCTTTTGTCTAACCGCACACCCCCTTTTGTTTATTCACACACACACCCCTCTCGTCTGATCTTCTAATTAGCTGGAACGGCGCGGAGCTTCGTCCGGAGCTCTACTCTCACGTGCATCTGCACGTGTATTCTTTCTAATTCACTTAGGCGTATGTGATGCTATAGGAGAGGCTGTACATAATGCCGTACATATAGCCGTATAAGAGGCCTTACGAGCTGCTTTACAAGCCACTTTACAAGCTGTCTTACGAGCTGCTATACAAGCTATTTCACGAGCTGCCTTATAAGCTGCCTTGCGAGCTGCTGTATAAATTGCCTTATAAGCTGCTGTATAAGAGGCCGTATATATAGCTATACATAAGGTTGTACGCGCAGCTGCATACATAGCCATACGCGCAGCTGTATACATAGCCATATGCGCAGCTGTATACATAGCCATATGCGCAGCTGTATATATGCAGCCCTTCTGTTTTCTTATATTACTACCTGCCGTGCCTACATGCTGTAGGATGCTAAGGCCGTTAACATCTTAGGTTATAGAGGATCCTTTCCATCAAGCCTGGCCTACTTCCATCGCCGCTTAAGCTCGCAGAAGAGCATGAGAGGGAGCTCCGAGGAGTCGGCCCGGCCGCTCTAGCTAATTAGAAGATAAGACGAGAGAGGGGGTGTGTGGATAAACAAAAGGGGGCGTGTAGTTACACGAAGGGGTGTGTGTGTGTGGTTAGTGCGCCTCCATGTCGGGGGCTAATATTCAAGAGGTTAGGAAGCCATGCGGGTAAGCAGAAGTGCGAGTCTTGGCCGCCGGCTAAGTGAATGCCAGAACAAACCTCGCATCTCTTGCTGGAAATAGAGAAAAGTGTGAGTGTGGCTATAAGAGCAGGAGGTACGTGATCAAGCTGCTCATGATTCCCAACGTGGTTTGCTAGCAGCAAGAACTAAGTCTGTGTTGGGTTGGGTCTACAAGGCATATATTTAGTTTATTTTCAGCAAAATATCAATTCAAACCCACGGGTGGACCGACCGGCCGGCTGGCTGGCTAGTCCATTCCCATAGTCTAGGGGTTGTACTTGTTCCGCCCGTACCGTTGACACTGCTGGTGCTCGCAGCTTGGGGCCTAGATTATGGGATTCGCCGTCTTGGGTTCGAATATCGGTCGACCTTTGCTTTTTTCTTTTTTTTTTTTCTTTCGCTTCTCTATCATCTAATCCATCATCATCGTCATACGCATCGACAAGCTTTCGCTTCATAGCAGACTGCAGTGGTCTTCTTTCTAAAAGAGCTTACGCCCGAGGAGGGATAATCGCACACCCCCCTCACTCCCCTGCCGTTTCACCTTCTTCCTATCGGCTCGGAGCAGCGCGGAGCTTCCTCCAAAGATTCACCCTTACGTCTGTCTACACGTGGTGCTACATACGAGGCCGTACGCGATGCTATACATGATGCCATACGGCTATGCAGCCTCTCCGTTCTACAGTGCATTCTCTCCGTTTTCCTTCCGCCGTATATACAGTTGTACGTAAGGCTGTATAAGAGCGACGCCGTAGAATATGTATAGCTAGCTGTACGTACGTGAGACCGTACGTGATGCTGTAAGTGATGCTGTACATACATGTGTAGTGCCGTATGTATAGCTATATGCCACAGTGCCGATGTTGCTTAGGAGGATGCCGAAGCTATATATAGAGCTCCTTTCTATTATTCTAAGCTTGGCTTGCCTACAGTGCCGCCTGCCGCTTGCTTATTCACCTCTAAAAGAAGCACGAGCGGACGCTCTAACGAGTCGGCCCGGCTGCTCTAGCTAGTTAGGAGATCAGACAAGAGGGGGTGCGTGCAGTGAAAAGGGGGCGTGCGTGGAGGAATTAGGAGGTGTGCGTGGAGGAATTGGGGGTGTGCGATTATGCCTCCCCGAGAAGAAGAGAACAAGAACATTGTTTCGTATGTTCGCTTAAACATAGCTAGCAGCGACGCTAGACGTCGCTAATGGCTGGCCTGTCACCTGCTTTTAGTTCAAATGATTGCACGTATGACGGTTTGATTTTTGTTTCAATCCCTTTGGGAAGTGCGAGATTAACGTACTTTTTGAGTGTGGTGTTTGGCACAGACTGGCGCTGTGATCCTGCTGCTTGGCTCTGGAATAATATCTCGCTTGGAGGAATCGTGCTTGTGCGCGACGCTTCCTGAGTGCACGCGCTGGGAGTGCTGTAGCTGACTTACAAAAGGGGTCATAGATTATTATATAGCGTACGAGAGGGGTATATGCGACGTGCCCAATTCCAGTCTAGAGTGCCTCCATGCGTATGCAATACAACGAAACGCGGTATATGAAAGCCCGCGCCAAAACCAATTAAAAAAGCATAATCAACTGTAAAAATCGTACATTCATCAAACAAATTCAAAAGAACACGCTCACTCCCCTTACGCATGGAGGCAGCTCACTTCCTCTCCCTAAGCCCCTCCCCCTCTCCTGTTCCCAGACTTTCAACCTTCGCCCCCGTCGCCGCGCCCCCATCAAGCGGCGGAATCCTCTCCAGCGACGCCCGCCGCGCATCCTCCTGCTTCGAATCCTTCGCGGCATCCTTCTCCGCCTCGCCGTTGCCGTGAGGAGTTACCCCCGGCGTCACCGCGCCAGCCCCCAGCCCCTCCGGACTCCCCTGCCACTTCGCGACATCCCGCCTCAACGCCTCCAGCTCCTTCTGCCACCGGTTCCCAAACACATCGATGTAGTACGTCGCGCCATTGTACACGCTCCAGATGAACACCGCCGCAAGGAACCCGCCGCTCGCCCACCGGTACCAGAACCAGATGGGGCAGGGCAGCATCGTGACGCAGGCGTACGAGTACTGGATCAGCATGAACGCCGGTTCCTGGAGCGAGTCTGGGAGCGAGAGCACGAGTTTGCCGAGGAGGGTGGGCGCGTAGGATTTGCGCAACCAGGTGAAGGAGGTGGGGCGGCCGGCGCGGATTTTCTCGCGCCGTCGGACGGTGATGAGGAGGTGGTAGGAGAGCTGCCAGATGGCGTAGGGGCAGGTGGCCCAGAGGAGCATTTGCGGGAGGGTGTAGTGCTCGGGGGAGGTGGGCGGGGAGGTTTTGATGGTGTGGATGGCGGGGAAGCGGGATGCTTGGAGGGGTGGGGGGAGGAGGTGCACGAGGCAGTGGAGGGTTACGCAGGGCATGATGTGGATGAACAGGCTGGTGATGTTAGCAGGGTTCGGAGAGGGGATAGGGGTTAGATGAGAAGAAAGGCGTACCTGGTGACTTTGTCGAGAGAGTGGAAGACGAGAGAGTTCCGCCACATGGCTATGGCGACGGCGTTGTTTCCCATGGCTAGGCAATATGTACTTATGAAGAGCCGTTTTGAGGTCGGGAATATCCAGATGCTCAACAAAGCGAGGAGGTTGACGAAGTAGCAAAGATCGGCGAGGAAGTAATGGTAGCCTTTTTTATGGTAGGTGTAGTATCGGATGGGCATGAAATATAGGAGCTGCACCGTGTACCAGTAATGAAACCACTCCGGATGTGCACCGATCAGGTAACCCGAAACAAAGATGTTCATGACACCGGAGATGAAGGAGAGCTTCTCACGCATCGTAACAGCCTTGTTGTCGTTCCATCTCGTACCGAGCTTCTCAACGCTTTCCTTCATTCGCTTCTTGTATTTATCCAGCTGCTCGTCTGGCGTTGGGAGTCGCCGACGCCATTCGTCGACTACTCTATCTTTTGCGGACTGGCCTGTCGATTTCAACCGTGCTTGCTGCCGCCGCACCTTCTCAGTCTGCTGCTGGATGCTTGTTTGCAGCTTTTCGAGCCGTTGTGGTAGAGCGAGGTTCTCGAGGAAGTCGAACATAGTGAGTCGCTCCACGGGAGGGAAAAACGAGCCGTCGTCTGAGGCGTCATCGCGGTAGATGCTGCTATTCGAGAACGATGGATTACGGGAAAGCCCTGGGATAGTAGTCGTAGAGTATGGGCTTTGAGGCGACTTAGTGCCTGAATCTTCGCCCAGGAGAGCCGTGCCCGCGTGCGTTGAGTCTCCCGGAAGGGGCGCGGCGGAGAGTGTAGATAAAGTACCTATCTCAGGTTGCGAGCGGGACTTTGGGTCGAGAGTTGGAGAGGACATGGTGGGTGCTAGGGGAGCGTCCTCGGGGACAGAGTGCAAGCTGGTAATGGAGGTGTTGCGGGAGTGAGAGTTGCGCGTGTGTGAGCGCGGCGGAGAGACTGTGGCCATGGCAGGTGGTCAGTAAGGCTGTAGCAGAGGGCAGTAGGGGGATACAGCTTCGCTGGCTTCTTTCATCCCTTTGCAAGGGAGTGGGAAACGTGGAAGCTGGGAGACGGAGCAGCGCACTCTTTTGACTACGAGCAGAGGAAGGCGGTCCTCATGACACCTGGGAGCTATCCACAGGAAGTTCTAAGCGGCAGCGGGCGTGTGATGGGGGGAGGGCTCGATAAGGCGTGAAGTGCTTGTGGGTGTTGTTGATGTTGAAGCGTGCTGGCAGAGAAAGAGTTGATTGGAGTCTGGCGAGATAATCGTCATAGGTGGACATTGGCCTAATCCACTGTATTATCGAGATGTCCTCGAATTCCGGACGTGGAAATTTGACTTCGGTGTTGGAGCCTTTGAGATAGTCGCGACAGATCGGAGGTTCAGAAGGAACATCCACTCATACTGCTTGCCAGTAATAAATTACACTTGCCTTACGGTGAATCTATGAGAGGGGCAGGCGGGTATACATCACGTGACGCGAATAACGACGCGCTTTCTGGCCCTGGGACGCGACAAGCGGCCATCGTGAATAGCCACCAACACCTCACGAGCCGCCATGATCCTTCGGAACTGACAGCGCAAACCTCGCATCCAGACCACTCGCATCTCTACGACTGGACCAGATTCGCTCTTTGAAGACGCGACAGCACCCCCATCATGGGCAAACTCGTCCGTCTTGAAGTCAAGGGTATGTCGCACCCCACCCCGAGATGAAGCCCACGCTCACAGCCTCTAGACTTCAAATCCTATCGCGGCCATCATGTCCTGCTCTTTGGCGACTCGTACTTCACCTCCATCATCGGCCCCAATGGCTCTGGCAAATCCAACTCGTAAGCACCCCACCACACGGGCGCAGACTCAAGCTAACTGTCGCATGCAGTATGGATGCCATTTCCTTCGTCCTAGGCATCAAGTCAAGTCATTTACGCTCTGCACATCTCCGCGAACTTATCTATCGCCCTCATGTTCTCGGCGCCTCCAAGATCAACGCGGACGGCACTGCCACCGAAGCTACAAACGGGGATGGCGGCGAAGCAGGGTCGCAGACAACCAGTCAGCGCAATACCCCGCAGTCCGCATGGGTCATGGCTGTCTACGAGGATGAGGCCGGCGACGAGCAGAAGTGGAAGCGGACAATCACCGCCGCCGGTCAAAGCGAGTACCGAATCAACAATCGCATCGTTACTGCCAAGGAGTACAACCAGGCTCTCGAGGAGGAAGCTATCTTGATCAAAGCCCGCAACTTCCTTGTTTTCCAGGGTGACGTCGAAGCCGTTGCCTCGCAGTCCCCCAAGGATCTTACTCTTCTGATCGAGCAGATATCAGGCAGTCTGGAGTACAAGAACGAATACGAAAAGCTGAAGAGGGAGGCGGCGGAAGCACTCGAGACTCAAAATGACAAACTCGGCCAGCGTCGTCAGGTCAATGCCGATATCAGACATTTGAGACAGGCAAAGGAAGCCGCTGAGGAGTACGAGCGCAAAGCTGCCGAGCGCGACCAGGCCGTTATCGATCACTATCTATGGCGGCTATTTCACCACGAGCGCATCATTCGGGAGTCTGGCGAGGACATCCAAAAACATCAAGATGAGCTCAAAGAGCATAGGCGCGGCGTGGAGAAGTATCACCAAAAAGTCGAGGAAGCAAAGCGAGAGCAAGCTCAGGCTACACGCGAGGCATCGAAGACCGAGAGAGCTATCAGGGGCAAAGAGCAGGAAATCGAAACGGCCCAGAGGGATATATATCCGATCAACTGGAAGATAGAAAATACCTCCAAAAAGGTACAGGACACACAGACACAGGTGTCCAAGATCAAAGCCGATCGCGATAAGCAGGCGGGAACTATCGAACACTACAAGAAGGAGATCGGCAAAGTCAAGAAGGCCCAGGAGAAGTGGGAAGCTGATTGGAAGCAACAGAACCAGCGCGAGGGCCGAGAACCGACCGAAGCAGATCGCCAGGAGTACAACAGACTGAAAAGCGAGGTCACGAAGCGGACTTCTGCAGATAAGGCACAGGTGAATGATCTCACCCGACGACTCAACACTACCGAGGACACTGTCAAGAATCTGAAGAGCAAGCTTGAAGGTCCTCAGTCTCAAGCCACAAAGCTTGAGGAAGACATTGCAGAGTTGGTTGATCGTCAGGCAGCCATCAAGGCAGAAATGAAGCAGATACAAGCGGAGATGAAGGAGCAAAAGATTGCTAGCAACAAGCTCGAAACAAGCATAACCCAGATCAACAACAGAAGCGCCCATCACCGCGATTTGTTAAGATTGGCAATGGACGAATACGGGCGGGTCGATCACAGCCGCAGAGAGTCCCAGAAAGAAAAGAATCTCCGGGAGATGGTCGCCAAGTTGAAGCAAATGCATAGTGGCGACGTACATGGCAGAATCCAAGAGCTATGCAAGCCCAAGCAAACCAAGTACCAACGAGCTATCGGTGTTGTTTTCGGAAAACATGTGGATGCTATAGTAGTCAAGAACGTCAGCATTGCGAATGATTGTATCAACTACGTGAGGGACCAGCAACATCCTGCGATAACTTTCATCCCGCTGGACACCGTACAGGTCTCGTCGGCCAATACCAATCTAAAGGGCAAGTATAAGGGTGTGCGCTTAGCGATCGATACCATCGACTACGATACCCGATTTGACCGAGCAATGCAATGGGCGTGTGGTAACTCAATCATTTGCGATACACGTGATATCGCCAAAGATATGCAATATGTCCACAAAGTCGGCGGGAAGGCCGTAGACCTAGAGGGCACCGTTTTCAGGTCAGAGACTTTGGAGGGAGGACAAGTGGATGACAAGAATGCATCCAAGAAATGGGGCGAGGACGATAATAGCGTCGCGAATATCCAAGCCAAGATAAAGAAATTGGATGAAACACTCAAGCAACTCTCCAGCCAGTTGGACCAAGAGATGGCACAACAGTTGAAAGCGAGGAACGAGAGCGCACAGTTACTGAATCATTTCAGAGAACTAGAGGACGAATCGAAGGCTCTAGATCGAAACATTCAAGATAAGAAGAAGGCCCTCAAGTTCTTCACGAACCAGCTGAACGAAAACCAGCCCAAGTATGACCAGGAGAATCGAGCTCTGGAGGAGCTGAGGAGCAATCTAAAGACGTTTCAAGACGCGATCGCCGAAGTGGAGGATGAGCTATTCGGTCCCTGGTGTCAACGGCTGGGTTACGACAACATCAGGGATTATGAAGCTCGGCAAGGCTCCCTCAATCGACAGGCAGATCAGGAGAGATTGAGGTACCGAACTCAGCTCCAGACCCTCGAAAATTACCTCTCTGCCGATACTTTGAAGCTAGGTTCTTACAACTATCGAATCAACACCCAAGAAGCCCGTATTAAGAAGGAGCAAGACGAGATTGCAAGGTCCGAAGTTGAGAAGGAAAGCATTCAAGAGAAGCTTGACGAAGCAAAAGCCGAACTGGAGCTACTCCAAGAGTCTCTCGACACTCAAAAACAGAAGTCCGCAGAAAAGGCAGAAGTTGTGGAAGAACAGCGGAAACAACTCCGCAAGCGCAACAAGGCTGTCGAAGGGATCATGAAGGAGGTCAAGGAGTTGGAAGGTGTCGTAAAGACCGAATCCAGGGCTGTGCATGGTCTGTTGCGCGAATGCAGGATCAAAGAGATAGACTTGCCCTTGGAAGAAGGGTCTAAAGATCTCAATTCTCTACCTCTGGATGATCATATTCAGGAGGACGACCCTGATGCGATGGACGTAGACGACGAAGACCAGGACCCTGATGCAACAATGCAAGTGGCGGAGGTGCCGGACTACGGCATTGAGCTAGACTATAGCGAATTGGACGAGAAGTTGCAGGAGGTACGATTATTCCCTGTCTCGCATTTACAGCCCCTTTACTAACCACCTCTACAGAACGAGTCCCCCGAATGCGGCGAAGAGCTTAAGGAAAAAATCGAAACCATGACGTCCCAACTCGAGAAAATGAACGTCGACATGAAAGCCGCCGAGCGCCTCGAAGCCTCAACCTCCACCGGCAAAACCGCCGAAAAGGACTACGAGGCTGCCAAAAGCGCTGCCATCCGCGCCAAAACCCGCTTCGAGGAGGTCCAAGAACACCGCCTCGAGCTCTTCAACAAGGCCTTGACCCACATCCAGGAGCAGATCAAAATCACCTACAAGGAACTCACAACCGACCACCTTGCGCCGGACGGCGGCCGCGCCAACATCGACATGGCCGACTCCGACGAGCCCTACCTCGCCGGCCTGACTTACAACGCCATGCCCCCGCTCAAGCGCTACCGCGAGATGAACGAGCTGTCGGGAGGCGAGAAGACGATCGCGGCGCTGGCGCTGCTGTTTGCGATTCATAGCTTCCAGCCGAGCCCGTTCTTCGTGCTGGATGAGATTGATGCGGCGCTGGATAATGTGAATATTGCGCGTGTGGCGCGGTACGTGCAGAAGCATGCCGGGCCCGGGATGCAGTTTATTGTGATTAGCTTGAAAGCGGCGCTGTTTCAGGAGAGCGAGGGGCTGGTAGGCGTAATGCGGGATCAGTCAAAGATGACGAGCAGAGTTGTCAGCTTAGATGTGAGTATTCTTGATGAGCGTGTTGTGGGGAGAGATGCTGACTTTTGTTGTAGCTGCGGAAGTATCTTCCGAACGATGTCGCGATCCGAGGGTGAGATATTAGGGGTAGGTTAGTATGAGGATATGGTGAAGGGGTGGGGTATATAGGGATGGGCGTGGGAGCGAGCGATGGCGTTTGTGAGGACAGAGTACGGTTCTTCTCTTTCTTTTCAAGGTCTAGGGACGCGTGCTTCTTCACGACTTGGCCGCCCTGTTATGAGCTCCGTAATGCGGGTGGGATGCGGTCTACGATCTCCGTAATTCGTGTAAAATGCGTCACTTCTTCTCCAGTTAACTTCAGTGTGATCCCTTTGTAAAAAGTGTACCGGACCCTCGCGATGAACTAACTATGCTGAATCAAGGGACATGCCCTGTACTTCGACCCAGATTACCAGACAGGCTCTCGTCCATACTTTCCCTCGGAAATACCCTAGTTTTAGGGTCCAATTTGGCTTAGTATATCACATGTAGAAAGAGGGTGCAAATCAGGTTCAAGACGATGCAAAATTCCCGAACACTTCAAATCGGACCATAGCCCAGGGCCTCTATCGTAAAGGGGCGGGGCCTCCTTGTGCTCGAAGTGAGAATAAAGGTCCAGTTTCGGCAGATCACGTGTATAATTGGTTCGATTTAACCTCGATTTATGATTTCTTATTGGTTGAGATTGATAAAGTCGGAGCGGAACTACTCATCTCCGAAAGTCTTTATCCTAAACTTTTTAGGCTTCCCCTACTCATTCTTCACGCCTCCCTCATGTCCTTGAACCACGCCGTCGCATCCGGATTGCGATGCAACGGCTGCCGCTATGCAGTCATCCGATCTTTTGCCTCCATTTCGGGGGTCAATCTACCACTCCGAGACCACTCGACGTCGTGCATCTCAACAGCATCTCTAGGTCAACGCAGGACCTTTAGGGCCACTCCGACACATAATTTCCCACGCAAGACCCGAAAGTCAACATCCAACGACCCTTTTAACGAGGAAGATGGGTTGGTGGAAGGAGCAAATGGACCTGCGCCCGAGGGTCAAGAGCCCGTCCCAATCGCATGGCATCTGCACGAGGCACCGAGCACCCATCAAATGCCGCCAGCGGATCTCCGCGAGGATGTTATAGAGAAGAAAGAAGTTACAGAAGAGGAGGAGCTAGCTTCGCTTTTAGAAGCGCATTCGCAGCCAGCGCAGCCAGTGGATCCCAACGTACCTTGGTATCTCCAAGTTCAAAGGCCTCGCGACGCATTCGACGAATCCCAACCCCTAGCACACCGACAGCGCATTCCTGAGCTCCCCAAAAACCCTCCTCCTATGCTTGAAGAAATCTTGCAGCGAATCTCCGTAGACCTCGGTCTCGATGACCTAAATCTTCTCGACCTCCGCCACCTCGATCCACCACCAGCTCTGGGTTCCAAGCTTATCATGATCGTTGGAACCGCGCGTAGTGAGAAGCATCTTCACGTATCTGCCGACCGATTCAGTCGCTGGTTGAGGAGCACACACAAGTTGAAGCCCCATGCTGCGGGGTTATTAGGGAGGAACGAGCTGAAGCTTAAGCTCAGGAGGAAGGCGCGTCGTATGCGCCTCTTGGCCAATGTGGGAGGACAAGAGATGGATGATAAAAACATTGACGATGGGATACGAACTGGATGGGTTTGTGTCACGGTCGGAAGAGTGCAGGCTTCGGAGGCTGAAGAACCTGAGCTACCAAGAGAAGGGTTCATTGGATTTGGGCGGAGAACAGACGGTGTCAACATTGTTGTGCAGATGTTTACTGAAGAGAAGAGACAAGAGATCGATTTGGAGGGTCTATGGGAAAGAATACTGCGACGAGCGGACAGGGATCAAGGAAGTGAACTGGAGCAAGAAGTGGAACAGAACTCACAGGAATCGTCGCCGTCACAGATTGTGGACGCACTTTCGGAGACCGATTCCAGATCGTCATTACCCAGAGTGTCAAATTCACAATCAGCTCAACAAGTTCGGCGGTTGCACACCGTTGGCATCAGCCCCCACTCCACCGCCCATGGTTTCTCGATCTTCGGGATGACTTCGATTCAGCCACCGCACGCATTTGTAAGACGACCTCAATCCACAGATGCTAGTACCAAGGTTCTAATTGAACCTACCGAAACTCAACCAGATGACCTCAAGGGGTTACAGTATCTCCTCAAAGAATTAAAAGCTATGCCCGTTCAAACCGCATACGAGGCACTCGGAGCCGGGCTTAGCGACAAGACATCTACCACATTTCTGCGCGATTTCCATGAGCTCATACCGGACTTCGGACGTGAATTATACCATTTTGAGGCCTGGATGGATATGGTCGTATGCGCTGTCCAGATCGAAGTTCCAGGGTACAATATTGCGGATAGTGATTTGCTTCTAGACGAAATTGCTCTTTCTGGTCTCACACCTTCTGAACGCATTTACAAGACGATCCTTGAATTGCGACTTCAAGATATCAGCGTCCGAAGTTCACAGAATATACCGTCCATGCCTCAACTAGAGCGTTGTATACAAATCCTCCAAGAAATGGAGGCCCTAGATTACAAAACACTCACCCCTGAACTTATGCTCTCCTTCCATAAGCACCTCCTGGTTGAGCCTTCTCAAACGTCAGATGTTGACTCAGTTTCGGATGTACAAGACAAGACACCAACGTTAGCCACGCAACTACAAGCGCAAAGAACAGAGCTCCGCAACTTCATCGCGATCCACGATCTGGAACCTATGGACGCAGACATCTACCTCGATCTCCTCCGTAGATATGGCTCCATACGGGACTGGGTTGGCTTCCATGACATCTGGCATCTCCTGGCTCGGCTGCAGATTCCCCGGTCGGCGGAACACTACATCACCGCTCTGAATCTTATCACCGAGGCAGCGGATCGAGATATGGCGCAAGAGGCGTTGAGGACCATGACGCCGGATATGGTCACTGAGCGACCCCCAGTAGACTGTGTCGGCGATTTAGCGAGAGCGATGTACGCCTGTGTTCGGGTTGCGGAACCGCGGGTGGACGAGGAGGAGGTGGAACCTGGTATTGTAGATGCGGAGTGGAGACGGCTGAGGGATTGGTGTCGAAGAGGGCTAGCTGAGTAGCTGGAAGTCTACTATTACATATTGTCCGATGGGGTCAACATGGTGGAATGTATATTTTGGAGAAAGAGACTGTATCATATGTGTGTATCGCGGTTGTAAGATCAACTTCATGTATCATGCCATCTTCTCAAAAGCGTTTTGTACACAACCGCCCATCAAGCCGTTCCTGTCTTCGCGTTTTCTAGCCTCTCGTGTCTATCACTTCCTCTGAACTCCCTTCTCGAACCAATAATGCTCGCATCATCTCTCCCTCATCCACGCCCTCCAACATCTTCCACACGACCACGATAGCCTGTATACTTGAGTGATGTGCCGGTGGCAAACATAAGGAGGGTCGGAATCCGGACAGTGGAAAATTCGAGCCGGTGCGGGTTCGCAGCGGCAGCAGTAGGTTACTCTGTGGGTGTAGCACATGTTGGTTCTCAGTGTTGTGGGTTTGGGGTAGGTGGTGGGCGGTGGAGGCTTGCTGAGGATGAGTGTAAGCTGGGTATAGTCAGTGAGGTAGCGGCGGTCTAATAAACAACTGGGGGTTTGGGAATAGAAGGTTCGATGAGAAACGGGTAGCGATATTGTGCATGGAATGGTGAGTCGTTTGCAGTGGATTAGATGGTGGAGAATGAGCTTCATAACTCTCTGAGTCTCTAGTGACGTCTCAGTCGTTCTCGATTTTTGAAGAGAATAGGGACAGTAAGGTCGAACGACTTGTCGACATTTCCAGTATCTTCGATCATGTCGAACCTCCCGAAGCTATTTGTTTGCAGGTTTCCTTTGGTCCATTCCCCTTTTACATCTCTAGCTTAATACTTCCTGGATTTCATCATCCACTTTCTCGAAATACACGGCAGATATGTCCAGTCTCTGATCAGTCACGGTTTTATATCCGCTCCTACTTAGACGCTTGATAGCCAGTCCACTTCCCAAATTACCTCATACTTAAACCACAAGCCGATCACACAGAATTGAGTATCCATCATCGCAAACACATCAAGCCCACCTGCCGACCAATACGTCACCACCCCCATGACCACCCACCATACCACCGCATCCTCCTTCCCCCTCTTCCAAAACAAGAACTACAACAGAAATACCGAGGCCCATCCCACCACTAAGAAGCCCAGCAAACCCACGCTTCACCGAACACAGCCCCTGCCCCTTGCAGCCATGCCGCTCCAGCCACGCTAGGAACGGGCCGGCATGCGGCCGAGTTGGGAACCAGTGAATCGTCCTCGGGATCTCGTCGATCGCCGGCGCTTGACTGGCTGGCAGAACGCCACATACTTTAAATAGGGGCGGTTCTCCGCAATGATCGACGACACTAGCGACTGAAGCACGCTTCATTCCCAAACCGCGTCCGTGTCTCCATGCCATGGTGCCGGGCGCTACGGGCGGGGGTAGTTCTGTTTGTGGCGGGCAGTACAGGATTAGTGTCGTGTAACAGAGGGATTGGGAGGGTCGTAGCCTAGATTTGGTGGGTGAAGGGGGGGTGGGGACATGGATGCGATTTAAGCTTGCATTTTGGGTTTGCAGGGCTCGGGATGTCCATCGTGATGGAGTGCCGGGAGCTCCGTGATTCTCATCTGCGGGTTGGCATGGTGGGATTACACAAATACGTAGTGACGATGTTAGTAGGGGATACTCAATATGTAAATGGGATCTGAGCTCCTACCATTTTCTTCCAATACCTTAATTTCCTATTTGAATATCCTTTCATTCTTCTCTTTCGCTTCGAAAAGATGAAAGCTCTTGTTTCATACTATGCCATCGCACTGCTCTCTTTAACAGCTCATGATGCCCTCGCCTTCCCCTCCCCCCTTTCAGAGGCCATAATCTAAATGCGCAAGCACAATAAAGCCCGTGCCGCTATAGATGAGAGATTACTTCTAAGCCGCCCCCTAAATGTCCTTCCTTAAAGTGAAAGCGGTAGCTCGCAGGCTTACGCCTCCGTTTAGCTAAAATATAGTATGTCAGTAACACTGGCGCGCATAAGTTTGTCCCGCTATCCAGAAATAACCAGAGGGTTACTCATAGTTGAGAGCGGCGGAGAGATGGTATCAGAAATGAAATAAAAGACGAACTATAGGTTCTAGTTGTTTTAGTACGATTTAAAGCTTAAGCGGATGAGCATGGATACTCGGACTAAGGTATCGAGCTTACAAAGAACTTGAAAGAAAGTTATATACGGTGCAGTAGTGCTCCTATTAGAAGTGGTCCGGAGGCTTCGTATTTCTTCAGGAAAAGTTGAACATTGATTGGCCCGGAACTTCCTATCATATTCATCGAGCATTAGTTAGACATGGATCGCATTGGCGTAGCCGCGTCGCACGGTATAACGCATTTGTGTTTTCTTGGGGTCACCCCAGCCCACGAAACATCATCCAAATTCGACGCTGTTGCTTCAATCTAATGAGGAAACGACACAGCAAGAGCACCTATATACCCACCGCTAGGCAAAATAGACTATAGAAAGCGTCTGAGCTCCTTTGCCGCTTGACGAACTACTAGATTGACGTTTCGAGAGCTAGACGAGTAATGAAACGAATGCACGATCTTTCTATTATTGTTACGGCTAGTGTTGTGGAAGCATTCGATATTAGACTCCAACGATTCGGATAGGAGAGGGTTCAGAAGACTTGAACCCATGGCAACGCCGGCTAAAGAAACCTCTAGCTGCGAATAGATCGAGTCTGTACTGATTCTAGATCATCATTGCCGCGAACAAATTGAGCTCGTGATGATGCCAAGTGATTCTCGCCTGTTGCACCAAGTGAACGTTCACTCGAGATGGAAAGCGCTTTGTGTCCAGCGGCCTCCCATTCCTTAATTGCTTGGTCCGACACATCCACAAGTTCCTTATTACAGGATTTTCTTGCTAGCTTGAGTGGCGTCGTTCTTCGTACCAGAGTAGATCCGACCAGCCCACCAACTCCTTTTCGCGTAGGGTTGGCATCTTGAGCAATTAGGAACTTGACCACCTCAATCTGCCCCCCCCCCCCCAAACGCAGCTTCGAGAATGGGTCGCCAGCTCCCGAGGCCTTGGACCCCATCAGCACCCATTCCGTGTGAGATCAAACACTGCAGCACCTGGAGATGGCCTTTATAACAAGCATCCAGACATGAACTGAACGGATAGGGCATCAATTGGTCCGAATCATATCCTTCCTCTTGTCTCTGACGAAACTTTGATTTCGTCCCGAAGTCACAGCCGTGCTTAATGAGCATATCGAGTATGGAATGGTGGCCTGCGTAAGCCGCCGCTTGGAGAGGGGTGTAACCACACCTTGTCTTGACGTCGGGCTTCGCGCCTTTCTCAAGAAGCAATTCAACGATATCGGGAAGACCATAAAACGCAGCAGAGTGAAGAATCGTGAAGGAAAGCAGTGGAAATTGGTGGATGTGGTGCGTGGACTCTATGTTTTCGTTATAAAAACCCTTTTCTAGCAAGAAGCGGGCAACATTTGGTTTTCTCTCCTTAATAGAGATCTCCAGTATATCAAACGATGGGTCTTCGAACAGGTCGAAGCCTCGTGTCAGAAGGAACTTCATGACGTGGACATGTCCATGCTTGGCCGCTTGTACCAGTGGATAGAGATTTTTATATTTTCCATTCTTCGCTACTGACGCGCCTCGGTCAAGTAGTATCGTTACAGCCTCCAGGTGCCCCCATCTCGCTGCATGGGAAAGTGGACTGGGCTGTCTTCTCTCATCAAAGTCTCCAGGAAGACAGCCGAGGTCGAGTAGAATCTGTAGTATTTCAACGTTGCCAGTCGCGGATGCTATTATCATGGCGTCAAAACCCCTGCTTTTCCGTTCTTAGATTTTGGCACCAAAAGCAATGAGTAGTCTGATGATTCGTTTGACGCTGGTGCGGCGCTCCGGAAACCCCTCATATTCCAGAGTAGCGGAGTCATTCCCGCTTCTTCCGGCGTTGAGTCTATGAACATGGGACTATTGACATCCATACCATCCAGAAGAAAGAGGTGTGTTATCTGAGGTAGGTCTTCTACGGTCGCAAACTTGAAAAGTTGAAAATACGAGACTTCGGTAGATTGTAGATAATCCATAAATACACCATCTGATTGGACCCAATTAAGGAAGTAGAGGGTTGTCGCCAGCTCGACGCTAGCAGATTTGGGAGTCGGCCTGTCAGGTCGAGAAACGGCCATGGAGCGAAGGTAAGACGAGATGGTAACTCTTTGCGGCCTGTGATTGTCCGTCGCGGTGTGCCTATGTGAGTTTGAAGATCTGGGTGAGCTAATGCTGACTGGTCTGCGGAGGAATCTTCGTCGGGAAGGACGAGAAGGTCCACGCGTCCCTCAACTGCAGCGGCTTCTTCTTCATTTTCTTCTGCTTCTGCAAATAGTTCGGCTGCATATTTGGCGTCAGCTGCCACCTGCAGCTCGTGATTTTGAAAAGATTCGACATTGCTGGGTTCATTGGCGTCTGAGCTAGACAGTTGCAGGTTCTCCAAATCAAGTGTGACATCAAATCCTGAGGTTTCTTCGGTACTCACACGAGGAATTGGATTGTTGTCGAGAAGAGAGTGCATCTTAAGAAAGTCAGGTCTATGGAAGTATCAGTTCCTAGCGGCACTGTGGCGGGCCATGTCTTGTCGTCGTGAGGTCTTTGAGAACTTTGAGTTCCTAGCGGCGGCGTCGCAGACGATGTTTTGCCATGGTGAAATTCTTCGGCCCACACATCATCGTCTGATGCCGCGTCTGAGGATGATTCCACATCGTGAGTGCAGCATTCGCCGTAGAAAGGGTTGACTGCCCTGTCCTTGCTTTTAATCGTGGTGATAGACACACATAAAGTCTGGGCCGTGATTCGTGATGAGCGTTCAATGGCCATCATTTGGCGTATCCACTGTGCTGCCTCAGTTTCGGACTCAATCCCGGGAATGGTGATTAGCCTTTCAAGCCACTCCATTGCCGCATCAAAATTTTCATAGAACCTCGCCCGTTCGGATCGGTGCCGGAATATCTCGCGTAGCTCCTGCACGGTGCGTCCTTTGATTACAGTCAACATCTCTAGGAAGACACCCCCCAAGGGCCAGATATCTGCGGACGAGTTCCGTTCTTCGTAGTGTGCAACCTCTGGCGCGCAGTAGATCCATGACTTGGCGAAATCCTCCCTGGTAGTGCTTCGAGATAGGTTCTCCCAGTCCAGCGAAATTCCGAAATCGGCAAGGTATGCCGTGGAGCCCTTAATAAGTATGTTCTCTGGTTTGATATCTCGATGACGTATTTTGCTCTGGTAAAGATATCGCAAAGCGTGTGCCAAGCAACCAAAGAAACTTCGAAGCAACTTTTGGTTTGGCTCATTGTCGACAACAGCGTTGTAGAATGCCCTTAGGTTATACTCAGCGACCGGGGATAGAAGAAGGCCAAAGTACTTAGGGTCTGTATAACTTGCGACTAATTCCACACAATGGTGATGATTAATGCGCTTTCAAACTTGGAGCTCGTTCATAAAGCTTTGGAACTCCTTTTTGGTACTGCCTTTGGTTCTTTTGAATCGTTTCCGTGCGTAAGTACGGCCGGTCAGGGAACTGTAAACTTTATCAACGCACGCATATCCGCCTTCCCCGAGCTTATCGCCAACCTCAAATGGAAATGCTTCGCCTTGTCGGAAATGGGTGTGCCGTTTGAGGTCTCCTTTTCCAAGGTCAATTGCTTTAGTGCTGGATTAGCGTCAGACTTGAAGTTTCATGGATGTAGAGTCATGAGGAATCGAGAATTGAAACCAAATCACAATTTCCTTGCATCCACGTTCTTGCACCTACTCTTGGCATTTTTGAGATAAGAAACGAAGCTTACAGAACCATGGCTTGAGACTCGATGAATCTTTCCCGATGAAAAGCAGACATCGATTTTGGTAGTTGTGATATATGAAACGGAAGCTAAAGATCGTTCATTCCCAGGTCCAAAAATCTTTCTATAGCGGGAAGCTGTCCAATAAGCCTCAACACCGTGTAGATGCGCGGTATCTTGCTCCACGGTTCCCAATCTGTATTCTTCAAGAGTCGCCAAATGTCTGCGAACTCTTGATCCGTGTAGCTTGTCCTTGGCACCTCCTCAACAGCGAAATAGTCCCCTAGGCATCGATTTCGCTCCAAAAGCGCAGCAGGTCAATTTGCTGTGGTCGTAGACCATGGAGGAAATGGCGGATGGGGAGCAATGGCTTGGTAGGGCGATTGAGGAGTAAGATTGCGGAAAGGATTGTTGTCTCGCAGTGATATGACTGGAGTATCTAGATCCGCGTAAAGCTGCTGTGTCGGCATGGTTGAGGAATCGTATCGGCCGTCCATTGATGCGGGTACCTGCGTATTCTCTGCATCTTGAGTCCGCTGGTGTTCGGGCGTGAAAGGGTCGAACTGTTGAGGAACACCGCCGCTGTAAGAAGTAGCCATGGTGTGAACAAAAGTGTAGGAGAGGGTATCTCTCCAACGAAGAGAAACAAGACCATGAATGAGGCCGAACTAACGACGTGCGAGCAAGAACTCACGGTGTCCGTGCGAGGATATGGGCCATCTTCTGCTCAAGTGGGTTGAAGGTGCAAAGCTGAAAAAGCTAATGCAAAGGTTGCAGGCCAAGGGATGCCGCTAGCCATTAGAGAATGAGTTTGCTGCACCTCTTGCATTCATAAATGCGTTTCCCCTACCCAAGATCGCCGCGGACGATAACAAAACAGCTCAGTCATTCTAGAGCCGAATATCCATCCTTCGAACGCCACATCGTCGGAGGTTTTCGGGCGTCTGATCATAGGAACTGAAATATAGTGATGATATTTGCAATTATGGAACTGGCAATACTCTCATACTGATCAATAAGGTCATGCACATAGATCTACTATGTAGAATGAGGTTAACTTAAATGCGTCCTCGGGAAAGCGTGAAACGCGGCACGGGAGCTCTAGGAAGAGACTGCTATTGGCTGGACAGAGCTGATAAGACCTTTGTCACACAGCGTTTGCCATCATCGAAATCGTTGCACTTGCCACGGCGTGCACGTACGTGTAGATGCACGAGTCTCTCACCAAAAACCCACTTTAACCCGTGCCTGTACCTGACCGTCGCGAAACGCGAAAAGAAGGTAGCAGAAATGTTGACTAGAGGTGATTAGACGTTCTTCAAAGCACAAATGAGGTTGCAGAGAGATTGGAGGCTACGAGATGAGTAATGTTACGCTTCTCTGTGAGTCCTGGATTCAGGTGAAGGAACTCACTTTTCTTTGACATTCTGGAAGCTTGTCGGCATCTCTTCTGATCGATGAGGCTCAAAGTCGTTTGCTTATTTGAAACCAGATTCAGGGCGAACCAAGTTTCGTGTTGCATCGCGTTCCGAAGGATCGATCCGTTTTTCGACGAATTCTCGCTATGGCGACATTCAGTAGGTATATTTCAAGAAAGTCCTGTCATGCCTCTGGCGCAAATATCAAGGCGCACACCCTCATCACTGCGCAACTCACGGAAGCGACGCAGACACAGCAGTGCTTCTCACGGCGACTCTGAGCCCAATCGCCAAGTTACAAGGGCCCGCAGCGAATCAAGCTAAAGCCCGAAAGCCATGAACCCAATTGATGTGACAACGATGAAACAGCAACCACTAACTACGCCGGATTCAAATTAGAGGCAGCGACGAGCAGACCGATATATGAGTGTTGCGCCCGGATGAGTGGTGACTGGAAATGAGATCTCATACGAATGGCTGGTCATTTCAGATGACCGTGTGCTCATTACGCGGGTGCCGATGGTGATTGATGCAATGATGATACCAAATTTGGGAGTTGTCCTATACGGATTCGATATGCCGAGTGTAATCTTGAAGCGCTCATGAAGATCAGAAAAAAAAAGAAAACAGTCATGTGATGTTGAAATTGCGGTATTGGAAAGTCTTAGACGGCTGTATATATCATGTTGAACACACCTCAACGTAGCATGCTCATAGCTTTGCTCTGGCTGGCGCGAAGTTCGCACCTCCCAATGCCTCAACGAGGCTGTCTACCTTCTCCAGTATCCAGACACAGCCCTCATCACTCGCGAGCCATCTGACCCCTTCCTCGCCTCCGTCTTCAACAGCTGCAGCGTCATCCCGCCAGCTTCCATCTTCGACCGCCTTCCGCAGCCCAAAGACGTGTGACAGAACCTGCGGTCCAACACCCTGCTGCGCCCGCAGACAAGCAACAGCTATGATGGAAGTATTGACTCGCCCAACAGCCGTAGCCGGCGTTTGGGATTTGGAAGGCGGATCAGCGAGGAGTGCCCCGTACTCCGAATTCAGGATATGGACCGGCAAATCCGGATGTGACGTCGCCAACTTATCATACAGCTTGTTCTCAAACGGACGGTATATGCTATCCCAGAGCTTCTTTCCTCTCTCTGCTACTCCCGACAGCAGCTCAGGCTTCAATACCCGCGATGGTCGGGTGTTGAGTTGCGATGCGACGGAAGAGGGGAGAGAGGCGTGGAATGCGTTGAGCATGTTGATGACTCTCGGGAGGCCGTTGAAGCCGACGCATTTCAGGCCAGCTTCACGGATATATTCGGCGGTTTCGACGGCGGACGAAGGCGAGGAGGCTGTCGCGACGGTGTAGAGGGCATTGAGGGAGCCGGGAGAGTTCAGCGTCATGGTCGTAGCGGTCTGTCGTAATGTCAGTCAATTGAACAAGACCTTGCACATTCGTATTAAAAGGGGAGTCTTTACGGCCAGCGCAAGCCATGACGGGCGCCCAACATGTCGTTCCCTGGCTTCCCGCTCGATCTGCTTGAAGATGGAGTTGATCTGCGGAGGTGCCGGAATGGGACCTGGACGCGCATGGGCGGCGTTGATGAGGGATTTGAGGGTGGGAGATAGTTTGGACATGGCGATTCAGATCTCAAGACGTCTTCGTCGCGCCATTGGTATCCTTGCGCGATAGTTGCGTTAAAAAGAAGCTGGATAGAGTTGATGATGCAGCTGATGAAGTACTTGGTAGAAGAGACCTCGGGAAAGACGCGGGGTGAACTTCTTCCTAGCTTTCGCCGACGACACCCCGTCACCACGCTCCACAGGTCCAGCGCCAAGATACGCATTTACTAAATCATGCGTATAAGGGCAAAGAGTCAATGGGCGGGATGAACCTTAATTAAGCATGAATGAGCAATGAGCAATGAGCGTCCAGCGTCCAAGTTTGTTTCTCTTCGTCTTTTGAACAATTAACTTACTCTTCGCAAATGAGTAATCGCCGTTTCCCTCCCAACTGCCTCCTGGGCATTTGTTCTATAATCGAATGCGGACATCGCGCTATGCGCTTCACTTAGTCTAACGTTTCGCCGTGCAAGAACGAACTTCACGTATTAACGAGCCTTTTTCTCATATCTATATTCACTTCAATTGCTCTATCCATCTTCAATTATAACTTGACTGTACTTGCCTCTAAATTTTAGATATCACTTCTCATGTTCAATCGTTCTTCGTTGCTCGTATCCGGAATTTCTCCGTGTTCAAGTTCCTTTACAGTCAATGCAAAAATTAAAACAGTATCCCTCGACCTCAGCCATTATTCTATGTCAAATCACACTAGAATGGCAGAGGATTCGAAAAGAGCAAAAAAGAAAATGTCCGGCGCCGCGGATCGAACACGGGTGTCGCCTCATACACTTTTTACACTTCAGAAATTCTCAGCACACGGTCTTCCCACAGCTCTTGGCTTTTAGTTTATACTATACCTGGACTAGCTCCAAGTATACGTGGCCTCAGCGCGTTGACGGCCCTCCCGATTCCCGCTTTACAAAGGTGGGATCTGAGTGGATCGGCACGTCTTTCTGTTAGGTGAGGGCAGCTGCAAGCTGTTTCCAATCAGACCTAGATGCTAGACGAACACTCTGCCCTACCAATGGAAGCTGTCATGTACGAACAAGATTGCAGAATGCAATTCGCCGCTTGGGTTCGTGGTAGGCGCCTCAGCCTTCAATGCCAGTTGGCTGTGCTGGTCACGGCAGGCAAGGCGTTCTTCAGCTGGAAACCTGCTCTTTCAGACCCATCCTCAACCTCCCCGCGTGCCGCTTCGCTGTTCTTCACTTCATACAAGTAAGTATTGCAAGCATCATTCTATAAACTATCGGTCGCTAACAATGCGTACAAGCTCTTCCAACTCCACAGTCTTTGGCTACACCATCCTTCTCCCCTCGCTCAGGCTAAGAGCGACCGCCTAGACCTTATTTGCACTCCCCATTCCTCAAACTCTGCTTTACAACCAACCCGCCCGAATCCAAGTGGGCCATAAGCGCTTGTGCAGCTAGCTGAGCTCTACCTCTCGATGGCGTCTGACCAGCGGCCCCTTCGCCTTCTCTCGTTTGATGGTGGAGGCGTTCGCGGTCTCTCCAGCCTGCTTATTCTGCAGCGTATCATGCACGTACTGGAAAAAAAGGCTGGATTGGAAGGGGAACAGCCGCCTCGGCCATGCGAATACTTCGACATTATTGCTGGAACATCCACCGGCGGGCTGATCGCTATTATGCTTGGTACTCTTCGCATGAGCATTGATGATGCCATAAAGTCCTATATGGACTTTGCGCCAAAAATATTTCCTAAAGAAGGCTTTGCCTCAGGGAATTTCGCGAGCAAATTTATCAAAGCAGTGAGTGGAAAGGCACGATTTGATGCGACTGCCTTGGAAGTGGAGGTCAAGAAATTGGTCCGAAGTCACTTGGCGCCTTTGGGGCTAGACGAGAATGCAGTGTTCGATAAGATTAGCTGGTCTGAAGAAAGCTCTTGCAATGTGTAAGCTACTGCTTTGTTACTTATATGCCGTGTGATCTTCTTCCTTCTTGTCTCTCCCTCCCCTTCTTATTCTATTCTCTTTTACCTTACTTTCCCTTTCCCTTATCCTTATCCTCCCTAATATTTTCCTGGCTTTCCCCTACCCTTGCCTTTCTCTTCCCTTTATATCTCTTAGTACGAACTCTACTTCTATTAGTAAATCTCTACTCCTTGCTCCTTATAGCTATCCTGCGATATGGACATATTTTTATATTGTCCTATTCAACGAACAGTTTTCTAATCTGGTTGTAGTATTGTTTGCGCCGGCGTTCCCGACGCTGGTAGGGCAGTTCGGCTCCGAAGCTATTCCAGTCGATTGGAGTCAAGTAAAGGGTGTACAGTGTGGGAGGCGGCTCGAGCCACATCAGCTGCACCCTTATACTTTGATCCTATCTCGTTCGGTGTTCCTCCGATGAAGTATATCGACGGTGCCCTACGCTACAATAATCCGGTCCGAGTCCTCTACGATGAGGCAAAGAGTGAATGGCCTGACCGGCCTATCGCCTGTATCATCAGTATAGGTACTACTCTCTCCTAAATATTTGAAAAGCGATGCCTACCCTTGAGTTGCTCTCAGCTGTAATGAACCCGTCATTCAGTGCTAAAGATTGCTATAACTTAGCTGCTAGAGTCACTGCATTCACTTGCCCACCCCTTTACGTAAAGCAGCACTGGCAGTATTAAAATCGAGACTGATTATTATAGGTACTGGGAAATCCCCTCCATCTTCTGGAGGACCACGATTAGACCAACTCCTGAAAAGTATGAAGGACATTGTCACGGATACGGAGCAAACTGCCGTAGATTTCAGCAATGACATTCATCATGAACCTGTCGAAACCAGGCCACACTACTTCAGATTTAATGTGGAACAAGGTCTGGAAGCTGTTGGACTGGAGGAATGGAAACATTTTGACAAGCTAACGGCGTTGACGACTGTGTATCTTGATGGGAAAAGACAAGAAATAGATAAATGCGCTCAGGAACTGCTCTTTGTGGTTGGTATGTAGCTTAATGTTATTTGCATGATCTGCTATCTAATCCTTAACAGGTAACCTGAGTAGGTTAAAGAAACCGAAAGAACTAGAATGGACTCCAGAGCAATCTGATTGTGTGCAACTGCTCCGCACCTCGGATTACGAACGCCACAAAGACAGGAACCCTGATCGAGTTAAAGGGACTTGTCAGTGGTTCCTAGAGCACTCCCACTTCCAAAATTGGTATCAGAATAATACATCAAGCCTACTTTGGGTATCGGCGGATCCCGGTTGCGGCAAATCAGTTCTATCGAAATCTCTCGTGGAAAATGAGCTGAAAAGTACCGACTCACGTACTATTTGCTACTTCTTCTTCAAAGATGACGACGACAAACAAAAAAGCGTAACCCACGCACTTTGCGCTCTACTACATCAGTTATTCTCGCAGAGAAAGCCTCTCATCAAGTACGCCATCCCGAATTACCAAAGTGAAGGAAAACGACTGCCTCAATCATTTCAAAACTTATGGACGATTCTTATAAAGGCCGCGACCGATCCTCAAACCGGCGAAGTTGTTTGCATTTTGGATGCTCTTGATGAATGCGAGGAATCTGGTCGAAACGAACTGATCAAAGTTTTGAATCGTTTCGAGGATGATATCTCTTATTCCCGGGGAAAACAATCCAAATTGAGATTCTTGGTCACCAGCCGTCCTTACCACGATATCGAACGGAAGTTTGCGCTCTTAACGAATAATATACCTACCATCCGATTGCGTGGTGAAATGGAATCGAAGACGATTAGCCGTGAGATTGACCTTGTTATCCAATGGAAAGTTCCGATACTCGGAGTCGAATTAGAGCTCAACGACTCCGAACAGTCAACTCTCGAAAGCGAGCTCTTAAGCATGACTCACCGGACTTACCTCTGGTTAAAGCTTATTCTCGATGTAATCTACAACGAAATAGGCCTTACCAAGAAGAAGCTGAAGCAGATTACTGGCAGCCTTCCTGACACAGTAGATAAGGCTTACGAGGCGATTCTATCGAAAGTTCGGGAGAAGAAGCGCGCACGGAAACTTCTTAGTATTGTTGTCGCAGCCGCCAGACCACTCACGTTGAAGGAGATGAACATTGCTCTTGCTATCGAAGATGACCATACGTCCTACAAAGACCTCGAGCTGGACCTCGACGACGAGACACGATTCAAAGACACCGTTCGACACCTCTGTGGACTTTTTGTTAGCGTTATAGATCAAAAGGTCTATTTAATTCACCAGACAGCAAAAGAGTTTCTCCTTGCGCAAAGCGAAATATGTAGCGGAGTATGGAAACACTCTATCAAGCCGGCCGAGTCAGAGCTTATCGTCGCACGAACGTGTATTACCTATCTCCTTTTTACTGAATTCGGCAGTAATTTCGATACAAGAGGAAAATCACAGACTGAAAAAGATCTCAAAGTCAAAGCAATTATAGAAAATCATCATTTTCTGAGCTATGCCGCGAGTCAATGGGCTACCCACTTCCGAAAGGCGCAAGTAAGAGTAGAGGACGGAATACTTCAATCATGTCTTGATATCTGCGATACTCAAAGCCAGCGATACCAAATTTGGTTCTTTATATACTGGACTTTGGTCCATAGCTACGAGCTAACTCCTGAATTCACAAGTAGTATAATGGTAGGGTCATATTTCGGGCACGAGGCTGTGGTGAAGCTGCTGCTGGCAACGGGCAAGGTCGAGGTCGACTCCAAGGACTCTGAATACGGTC